CCCCCCCCCTTCCCCCCCCCCCCCCCCAAAAGGTTTCCGACAGCCTCATTTCCATATGGTGCCACACGCTGCCATGTCGTTCAGCGGGATCGTGATTCGACCAGAAATGGAGGTATACCGATGAATCTCATGACGAAGAGTGATGTGCCTGACTGCGTGCGAGATGCGTCGCAAAATCCGCGAGGATGTTGCCTAGGAATAGGTCCACGGACAACAATTGGATAAAACAGTTGATAAAAAAGATACCCATGGCACCAGCAGAAGCTGTGAAAGAGTTTGGTCAGCTCGTCAGAGTCAGTCTGTTCAGAATTGTCTCTCACCCCGGCTTTCTGTCTTGCCTTATGCGGGCCCCGTGCCGCATGGCTTCAACTGCGGACAACCGGTGTCTAGGGCAGCAAGTGAAGGCAAGGACTCGATCAGGCCTAGAACGTACGCAAGCAGGCCCAAGAGTCATGCTAGGTATCATTCCGTCTAATATTGAGCTATCTGAAGCTTGCAGCCCGCATTCGCAGATGCTCCTGGGAACTGGAGGGATACGAGCTGGAAAGGGGCATCACAGGTATTCTGACAATACATAATAATACATTACGTGAAGGCCATCCCTGTCGTTCAGCGAGTTGTTCAAGTAGAGTGGTTAGACAATTACGCAACCCAATCATAGTCAAACTTCTTGTACTATATTATACCTAATAAGAATTATATCTCTGAGTAATATAGGGTTGTAAATCCGATCCGTTAGGGGTTATGGTGTGCGCAAGAACCAGGCTAGCGTCTTGGACTATACGAAGAATGATGGTTATTTGATACCTCTATGATGTTCACGTCTTTCCAGCTGTTATTGAGTATCTAAGGCCGGAGTTGTAGGATGTGGACTTTCTACTGTCTCGATCATGTGAAGCGTTTGTTGAAAGCTAAAGCACCTTTTGGTCATGATCTTGCAATCCGTCCCCGCCCGTGACTATTGCCGCTTCCATGTCAGTCTCCGTCACTTTCGTATCGGTCTCTCTGCGCGCCAGATATGCTATCGCCAAGATGCCGAGGATCTGAACAATGTTCAGCCCAAGGTTGGCTTTGAAGCTGGATACCCATCTTGGTGCACCCGTCGCTGGATACATAACCACCTGCACTCCAGCTGTGATAGCCTGACCGATCGAGTTCATGCTTGCAGTCACTACAGCTCGTTCTTCGGCATCGTTGGCCATCGTTACCGTCGCCCAGCTCATTGCCATAGGCGATATTGCTATCAAGGTTCGCGTCAGTAGTTGCGGCCTTTGAGTTGTGGCTGTTGAGGAAACCACTCACGGCCGACGAAACCCTGTAGGATGAAAGCCACCAAACGACCCGTCTCCCCAATGTTCCAAACGACCAGCATGATGGTACCAACCATCAAAAGAAGCGTCGTTGCCATGGCCGGCATCCAAAAGTTGCCGATCCTATCCGCAGCGATCCCCGCAAGGAGGGCACCAACAATGCTGCAGGCTGTACCAATGGTTGGCAATGTGCTTACTCGAACAACCGAGTATACACTCGGACTGTAGGCCTTCAGGTATAGTGAACAGGGCTGGCCGCCAATCTGGCCATTCAGATCCATGAGTGTCCACAGAAGCACGAAGGCATAGGAATGCCATCGTCCGAGCACATGCTTGAAGATACTACGCGACAACTCTAGCCCTGGTGGAGCCGTATATCCCACCAATCGCTTCCGTGCGAGCGTATGCTCCGCATGTGAAAGCAGCAATGGTTTTCTTCGTGCGGGAATATCGGGGAAGAACGTGAATCCGCTGCGGGTTGTTAGCTTTCAGGCCTGAATTGGGGGCTGCCACTCATACGTACAACAGGGCGATGCCAAGTGTGATTATAGTATCAATGATGAAGAGCCACCTAATCCCAGGATGTCAGTCCTCCATTCTCCAGTTATCGAATTCATTGCAATACCTCCAGCCAGATAAACCATTTACTCCATTCAGGTTCGTGTAGGCAGCGGCTTGCAAATATCCAGCGAACATGGTTCCCAACGGACTCGATACGTAGAATAGTGCAACCCTTCTCGCCGTCTCACTTGGCTTGTACCAAGACCCAATGATGTAGATGGTGCCCGTGAAAGACGCGCACTCGAATAAACCAACGAAGAACCGCATGGCGTAGAGAGTATTAACATTTTGTGCCCATGCCAGTCCAAATGTTGCCAAGCCCCAGCCAAGCTCCAAGGAGGGCAGCACGATATTGGCCGGGTATTGCGTTATGAAGTAGCAAGTCGGGATCATTGCCGTGCAGTACGAGGCCCAAAATGTTGCGGTAAGGTAGTTGAGCTCGTTGCCAAGCAGGCCGATTTCTTCCTTCATGCCACTGTCGCAGTTCTTAGATTCCCAACAGTACAGATTACACAGGCTGTTCATGTGAACTATAACTCACCTGACGTATGCATTTGTTATGGATTGCTGGTCGAGGTATTTGGTGAAAAATGAAAAGCAACCAAAGACAAGAATGCTGAGATCAAGCTTCATTACCAGAACCTTCTCTGAACTAGACATATCACTTGGAAACCAACCAATGAACGTCCAGAACCGAATCCATGGGTTTTCTTTCCGGGCCACAGGGGTAGCGATCACAGCTGACATTGCAGGCGCCTCTACTGGCTCTCCCCTTCCTGCAAAATGCCTCTTTCCGTTTGACATGATGGAATGCTCTATGTGTTTCGGCCTATGATGGTACTTGCATCAATGTTGCAAAGAAATCGGGGTCGCCCTGAAAGATGAAAGTGAAGCTAAGTCCTTCCTGGATACGAAGACGCCATGAAGTAGAGTGGCTATTGTCGGAAATCAAGTATCAGATTCTTATGTATCGACTTGCACACCTTTGTGGACATAATTCGCCGAAGTATCAAGATGCAACCGTGCCTGGTCTGGATTGAGGTATTGGCTGACATTACGAATGACGCCATTCATACCCATAATGGCGATGCTCCCACTCAGAATCCTCTGGAGCTTCGAGATAACGATTATGCACTGGAGTTCTGCAGAAGTGAAACTTTTACGTCCAAAATAAGATGCTGCAAACGTCAAGCCATGACGGTTCCCTCGGAGGCTATGGTGAGTCGCCTTCTTCTATTCAGCCGCTCGTCCGAAAGTGTAGGGACAATTGGCATATGGTAAGTGTGCAGGACCTACGGTATTTCCTTGCAAACTCCTTGATACTTTATTTGAGGAGTTCAAACTAATTCGAGCTCGGTAATGATGCCAATGCTGCTTTAGGAGAATCAGCTTACGAGGCATGGCACGGCTGCTGATATAGTTATTTACGGCCTACATATTTCATGCGTTTGCCACAATTCTATACCACCAGGATAACTTGGTAACTAAACCTATTCTATCCCCAAAAATGTTCAGACAGGGTGACTGCTCTAGGTTCAAGTATCAACCGGTGTACCAAATGAGGCCAAGTGTACCGTTGAACCCTCTGTAAAGGTCGAATCGGTCCCACATTAGCTCCGGCTTCGGAACATCGGACCAACCAGCATAGAGAGTGCAGTTATCAGTAGTCAACACGAACTGGATATAGGGAACTAAATTAGGCAATCTAAGAGCAAACACTAAGCTGCCCGTGGCACACGATCTGCGGCCAAGCCCAGATAACCACCTTGATCACATGATCGGACTTACGGCCAGACGCCGACCCCACCTAAAGGGCGTTGTCTGCTAAAGAACATATCCAAAGCCAATCGCTTATCAGCACGAGACATGGTTGTGGGAGCGCCGGAGCGGCATAAGAATTCCTTCCTTTCCTGGCAGCCAGAGGCTTGAGGAACACGGGGCAATTGGAAATATTCGAGCCTGTCTGTGTTGGATTGATTATAGCCGAGTGCGGAAAAGCAATCTGAGATCTCTAACGAACTGTTCGGCAGTTTAGACTCATCATGGCATCGAGCGCGCCCTCTTACATCATTGTCGGCGCCGGAGTTTTTGGCGTTTCTACTGCATATCATCTAATCAAGAAGTACCCCAACGCATCGGTGACCTTGGTCGACCGGGATGCGTTTGATGCCGAGAGTCGCGTAGCCGCCTCGTGGGACTGGAACAAGGTGGTTCGTGCCGACTACGACGACATTGTATACTGCCAGCTTGCACTAGAAGCACAAGACATTTTTGAGTCTGACCCGCTGTGGAAACCGTATTTTCACCAGACTGGCATCTACTGGATATGTCGCAGCGAGTATGCGCAGGACGTCATCAACAACTACAAGCGCCTGGGAAGAAAGGCCGATCTGTCGGCTGTTCCCATTGACGAGGCCCGCAAGCTGTATGGTGGCCTCTTCGAGGACGCTGACTATACCGGCGTGAAGGAGGTGTTGGTCAACAAGACTAGTGGATGGGCTGCTGCCGGTGATTGTCTGCGAGCTGTTACTCGCAAGGCGCTGGACCTGGGCGTCAAGTATCACACCGCCGAGGTCGCAACCTTGCTTCTCGACAAGAACGGACATTGCTCCGGAATCAAATCCTCAACTGGCGAGGTCCTCAGAGCTTCGCATACAGTCCTTTGCACTGGAGCATACACCCCAAAGCTGTTGGAATGCAGCGCTGCGAGCAGTGGCCTCGCGGACATTGGGGCTGGATCAAGAATTGTAGCTGGCGGAATTACGACCGGGATGACTAAATTGAACGATGAGTCGTACGAGAGATTCGCTGCCATGCCTGTTGGCGTCCAAGGCTACACAGCTGCACAAGGTAAAGTGATCCCTCGAGGTACAATTCGTGCTATTACCTGACTGCCATACTAGGCCCCTTCATTGGCAGTCTCCCGCCGACGAAAGATAGAGAGCTCAAGTGGTGGGGACAGACGATTTTCAAGAACACACGGGAAGTATTGCCAGGTCGCTACCTCTCAGCCCCGCCTCCGAAACCAGACTACACCCAGTGGGAGGTTTCTGGGAGGCTAAAAGAGGACATCAACCACGCAAACAAGGTGTTCTACGGCAAGAATGGTGCGAGCTGGAAGATGGAGAAGCACCGCATCTGCTGGTGAGTAGCCACCGCCCATTAAGAGGATGCAGTTGGCTAATCATTGGGAAGGGACGCCTTCACGACGAGCTCGGACTTCATCATCTCGCCTCATGCTGCGGCGAAAGGCCTCTATATTGCAACCTGTGGCTCATTCCATGGCTACAAATTCTTCCCGGTATTGGGCAAGTATGTGGTACAAATGCTGGAGGGCAGGCTGTCTCCCGAGCTATCTGATAAGTGGGCTTGGGATCGGGAGCGGCCTGATCCGTCGCTTAACCCGGATTGGCCGAGGTTTGAGATGAAGGATCTGCTGGAGCCAGTACGAACTTCGAATCTGTAGGACAGAAAGTCAACCGGTGTGGAGATCAATTTCAATCATCGCATTTCTGTATGAGTCTCGTACGTAGTTTCGTCGTGCTGCATCATAGCGCGCGTTGTAGGCGACTAGAGAGATTCCAACTCCAGTAATGAGAATGTTTCCCCAAGACAAATTTGCAACATGATACAAGTAATTAATGCCAATCCTGAGGCTAAGGCGACAATAAGCCAGAGGCTTGCTCTTAGAAGTTAAGCTTCGTGCGCTACACTTAGTATAATACGAAGGAGTCTCGTTCGGGCTATGCTCATCATGCCATCATGATAACACGCTAGGACTTGTTTTCCTCATGAGAAACTGATTATAAAGAGAAGCCCCGGTTGATGCATATTTCATCTTTCCGGGATACCAAGATGTGGACCCCCCCTTTCTGGTTTGGAGACTAGTGTTGTCAATACATTCTGGGGTAACATTTGGCGTATCTCTCTCATTTACTGCCAGTAGCCTTTCACCGTCATCTGATACCTGATACGTGTTCGCATCTCAGACTATCGAAACAATGCCCGATGCTTGCCTGACGCTACCCACGTGAGCGTATCTTGACCCACCTCGACCGACGGGAGCTTCGTTTCCGGGCCGGGGAGAGAGATAGATCTCCGGTCAGGTGACCGGCGTATGGTTCCCGTTCGCATAGTCAGCCTACGATAGCATCAGATTGCCTTCACTAAGCTGATTTGTCGGAACGATAGATGGGCGATATGGTGTAGACCGGCCCAGGTGATATATGAACTAAATCATGGAGGATAGAAAGGCTCAAATCCAGATACACTAGATAACCGTAAGGTAGTTACTCATTGAACTTGCCTTCACTCCAACACCTTACTACACACATGCCCAGCATGTTTGAGATATCTGTCACATATTTGCCAAAACTCGTGTTCTTGACCTTTTCTGCTTCTGTGTTAGCCATGGCGCTATCGCACTTGTCAAGGTTCCTTGGCCTCAGGCCGCCATCTCCAACCCAAGACACAAAGTCTCCTGTCAGGGCTCTGCCTGCGTCCTGGTACACCTCCGAGGACATGTACGAGCTCGAGAGGCGAGCAATCTTTTCAAAGAAATGGCTTCTTACCACACACAAAATAAGACTTCCAAACTCCGGGGATTGGCTGCGATATGAAGTTGCGGGCTTCCAGTTTATCATCACTAAGGATCGCACTGGGACTATCAACGCATTCCACAACGTTTGTAGGCACAGAGCCTTCCCAGTTGTGACTGAAAATAAGGGCAACAACAGTATCCTTGCTTGCAAATACCACAACTGGTCTTACGGCCTCAACGGCAAACTTACCAAAGCACCAGGATATCAGGAGTTGGAAGGCTTTGACAAATCCCAAAACGGTCTGCTTCCGATTCACGTTCACATCGATACCAATGGATTCATTTGGGTGAACCTAGACACCGCTCAAAAGCCAAGTATCCCTTGGAACGATGACTTCAATGGCATCGACGAGCAAGCCAGGTTCAAGAAGTACAATTTTGACGAGTACCAATTTGACCACACTTGGGAGATGGAGGGTGAATACAACTGGAAGATCCTAGCAGACAACTACAACGAATGCTACCACTGCCCAACTACACACCCAGACATACCGACCATCGCAGATCTCAGTGCATATGGCGTCGTTACAGAAAACGGCTATATTCAACACCTCGGCAACCCTACCCCAGAGCAGATTGCACGAGGGTTCAATGTGGCTGCCACATACTACTTCCCAAATGCGTCGATGAACGTGTCGTAAGTAAACCCGGAAACTAAGGTTTGACGCAAAGACTGACTTGTCCAAAGGCCGCACTTCTTCTTCATGCAGAGGTTCGTGCCTAAGGGCCCCAACAGGTCGGTTATGAGTTACGAAGTCTACCGAAACAAGAATTCGAGCGACGAGGACTTCCAAGTCATCAACGACATCTACAAGCGAATCATGTCAGAGGACAAGTATCTCTGCGCCAACGCACAACAGAACATCAATGCTGGGGTGTTTGTCAATGGTGAACTACACCCGCGGTTGGAACAAGGGCCCCTGTTCTTTCAAAAGTCGGTACGCGAGCTCGTTACCGCCCACCATAAACAGGAGCAACAGGCCAAGCGCGAGATATGGCCAGCTCGTCAGTCTTTGCCGCGGACCGCAGATGTCAGCGAAAAAGATCTGGGCTTTTGTTCAGCCGTGGACTGTTCAGCTTTGAAGATGGAGGGTCTTGCTTGGTAGTTGCTGGATGGTATTATGCTTGTTTCGTTTGCACCTTGTTTAAATTGATGGTGCCGGGTATGATTATGATTGATCTGGAATATCATAGGAAATTGACACTCTTTGCATGATGATTACACTTGCTGCGGTGTTGTTATGGACTGACAGAACGTGCGATCGTGTATGCGACGTTTTGCCCAGTGTTCGATTGTGGAGAGGAGTCCCCCCATCTTGCGATGCACAAGCACGAAACAGACTTCAGTAGATGCTTGGTTTGCGTCTCCACCTCGTCATCGTCGACAATATCGAAGTTGCCTTCAGACACAGTCACTGCATTCTGATGCGAGCCGATCGGCGAGGAAACTGGTGTTATCGCCATGTGTCGCTTCGTCAGTGGGAATGACTGGGGTAATCCAACAATATGGTATCACGAATGATACCGGCCTGACTTTATCTCGACTTTGATTGGACGTTACATTCCATTACCTTATCGCCGGCCTCGGCGCGCCCCAGCGAATTGCGCTTAGCTAATTCAAGTCAAGCACATGTAGGTGCGGGCGCTGGAGCTAGTAAGTTACCATGATATACCTAGCGGAGGCCGTTCTATTCTTGAACCAGCGTGCAGTACCCTGCTTTCTTTTTCCCCACACCTGTTGAAGAGGTCCGTCAGCTCCATGACGCTGCCAGGCGACAGCACCAGTTCTCGTGGAAGACGCAGATCACACAATGCCTGCATCCCTTGCAGGTGTGTCTCTACACCTTCGTGTTGTGATGCTTGTACGCTGAATATGATGCAGGAGGAAGAAGACGCGCTGTCCCGGTGAGAAGCCAGCTTGCTCTAGCTGTGCGCGCCTTAACCAGCCATGTTCATACTCTCCCGTGATCAACCATTCACGTGGCGGTCGTTCGGTAGATCATTACGGTGCATCTTCCTTTGATGAATGTCTCTTAACAGCTAGCAGGAAGAGAGATTGGCAAGTTTGGAAGAGAAACTAGATCTGATTCTGAATGGGAGCCTGTACGTATGACCCAAACCATTCTCAGTGCTACGTTGTACTATCCCTTATGAAATACTGACTTGCGTCTTAAGGCCCAACTATACTACGTCCAGGCATCGGGAGCCGCCCCTTAATGGGGACATTTCGGACAGATCATGTTCACCAACGTCAGTTCCCGAGCAAAGCCAGTCTACCAGTCGCCATTCGACGGTCGTCTCCGAGCGGGTCGCTCCAAATGCACGGCCAGACTCGTCTGATATTGCCCGGGGTATGCGAGTCTATTTCAAGCACTGCCACAGGCAACCGATCTGGTGCTTTGAACGCGAGGAGGTTCGCGACTATGGATCGCTTCCGGACGAACTTATTTGTAGCATCCTGGCCGTAACATCGCGTTTCTTCCCGAAGAGCAATGTCTCACAGACGTATGGCAACAATGCCCGGCGTTTGATCATGCTTCGAATCGCGGATGGTTCGGTAGCCCTTACAACGATAGAGAGCCTGTGTCTGCTCTCCTACTCTTCATTCATAGGTATTCAACCAACTGTGCTCAGCATGCACCTACTCACTTTCGCTCACATCGACGTAGATGGGAACATCCCCCTCGGGCAATTTCACCTAGGTTTGGCTGTTCAGCTCTGCCGATCCTCAATGCTCGATCTCGAATCCGCCTATGCTGTTCATGACTCGAGCACTGAGAGAAAGAAGAGACTATTCTGGAGTCTCCAGCTGCTTGAGCAGTTGTATGGCCGGCAGACTGGGCCTTCAAGCACCCCGACAGATATAGGTCGCCCATTCTTCTCTTCCGTAGGCCGAGTTCAGGGATCATATTCAACACCAGGCCCAAAGACACCGCCTCTACCGACCGATGATGTAGGCTGTTCAGACCCGAGCGAGCCTGGTATCTGGAACATGGGTCTCCACCTGGGATGGGTTTGGAGTCGTGTGAGAAGCTACGTATCCGATTGCGCTCAGGATATACTTAAGGAGCCCTGGCGCCACGACTCTACCTACGCCATGGTTCTCTCTGACTTTATGGAGACAGAGAACAGGATCCCAATGTGCCATCGATATGACTCGGTCAAATTTTACGAGCGCAAAATCGAGGAGCTAAGAATGAACCATGATTACTGGGCCCCATGGCTCAAGGAGCAGTTCACATATCATGCTATACCCACCGTGCTCAACCACCCCTTCCTGTACATCGTTGGGGCACAACACAATCCGAACCTGGCCATTCCGAACACGTTCTGGAGGAGATCGTCAGAGCTTGCGCTCTTGCACGCAACCTGGATTGTCCGGATTATTGATATGGTCGTGGAGAAACAGGTGCAACTAACTGATCCATTTTTTGGACATGTGGCTGCAATTGCCGCGACGGTGCACTTATATTACTGCTGTGCTGCTGCTGCCAAACTGAAACAGAAGTCAAATACGGACTTTGCGAAATGTAAGAAGTTCTTGCAAAGCTTTTTGCCATTTTCCTCGGCTTGTGCCGCCTTGGTATGGATCCGCTTCCAGACAAGAAATCGTAAACTAACATCCGATAGGACAAGAAACTGGACAAAATGACACGGATCGCAGCCGGGTCTGAGAATATGGATGTCGAAGACTGGATGCCATCGAAAATATACCTAAGCGTTCCTCTGATGTGGGACATTCTACAATTCAACTGCATGACAGACTCGCAGGAGACGCCGACAGCCGATTTGTTAGATGCATCTCTCGCCCCTAAAGTGGTCGAAGAAGATCCTGGTGACAACCACATGCTCGAGATTATTGTCGCCACATCACCAGAAATTACAATAGACACTACAGATGGAGGACAAGATGCACCGTCATTATCACGCAGAGCCCCCGTTACCTCAGCCCCTGAAACCCCTCGCACCAATGTTTGGAACGAAGCATCTTTCGAACAAATGGACACCCTGACGTACAATACTACGCCATGGCTTTACGCAGATCCCTCACAATTCGTCAGCCTGGGCGATATGGGCTGGTATGACTCCCAATCCGCCATTAACGATACCAGGGGTGCGCCCTGGTGGGAAGGAGGTACAATGAGCAATGCAATGTTCAACTAGCTGTACAATGCGCATACACTCTTCTTTGATGTCTAGCCTAGCGTTGAGTTTCTGCTGCGTAGAGCTAGCCTACGCAAACGCAAGCGATTTGGTCTCATTACACTCCTAGTACATAATTCAGCCCGTTCTGCAACCACCGTTCATTTAAGAGCCTATGCAGTCTGTCTGCAAAATATTTGTTATGTTCCAACATACCCTTTACGCGCAGAGTCTACACCCGTACCAAGATGGTTAAGCGCATAGTTGTAGCCGGGCGTAGCTGCTCAATAATATTGCTTGATAAAGGCATAAGGCGATCCCCTTACTCACGGGTCGTGCTGTATCAAACCCAGAGAACAGACGTACATCCGATCGGCATTCGACCACCCTCCACATGTTGGCGTACGAAAATGCACACATGCTGATGTGGTTGTTTCACCAGTACGTAAAAAGTGACCTGTAGAATGCCGGCCCACTCAGGTGTTGGCAAGCCGGCCTTTTTCGATGGTCGCCACTATCCTCCAGAGCATGCCACATGACGCAGCAATGGTCATGTGAATGCACGAGTAACCGACAGCCACTCTGGCACTGCGTGCCTGCATGATTCTAGGCCACTGTCGGTTGACGGGCTCGTCACAAGATGGATCTTCTGGCAGTTTTACAGGGTTTCAAGACCCGTGAGGTGTCTGTGGCAGGGTTGACATGGAGAAGCGTGTTATCAACACCAAATGCGGAGTTTGGAACCTAGTGCGGTTTCCCGGCTCCGGCCACCGACACCAATCGGGCTGCGGGACGTAGGATTCCCAGAATGGACAACCCATCCCATATAACGAGCTTTCACGGTATCTCCAATTCGGGCCTCTAGCATGCCGCTAGTGCATGGGTTTTGTTATGAGTTCATACCTCTCCATCGGGGTGTATGTCACAAGCACCTGGCTTGGTACTTCACCTTCTTTGGCTACCACATACGGTGACACCACATGCCCGGCTGGGGCTCTTTTCTATCTTTTTTATTTATTTTTTTTTCCCGGTTGAACCGAGCGTCTCGCCCTCTAATTTTATGCAAAGAAGAAGAAAATAAATTGGAGTTTAGTAAGTGCAAGAACGGGGTTGAATGCTAAAGTTACTGAGAGTCCTTGGATTCGCTCACGAACAGGGATCTGAATAATAGAGTTTCCTGTATGTGGAAGGCCCAGGATGATCAAGATAAGGCAGCGATGCTCAGAAGATTCATTTAGTGCATAATGGCCACAGAGAGTCCGCCAGATATGGGTCATGCTTCGCTGGCCGGCGGAAGGTATCCGTATGCCGATCACGTGACCGTTGCAGTATCCGGGAGACACGGACTGTAGTCTATCTTCACTATCTTCCCATCTTGACTTGGACTGACTATCTCAGCGGGGACCAGATGATAATCGTGCTTGTATTAAAATAGTCCATATATTCTGTAGTACATAGCGACAGGCTGTCCGTTGGCACCCTTTGTCAATACTCCCCAACCTCCATATCTCGTATGGGGATACACGTACATCATGACTTCCACATCAGCATCTGTTGTTATTATTGGTGCCGGGATTGTTGGTACCAACATTGCCGATGAGCTGGTCTCACGCGGCTGGAACAACATCACAGTCGTCGAACAGGGACCCTTGGGCATGCCAGGAGGATCAACTTCGCATGCGCCAGGGTTGGTATTCCAGACCAACGTCTCGAAGACTATGACCCTATTTGCACAATATACCGTGGAAAAGTTCTTGTCGTTGCAGAAAGATGGAGAGAGTTGTTTCAACCAGGTTGGTGGCCTGGAAGTGGCCACCACACTTGAGCGGCTCGAGGATCTGAAACGAAAACTTGGCTACGCCCATTCTTGGGGGATTGACGCCCAACTTGTCGGCCCTGAAGAGTGTCGCAAGCTTTACCCGTCTTTGAACCCCAGTTTGGTGCTTGGTGGGCTGCATATCCCTAGCGACGGCCTGGCCTTGGCAGCACGCGCGGTCCAGCTCCTCATTGAGCGTACAACCCAGGCTGGGGTTCGCTACCTTGGTTCAACAGCAGTAACGGGCATTGAGAAGGCTGATGGCCGTGTGACAGGGGTGGTGACATCAGACACAACAATTCCTGCCGACATTGTGATATCTTGCGCTGGCTTCTGGGGCGTCGAGATTGGAGCTATGGTCGGCCTCCCTGTCCCCTTGTTGCCAATGGCACATCAGTACGTTAAGACTACTGCTGTACCACACCACAATGCAGAGGGGGCAACAGCGAATGGAGATGCACTGCCTAACGGAGATGGAAAACTCATGAACGGAAATCTCCCCCCAAACTCAGCAATACTCCCAATCCTACGGTACCAGGACCAAGATCTCTATTACCGTGAACATGGCGACCAATACGGCATTGGATATTACGGTCATCGGCCAATGCCGGTCAATGCTGCCTCCCTGGGCAAGACTCCGGAGGACGTCAATGAGCATAAGATGCCGTCGCGACTTGATTTCACCATGGAGGACTTCGACCCAGCTTGGAAGCTGTCACAAGAACTACTCCCAGTTCTGAAGAACTGCGAGATAGCTGATGGATTTAACGGAATCTTCTCATTTACCCCTGATGGTGGCCCACTAGTTGGACAATCGCCGACTCTTGATGGGTTTTATGTGGCAGAGGCAGTATGGGTGACGCACTCCGCTGGCGTAGCACGTGCTGTAGCTGAAGTCCTCACGACGGGCAAGTCGAACATTGATCTAGCGGAGTGCGAGATATCGCGATTCGAGCAGGTCCAGCTGACCCCTGCCTACGTCAGCGAGACGTCCCAGCAGAACTTTGTCGAGGTATACGACATTTTGCACCCTCTACAACCACGGGAATCTCCCCGCAACCTGCGCGTCTCTCCGTTCTATGTTCGCCATCGCGAACTTGGGGCTTTCTTTCTCGAGGCCGGCGGTTGGGAGAGACCACACTGGTTTGAGGAGAACGCCAAGCTACTCCAAGACCTGCCATCTGAGTGGCAGCCTATTGAGCGGGACGCCTGGTCAGCTAGGTACTACTCACCAATTGCCGTGGCAGAGGCATGGAAGACACGCACGGCAGTAGCCATGTACGACATGACTCCGCTTCGTCGACTTGAAATATCAGGACCAGGGGCGGTCGATCTGCTAAAACGTTTAACCACTGGTAACGTCTCAAGGAAACCAGGCGCTGTAACATACACGTTATTGCTTAACGACTCTGGTGGCGTCCGCAGTGATATAACGGTTGCTAGAATACAGGAAGACCTTTTCCAAGTTGGTGTGAACGGACCTGTCGATACCGCCTACTTTACCCGAGAAGCTCGCCTGCAGAGTAAGCACTCCCCTGATCGGCTTGTTCAAGTCCGCGACATCACCGGCGCCACCTGTTGTATTGGTCTCTGGGGCCCTCGCGCTCGCGACGTCATCAGCATGGTCAGTGATGACGACTTTTCCAATAAAGGGCTCTCCTATTTCCGCGTTAAGAGAGCAAATGTTGGTGGTGTCCCAGTCACGGCCATGAGGCTGTCGTACGTTGGTGAGCTTGGATGGGAACTCTATGCCAGTGCTGAAAACGGACTGCGCTTGTGGGACGCTCTCTGGAAGGCGGGCCAATCTCACGGTATTATTGCTGCTGGTCGTACCGCATTCAACTCCCTACGGCTGGAGAAGGGTTTCCGATCTTGGGGCACAGATATGACCACCGAGCATGACCCATACGAGGCTGGCCTCGACTTTGCTGTCAAGGCTGACAAAGATGGATTTGTTGGGAAGGCTTCACTCGAAGGCCGCTCCAAGGAAACAGCCGCCAAGAAGCTTCGTTGCCTTACGGTGAACGATGGGAGCTCGGTGGTGCTTGGTAAGGAACCGGTGTTTTTCGACGGTAAGGCGCAGGGTTATGTCACCAGTGCAGCATTCGGGTACACTATTGGTAAGCCTATTGCGTATGCCTACTTGCCTAGCGCAGTTTGTGAAGGAAGTGTTGTGGAAATCGAGTATTTTGGCCGAAAGATCGCAGCTACAGTCACGGCGGAGCCATTGTATGACCCGCAAATGAGCCGCCTACGGGGATGAGTGTATCTGGAAGACAATAAATACAACGAGAACTAGTCAGGCGATAGGCTTAAAGGATCAAATCAGGGCTTAAAGGTTCAGGGCAGATCGCGGGTTGAAACTAGTCAAGATAGTGGTAATACGACCAGCCATATAATGAACATTATATTAAGACGATGCTGGAAAGGTCCAGCTTCATACTTCTCATGAAAAAAATGCTGGAATAAGTCGTGATAAGTACAACTTTTAGAATGACCTGTACAAGGAACCCGTAGAGAAAGTGATGAGCCGTCTTTTCACTTTAAACCAACATTACCAACGTGAGCTGGAAACGTACAGTTCCTTGGGTTTCAATCTATAGGAACAAAATATTCATTTCAGAACGGTTTACATATCTTCAATATAGCAGTGGGTGATATACAGAATGTAATCGATGATTCGACCGATGCTCTATGAGCGGTCCTTCCTTCTTTCCGACTAGTCCACAGTTCCCTCAGAAACCGCATCTGCGGACATTGCCACATAGGTGGGAAGGCTTTGCGTGTGGTGTTTCACATACATGATTGAGGCTAGGTGGCATACTTCTGCGGCCAAGCGCAGAACAGCGGTATTTGTTCATTGAAAACGATACCCATAGGTCGCTTAATGCAATCAATTTTACCAGCTCAGCATCACTCGGGTCAAGATAGTAAGGTGGACAACGCCATAGACCCTAACACAGCTTCAGGCTGATGCTTATGTTTCCCGTAAGGCACCCCATAGTAAGCCTCACTGGGGGCAAATCGAATACGATGGAATATTGTTGATTCCCAGGTCCATACGAGACTTGGACGTACATCAGCTGGAGGTAGCCGTTTCCAGTTATGAAGTGGGGCTGAAAATGTGTAATAATGGGGGCCTAGGCAGAAGCACAGCGGTACCATTGTAAACCTAGTCAAGTATTTGGAGAGATGGAAGAATATACATGCAATTACCGTCGTGTCCACTAAGACTTCTTGATCACGGACCAATTGCATCTATGCTGACAACGTTGGAGGTTGAATGCACCATTAGTTACCATTGTCGGGATGAACTCATAAAGCGGGGGTCAATCATAGCAGAGAAAATAAAACTATCAGAAACCACAAATTCGCACGATTTTACGTGGGTTGGTTGGGGTGCAATATGTCGCGAGCCCGTGGCAAAGTGCCCCAGCCTGTATGCACTTGGGTACGAGACAGGGCAGGCAGCAGCGAGTCTGCGCGCTTCGCCACGGAGATTGTCTGTTCCAACACTCACCTCACTGCCATGACATTATATTGGCCCCTTAATTGGCGTCCACCGAACTTGCGAGAGGCCCCTAGCGCTGTTGGTTGGTCATCGTCACTGGAGCTGACCCCAAGTGGACACACCGCCGTCTGGAAACAAGGCTGTGCGACGCGAAAATACCATGTATGACACAGTGTAAATTGTATCCATAAGGCGCTGGCGGGGCTTGGAAGCGGACACACGCATGCGGCCCCATCTTGGCAAACAAAATGGTGACATGCATCATTTGGTAACAAATGAGCACTAGGGAACCGTTGTGTCCGGCATCAGATCATCAATACCCCTCCGCGATCCCTGAATCCGGATGTTCGGATCGAATTTCGGATAGTATGAAAAAAAAAAAAAAGAACTATTGATCAGGACAGTCACTAAGCACGATTGGTCATGTTCTAAACATGGGCTCGAGTATTGGTACAAATAGTATTGAAATGAAAACAAGAAAAAAATCTATCAGTGTCTTGAGACTGTGAGAATCTATCGGCCCGTAATCCTACAAAATGCCCTCAAATTTAAGAGGGGACATCGGCCCTAGTGTACATGCTTCCGAGCAAGAGAAGCGAAATCCGTACTCCCACTTATTCTTACCAACCCGAAAGGAGAAAGTCCGCAACGCCATGATAAATGCAATGTGGCACACCAGCAGGGGGTAACCGGGGCCTTTGTTGGAAGTTATAACAATCTGACCGGTGACTCTTTCCCGTTCTCAGCAGCATTGGAAGCGAGACATCACTAGCGCAAGCTGGATATCAGACAGAGACCAGCCTCAGCATCTCCATGAAAGTATCGGATAGATACAATGAGGGGATACTGGGTTTCCTCTTGTCTGATCGGTAGCGAGTGTTCTGGGCTACCGGTGCAGGCATGGTCTTGCTGTAACGTGACATTTCTCTCCAAGCCCTGAGCAAATCGTCCCGGAAGCCTTCGAGGGAAGTGGCAGGGCGAACATGGTTCTTGACCATGTCTGCCCAGACTGGTATTCCGTCCTCGTAAATCATCTGTACGCGTGTGGCGATGCTAGACGTATCCTGGGCAACATGGCAGCATGCTGGCATGTAAGAGATCGCTTCCACATTCCTGGTACCTGCCATAAGAGTTGTGACTCCACTAGCTGCAGCCTCGAGAGGTGTGATCCCTAGTGTCTCATACCTCGACGGGCAAATGAAAATACCATTGTGCTGGGCAGAGGCAAAGAGAGCATACAGGTGATCCTTGGAAAGCCTCGGGAGAATAAGGAATTTTGACCGAAGCAATGGTGGGATAGACTCCATGAGAGCCTCGCGGCGATAGCTATCATTATCTGGGTCTCCAACGACCAATATTCTGACTGGTATCCCTCGCCTCAGGAGTTCCAGCCCAGATTGAACAAGAAGCTCGACATTTTTGAAGTAATCAAGACGTGCCACTGCTGTGAACAGCAAAAGTTCGGCTTCGTAAATAAAGTTTTTCATATTTTCCGGTAGAATATCGGGGCTCTCGGAAGGCGGAACTCCAATAGGCGGGCGAAGGCGCTTGAATCGCGATGCTTGTAAACCTTCATCTTGCAGTACCCGTTGCTGAAGCCCAGAGTGAGCCAGCACGGTGCCCAACCCATCTTGGAGGAGCCGTTCGACACCTGTCTGTTGTTGTTGGTCAAGAACGGCGACCTTGTTCGAGTCGCCGCCAAAGGCAAGCTTGGCAAGCTCTGGAGAGAATTCTTCAGTAAAGTGGGAGACGAATGGCCCATGGTGTGTGACGCAGAAACGGAATCCATCAGGGTGATATTGAAGAAGCGTGTCAGTCTGATAGTAGACTATAGGAGATCGTGTCTTCAACCCCCGGGCTAGCGCAAGTTGGAAAGCCTTCGCAAGTGATGGGGCGACTGTAGACTTATCCATTCTGAAGTTGAATGAGACGGTCACTACAGGCACGCCATCCCAGCTTTCCTCTTCTTGACATTGAGCGATTTCCAAATTTTCGTCTCGACTATAAAGTATTATGCCGGACAATATTCTTGCATCCCGTAAGATACGCAGGACTGAAAATGTGAAAGAGCTGGCACCGACTTGGGCTGCGGTCAGAGAGTTCCTCGGGAAATACTTCTTGTTGAGTACAACGAGACCGGGAGCGAGACGGTACTCCATCGTGCCTTCTGGGACTGGAGTGGTGGATAAGCTGGGTCTAAGTGAAAAGAGTTCCATATGTTTCGTACAATGAAAGTTATAGAGACACGTTCTAGTCTTTCTGGTGCCTGGATATCTAGTCACTTATATGGTTCATATTCTGATGCAGTGCATGGTCAACACTCGGTGTCTATGCACTGCCTTCTTTGCAACCTGCAGCCTTAAAGACTCTCGCGCCATCATGGTGCAAGGGGAGCCTACAAGCTGCAAATATGACTGGCGTATGGAAGCCATTATTCACGCCGTGGATGACTCCTGCAGGTGTACTCCTCCATTTAGAGCCTCACGGGCCGAAACCCGTGGCTGTGCCTACCTCTTACGCCGTTGAAGCCGCAAAGTGATGGCGCACAAGGGTACTCGGTTTCACCGTGGAGCAAATGGCGAAAGGAGAAATTTCTCGGTGGAGCTACTTGTCATCTTTGATTTCAGCCCTACGAGGGACAAATGTCAGATAGCGGTGACTGCGCCTCGTCCCGATTAGGTAACCTCACACTGCAGACTGCCTCGCCCACGTGGGTAGTGCTGAGCTTATGTGCATATAGGCACGTTTTTAGCCCTTCAGCTGACAACATGCGTCTTGACCGACTAAGATGACAAAATTGTGCCGTTCCCCAATTTGGTTTCATCTCTCTGTCTCCTTGAGCCGTAGCCGATGAGTGCACCAGGAAACATCCACATCGGCGTGTACGACGACCGCTGAAAGGTCCAAAAAGTGTATGGTTCGGTAATCTTCGCACCGGCTGCGCCGCGGGTCCACATCGCGAGACCACCCGGATACTGGCTAACCGAGATTCGGGGAGGTCACCAAAGACCCCGACCGAATCAAATCAGTGATCAAATGGCTCACACTCCAACATCCGGCCATGGGCGACGAAGCGGAGGGCAACTTGGTGCGATTCGTCGCCAACTTTTCAACGCCATGTCCAGTGGTCGGGTCGGAGTCGCCAAGACTACAGAGTGATTTATTCACCAATGAGAGAAACTTACGGTTACCATCAACTTGGATAGGATGCACGAAGGCTTCAATCAGTTGAATGATTCGCGGATGTGGTGGCAACCACAAATGTTGCACTGTGCGGTCTTCTACCCACGAGAATTGCCTACAGGACTGTACACTGGATGTTCACTACCTTGGAGGTCAATCCGACAGGGGCTTTTGCGGACCCATTGAGATCAGACGCTGTGTGTACGGAACTCACGAGCACGTAGATAACATGGATATTCAGTAGTCACTCCAAGTAAATTTGCCGCTAGCTCAAAGGGCGATCACCGCCGCACGAAAGAAGCCATTCCGCCGACAGGGAGGAGTTCCTATGCCAGGAAGTGGGTTTGACTTCAAGGTCCTTTGATGATTATTTTCCATTTCTTCGAAATTTGTGTCAAAGATCCCTCATTTGAATAAAGTCCAATCCATCATGACTCTGTCCACCAACTCTTGGCCCTCGCTGCCTCAAATAGTCGTATCGCATCCCTCGATCCAAAACATTGTCTCGGGCATTAGCATTGCCTTTTCCGCAGGGGTCTTTGTGTCCCTCAATCTCTTAGGGGCAGGAGGGGGCCACCCGGAGTCTGCCCATGTAATCCAAACGACAAATGCTATATTGTCGTCTGTCTGGTTTTTCTCGGCTTGCGTTGGAGGGACATATCTTAAGATGTTGGGGCCAGCGGTAACCATGTGCTTTGGGGTTTGCACCTATGCTTTATATGTTGGCTCCTTGTGGTATTACGAAGTATCTGGGCAGCAAATATTCCCGCTGGTGGGAGGTGCTGTCGTCGGGATTGGCGCAGGGGCCGTATTCATCACTTCAGGCTACATCCAAGTGGCCTATTCGGACGAAAAGAACAAAGGAAAGTTCATCGCGATCCAGAATACTCTTCAAGCCACAGGGTCAACTATCTGCAGTATTCTACCTGTCATTCTCAACAAAGATAATATGTCCCGTTCAGGAGTGCCCCCAGCGATCTATATCACATATATCACATCCATGCTCGTTGTAGCTATGTTGGCGCTACTGACACTTCGGCGACCAGCACAGGTCAAGGCTGCAGGCGTTAGCAGCACAGCGCACCACCAACTGCAATGCGATCTGCTCAGGGAGTTGAAGGCCAACCTCTCTGTATTTAAAGAATGGAAGCTTCTACTGATGCTGCCGGCCTTCTTGCCAGCTGGGTCGTTTCTGATCTACCTGGGCTCAGTGAACGCCTTCCAGAACAGTCTCCGGGCCCGCTCACTCCTATCGTTTGTGGCTCTCGTTGTGCAAGTTCCCTTCGGTCACTTGCTCCATATGATCCTCGACAAACCTGACTGGACAAAGCGCGCGCGGTCTCTTGCCGGAGTGACCTTCGTTGGCTTACCTCTGTGTATCGCTTGGGTTTGGGAGATCGCTCGCACAAGAAACATTGACAGGACCACGCCCCCGAGCGTGCCACTTGATTGGACCGACCACGAGTATGGTGCAAGCATGGTACTATTCACTTTAAATTGGACCGCCTCCATTCTTTGGCAATACATCGTTCCTTGGTTCATTGGTGCGTTGGACATTCCTCCCGAGAAGCTCAGTCACTACATGGGCGTCCAACGGGGTTTCTTTGCTGCAGGAGAGGCTATCTGTTTTGGGGTTGATGCTGCGACAATATCATATGTGGTCTTTTCAGGTGCTATATTTGCATTCTATGCTGCAGGTATCGCCGTGCTCTTTTATATTGGCGCCTACGAATTGAAAGAGATCGATAGCCATGGTTTAATCGCAACAAGGCGTCCACCAACGGACCTAGAGGCCGAAGGCTCCAACCAAGTTGAGAAAGAACGAACCGGCATATGAGGTACACACAGATAGCTAGGATAGTTTTGGAGAACGAACCCACCACTGTTTTGCTCTTGCTGCCGTCGCGGCATTAAATTATTACATTCTTGGGGTTCTGAGGGCTGTGTTTAGCAAAACTTTCATTCTCAAGCAACACTAGTATTTTTTTTCCGTCAATATCAACGATGCTTAAACATTAGGCGTACTCATTCGAGAAGGGCAGGCAAGATGCCATTAGAATCTTGGTCTAGGTAACCACCTGTTGTGGCTCCGGCACATGGATTTAGTGTCACGTACACAAACCCCCCAAGGTCTCTAGACCCCCAACAAGTCTTTTGTGTACACCTAAACAGGTAGAAAATTGCTGCGGTTTGAAGTAATATTGGTCATTACGACACACTCCATGAATGTGGCGGCGACTAGTACTTCTACAGATAGTGCTACAGCCTCCAGGTCCGGTGTTCGGCCGCCAGACGGTCGTCGGCCCCACCCCGAGATCCGGTGCAGGTGCCGAACCTTGGTCAATTTACACGTGAGGCTCATGACTAAGTGAAGTAGCCAAGTGCAACATCAGGTTTTGCTTCCGGCGGGATAAATGACTGCCGGCCTCCAAAATTGAGAGTGAATGTCAATCAAATACGGAGCAGTATTGGCAACACTTGTCAGAGTCAGCTACAAATTATTTCTATTCTCGATACCCTCAGCGAGGCGTTTGTGGGCATAATATCCTGATCATGGCATCTGGCAATGGAACCACAATCGTCAGGGCCACTGCGGAAGACATCTCAACTATCCAGGCCATGGTCATTGCTGCCTACTCGAAGTATGTCGATCGGATGGGCACACTCCCAGCGCCTATGCTGGCCAATTATTCACAACTGCTGGATACTGAGGATGTGTATGTGCTGCGTTCGGCAGTAGAGAATCAGGTCCTAGGCTCCATCATACTCGCCGCTGACGAGGGCTCGGCAGGGTCAATTAAAGTCAACAATCTCGTCGTGGATCCATCGGCTCAAGGACGTGGGTACGGTCGTATACTTATGAATTATGCAGAGCGAGAAGCTTTGTCTAGGGGGCTTTCAGCAGTGTCCTTATTCACAAACGTTAAGATGGTTGAGAATATCGGCATGTACGCCAAATTGGGCTTTATTGAGACCGACCGTAGGATCGAGGGGCCGTACGAGCGCGTTTACTTCCGAAAACATCTCGCCAATGTCCACCGCTAACCCTGAATGGTATCATACATCAGCCGTCAGCCCCAGCAACGGCCTTTCCACCAGAAATATGCGAAGCAATTACAAATTTTTCAATACCTTGTCTCCTAACTATCACGATAAAGTTTTTGCATAGAGGTCTCTGATGGCATAGTCAATAATTACATAGGTACAAGATGCTAGATTTTATTCACAGTCAATAATCAAGGGTGACTGATCCAACTATTGCAATCCACCGAACAGCTAGGCATTTAGATACTCAGAGCATACCACATCCCCATTCACGTTCATAACATCGCCTATGGTGATATTCGGGAATATCTCGGCCATATAAAGTCTGTGATTTAAAGTCGTCCAGTTGCCGTTATCCCCAAAATACTCACTGAACTCAGGCCCGCCGCCGCCCAGTCCAAACCCAGGAATCCCCGGAAACGAGCCGTTACCAGGAAAACCTGGGAATGAACCATTGCCTGGCAATCCTGGGAATGAACCATTTCCAGGAAAGCCAGGGAATGAACCGTTGCCAGGAAATCCAGGGAAGGAACCATTACCGGGGAATCCTGGGAATGTTCCATTGGGGAACCCAGATGATGGGCCGCCGGGAAAACTCCCAAAGCTAGGAGTATTGAGGCCGCCTACATCACTGAGACGCTTAGAGCTATTTCCCTTCTGCCACTCCCACCATAGTTTATCGAGCCACGAGTGGTGTAGGTAGAAGATAGGATCGCCTGGGCTCAGTGTAGGATCGCTCATCTGATTATCACAGTATCAGTACAATCTAGTGGTCCATTTACGTTGAGACTAATCTAACTTACCAAACCACCCACAGCGCCATGACCGGAGCCATGTGGTCCGGCCTCCAGGCAATTCCAGGCATCGACAAAATTGTCTAAGGCATTGCATCTCTCTCGACTTGCATTGCTAGCCAGAGTGAGGGCTAGTTCGTTGAATCTGCGAACCAGGCAGTGCGGAACGGATCGCTTGTCTTGTGTCCAACGAAGAGTCAAGTTGGCAAAGGGACCAGTCTCAATGCAACCACCGGGCCCTGTGCCGTCGCCGCCGAAGTATTCATCGCTCCAGAGTTCAGATTGAGCAAGTTTGCCGATATCTGCAGGTTCGTCCCAGTAACTACATAATATCAGTGCATAAGACCCAAGAAGGAGAGGGCCATGTAATACCTACGGGTAACGGCCTGTATAACCGCATTCGTCTCGGATAAGTCGCTCATGCGCAGTCATGTAATACCTGTGGAAAGGCAGGAATGCACCCTAGCCATTTCTTAGTAACACTTTTGATGCGCTTTTCAAAAGCATAAGAATCTTACAACGAAGTGGACAGAAGCCGTTTGAACAACATGCGGCCACTGAATATCATCCCATCTAGTAACAGCTCCAGGAATACCTAGTTTGGAGGGGGCTTTCATCAGACATAGATCGGCTTGGATATATGACTTCTTTTCCTCCTTCGTAAGGGAAGTCCTGTCTAATTTTAGCGACTGGTTAAAAACAGAGATGAGATATAGATATCTTACCATGGAACTCGTTGGCGAACTTTCGTACAGGCCGACGCACTGAAATATTCAGAGGAGTATGCCAAAGCTGCCGACACCAGTGCAGCCAAGATAACAATCTTCTGGGGTAGGGACTTCATTGTCGCTTCTGCTGTCCGAGAGTAAAACTGAGTTACGGTACCCAGAGTTAAGACGTCTGAACAAAAGAGGCAAGAAGATACGGCAATGGTCGACTCCTGCTCAAGACCAGAACTTGTCAGTTCTGAGCACGGTTTCACATCCACTGCTTTTATTGTTCGAGACGCCCCGCACAAAGCAAATACAACGTCCCATCGGGCAAATAGCAACTACACAAGGGTCTCATTACAATACGCGTTCTCGTATTCTCAGGACACAATATATAGTATTAAAACAGTGGATAATGATTCAATTGATGGCCTTAGTCATAAGCCTGATCGAATCGGCTCTTGGTAATGGAACATCATGTACACAACCTGGAGAAAACTTGCAAAGAGGTGGAAGCCGATTGGCTTCCAAAAACGGACACCCAGAGGTTAAATGCCCGGCCTGAATGAGGATGAATTGAATACTTCCCGTTCCACCCCGCATTACGCGTCAATGCAATTTGGTACTGATGCTACTGATCGCCTAGGCGTCAACTCGGTGTCCTGCCTTAATGAGATGTACTAATTTGTGTCGGCCCCGCCCCTTTCGCTGGCGTGCAGCGTCATAATATTGCCAATCGGGTTTTGTACCACGAGTGGTCACATAATGCGGCAGACACAAATAGGGCTCCAACGCGGACATAGCGCAACTCTGGGGGATCTCGTGTTATCGTGTAGGCTGTAGGCAATTGTCAAAGTTCTGCGACTATTGCGAGTGTATCTGTTATGAGGAATTTGAAGATCATGTAATGGTACTCTCTCTAAAATTGTAAGACAATGAGGGCGAGGTTGTCCATTTCCAGGTCCAGTACTGAGATGCATGGACATCAATTTCAACTCCTCTCAGAAACATATGAAACCGAGCGTTCCCTTGCTCTATATTCTTAGTGTCATGTATATCGGTCGTTGAACACTAACAAAGCCGTAGATTTTACGAGTGTTTTTGGGTTGACAGATCTGGTCCGCCAACACCCTCCGCCTGTCTTCACCAGGAGCAGTTGCGTCGCTAGGAGCGACGAAGCAAATCCCCCATGCCCAGCCAACTCAGTGTGATAACGCCTTTAATCGCTGCCACAAACCAAAGACTAGGCTGCACAGCTCCTGTTGCCTTCGATATCCAGCCACCGCAAATCGCACCAAGCAAAGTGAGCACGAAAGCGATCACTCTGCGGTTCCTTTTGCCGTTATAGGTAAACCCTGCCAGCAGTTGCTCGTCGCTGATCAAATCGCACAGCAAACTTGTGATAACCACTGTTGGAACCTCGCTTACCCCTAGCCCGCGACTATTCACGATCTGGCCGGCCGCTTGGAAACTGAGCAAAGCTACAGCAGCTAACTCAGCAAAGTCGACATCGGACGGGTGCCGGTGAGACGGGTAGGCACCATCGATGATACCACCCTGGATGATGGCAGCGGCAACGATGACAAAAAGTGTCTGTAGGAAGAAAGACGACAATACCGTCCGGCGGAGACGTGCGCCGCCGATTAGCTTGTGAAACTTGGCAAACGCGAGACAGCCTATCGTAAAGCAGCCAATAGAACACAGTGAACGTGCCCATCCAAAAGGCCTGTTATTCTGCCCAGATGTGCCCAAAGCCACGAAAATAGTGTTGCCTACGTAATTGAGTTATTAACCTATGCGAAATCTATAACATTAGAAGTCCTCATGCTTACCAGTTTGCATGGAGACGAAGGTACCGTATGCTGAAAATATCAGTGTCAGCTACAGCTTCTTGTACCTTGTCTCAGAAGTTGTAGTGCTTACCATTATACAATGTCCCATCGGTCAATCCTGTGACAAAACAACAAACGAGCAAAGGGAAATGTCCAGAGTTGGCCTCAACCTCGGCCGAAAGATGGCCAACGAGTCTTTCTTTGAGTGTCAAGGTTTCTTTCGTCTCGGGGCTAAGAGGCGGCTGGGCCTCGAGCTTCTCTTCATCGAGCATTTCGAAGCAGAGTTTGTCCTAGAAATCTTGGGTCTTGCTCTTAGTTTGAGGCTTGAGAATCACTGCTGCCTTGATCAGGACTTGGTGTTGATGAACTTCAAGAGTGTAGACATTCAAGGCTCCAAGGACAAACCTACATCCAAATACTGAAAGAGGCCTCCTAGGATGTTGACGACTTACATTTGCAGTGGTGCACCGGAACAGGATCTTACAAGTCGGAAGAGGTAGGATTATCGCCGCCTGGGCATGTTACCTCAATATCTGGGCAGAAAAACAAAAAGCGCTCCCACTGCTCCGGGTGAGTCTCCTTTGAATAGTCCGTTGCGCCGCACAGCCACGGGTTTACGATACGAGGTACCCAAGTGACTTCCGGAAATAACATCATATCTTGCACCCCCACGACGGAGCAAGTTGTTCACGGATTTAAGCGGATAGTAACGGCCAGCTTGGTATTGGTCACTACCTAGTATGTAGCGGCGGAACGGAAATCCTTGTCAGATCTCGGCGTACATATTCTGCGAGATACGCACGAATGACACCTTATACAACTGGCACGCATTGAAGGCCATAAGCTTAGCGATGTCATGCAACGGAGATGCAGGTGCCTATATCCGGTCTCAGCTGTAGCTTGGCCGACGATCACGGAAGGCCATAGAGAGCTTCGACAACTTGGCAAGGCTTAAGGCCCACTGACTGCGGGTCGCCAAGCGGATAAGCGCCCACGGCGAACCTCAAAGACAGACAAACACAACTGCCGTAAACTGTAAACAACGGGGTACTGCACAGTCGCCCATGAAGTCACGCAAGACCGGCTTCGCTCACTTGGCCGGCTCGGCATGCGTGACAAGGGCTCGGCAGAGCTGCATGGTATCCTAGGCACCGTCATCGGGATACTATGCACCGTCATCAGGGTGTGAGGCTGAGTTTGAGGGATTTATTATCTCGGCCCCTGACGCAGGTGACCAAGGGGAACATTATAAAGATTCGGCCTTCGGCCATTGACGCTAATTGTTTCTTACGTTTAAATTGGCGAATCAGGGGATAGTCGACCTAACGGCAGCTGAACGTAATGCCTGTGAGGCCTAGTAATGTTTCGTGTAAAAGGTGTTCAAGATTCGCATCCCTGGAGTATCTCATTGGCCAAGTCACTGTGGCGCACATGCATGTGTTCGCCCAACCCGGTTCGCAGCAGCTCATACCCGTTGATCCGCTTTTATGCAGACATTGGACAGGATGACAGAGAGTCAAGGGCTTATGGATCAGAGACTACTCCAGAGTCACACTGCATTTGGATGTCGAATTTGCGATTATGCAACACTAAAAGGGGCATCCCACGAGTTAGAATTGGCAATGATTGGCCATATCTGCGGCAAATTCAGTAGTAAACTAAGTGCCATCCATTTGCCAGACCTGTGCCAAGACTATAAACATGAGGCTCATGGAGCGCTTGGGTCAAAAGCTTCATGCTGCAGGCTTGAAACCCGGCTAAATTCATACTTGGTGCAAGTCACTAGACTACTCGATTAGGTTCGTGCAAATCACCAGACTACTCGATTAGGTTCGCGGCTCGGCCCGCTGGCTGAGCACTGGGCCATATCTCTGCTTGGCTCCTGTACAACCTTTAATTGGCCAAAGGACTCCTCCGCACGAGATAAATCAATACCAAGCTCCCTTAGGTTACATCGAACAGCGCTGCCAATACCCTGAAAGATCGCGACCGTGGCCCTCGTGACCGTGGCCCTCGTGTCCGCCGAGGCATGTCGAGCTCGCTGCTTTTTTCCGTAAGATAGGAGAAACTGTGAGCACCGCATGCTGCGTAATCCGTATGCGCCGGTGCGACAAGGAAGATAGCCAACTTTTGCCACGCCGAGGGGGACAGGAATGGCGAGGTAGCAAGCTAAGAGTGGGTCTATATGTCGCTGGCAGTGTCAAATGATGGAACAGGTAGTATCCATGTGGATGCCAGGCCAGAACGACAATAATCTTGTCGCGGCCGTATGATGCAACTACCTGTTTTGAGATTTTTGATACGGATTTTGACTTCTAAGTCAACATGAGGTTTTCCAGCTGTTGAAGGGTAAAATCGCCAATGTATTGCAGTAAAAAGGGATCTGTTCCGACGAAGGTAGGACGCGGATATTCACAACAACCTGTGCCAAGTCCGAGAATAGGAGAAATAAATGATAATGAGTTCCAATCTGCACCTGAATCCTCCTAAAGGGTTACATCCAATAATTTGCAAAGACTGCACATGACATTAAACCCTCTACTTTCAAGTTGATGCGATACTGCAAGTGATCGACGTCGCAAACATGAACCCTTAAGCTGTAGTATTCAGTCCGGGATAGCAGTGCAGGGCCCGCGATGGATATCAGCGCCCAATCACAATAGTAAATCAGCAACCCGGACGCCTCGGCCAAGACACAGCGGTGGTCATGATCCTTGTCACATTGGCATACATTGCCTCGAAACGTTACAACCATCACGGGAGGATCGGTGGCGACGGACTGCTTGAAGCGGCAACAGCGTGTCCTTGGGCAACCACTGATGGCGTATCGGACCTTGGCCCGAGATCATCTCCTTAACTGGTGGTATACTCTCGTTCCTCAAAGACTACGTCGATACTTGAGTCCATGCCTTCCGCGAAATTCTAGGGAGGGGTTAACCATAAATACCACGACGTCCCGCCGCCTCTTCTATCTCGACTGCTCCAAACATTCACCAACACTTTGAAAAATTTATCCCAACCTTTCAACACAATTCCATCTTTGAATATGGCTGTCTCTACAATGACACCTGTCGATCCCATCGCGAGGATGGAGACCGAATCAGCCGTCGTACTTCAGGCAGCCGCAGCAGATATGCTGACTGACCGGCTTTCTGACCAGATCAAGCATTTGCCAAGTTCGACGGCGAATGACAATATTAAAGAACAGAGTACTGTTTCTCAGAAGCCTAATCAGGTATCGGATACCTGGCTTCAGCTGAACCATGTTTCTTCCAGCGTCCAGCAGCCGATGTCAGGGGCAAAAAAGCTTAGAAAAATGCTGCTCGAAACCAACGAATTGATCGTCTGCCCTGGTGTGTATGACGGCATTTCAGCACGCACCGCACTTGAACTCGGCTTCAGTGCTATGTACATGGTAGGTGCATCATACAGTTACTACCCTAGCTTTATGCCCAAAAAGAGACAAGCTGACAGATTACATTATAGACGGGAGCTGGGACTACAGCTAGCCGTCTCGGGCAGCCAGATTTGGGTATAGCTTCCCTTAATGACATGCGCGAGACTGCAGAGACCTTGGCGAACCTTGATCCCTTCGGCGCTCCATTGATTGCAGACATGGATACAGGTTATGGAGGTGAGACCAAATCTTTAAAACCAGCTGTCTCCATATCGTACTCGTTGATTAACGCCTTACACCTTAGGTCCCATCATGGCAGCTCGTACCGTGGAGCAGTACATTAGAGCTGGCGTCGCTGGCGCGCACTTGGAAGACCAAGTATTAATGAAGCGATGTGGTCATCTAAGCGGGAAGAAGGTTGTGCCCAAGGAGGAATACATTTCTCGCATCCGGGCGGCTCACGCAGCTCGCGTCCGCCTACAGTCCGATTTCGTTTTGATCGCTCGGACCGATGCGCTCCAATCTCTTGGTTATGACGAGTGTATCTCTCGGCTGCGAGCCGCTCGTGAAGAGGGCGCTGATGTAGGCCTGCTTGAGGGCTTTACTTCCAAGGAGCAAGCTGCGCAAGCTGTGAAAGATCTGGCACCTTGGCCTCTGCTCCTGAACTCGGTTGAAAACGGCAAGAGCCCAATTATCACTGTTGAAGAGGCCCAGAAGATGGGTTTCCGCATTATGATCTTCAGCTTTGCCACCCTCGCACCGGCTTATATGGCCATTCGCGAGACTTTACTTCGCCTGAAGACTCAGGGAGTAGTCGGAACTCCAAAGGACATCACCCCTGTCAAATTGTTCGAAGTTTGTGGCCTCAAACATAGTATGGCGGTTGACATGAGCGCTGGCGGTGCTTCCTTTGCTGATGGGGTCTGATGATCAATCTCCCTGGATTTCTTAATGTGGTTGTCGTTTTCTTTGTTGGTACCCGCTTTATCTGTTCAATAGTGCTGGGCCACTTGTTTCCACTGTTTCAATTGGAGAGTCTCATGGAAGATACATGTAAAACAACAGGGCTTGTGACCTTAAGGTCGACGCAGAACCACAGAATGCAACGTTTTTTCTTTCGTATAATCTACCAAGAGTTATGACTTCACTTGTTCTGCAACCAAATACTTAGATTTTCGAAGGTACAAGTGAATATAGATTGCCCATTCACCTAAAAGTGGTGGGGTGTAGCACAATCGAGAAGGCAGATCTCCTCATACAAGGAGTGCCGACTCCAATATTGTGGGAATTTTGGCTCGGCCCTGGAAGCGCTTCCAACCAAGGACGGCCAAGAACCGGCTCCAGAATAAGCCGCGCCACGCGGATCCCGAATAATTTAGTCGGCGAACATATGGTAGGATCGTTCGTCTTGGCTGTGCCATCTTTCACGCCCAATAGTTACTCAAATTCGCCTAGGTTATAAAGCAATCAAAAGTGACGCGCCACGTACGCCGTGGCCACGCCTGTGAAGTCTGCAATCCTTCCGAACCTCGGTTATCAGCGTCGGACTCATGTCGCATTTCACTGCCGGCATTGGATCTCACTACATGATTCTAACAATCGTGCCCAATCGGCAACATTCCATAGAGAGACTGCGATGTCATGGTGTGCAGTCACGAGCTTTATGCATATGCCCGACGAGATCTTGAGATTATGCATAATTAGGTTCTCATTGGCAAAGCAGATATCGATGCCTCGCTAGAATGCACGATACGGCTCAAGTTTCCTTCTCGTCTGTCTCAATTCCCATGGCCTGATATTGACCACCAGTAAGCTCTGTTGTAGTCAAACTTCGGCGCAGCGGATGGCAATTACAGTTGGCTGTCTGGAAGTCTTGGCAAGCCAAAATTCGAACTCAACCGTTTATGCGAACCCAGAATTTCCATGTGGCAGGACAACTTCCCTTTGTCCACGACTCGTACATATGCCGCTGATTGGCCTGCACTTCTCTTCATATCTCCCAATATGTCAGATGGGTTACATGTACCAAAATGAGTTCATGAGTGTCGTTCATAATGCACTGCCTCAATCGCTTGCATCATGTAAGCTCCTTCGCTTTTAGGATGTGACCCCATATCTCGTGATTTACCCATCTGGGTAGAATCCTGCCATACGCATCGAACATTGAACCAGACAAGCGATTGTGCCAGATATTTTGTGTCGTGCGAATCACTCACTCGGGATCTCGTTGAGAATTTTCACGACTGCCAGAACTGCCAGGACGTAGCAGCACGTCTTTCAAATCATAATGAAAATTGGAGGTCCCTCGGTACCACTATTTCGACCGTATATGCCAGCAAGAGCACCAAACGAAGTTCAAGAATAACCAGTTGGACTGGCCTGGCATAATGACGCACCGATTTCGGCTATTATTGATCATAATTATATCAGAATCACATAGCGATAATACTCTCTTCCTTAGCACTTTCTGGCTGTTATACAGTTCGATAGAAACCAGGAGGAACCTGGTCTGGTGTGGCTAACATGGGCTGTGAAATTTCTTATTCTTAGTTCTTCAACCGACTTTCCGACCTCGACTGCCTCATTGTCGGATTGTTTTTCACTCTTCGCAATCTGGTGTCTTTTTCATAGTGTTCCAACCTCAACAAGGTTTCGAGAAGTCCATTAATAACCACCATTGTCACCACAAAATCATCGAGTATGCACCGACAAGGACTTGAAAACAATGTGTCCTGCTGCAAGTCGACATTCAAAAAGGGAACTAATCATTATATTTCCAATTTCACAATTTTGTACCATGGCTAACTCGAGTGGCCTCTAAAGAAGCAGCACAACCGCCAAAAGTACTACGACTACCAGACTCTATAGACGCGAGCCTGTTGCTACCGTTGCCAGAGCGCCAGTAGACCTTTCTACATAATCGAATACCTACACTACTCCAATCAGGACAGCCTCATAGTCCTGGTGGTTGGGATTATCGAGCCTACGAGTTTTGGGGCTACACGTTGACAAACAATATTCTTGGGAGGTTAAATGCGAGGCACCGGGATAAATTGAACAGGTACAATGGACGGCTATCGTGGAACTCGCTCAGCCATCGCAACCTTGCCATCCTCTGCGTGACGTTGCCTACTTTTTGTTTCTTGGTGCTGGCTGGGGAGGGAGAGCCGGCATGCCAGCCATCCCGCGTCCTGGGGTCGTCCTCACAATCGTTGCTCTCAACCTTGCCCTCGTACAGGCGCCCTAAGCCCACCTCGAACAGACGCAACCAGTCGGACTTTGGACCACGGCACGTACATGTTCCGGTAGTGGCTAGCTGGCTGGCAGGCGGGTCGGTCTGGGGCCCGGAGGTGAAACTCTGACACCTTGTGCCGCCTGTTAGCCCACTCGAAATTCTTCGGTGCGTCCACCAGGTCCGCCGAGTTGCCCGGCCTTTAGTCGTCCGTTACGGCGTCCTGGATTGTTGCGACAGTTGGGCCCATCACAGCCGCGCGGTTTGTTCTCTTCCCGCCAGAGGTGCGACTGTCCCGTCTTACAGCGCATCGCTGCGGCGTCAGCAATACCGTTGAAGTAGCCTCGTGTGGAACTCGAGTCGCTGTAGACCGTGGCGAAGTCGAAGCCGGCCATGACGACGGGGGGAGCGCCTTCCTCGCCCGGTCCACGCCGGTTTCCTCACCGAGCCTTCATGACATTGGATAGAGATGCTTCCTGCATCTAGATTGATGTGGTAAATCCTGGTCCAATCAGCCGGCCGGTCGCCCTAGTCAAGACCCGGGTACATCCCGTGCTTCATGCACCCGAGCGCCGTAAGGAGCCACTCCGCCAAGGCCTTTTCGGCAGAATCATTGAGTCTCGTTTCAAGGTACCTCTCATTATCTGGTGTGATGATGTATGTGTTACCTACCAGAATAAAGATCTTGTAGAAAATGTCACCGTGCCCTATGTAGCGATCTATAAGGTCCTTTAATTCCCGGCTATTGAAGAACCTAGTGACTTGGGTCAGGACTTCTATATCTATATCTGCAAGAAGATAAAGGCACATGTAAATCATACTTAGAGAACATCCCATAGGTATCCTCATCCAGTTGTTCCCAGATCCGAGGCATGGGAAAACAGTCGACCTCGGGCAGCATGATCCTCGCTCTCGTCCACGTCAAGATGTTCAGGTCTAAAGCCCTATTGGTGCATTTTGTATCCTGCGCAAAGATCTAGGTCATTCGGAAATCATGTTGGCGCTGCTGCGTATTCGGGGCCACCATCAGGCGCGCCCCGTTTTCTGGATGCATGGACTATACAGACATTGATTGAAGCACGTGGCTGATATACAAAATACTAGGTCAGAAATAGAACGCACTTGGTTTAGAGCCAATGGTTATTAGTAAACGGATCAAGATATGACCCCTCGAAGTGTGGTGGATGCGTCGATATCGGGATGCATTCCAGGGCTGGTAAGGACACAAACTTCCAGTCTCATCTGGGGTGTCGGCATCTGCTTTAACTAGAAATGTCGCTGTCCGTGATATTCTGGTACCAAAACTGATTGTGATGTCTGACAGGCACATAGCACCTAGGCTACCTAAAAGGTATGAAACTTTCCTTTCATCTGGTACTTCACCAAGCTAACAGAGCCAGTGCATTTGGCGGTCTCCCTGAGAATAATAGGCGCACCATCATCGGGCCATGAGAGCATTGGCCGAACTGCCTCAACAAGGTTTGACATTTGTAATATCCATCTAGTTTATGACGGGTGCATCTCTACTCGAGAAAAATCAGCACTTTTACGCAAAGGAAATCTAAAAACAGACAACTTGCGTCAAGTGCTGACCTGCTGTGTTGGATATCCCCGCAATATGAAGCTTGGTTCACGAAAACCTGCGACATGGACAGGGGATCCGGAACATGCCATTTGCGTAATCTGCATCAATAAACTTCGTTTGAATGACCCGTCTCTTCCGATACATAACCAAACCAAATGAGACGACTCATTATCTATCACACAACCCCATGATTTGTGGTCAATGATCACTCATGAAAACAATGGCAGATTCTGAGACAACTGGAAGACTTTCCGTTGGAATCATCGGTGCTGGCATTGCGGGATGTTGCCTGACGATAGGCTTACTTCGCAACCCGAAACTTAATGTGCGACTTTACGAAGCTTATCCCGATGTACGAGTGCGCGGCTCAGGGCTTGCTCTACACGGGAATGCGATACGGGCCATGGACTGCATCTCTCCAGATATCAAGAAGGCTTATTTCAAAAAATCCCACTTCATGGCAAACGAAGAAGATATCGAAATGGCGACACAATTCATACTTGCCAGTGGGGAACATTCAGGAACCCTCGTAGCTGAGTTGGGCAGAGCCAAGGGCCGGCGCACCGTCCATCGCGCCCACTTTATTCAGGGACTTCTGGAGGAGGCGATACCCCGAGACCGGGTGCACTTTGGCAAACGAATCTGCAGTATTGAAGAAGGCTAAGAGACGCATGTTGTCTGTGTTTCCTTCGTGGACGGTTCTAACGAGACCTTTGATGTTCTTTTCGGTGCGGAGGGGGTTTATAGCCGTACTCGAAAGTTCATACTTGGATCGAATCACCCCGCCACGAACCCGGTGAACCATGACGATTGGCGCGCCTTTAACACCCAGGTTTCAATGGAAGAAGCCAAGAATGTTCTTCCGCCAGAGTCTATAGACAGAGTGAGGACATTTTGCATTCCTATTGGGTTCATCAATGGTATCCCAGTCGATCTAGGCAAGACATTTAGTGTGGCTTGCTATCAAAGGGATAGCAAAAGTCCCTGTAAAGGCGACCCAAAATTCCATGCCGACCTATGGAAGGGTTTCATGCCGGCGATGGATGCACTAATATCAGTACGTTTGTATTGTAAAGCCATCACTGTATGATATTCCCCTTACGCCGTGCTAACGCTACTTTTCTCAGTTACTTGAGAAATCTCCTGAAGAGAACTGGATATTACAGGACCATGACAATGGCCCGACATATTGTAAAGGCCACGTAGGAATGATTGGTGATGCAGCGCATGCTACGTTACCCCATGCGGGACAGGGAGCGGCGCAGGCGATAGAGGACGCGGCAGTGTTAACAGGTATATTCTTGAAGGTTTCATCTATTGTTGAAGTTGAAGAAGCCTTGAGAGCATTTGATGAAATCCGCCGGCCACGAAGTCAGAAGATTGTTGATATTACCAGACGATTCGGTAGACTTTATACTCAAGAGCCGGAAGAGATTCAGGTGGAGGAGATGCGGACTGAAATGAAGGAAGGCGGTATGTACTCAAATGCGGTGGATATGCCTGGCCAGGTTAAGAATGCAATCGATGCATTCGAGCGAAGGCTGGCGGTAGAACATTGACAGGTAATGGATACTCATCGACTGTACGAGTGCCGAAAAAGTACACTCAATTGCATTTTCTTTCACTTTGAATCTTACGATCTGATCTGAATGCACAAACTTAGTAGGACTTCAATAAGGGGCACATCCGGTTCAGATTATGGTATCAAACCCCCAGCTCGACTGTAGTCACCTCGCCTCTCGCGATTCGGTCTCTCTCAGCGTCTATCAATGCCTGCGGCCTTTCTCTCTTTGTCATCTCGTCTTTTCCACAGACGAATACACTTGGGTTCCTAATGAACATAAGGTCCATGTCTTCCAATGTCCGCCGTGACGTTTCAGGATAAAAACAATATACAGTAGGAAAGTAGCTCAAGCTAATAACCGCAAATACTGTTTCATTCTATCAGCATGGCCACCTCAAGTTTAAGTAAGGAACGTACTTAGATAGAAGGCCCAGCCCAAGTTGTCAATCCCTACTTTGGTAAATTGTACCACCACAAATGCCATCAACCAGTTGGTTGCCGTAGCCGCTGCTGCACCACGCGTTCTCCACCCAAGCGAGTTGATCTCGGCAGAATAAACCCACGGTACACCGCCCCAGGTGCAACCAAAGAACACATGGTATAGAATAAACATGGAAACGGCGACCTTCCCCATCTGTTACTGTGATATTAGTAGGGACAGGGTTGTTTGATCGACACAGCACTTACAGTTGCCATTTTCGAAGGATTGTCCTGACCAGCTTTGAGGCATAGCGAGGCAATTAAATGACAAATTGCCGTCAGTACTGACCCTCCAAGCATGAGCCTGTGAACATGTTAGCCTACGCCATCAGGAGGGTGCAATCAGTCCTACTTTCGCCTTCCCACTCGATCAATAACGACCAGGCTACCAAAGGCGGAAAGCAAATAAATCGTGCCACTGATGGCTGTCAATAACCGTGACGTCTCATTGTCGTAACCAACGTTGTCTTGCAGAAGAGTAGGAAGATAAAATCCTTTGTATGCATTGTCAGTCAAGCGAAGGGGCATAAACATTCATATAAAACGGCGAAACTACCTAGTGCATTGATTCCGCTGAACTGCTGCATAAGTTGGGTCCCGGAGCTAAGTATCAGTCGCCTCAAGTTCTTAGCTTTGTCCCGGTGCATGAGTACATCCATGGCCGGTACTCTGGTCTCTCTCTCCAGCCGAATTGCTTCTTTGATGCTCCGATATTCTGATGTCGCTACTTCGTTAGGTATATCAGTCCCAGAGAATCTGGAGATGACGCTGAGTGCTTCAACTTCTCTATCTACCAGCAATAACCACCTTGGACTCTCTGGAACGAAAGCCAAAACTGGGGCGATAATGCAAGCAAATACAAGCTGAAAGCCAAGTGGAAACCGCCATTGTAGTGGGCCCGCCTGGTAATAAAGTCCGTAGCTGATCCAATTAGCAAGACAAAAACTCATGACATTGGAGCTAGCCCCGATGACAAGCAGACGTCCTCGCATGTGCGATCTCGCGCACTCTGCCAGGTAGACTGGTGACATGGTACTCGTCATGCCCATCCCAAACCCGTTGATGATGCGTCCGATGACCATCTGGGGGAGACTCCAGGAGAGAAATTGCAGCGTCGCCCCGATGAAGTTGAAGCAGTGACCGATGATGATCGTCCGTTTGCGGCCCAATTTGTCACCCAGGATGAAAGCCATGATGGCACCGAAAAAAGCGCCAAGCTGTCGTGTGGGTTAGCTTCAGCCCCCCATACATAAATTAAGGCGCTGGCGGACTCACCAGGAAACAGCTCGTTACGATCCCCGATATATTGGCATCAGCAGTTTGGGGGAAGAGCTGCTGGAAGTCTGACGACACCAGAACCCCAGCAAAAACTCCCTTCGGCGTCTATTAGCCATTGAATTATTGGTGGTCGATTACGAAGATGTCAAGCGTACCTGACAATAACCAAACCACATGGCAGACACTGCAGTCAAAGTCAATATTGACATTCAGATGGAGGTGCATCGGAGCGAGCGTACTAGCATCAATAAGTGTCACCAAAGCGATAAGCCATCCGCCATTGAGGCGTCGTGTGACGCGCGCTTGCTCTGCAATGACGGTCATGGCCATTGATGATGTTCTGGGAGGTGTATCGATGACGAGACAATCGCATGGGCGTTGTTGGAAGTCGCACAGAATTTGCGTCCTAGGCGACGATTCTGTACCGATTAAAAGGCGAAGCGGTCAACGCCTAACCAACGGCCTTCAAACACCACATGCCAGGAGTGGCAAGACGAACCACCCACCGCAAGCGTTTCGGGAGCCATAACCCCGAGATCTCCGCCGAAGCCGGATGCATCGTGATAAAGTTGCAGGTCGCACAGCGCGCGAGATTGAACGCTGACCTACGGTAATGCGCCTAAGTGGATCGGGCCCGCATTACAGGTTCAGGGTCTGGAAAGAGCCTCACATAAACCAATGAGTCAGCGAAATGGGCATACGGATCCCTGGTCGGTCAAAGTATCGACATAAAACATGCCAAATGCCAATTCATGTGTAAGGCTTGCCTTGAGCTATAGTCTAGTTTATTTCGCACGCAGCATCGTCAAGAAGCTTAGCTACATGTCCGGCGCACGCATAGACGAAGACCTTCGTATCGCACTGTGCGCGAGGGATAATGATAACCCCTTTGGCGACACAGTCTACGTTCTTTTTCGGTAATCCTTTCGTACGGCGAGATTGTGCTACGAACAAAGACAATATCATTGTTCTTGGACGTCTAAACAAGGGGCTGTTAGGACATGACCATTTCACATTTGACCTTGTTCACCTCCTCCATGTACCACGGTTTGGCCGACATTCTACATGACCAATACTAGTAAGATGTCTCTCTACGCCTTGTGTAATCAACTCTTATATGGACAATGGTATGGTAAGCTTCATCCCCGTCCGCGACAAGGGGGCTGTATATGAGAACTGGAGAGTACGGCCGAGATATAGTTCGGCGCCGGCCCGATGGACAAGTGACGACTGGTGGGCATACTGTCTCAGTAGATCAAGCAGAGGCGTAAAGCACAAACGAAATAACCAAAATTCTTCAGCTGTCAAAATCATATCAGTCAATTCATCATGTCGAAATCACAGTACAGAGAGGTTCTGTACCCGCTCGACTTTTTGCGAAAAGTCAATCCTCTTCAAGTCAAAATTCTCGCTACAATACGCAGCCATAAGGAGGAGCTTCTGGAGCACGACGCACAGTCCAGTTTACTAAAGGAGCGTAGCATTGAGTACCGGACGATAGAGGCCGAATATGCACTCACTTGCCTCGCAAGGATGAGATCCGAGGCCGTCGCTGGCTGGGATCTCGTGCAGGGGATGCCAATGTCCACAGTTAACGCTGAGCTTGAAAAGCTAGGCGTGGATGATATGCCAGATTGGGCTCTTCATGACAACCAGTATCGGAGGGGGAGACTACTGCTGGTACTGAACAAGCCTGCTTCGGACACTATAGACCTCAAAGAAAAGATCAGGGAGAACGACCGCATCCTGAACGGCAAACGTGGTTTCTACGAGCTGCTGCGGGACGTTGAAGCTCGTCACAAGCAGCTCACAAACAGCCGCCCTCTCGGCACCATCCCTGATGCTGATGCGATCGAGGAGTGTGAGGACCGCATCCAGAAACTCAACAACTCCGTCGCATGGCGTGAACAATATCTCGAGTCTTTGAAGAAAGCAGCTCAGGGAGAATTAGACCAATTAAAGGTGGCAGAAGATTGTTTGAAGGATGAAACGGACCAAAAATTGGAAGAGTGGGAGGTAATGAATGCGTTCGAGCGTGACTTTGGAGAGCTTCGAATCCAGGACTGGGTCCCTCTAGAATGAAGTGGTCTTTGAAGTTACTATGCGTAGCAATAAAGTTGAAAGACCATAACGAAAGAAATCTTTAACAAAGCTTCTGAACCGCCCTGTCATTAAGTGAAGGAGACGTCTGGGTATTATATATGGTCTTTTAACATTGTTCGAGATTGAATGTCGAGCTACGTGAGCGCATCGGCTTCCTCATGACCACCTGATGTGCGAGGAACCGGTAGCTTGGCACAGGACCCGGTCAGGTCGTCAATGCATGTTTGACCTAGTTCCCAGGTTGGACGTAGTGGGTTGTAACAAGAAGATTAACATATTGTTTGGCGAAGCCAGCGAGAAAGAGGTAGAATTTTATATTGTCAATCCCACGCAGTAAAGAGTATCAAGGTAGTTGATAACTCAACCAAGAATGATGTTTGAAAAGTGTGCTAACATTCAGCGTTAGCTGACACAGGCTGTCTGGCCAATTACATACCTCAAGCTGCCACCTGCCAGTTCTCAATCTGAAGTGTTATTCGCTGCCACTTCAATGTAGGCCCATGTGCCACACACGTGCATTACTCCACTGGTAGGCTTGAGTGTGCACAAAATCGCGCGTAGCATTGTGGTAAGTGATAGCACACGGCAGTATGGGCAACTATGCAATCACGGGAATGAATATCCCTGAAATGTGCCACCAGGATCGTTTTGATGATGTACAGTCGCTCAGTCGATTCGTCAGTGGTCACAATGACATCTGCGCACGATGCCAGGCGGTCCCGTGGGCGGAGCTAGCTTTGTCTGACCCGCCTACCAGCGACCAGGGAGTAAAGATAATGGACATCCCTGAGACACATCAGGACCTGAAAACTTCTCAATGTCGCGTTTGCCAGCTCTTGGCAACCATCAAGCAAGCTGAATATGACGACAGTGCTTGTACGCTCCTGAGATTCTGCGCCAGACCTGTCTTGCGGGATCATGTGGAAGGCATCGAGGTTCCTCAATTTGCCCAGAACGATGGGCAAGTTTTGGGCTGCGGGTTTGACAATAATTCGACTTTCACTTGGTTTCGGAAAGCTGGGTTCATTGGGATTACCCATTCGACTAGGCACGCCGAGTTTGGAATACGTCGCATCGACTTGAACAGCGCTGACTTCGACCTGGTGAAAACCGCGCTCTCAATGTGCCGGGAAACACACAATATCTTTTGCCCTTCAGGTAAAGGGACCCTTGTACCAGGGCTTAGAGTTATTGATTGCAAAAGCCTCGTTCCTGAGGTTGTCACAGCTCCACATAAATGTGAGTATGTGACATTGTCTTACGTTTGGGGCTCAGCCACATGGAATCAGTCCGAGTATCCCCCAGTCATCCGAGATGCGATGGATGCAACAGTAAGAATGGGTTTCCAATACTTGTGGGTAGATCGCTATGTAGTTTTGATTCGGAAACCCTTTTCCAGTCTCTTACTAATATTAACAGTGTATTGATCAAAACAATGAAGCGCATCGAAGCCAGCAGATAGCCTGCATGGGCGACATATACGCAAACGCCGAGCTCGCTATTATCGCGGCTTCTAAGAACCATGCCGATTATCGTCTGCCGGGAGTTGATAGTACAGCTCGTCAGGACCAGCCGCAAGTACAGATTGGCCCAGTAAAGCTACTGGAAGGACATCGGCATCCCTCGCATGAATTACTGGACACCCCATGGTCAACGCGAGGATGGACTTTACAAGAAAGCATCCTCTCCCGACGCAGAATGATCTTCTCCGATACCGAAGTCACCTTTCTGTGCAATACAATCCACTGGGCAGAATCATGGCTAAGCCCCGGGTTGGACGCGGATTTCCGAGCCAACTTGAAATTCCGGGGGCTGATCCCCTTAGCTCATAATGATAAAGCCCACGGCTTGACAATCAGATATATTGATGCCGTAAGAATAATGGAACAGTACACCAGGAGATTTCTTACATACGAATCTGACGCACTTAACGCATACCTTGGAATTATACGGCAACTAGGAAGATCTTCCATTTTCTGCCCCTGGGGTATCCCCGTCATGAAAGGTCACGTCATGCTTGATTGGTATCACACTACTGGCTTTTCAAAAAGACGTGTTATGTTTCCAAGCTGGTCATTCCTCGCGTGGGAAGGCCCCATCTTGGTCACTTTTTTTTGGGTGGTTAGACTCTCACCGGACACAGGTCGCCCTTGGCACGGTCGATGTGCCTCAGGTCCCCCTGCCCGTGGACGACGATGTCCCAGATACCGAAACGCTGATAAGTAAAGGCCAGCGCTTCTTACACATCACAGGGCCGGTACTGGATCTTCAGGTAGTCCACAGGTCCTTCACAACACAGCAAAGATTGTGACCCACTTCGCTGGAACTCTCCACTGATAAGACAACTCGGACAGCAACCATCCCACGTCCCCGCGATGGCCTATTTGTAGCTTTAAGGCTGTCTGATACAGTTCAAATGCTGATAGCCGTTGACATGGACGAAGAAGAATTCGTGCCTCCAGTCATCGGGGTGGTTCTCTACAGCTGTACCAGAGTCTTGGAGCAATCGCGAATTGGGGAGCTGTCGCTTCTCGTGCTAAAAGGAGACCATGGTGTCTATCGAAGAGTCGGGTTGATCCGTCACCGCTTCAATAAATTCATTCACCCTGGATCGCCTTCTCATATTGTGCCTGCAGTTGCCTTCACCGATACGGCTGGCGAATTGCTCGACGAGTTAGAGTGGCTGGCAGATGGCGAAGATCCGTTATGGCTAAAGGAAGCCGAGACGAGGACTGTTATAGTTGAATAGTGTCCAGCGGAATGACGGTGGACTACTACGGGTTACAATATTCAATAGCCAGATGTTCAAGTTCCTAAATACACGAGCGCCTTGAGTTTGGACAAAACTTGATGCTCTGCAAGCTTTTGGCTCACACTAACCAACAAGACTCTCCCCAACATCGGCGTATGATCTGACATGAGGGAGGTGCGCGGCACGGATCTCCGGTTTCTCATGCCAAGGAGGGTAAGCCCGCCCTATCAGCAAGCGCTGACACCTCCTTCCCCCAGGTGCGCCCTTCAGAAGGCCCTCTCGCGTACGCGACGATGGATTCCCAGCTGCATGGGCCGACGCTCCCGGCGCGGTCCGTCTCTCTCCGGATTACGCTTTTGACGAGCTTATTGTGACTGCTTGCGCTACAGTTGGACACAACCTGCAGCTTGTTCCCTCCTCCTCCTCCTTGCCCCTTACGGCACGATGGTCAACAGTGCAGAAGGCCATTCTTGGCCAGCATCCCGTGTGGTCCTTACTGAACACACCCAGGATGGACCTCAACACGCATGTACATGTGGCCATTCTATATCTGGACCGACGCGGTGCCATACTTGCGCAGCCCGTCGTAGCAGCAGCCTTGCCTAGCTATGGGTGCGGCTCACAAGCTGTCCACTGATTGCAACCGGCTAAATTGCAGCCTGTCTCTCATTGACCGCATTCGTTGTGCATTGGCGGATAAACTTTACACGACGAGACGAGAAGTTCGCATAGTCCTACAGCTGCCGTACGTAAGGGGGACTGGATGCCACGAGTTATGGCGGGCGGACTTGTGGTTCTATAAAGGCCGCTCTCGTCCTGATATGCAGTTGGGGGATTCAAAAGACCGGTGTTATATGACACTTACACATTGGCGCAAGGACCTAAACAGCTTCAACGCGGACGATTCTTGCTATCGTAGATTAAGATGGCTTCTATCTGTCGCATCATCGGATTGGCTGCCATGGCGACGGCAGCACGAGCACACTGTGAGGTTGTCTGTATGCATCCAGGAACTCATGAGCTAACATATCTTTCCAGTCACCTTCTTGCGCATAGCCGTGAACGGCGAATGGCAAACCCCAACACGCTTCATCCGGTATGTACCCACCCCCTTACATCCTGACGAACCCATACTCCACGCGCCAGCATAGGCTCTGACACCAGCCAGCAACAAGACGGCCCCCTTCGAGGAGATCTCGACGCCCAACACGAACGTCAACACACGCCTGTTCAACGACCCGACGTACGCGACCGACATCCGAGCGTCGACGCGCTGCGGGCGCGACAACATGGCGCACGCGGCCGACACCGAGGTTCTGACGATCCGGGCGGGCGACACCGTCGAGTTCGCGCACCAGCGGTACGAGCCGGCCGCCTGGACCGACGCCATGTGGGACAACTGCCCGGACGGCCGGGGGAGCTGCAATCCGGCGCGGGCGGACGTGAGTGCTGCTGCTTACTCTTGGCCTTCACTCGATCGGTTGTCCGATAAGAAGAGCGATGTAGCTGATCACACGGGAGGCAGGGCGTGATGGACATCAACCACGAAGGCCCCGTAATCGCACACCTCTCGCAAGTGCCCGAGGGCCTCGATGTCACAGCCTACGACGGTTCCGGGGAGTGGGTCAAGATTTTTACCTTGGGAATGGAGTGGCGGGCAGACCAGACGGAGCCCATCCACTGGCTTGCCTACAACAAGGAAGGTAGCGGCCAGGGGTGGCCGGGAAGAGTACAAATCTCGTCCGGCTCAGAGCCTGAAAGAAATGCTGACGAGGAGTCACAGTTCATGTTCAAGATTCCGGCACAGACGCCCGCCGGACAGTACCTTCTGCGCATGGACGAGATCAACACCGGGCTCGAGGAGCATAACGAGGCATTCAACTCGTCCTCGCCGGCCCAACTGTATCCCAGCTGCGCGCAGATCCAGGTCGAGAGCGATTACAGTGGAGACTTGCCCAGGGGCATCCCCATCCCCGAGTCGTTCTCGCACACTTCTCCAGGTAAGATGGCACCCGGGATGTAATTACTTGTTGACGCATCAGACCGAGTGCTGATCATCTCATGACAGGGATGGCTATTACGCTCAATATGTACAGGGACAAGAAGATTGATGAGGGCTATGTGTATCCCGGTGGACCGCTTTGGGATGGCACCACGCTGGTCCAGGACAAGCCTGCGGCGTAGAATGCATTGGCGGGGATGTAGGTCTACTCGAAGCCAGAGCTCGGCATTGATTTCTGGCGAAAGCAGGCGGGTCGCCAATTGGGACGATGGCAAGTCAGGTCTTCGGCTACTCCGAGACTATAGCAGTGATTCCGAGTGCGGTAGTTGACTTGAGCTATTGAATTACAATCATAAAATCGAGCTCAAATCCACGTCCACTTCATCAGGTGTTGGTGGGCGCGGGCGGTGTACGGGAATGAGGGCCGTACGATTTTTATGCTTCAGCCCTCGCCGATGCCGCACACCATTGACGTGTTTAGCCCACTGCTCCTCAGTCTGCAGAGTCATGTTACAGACGTCACAGAGCTTCGCCTCTAGCTTCGGCTTTGGAGTCGTTGCGGCGTCCAGGAACGCCGATAGGACGTCTCTCGCCGTGGCGGAGACGGTCATGGGCTCAGGAAGATCCGACCCATCAAGGTAGGCTTGGACGATATCCGCACCGGGTGACAGCACGCCGTCCGAGAACATATTTGCATCGGTGCTGTCAAGGAGGTACATGAACCGCATGGCATCGCTCTTGCTGAGCTCCGGGATGGTCTTGGTGCGTAGCCATCTTAGCTGATACCTGGCATACTGCCTCGTTGCAATCTTCATGAGCTCCATGCCCTGGGCTTCGAGTTTTTCCAGGTCACCGGGTATGGGCTCTTGCTTCTCGGCGTCGAGAAAGGCTTCGAATTGCTTGAAGCCGATGGTTTGCCAGATCCCGCGGGTGCGGTCGACCTCCTCACCCGCAGCCTCGCGGTCTCGTAGGTGGCGATGTAGCTGCCGCACTTCGTCGAGCAAGCCGTGCTGCCTCATCTTGTCTACGCGCTTGTCGAGCCGCTCCTTCAACACGTCCGGGCTTGAGTAGACCCAGAGCATGAGGGCATCCCATGGACTTTCTGCACCTTCTTGCGCAGACTTGGCCGCCTGCTGCTCGGCGTAGATGTCGGACGCCTTCCTGCCTGTGGTGAGAAAGATCTCGAGAGACCGCCTGATCTTGCGGCGGTCGTCGGGATGCCAACGAGCGGCCATGACAGGGTCCGCCTCGCGCAGGCGCTTGAGGATCAGGTCTGTTGGGCCATCCAGGATGGGGTGCTCGGTCTCTATACCGGCCTGAGGGACGTGTGCAGACTGGCCATCTCGGTCGGGGGACTCTATCAGGTTGTTGGCGAACAACAGCGAACTGAGATAGTAGTGTGTACCGCCGACGACAATGGGCAGCTTCCCCCTACTGCGAATTTCCTGGATGAGCTTGGTAGCCTCCCTGACAAAGACCCCGTTGGTCCATGTCGGCTGGTCCAGGTCAACGGTTGCGAGGAGGTGATGTGGGATGCCGCGCTGCTCTTCTGGCGAGATCTGATTGGTGATGATGGGGAGGCCCCTGTACATTTGCATGGCATCCGCATTGATGATCTCGCCGTTGAAGCGGACTGCGAGATCTACGGCCAGCTGTCATATGGGTCAATAACGGAACGTGGTTTTGGTTGAAAGCTGCGGGGAGAACGGGTTGACTCACATCAGACTTGCCGGTGCCGGTGGTGCCCATGATGGCCACGAGGGGCTCCTTTGGGCGGGTTTTGTGAGTGGACATATTGGCAGCATGGCGGACGATGACTCTGGGTAGGGCAGGAACAGATGCACGTGTCCGCGAGAATGAGTGCATCAAGGTAGAGAAGCTTCAGGAAGATGATGCGGCTAGAGACAGATATGCACTATGGAATTGCACATCTGGCCGCGATGCATACATAGTCTCTTGACGTCTTTCGTGTTCTGAACACACGTCGCCCTCGATCCCGCCCAAGGACCAGGTCGGCAGACTGACAAGACAGGCCGAGCGGCCAGGGGTCCGAGATGTGGCTTGGCCGGATGGATGTCTGAACCCCAACCCAACCTTGGAAGCTCAAAACGCAGGGTGCGGGACACAGTTGCAGAAAGAGAGGCTCTGCAGCCAATCGGACGGGGGATGACGGATGGCCCTGAGGTCTTTCGGGTCTTTGGGGTCTCGGGGTCTTGTGGTGTCTGTAGCATCCATGGATGCGGCTGAAGCCAAAAGGCCAGGCCCGCCCAGAAGCCTCAAGCCTGAAGCCCGCCCGTCCACCCAAGGCCCCGGCACGGATTAACAGGCTCAGCAGCTGGGCACTGGGGGGGCATTGGGGCACTGAGGCACCAGGTAATCTCCGCCATACACCACAACAGAACGGAAAAAAAAGGGTCCACATCCAGTATGCAGTAACTTAGGCCCAGGTGTTCAGTGGATACCTTGGGGTACGAGTCACGTGTGTGCCCGCCCTCGAGGCCCGCCCTAGAAAGGGGACACATCGTCAATTGGGAGGCCGAGCGACGGGGGTGCCAATTGGCTGCCTTTTTCCTTTGCTTTCCTTCGATTTGATGCCAGATCTTTTTGTCTGTCTCCCCGTCCCAGTCCCAGTCCCGTAATAAGGAGAGCCAGCGCGACGTAGCCTCTCCCTTTCTCCTCCTCCTGCTCCCCCATTCCCTCCTTACACCCAACCGTCGGATCGCGACCTCTCAACTCTCCTCGGTGGGATTTGTGTCGCTTCTGGTCCATCTTCTTCTCTTCCATCTTTTTCTTTCCCCCTCCTAATCTTTGAGACAGACACTGCGCGACCATGTCAAGCTGTAAGTTGCACGCCCACGCCCACACCCACGCCCACGCCCACATCCACATCCACGCAGCCCCCAGGCCCGTCGTGGCCAGGCCAGACGCCCATCGCCATGCGGCCTCCAGAGCTCGCAGCGTCGGCCTGGAGCTCTGCCGTCCCCGTCTCTACCCTGCCGCTGCCCATTGAGGTCCATCGCCAGCTAACCCGTGTCTCTCCCGCCCTCCAGTGCGCTTCCTCGACCTCGTCAAGCCCTTCGTGGCTTTCCTGCCCGAGGTGCAGCAGCCCGAGACCAAGGTCCCCTTCAACCAGAAGTTGATGTGGACCGGTCTCACCCTCCTGATCTTCCTGGTCATGAGCCAGATGCCCCTCTACGGCATCGTCTCGTCCGACACCTCCGACCCGCTGTACTGGCTGCGCATGATGATGGCGAGTAACCGCGGCACCCTCATGGAGCTGGGTATCACCCCCATCATCACCTCCGGTATGGTCTTCCAGCTCCTCGCTGGCACCCACATGATCGATGTCAACCTCGACCTCAAGTCGGACCGCGAGCTGTACCAGACCGCCCAGAAGCTGTTTGCCTTCATCCTCTCCGCCGGTACCGCCACTGTCTACGTCTTCAGCGGCCTCTACGGTCCCCCCGGCGACCTGGGCGCCGGCATCGTCTTCCTGCTTGTTCTCCAGCTGGTTGTCGCGGGCATGATCGTCATCCTGCTCGACGAGCTCCTCCAGAAGGGCTACGGTCTCGGCAGCGGTATCTCGCTCTTCATTGCCACCAACATCTGCGAGTCCATCATGTGGAAGGCCTTCTCGCCCACCTCGATCAACACCGGCCGTGGCCCCGAGTTCGAGGGTGCCGTCATCGCCCTCTTCCACCTGCTGATGACCTGGCCCAACAAGCAGCGCGCTCTGCAGGAGGCTTTCTACCGACAGAACCTCCCCAACATCATGAACCTCCTCGCCACTCTGGCCGTCTTCGCCGCTGTCATCTACCTCCAGGGCTTCCGCGTCGAGATCCCCGTCAAGTCCAACCGCCAGCGTGGTGCTCGTGGCTCCTACCCCGTCCGTCTGTTCTACACCTCCAACATGCCCATCATGTTGCAGTCGGCCCTGTCCTCCAACATCTTCCTGATCAGCCAGATGCTGTACTCGCGCTTCTCTGAGAACCTGCTCGTCCGTCTCTTCGGTGTCTGGGAGGCCAAGGACGGCTCCGCCCAGCTCTCGGCCGTCTCTGGTCTCGCCTACTACATGTCGCCCCCCTTGAACTTCAAGGATGCTCTCCTCGACCCCATCCACACGACCGTCTACATCGCCTACATGCTTACCGCCTGTGCCATCTTCTCCAAGACCTGGATCGAGGTGTCCGGCTCCAGCCCCCGCGATGTTGCCAAGCAGCTCAAGGACCAGGGTCTCGTCATGGCTGGTCACCGTGACCAGAGCATGTACAGGGAGCTCAAGCGCATCATCCCCACTGCTGCCGCCTTCGGCGGTGCCTGCATTGGTGCGCTCTCCGTCGCCAGTGATCTCATGGGAGCCCTCGGCTCCGGCACTGGTACCCTCCTCGCTGTCACGTCAGTATCCCCTTTTTCTTCCTCAAATCGATTGCCAGTAACTAACGTACCCCCAGCATCATCTACGGATACTTCGAAATCGCAGCGAAAGAGGGCGACCTCGCAGGCATGAAGGGCATGATCATGGGCTAGATAGCTTATCTCTTGCCAATCATCCGACACCATACACATCCTTAGACCGGGAGGACGCGTCACAAAAATCGATGGAGGGCCATCGAGTGTAAAATGTTCCAAGCGACAAATAAAAGTGCATTTTGGGAGGGAGAAGGAAAAAGCGAGCAATGGTGGCTTCTAATCTCGATTCCGGCTCGACCCATCGTGATGTGTTACAGCGCACGGCAGGGCAAGGTGTATCTATCTACTTGTTTACAAAACCCAAATACGGGATATCAATGACGTGTACAATACAAACCGTGGCTCCCGCTCCTGCTCTCCCGCTCTCTTGTGTGTCCTTTACCTAAATATACAGGGCGACTTCCCCGTGGAGCAGCCTCAAGTGGCACAGGGTCCCGCACAAGTTCCAGTACATGCTGCGGACCGCCTCGCAGCTCTCCTCCCACTCCTGCTCGTCCGACGCGCTCCACGCGTCGCTGTCGGCCCCTGGTCGTTGGCTTCGCGGCAGCGTCACGATGCGCGCCGCGCACTGCTCCACCACGTAGACCGACTCCTTGAGGTAGTTGAGCGTCCGCGCTACGTGGTGAGGCACCTCGCGCGTGGCGGGGCCGTGAGCGGTGCTCTGGGTGTCGCCGGGCCGCTCTTGGTGCCGGGCTGGTGATGGCGGTAAGGGGAACCTGGAAAGGGGGAGGCCCATAGTTGGTGTGATTTTGTTTCAGTCAAGGTCTTCTCAATAGTGTTATGTTGCGGGTAGGTAGAGGAAGCTCTTCGCTTGCTTGCGTCTTCAGGAACTGGTGGGCCGTGGGTTGTGAGTTGGACATCAAGAGGTGGCATACAATACGGTAGCTCGTGATCGCAAATTTCGTATACCTGTAGTGTCGGTTTCGATTCAGCGCGGAGAGTCCGCATCATCATCGAGGAGCACTACATAATTCACTGTTCCAGAACCCATCCGTCCCGCTGCTTCCCCCTCTGCCTTCCTATATCCCGCCCAGCAATCCTCCGACTTGGGCCAATCTTGGCTTCTGGTAACCTGAGGGAACGGGTGAAGCCACTCCGGCCCACCCGCTCTGCTGGTGTTATTCTCAGCTTGCAGACCCCTTTTAGCCAATTTCATTTGATATGCCGGGATTTTTTTGCCATTTGAGGTTGCCTATTTCCGCCCGACTTCTGTCCAGCCTTTACCTTTTGGACCTCTGCTAGCAGAAGAGGAAGTTTGACCGAGGCATCTTCAACCTCCCTCCTTAGAGAAACGGACTTAAATCCAGGGGAAGATCGATCTCTATCAAGGATGGCGACCCCCTCCATTATTCGCTGTACCTTCTCTTCCAAGTCGGGGTTGCGCTTCAAGGATTTCTCGATCATGCTAGAATTCCCGTCGACCGTAGCTGGCTGTGTTGGGGAATATGTGCTGCTCTGACCTGCGGCAGGACATTGTTGCTTTTGTTCGTCGTTCGGCTTGGTTAATGTGTAGATCTGATGATGTGCAGAGAATCAAAGATTGGGTCTGACTTCATACGGTGGAAAACCACGCTTTTATAATCATGTTATATATGTCTTTCATTAGCAGATCCACGTGAGTTGGAGCATTGCAGTCCAGTCACGAGATTCCTCGACATGACACGTGAGTTGCAATCGACAATGTTGGTCGATTTCCTTTGATAACATGGGTCATGTGGTAAAGAGGAGTTGGTCTGTAGCAGCCATCGCTTGCGTGATACCGTGTGATGCAGTCCATATTCCAACTTTCGATTATTTGAATGTGATTGAAAGCTTGATATCGGACTACCTTACAATATGTTCTTAAAAGTGACTGCCAAAATTATTATCCATGCATATTTGGTAGGCTGGCGTCGTCCATAAGAGGTTCCCTTTGTCCTTCACCGGAACAAAGCCTATTTCAGAAGACAATGGATTTTGTTGGTGAAACAAGGGGACAAGGAGACACATGCTCACATCTCATCCACTTCCCTTCTTTGATCTGAGTCCACAATGGCTGCGTCGGTGGCATCAGTCACTATCAGAAGTTTCGGTTCCGCATCATCTAATGCAGCCACTCGGAAAGCGTTAACAGCAATCTTGCGCACTAACAAGCGTGAATATCTGCAATATCTGTAACAATGCTACCGCTGGTGACCGACATAAACTTATCACTTCAATCGACGGGATGTCGCACCAGTCAGATACAACTACCACGGCATCCATCGGGTCACCCGACAACAGCAAAGGATTCGAATCTAGGTTTGAGGTCCTGGGTACTGTCCGATATGAGGACGAGGATGTTGAGCACTACAAGTTCGGCGGCTTTCAACCCGCACACATGGGTGACAAGTTCGGAGGCAGATTCGAGATAGTCCACAAACTCAGTTACGGGGGTATAGCAATAGTCTGGCTTTGCAGGGACCACCACAAGACCCGGTGGGGTGCTAGAAAGATTATTGCAGCAAACAGATCCGGTGATGACTGCCCAGAGATGAAGGTAGAGGAGATGTTCAAAGCAAAATGAGTCAGCCAAGCGGAGGCATACAAGAACCATGTTCTTATACCGGAGGAACTCTTCTATATCAACGGCCAAAATTGGCTCCATCTATGTCTGGCCTTCCCTTTGCTCGGCCCAGCGCTTCATTCCTGGATTCGCTGGAATCGAGGAGAGCTGGATAAGATTAAGTCTTTTTGCTACCAAATGACCAAGGGCATGGCCTTCTTACATTGCAAGGGCATTTGCCATGGTGACTTCCGGCCGGCAAATATCCTCCTGAAGCTCGGGGATCTTGGTGATCCGACAGAGGAGGAGACGATTGAGCTCTCGGACCCTCCGTAAACCGGGGGCGTGGAAACCTACGATGGCAAAATCCCCAGACTACATGCTCCAGAGTACGTCGTGCAGCCGGGCTGTTGGGATCCAGGTAGCGCCGATACTCTACGAAATCATCATTCTAGATTTCGGAGAAGCATATGATGTGTCAGAACCGCCTAATAATCTTGGGATACCGAGAGGCTACGCGACTCCTGAAATTACCTTTGACGGAAACCCGAGACTGGCGAGTGATACCTGGTCTTTAGCCTGCAGCATGGTAGGCCTTCATTGCTCCCTTCCATTTACCAGCCGTAGCCGGGAAATTGGTACTTGTCTCGAGATGAACTGCGGTCCCTTGCCCGTTGAGCACCGGCCAGCATTTCTTCGCATGATCTCTAAAACTGGCCCATCGGCCTATAAATGAGACTCGAGTCGTTCTAAATCCACTTCTCAAGATTCTGGAGAGGAATGTTGGACTCGCCCACTGTCTCTTGAGCCAATTTCAGCTTCCGCATCCGAGCTTGCCAATAAGGTGTCAGACGATGTCAAAGGCACAGGATACTCACATCCAATATCTGCCAACTTGGCAAAGCCAAATCTTCTCTGATGTCTTGAACAGGATCCGAGGTGCAGGAGAGATGGGATTTACAGATATCCAGAGGAGGTCGTTCAAGCACTCACCGACATCGCGTTGAGTGTTTTTAAATATGAGCCTTCTGAGCGAGCTACACCTGGTCAGCTATTACGTCACGCCTGGTTCACTGAGGGGGAGCAGGCTTCAAACGCAGTGGGTTTTCTTCTCCCACGATTCTGGGATTTGTTATCATTTTCGACCCCTGGGTATTGATGGCTGAGCCAGTCTATGTGTCGAATATACAGAAGCTTAGCTGCGATCAGAATTGCACAATATGGGGCACACATGCTGTAAAGACTGAACCTCGCCCTCTTAGTTGGAGGAGGGACAAGGGCTTAATTGTATCTGGATCCACCGTGGCAGAGTCTCGGAATCCAATTATAAATAGAGGTCTGCCCTGACACACTGATTTCATTTAGTTGAAGGCTCATAATGTTTGACTACAGTGGGTGGGGGGATGGGAGCTAAACTGCATAACCAAACGGCTAGTAAATCTTCGTGCGTGGGTTTAATGAGGATCCTCAGTGTCATGGTGGCGTGAGATCAGGTACATTCTGAAGTACACAATATGGAAAAATAGACCGTTGCTATTTTTGAACTTGTTTTTAGAGATAGAACTTGCTTTGCAGAAAATCCATTTTTTTTGCCCTGTGACGAAGAGTAATCAATGCAGTAAGTTATGATGCAACACTGCATCAGAGTCATCCTCGACTTATAATTGTATCTGTAAGTTTATACGCGAAGCTGTAACTGTATTGCTTCATAAATGGCATGGTCTGTTATGTATAACCCGACTTGCCCTCCACTACTCCATATGCTCCGCCATCCTTGCCAAACATTTCCCGCAAGTCGCCGGCAAGCTCCTTCGGGGTCTCGAAAGCGGCAAAGTGGCCGCCATGGTCATACGCCTTGTTGAACACTAGGTTACCCAACGTCTTGTTCCACAGTGCCGGACGCACAACCAATTCCTTCGGAAACTTGGTGCAGCCGATTTTGATGTCCTTCAAATACGCAGACCTAACGAGCGCCCGGGTCTCGTCCTTGGTGTGCAAAGTGTCGTAGTACACCCAGAGCGACGCGAGAGGACCTGGCGTGCTGAACCAGTAGATGCTGATCCACTTGCAGACCTCGTACTCTGTCCACGGGTAGTCATCCGTCCAGTCATGGAGCTTCTCGTAGATCCACGCCAGCAGCCCAACAGGGGAGTCTGTCAAGCTGTACCCAAGTGTCTGGGGCTTGGTTGCGTGTTCTAAATAGTACCCTCGACCTTCCTTTTCAAACCACTGCGACCGTTCAAATCCCTTAAGCTCCGCTTCAGTCCGGGGCGTCTCCTGGTAGATCTTGGCAAGCTCCGGGAAGTGCGTCTCGCTGGGTTCCTCAGGCTGAGGGAAGTTGTAGTGGCTGGCCTTGCAGTTCTGAGGGTACAGATACCCGAGATATCTTGTGACAGCATATCCGATGTCGCCGCCTTGAGTCACATACTCAGTGTAGCCAAGTACGTCCACCATAAGTTTCTGAAAGACCTCGGCTGTCTGGCGTGACCCAAAGCCAGGCTGCCGGACAATGGACGAGAATCCATAATTGGGCATGGACGGGGCAATCACATCAAATGACGGATGATCCTTTCCACCATCGAGCAGCAATGGGAGCATTTTCTGTATCTCATCGAAGCTTCCGGGCCATCCGTGACAGAAAAGCAGTGGGATTGCGCCTGGGTTGGGGCTCTTAGCGTGGACGAAATGCAAGTCAATATCATCAAACCCGTCGAGCTTGATAGTGGTCGTGTATTGAGGCAATTCGTTCAACTCGGCCTCCGCCTTGCGCCAGTCGAACGAGTCGTGCCAGTACTTGGCGATCCGTTTGACGTCCTGGAGAGGGGCGCCATAAGCCCATCCAGAACCCTCAAGCTCATCAGGGAAGTCTGCGGCCGCAAGCTTCGCCTTGAGACGGTCAAGCTTGGCTTGGGGAATGCTGATCTTGTAGGGTTTTACTGCGGACATGTTGCTCTTTGATACAATAGGACGGAATTCAGGCAAGAAGTAGTGTAGTAGCCTAGCTACCTAGGTAGATGGTTGAATGTCACGCCGGCGCAAGGTCCGGCAATTGCCGTGCGGGTGGCATCGCGGGGCTTTCAGGTGCTCCCTGTCAGGGATGTATCGAAAGTGGGGCTGCTGAGCAACAGTATTCCGTGAATGTCTGACCCTTATAGACACATAAGGCCAGGCTAAACTGACTCGTCCCCCCAGAAACTCACAGATTTTGGGCTAGCTGGAACACTCAATGCATGCCTACGTAGTTGCCCTCTAATCGGTCTTCGTGACATATTTTCTTGTCTCTATCGGCTATCTTGCGTGCTGAATACGTGGGGCAAACATCTGGTCTGACTACAGCAACACCCAGTCACGCTGGAAAGTATTCGCAACTGCCAACTCATAGTATTCATGTATCGGCTTGAATCGGAAACAGCTTTACTTTGATGCCAAACAGACCACATTATGCTCAGCTTCGGTAGGTAACAGAACACTATGGCGGACTTCACTGACTTGCATGCACAGACACATTGCGCGACGGACCGATTTCGGCTAGCGTCGTGCGCATATAACTAGCGTAATACCAAATTTTTGAGAAGCAAACTTCGCCCTTGCCTTCCAAGTCACAAGCCAGAGCACAGTTGCGAACAGCTCCTTCGCAATGGAACCCGAGGGAAGACAGGTAGTGGACAGAGGCGGCTCTCCTGCTGCGGACGAGACCTCGCCCCTCTTGCAGCAGCGTGCCGACGAGTCTGCCTCTCCCTCGCTGGCCGAGAAGTCGGAGCTCTGGCTTCTGCTGGAGTATTCGCTTCCACTTATCGCCACCTATTTCCTCCAGTACTCCTTCACTGTCATCACGACGCTCGTCGCCGGGCATCTCAGCTCCGATGATCTCGCGGCCACCAGTATAGGCCTGACGACCGTGAACATCATTGGACTGGCTACCTTTGAGGGAATGGCAACCGCGCTCGACACGCTCTGTGCCCAATCATACGGCTCGGGCAACTTCCACGGCGTCGGTCTGCATGTTCAACGCATGCTGGTGCTCATGACTCTTGCTCTTATTCCAATTGGCTCGGTTTGGATCTGCTCCCCATGGATTCTCCCGCTGTTTGTCAAGCAAGAGCATCTCGCCCTCAAGGCCGGTTCTTTCCTTCGCGTGAGCTTGGTCGGTCTCCCCGGATACGCCTCCTTCGAAGCATTGAAGCGCTTTCTTCAAGCTCAAGGTGACTGCAATGCGGGCTTGGTTGTCTTGATCTTGTGCACGCCAGTCAATGCTTTCCTCAGTTGGCTATTCGCATTCAAGTTAGGAATGGGACTTGAGGGAGCCGCCCTGGGCGCTGCACTTGCGAACGACCTTCGCCCTATCCTCCTGATCCTTTACATCAAGTTCTTCGCGAAGTGGTCACATCGGTGCTGGGGTGGTTTCTCCCGTGATGCCTTCAAGAATTGGGGCCAAATGCTCCGGCTCTCAACCGCTGGTTCCGTCGTAAATCTAGGGGAGTGGTTTGCCTTTGAAGTTGTCACCTTCAGCACCTCTTACATCAGCGTCGAGCACCTGGCTGCTCAAACGATTTTGACGACTCTGTCTGTTGTCATGTGGCACATACCTTTCTCGGTCAGCGTTGCCATTAGTATTCGGATAGGTCATCTCATTGGCGCCGGACAGGTGGCGCCAGCTCGGCGAGCTGCCGCATTATATGCGGGAGTTTTCACTATGATCGGCATCGTTGACGCAGTTGTGATGGTCTTGCTGAGGAACGAACTTCCTAAGATCATATCAGACGATACATATGTTCGCACCATTGCTACGGAGGCCATGGTGACGGTTGCTGCGTCCCACATTTTCGACTCCATCAACTGTGGTGCCAATGGAATGCTTCGTGGCCTAGGACGACAATCCGTCGCGGCCTGGATAATCTTCCCCGTGAACTACCTTGGCGCAGTGCCGTTGGCAATCTGGCTCGAACTGGGTTCTCCTGCTTTGCAATTACACGGGGTTTGGGTTGGGCTCGCGATCGGATTAATCGTCACAGCTGCTACTGAGTGCGTGTACATGAAGATAATACGATGGCAGGATTGCGTGGAAAGTGCCAAGGCTGAGGCTATGTAGTCACTGTCATACTAGACTATCCTAGACCTACGAGACGGGATCTATACGGTTTGCCATCTGCTATGTTGCTTTGTATTCTGATTTTCACAGACGTTTAATTGCCAATGTCTTGCATGCCTATATCGTACTGATGACCAGAGCCCAACAGTCGACAGCCTAACGAGCACCATGGACGGCGGCTACTTCTATTGCTTAGCCTTGTCGCGGCCATAAGTGGTAGCACAACCTGTCTCGACACGATGTAGTATAGTGTCTTTGCTCACGCCCTCATTTTCGAGGAGGTCCATCATGGAAAAAAGTCCATGTGCTCTAGCTGTTGCCATGGCCCAACCGCCAGTTTTGGGGGTATTAAGCTCCGCACCATGTTGCCGTAGTAAATTAAATAAGTCATCTCATTCTTTGAATACGGCTATGACGATGGGAGGTGGACACCCTGCGTTGATATCCACATTGCAATCCAGGAACAGTTTTGCCATGGGAATGCTACCTGCCCATATTGATGCCAGAAGTGGAGGTTTGCCTGGAGGATGGAGGGAAAGACCTGCGCCAGCATCGATGAGAATTTGCACAATCGTTTCGTGGTGGCTCCTAATGGCAGCGTGTAACGGGTAGCCAAAATGCTCAACAATAGCATGGTTGTTCAGAGAGGCCCCCTTTCTGATAAAGTGGTGTACCATATCTAATCTTCTAGCGACCGCGCTGTGCCACAGCCAGGCAGCCAGGCAGCCAGGCTCTCATGGCTCCCAAGTGTAGGGCTAAGCATACCAGAGTTTTCAAATGTAAGGTTGGGCGCTGAATGCTCAGGACCCAGTATAGATGCAGTTCGTTCGAAGGTGTCAGGTTACTGGATACTATAAAGTGATTCTTTGAGTTATGTACGCAAGCTTGGTGTCTCGGATAAGTCGATTGGTTTCAGGCTAAGCCCCAACTCCAGAATAGTCTTCTGGCCGTGCTTATATCCAGCTTGAATTAGTCACGACTGGGAGCCGTAACCCTGGTTCTTTTGATTGGGGTTGTTTAACACAAGGAACTCGAACAAGTCTAAGTTCCCTCCAGATATGGCTTCCTCAAAGGGATGGCCAAATATGGCGCTATTCGCGTTGTCTGGGTTGCGAAACGCAGCATCCTGGGCCATCATATGTTCGACGTAGGATCTCTGGTCTATTTAACTAGCAGCAACGTAGATATCTTTCTTCAGATCCAAATCCGACGGTTCTCTAAGTTTGTAAATGGGGGGCGCGATCAGGGAACTGGAGTTATCCTCGTACGCCAGAGCAATCAGACACTCAACACGCTTACGAACAGTTTCGTTTGCAATATAGCCTTCGTTGCACAGAATCTCTACGGCGTTGTATATGCGACCGAAATAGCTTTCGGTTGAATGTCGCGGCTTTCTTAGCACTTGGTATGTCAGATAAGTATGGATGTAATCAAGCCATGCATTGCCTGGCCAACCGGCGTCCCACCTGGCTTGGACAGAGTAGCGATGCCGGTCCAGAACTTGTAGATGGAATTTCGCGTTGCCTACATATACTTTGAACTGACCTATCATGAAGTATTAGCAATTGATGTGGTGGTCTAGTGAGCATAATTCAACCCTACGGCTGACAAGCCGCATCCGCATAACACGTGCGAGCTCGCGTGATGGAATAAACTCCGAAAACAGGAGTGTCAACAGCTCCGGAGGCAGGAGTAACAGCTGCATGTTTCTAAAAAAAAGCTTTCTTCGCCTGCATATGCAGATAATGTGACAGGAGATGTTGATATTCGCACAGGCACAGGCACAGGCACAGGCACAGGCAACATGCCAACTGTCGTTGTCTCAGGCGAGCGAGAAGACCATGAGGTTAAATGTTAATGGGCCGGGTATTGCGGAAAATATCTGGGGTATTTCCCCGTTGGCTGTAAGCAACTTCGCTTCCGGCACGAAGTCGGAATGACCGGAGTGGGCCGAGTTGAAGCAGGCAACCCAGCAATCTAAGCCATAATACTCGGGGACCAGGTCTTCATATACCAGATCACAGTTTCCCGTATATAGGGTTTTATCCGTTGGGAGGGGGCGTTCACTTGAAGTTCAACATTCGCACTTGCGAGCGGCGAGTTGATGATTCCTTGAGTGTCGGAGGTAGGACCGGACGCAATTGGCGAGATAATCCAGCATGCATCCAGGTTGAGTCTGGTAAGGGTGGAGAAATGAGAGAGTTGTCGGACCGCCAAACTAGGGTCCTCGTCGTCTTCCCTCGGACAATATGCCACAAACTAGTGGTTGTTGGGTGGATTTCCGCCTTCTAGATATATCCTAATTTGGCTTAGAGAGGGGAGTGTAATCTCTTGTCTCAGTCAAAGTTTGGCTGCCTTCACCAATTGTGAGATCAAAGAGCTGACCTCTTCCGCCCATGTTGTGCATGGACATGTCCAATTGGTTCCGAGAGGGTGTGTTGTCACGAAGCAATTACGGTTAGGCCGCTACATAGTTACCAGGGTACAGTGAGTAAAGGCGTTACAGCCCCTGTCAGTTGAACGCTGCCGTCCTGTTTGGGGCACTAACCAGACCTGATCTAGCTTAAGCACAGGTGGGACCAGCCGCTGTTCAGCCCTATCGCAACCTTTCATCCCACCTCCCGAGGCTGTGATCTCATAAGCCGCAAATAATTCCTAACGACGGCATTCAATATCACAATTTTTTACTGTTAAGACACATATTATCAAGGCCAATTAAACAATAAAGGCCATCATAGGTACAGTATTATAAGACTCTTGCATTCTCGCCTCCTTCTATACAAGTCACTACACGCCAATGCACACCCTTCACCGGGCCTCCCGATCGTGCATCCTATCTCTTATATCTGGACTATCGTTGACTCTCAGCTCTTGAGATGAACATCAAAAGAGCCGGAATGTCCACAATGACAGCGCCGACTTTCATCCTGCGAGGAGGGGATGCGAGCCGCCACAGGATGTAAAACTGTTGAACTATGGTTATATATATATATGAGGCGATTTTGACTAAGTTAACTAAAACTTTGCGCGCAATAGGCATCAAGGGAGAGGGGAGGGGATGTCGTTTTCAAATCTTGAGTCTGCGATTTTGCCTAGATACTGGAGCGGTTTCAGACTGCACCGTTCGCTATCCGCCTGACAAACTGGGCCCCCATCGCGGGGCAATGGACCCTCAGCGGCTCCAGCTTCCCCGTAATCATCCCTTTCTCCGCATTGTTGCTGCAGTTCATCATCTCGATCACCGCTGGTGGACCTTTCTGTTACGTTGTTACGGCACAATGACATCCCTCCTCGCAGGAGCGTCACCGTAGACCCAGTCGACTACTAGGTATCATCCAATCGGGCAGCGCGTCTCCTCGAAACCACATCTGCCGCCTGCTAAACTTCATCTACTGCATCTGAGCCTACCCGATATTCCCAGCTTGTCCAGAACCCAAGGAGGAGTTTCACGTTGGGATTCGGTGCCAGCTTTGATCCGAGGGCTCTAAGGCATTGGTGCGGCTACTGGTGAGCCAATCCTCCCCATTTTTGGGTGAGAATGAGACGCAGGATATGCGCATACCCAGTGTCCTGCGAAAAGCTCAGCGATCAAAGTGAGGTGACCAGACGAGATTGCTACTGAACCGAATGAATAAAGAAAAACGGCTAAAGGTTATGCTGCGTTGTTGGCTGTATCAGCATGGGGCTCCAAGATGCAAGTCTCGGGCAATGTCTTGCCGAGGACCTATCGTCTACCAATGGCAGTTCGTCGGTCTGTTGGCAGGAAAGGACCAGAGAAGGCACTCGTCAGTGATGACGGTATGTTCGTGTTGGCAAATACCATGATCCTGCCCCTCTGGATGATGACCTCCGGTAGCAAGCCGAAACACCTATGAAGCTCAGCAGCAACGAAGCCAGCGACTACCTCTACGCATACTTGATGTTACGCTCCGGTTCGCAGCTAAGCACTTGGTGTTAAAATCCACCAACATTCTTGTGAGATACCATTTTTGACACGCCCACACGGCTATATTATACCCTCGACACAGCGCATGGCATTATCCCGTGGTTCGAAGGTATAGCTTGGTTGTACGTGAGGGCTGACGACCGGTCATGGTTGCGAAGATTATTGACAAGGTTCGGGTCGATATCACCAGTACCGTGGAACCACATATTGCCAAGAACTGTTTGCATGCCGACATGCCATTTCACTAGTCAATTTTTAACTAGTCAACGAGACAGATGTTCCTCAGAACAGGCGGTCTCATTGTTTACCTGGGGGTGACTGAGCAGGCCATGAACAGGCGGTAATCTGGATGTAGTCGGCATTGCCAAGCCGTGCCGGGATAAGCGCCACGAGATGCCACGCCAGGATGCGGCTGAAAACACGCAACTCTTGGCTTCACACTAGACGAGACACATGCCGGCAATTAGCTTCAACGCTGGTGAAGCTCAGCCATTGTATCGATTGACCTTGCGAACTACAGAATGCGACGCCCACGGCCTGCGGACAACAAGCTTGCCCGTCCCCTCGGCTCTGGACGATTCAGGAGTCGGCAGCGCATGAAGTCGTGCGTGATTTAGTGGCACCACTAAATCGGCAGGCAGCGCAGCGAGTCCACTTAACAGCCCACCCATAACGTCATGGCACTACGCTATCTCGGCCTCATGATGTGTGTGCCCGTGTGTCGCCGACTCGCGGCTCAGAGCCAGCAGCAGCTCCAGCTCCGCCAGGGCATTTCGTCTCGTCTCTTTTTCTCCTCTTCCCCGAGGCCCTGATCCCGAGCTTGGAACTGTTTGAACTCGGACGCCCTCTTCTCCCATCCAACCGCCCGCGACAGCAGACAGAGCCATCAACCGCCCAACTCGCCACCCACAGCACCGCGGTCACCGTCCTAGTCGCGCCACCAGGAAAACTTTTAATGCCTCCGGACTCGGCAACATCTTGGATCCTATCTGCCGAACCGGCGCTCAACATCACTTCCGAAGCTTCAAAATGGCTGAGCAGAGCAGTGACATAGACCCGCCCGCGGGCGCTCCCAACGGCGACCGCCAGCACAGGGAGAGCTTTCTCGTTCGCCTGCCGTCTAGGTCCATGGTCAATTCACACGCCGCGGCCACTTCCCACCCGTTTACGCCCTTGCAGAATGGCGAAGGAACCCCGTTCGGAAGTCAGCCTACCACGCCTCTGTATGAGGTCATTCACGCCCGTGATCCGACGGCGAGGCCCGGCGGACTGGACCGGAACCCAACCACCACCGCCGAGTCCCTCGTGAGCGCCTCTGACCGCCAGCAAGCTCTCGCTAAGCTCGGTATCAACGATACCGCAGTCGAAGCCGTCATGCCCGTTTTGCCGGGCCAGGAATTCCACCTCGCAAGCTGGCTCACAAGCGGGCGGACCCTGGCCGAACCTACTTGGGCGTTCCGCACCAAGGTGCCGATTGACGAACACCGATTGCGCGGCGCTTGGGCAGTGCTTCGCCGCCGGCACGCTATAATGCGGTCTACCCTTGTCGCCGTACGACCTGACGAGGCCTTTACCGTTGTGCTGCGACAAGCCACTGGTGCAAGCAACTACGCCACGTTCACCAAGGCTAAGAGCCGTGAGGGCACATTAGAGGAACGCGTCAAGGCGGAGCTGAAGAAGCTCGCGGTTCACCCATCTTCTCTAAAGACACCGCCCACCAGGCTTACCCTGGTTCGAGGCGACGTCCAAGAGGGAGATGCCGTTATGATAACCATCCACCATGCCGCCTGTGATACGCGTAGCATGGGCCTCCTAGTCCACGAGCTTACTGAACTATACCAGGGAAAGCCGGTGGTGTCCAAGGCACCGTCATTCAGGAACTTCGTGAAAGAGACCTTGTTCACCCACGACCGAGATGCCGAGGAGGACTTCTGGAGAGATACCCTGCGGGACTGCGAGGAGACTATAGTGAAGCCAGAGACGGATGGCCAAGGGAACCCCCTCAAGAAGAACGAGTTAGTTGTCACAGGTACCAAGACTAGCACCGATGCCCTTGAGAAGGCAGCGGAAGCAGTTGGCGTTACACCTCCGACTGTCATATACCTCGCCTTCAGTCACATTCTGGCCGAGAGGACAGGATCCAAGCGGCCTGTATTTGGATGTTTCCACAATGGCCGGACTTCGATCGACAACGTTGACAGGATCGATGACATGATCGGACCTTGTTCCACCATGCTTCCAACCACCATCCCAGAAGATGTCGATGTATCTCACGACCTCAACAACAGCAAATCTGAACTTATTACATCACTAAAGTCGGTTCACGAGCACCTCGAGTCTCAGGTGCCTTACGAACAGTCTCGTCTGCGGGATGTGCTACGGTGGGCCGAGGTGGGCGATAGTGTACCGTTCAATACGTACTTGAACATTCTCTGGAACACGAAGCTGCAGGGTGACACACCGGCAGGGACGCCACCCGCGGATAACAACCAGCCGTGGGAGCGCATGGACCTGGGCATGCGTACCGACTACAGCACTGCGTCAGCCATACCTGGCCCAACTACTGTTGATGTGCTCGACACGAGCACCGTCATGAGGAAGCAAAACGTCTTCGTCGATGTTGGATGCGATAAGGAAGAGTTCGGTGGAGGTCATCTCGAGATCCGGCTCAGTGCCAACGAGGTGCTTATGGGCGCTGGGGATCTGGAATCTCTGGCTCAAGACATCGATAATGAGGTTGCTGGGTTGGTCGAGTGTTTGTCTTCATAAGAAGCGCAGTCTACTGCATGCGCAATGATCTTCATAGACATGTTTCGAATCTTGGGCGAGGCTGCATGGGCAAGGGAAGCATTTTCATACCACATAGCGGCAAGCGCCTTGGCCGTTTCATTCAATAGACCTAGCATCATAGAGCAGCACAATTTGGCATTTTCAATAGCATATTCACAACCAAGAATGCATTTACATTTCATGACTTTCTCCAGGATCACATCTGAAACTAGGCTAGTGTGTTTGCAGACAGATTCTTTGGTGACTGGTGAATCGCATTGTGGAAGATTCCTAAGCGCAATGTTCCCCGAGTCCTCCCTCGCACCAGCATGCCAGAACAGCTTCACTCCAGGACAGCGCTCTTCCGCATGTCATCCCCGTAAATGCTTGCCAAAATCGTGGCTGGCTATAACTTAGTTCTTGGTGACCTTCCAGGCCTTGATGGGCTTAATGGTCAATCCGCAGTAGTCCTTCCACCAGGCGTTGCTGATCTCGGTCATAGGCTTTTCCTTGCAGTCGGCGTCCGGGTAGAACTGCACTTTGAAGAAGTTGGTCGGGAACTCGCCGACGCGCTCGTACGTCTGCCAGACGTAGGTGTCATCGGCCGGCCTGCACGGGGACGCGTCGCCCACATAGACAGACTCGGTGTGCGAGCCGGACGCACAGGAGGTCGAGTTGTAGAGAATGAACTGCGCGTCCTGGGCAGCCACTGTAGTGATGGCGGGTGCCATGGCGGCGACGAGGAGGAGCGGCGAGAACTGCATCATGTCCGATTTGCAAGAAGATGTCGTCGCGTGTAAGTGTTCCGTGTAGAGATTGCTGATGATAATGCCGGGCTTGTGCTCTGGTGTTGTGCCGGATGCTCGAGTCTTGTAGTTGAGACCCGTCAGTCGGTGAGCCAGAGAGGTTAAGATTTGTTCCCAGGATTTTATTAGTATTTATAGTGGAAGAAATGTACTGGTCAACGTTGACCGCCTGCTAGTTTGCTTTGTAATATTCACTTGCTTGCCTGCCCTACTGATGACGGTGAATGTTAAAAATCGCTTGCTGTGCCTGCCAGGAAGCTCTCCCACGGTAACTGATATCAAGAAGTTGGGATGGTTTCTCGGGGCCGTGGGCAGTCACAATCATAGAATGTGATTCAAGAGCCAGAAGTCTAAGCCAACGTGGCAACCCGTTCAGATGAGCATTACTCTCCGGATCGTGGCCGTAGCACAGACCTGCCGTTTATCATGGACGGGAACCCAACTGGGGGCGAAAGTTGCTCAGTCGATTGAATCAACAACACAGTGAATGTACTTCCCAGAGGCCACCGGTCCACCACGGGAAGCTATTTAATTATGAACACATAGATCCAAGCATAGCCATAGGTCTTTCACAAGCGCCCTCGTGTCTGGGCTTAGGTACCTCCTGGACCCGTTCTGTCTTTTTTGGGCATACTAGGCACTGCGCATCATCTTCATGGATCATATTTACATTCAGCAGGGGCAACAATGCCCGATGTAATGCCCAGTTGTTACTATGTTAGTTTCTATGTTAGCCTGTGTCATACCAATCCTCTGATTTGGGATAAAATTAGTGAATAGCATGGCTCTTGCCGAAACAGTTGTTCTGAGGACATTCTTACCTTGTAGATATATTTCATGAACCGTCAGCGACTTACGTCCGAAAGTCTTGTCCCTGGGGGCCAGACCAAACAAATAAACGGCCAGACCACGAACCCGGTATGAACTCTCAAGTTAACTTGTTAATCCCAACACAGGCCCATACCTGGTGGAATAGGGATCAACAGTATCTTGATTTGCACGGCAGGTGCATAAAGTCCGAGGCATAGCACATGCGAATGCCAAGTTTGGGCCTAACTGCTCTAGGAAGGCCGAACCAGCCTAGGACCCTTATCGGGGTAGCAAAGCTGCTATGCATCGGTACTTAAGAGATACAATATCCAAAGATGCAGATTTTCCTACGGTTCTGAACCTCATGTTGATCTAGCATTGAGTTCACAAAACCATCCCGCCGCACATTTCACCAAATCTTGGAAAATGGATGAAGAACTTCGTTTACTCCCCAACGCTGCGCTCCCAGACGGGGCACCGACCCCCGAGTTGACGGATACGCAACATTTGGACATATATGGTCTGGGAGCTCTTCGTGCAGCTGTGGTGATTGAGACCAAGAACGATAAGCATGTTGTCAAATCGGTGTGGATGAGTTCACAAGATCCATCCTTGGCACGACAGCTCGTCAGTGTTATCAAAGACCGGTACCTCAGTCCGGACAAGGGCTTGCTCTTCCATGCTAGTGCTTCTCAGCCGGCACTTCGTGAGGAACTAAAGGGATCAACAATTAGATCTCAGATTATGTCGAAGACGGTCGACGCCGATGTAAAATTACCAGACAACATCTCATACCGTGATATGACAGCGGATGAAGCACGCGACTATTTCCAAGATTTCGAAGAGATGTTCGTGAAGTTGATGCTCACGTACAAGACCGCGGTTGAGAATGATGAGGATGTGAAACAGCGGGGACATGCAATGGTCCGTAGCATTGCCCCTAACGGTGTTGAGACCCCGGGGCATAGATTTATCATTGTAGAAGAGGCAGGTGTGACGTTGGCCACACTCTGGGTTGGAGAGCGAGGTGAAAAGCAGTCATTCTGCTACAATATCGAAGTACTCCCGGAAAAACGCAGGCAGGGATATGGGCGCAAAACGCTGTTGGTTTGGGAGCATGCAGCTGCGAGTATGAGAGCATCGACGTTAGGTTTGACTGTGTTCGGAACCAACGAAGCTGGGCTCCGGCTCTATAATGGCGGTGGCTTTGAAGCGGACGACACCACATTCACATTCAGTTGGGCAGAGTAGAAGGGCTGAGACATGTCATATCTGGCAGCCGTAATAGCATCACTCGGAATGGTTAGTCTCACGATCTAAACTACCCTTGGTGTATTATCTACATTGCGATCGCACTATCTGAGGGCGTATAACGGTTCTCAAATCACGAAAGTTGTGCAGATTGTGTCAGTATACTGCTGCCCTAAATTCTAGGCCCTGGGCGACCCTGAAAGCCACCACATGCACGACAGGAAGCTAAGTAAGTGAGCGGGGCGGCAACAGCTTGAGAACAACTGGCCAGCGCATTTTCTAACGACAATACAAGTTCGTCAGCTCAGTTGCCCGCTGCCTTGTCGCACAGCCGAAAATGTCCTCAATCGATCCTGGGCGAGCGGATGTTGTGGAATACATGGCCAAAGCCTCCAAGGCTCTGGGCAATCATCTCCCTGCACCAAAAGACGTTTTTGCATTTGGGGGTAGCAGCGCCCAGCTGAGCGATCGGCTGCTTGAGCTCGCCATCCGTGGGGAAAAGACCGCGACAACCTCATGGCCAGTTCCAAACCCGCTATACTGGGGTCCGGGAGACACCTCAGTCATTCTGAATGGAAAGGGAGAGCCTAGTGCAGTTATGCGCACTCTATCGTTCGTTCAGTGCAAGTTTAAGGATGTTGCGGAGGATTTCGCGCTTGCTGAAGCTGAAGGCGACTATGAGAGCTATCGGGAGGGGCACAAATGGTACTATGGCCAACAAGACAATGGCCACGAGTTCGGAGATAATAGCGTCGTATTATGTGAGAGATTCGAAGTTATATACCCCCTTCGGACCGGGTCACAGCTCAGTGTCGACGAGTCTTGATACATAGGAACTGTAGGGGAAAATAAGGAAGGTCTAATTATGAGGAACACTCGCGGTTTAGTTGCGGTGAATTCACCATCCTAGGCTGATCCAGATCTCACCGCGTTAACCGTATGAAGGCCATTGATGATACTCCGATTCTTGTTCCGCAGTACAGCGCACAGCATTGTTCTGAGCCGGGCCAATTGATACGGTGGTGTTGAGTGGCAGAGAGATCCGCTCAGCGGCAGTCGAGCGTTAGGTGCCCTCCGCAATCGGAAGCTGACACCGACGCCGATGGACCCACCAACCCGGCATCCTCACCCGGCCCAGTGAGTGATTGCATGTGGTGAACACCGCAGCATCGAATCACCCGCTGTCGAGTCAAGGCATCCAAGACTAAGCACACCGAGTCTTCTTTGTGCATAGAGAGATTTCGTTCTACTTAGTGACAACATCACCCTTATCATGAAGGGATCAGACATCACAGTAGCCTTTCTAGGCTGCGGTACGTACACCTTGACAGATGCAAGCAGACCATCACTAACGAAGGAAGGCAACATGGGAAGTGCTGTACTAGCAGGTTTGCTTGAAGCACTCTATCCAGAAGGTTCCACAAACGCAGCGTCATCGAGGATCTCACAGTTGATTGCGTGTACGAACAGTGAAACATCTGCTAAGAAGCTAGAACAACAACTAGGCAGGCACAGGTCGCGCGTGGAGGTGCTACACAAGGCAAATCTTGAGGCCATGCAACGTGCCGACGTCATCGTCCTGGGTGTTAAGCCGTACTTCGCCAAGGATGTGCTGCAGGAGGATGGTGTTCGAGAAGCCGTGGCAGGGAAGCTGATCATGAGCATGATCCCAGGCTCAGTCACCGACTTGGGATCTTATCTTGCTGCTGCTGGAAATGACGCTATCGAGGCCCCATGGCTGGTCAAAACGATCCCCAATATCGCCGCTCGCTACGGCCAATCCATGACTCTGATTGATCCTCCAGAGCCCTCGTTACCCAGGGAGGAGCAGGAGTTTATGAAATGGTTCTGGAACCAAATTGGCTCTTCTAAAACACTCACCTCATCAACCTCCAATGCTGGCATGATGACAATGACTGCGGTCTTGGCAGGCTTGTCCGTCTCTCTCGAAGGCGTCCTTGATGGCTCCGTTCGAGAGGGTCTGAGGAGAACCGATGCTATGGACATAGCTCTGCAGAGCATGAAGAGCCTTGTCTCCATCTTGGAGAGTGGTACCCACCCGGCGGCTATGAGAGAAAGCATAGCATCTCCTCGTGGATGCACCATAGCCGCACTACTATCGCTGGAAAAGGCAGGCGTTCGGGGAACATTCGCACAAGCATTGATAGATGGTGCAGAGGTGTTTGCAGATAAAAAGTAGAAGACTGCTCTATTCTAAGCCGCCGCTCAGCTATTCAGGTACCAAGCAATCACCATAAAGTATGACTGTATGATTGAAGTGGTGGGCTATTGCAAACTCTGAAATATAATCTTCACCGGTGGAGTTGTAACATTCCGCCGTGGGTCATTTTAGCGAATTCATGGCATGTAGTCGTCATCGCTACCATGATCTGGCTCTACATCACTGACGTAGAGACTGCGGCGCTTCCTAGGGCCTCCCCTCTGAGGCCTATGTCGCTTCCTATACTCTTGCCGCCCCCACTCCCTCTTTCTCGCATTTCTAAGGCCTTTGGAAACTTCGAAAGAGAAACCAATATTTTCACCTCCATCCGGCCGCTGCTCGTAACCATCTCTTGGCCAAGGGTCAAGTACGATTTCGTACAAAGTCGTACCGTGGTAATCACTTGGTTGGAAAGCCGACACCGTGTTATCCGCAGCCTCCATCATGATCCCGTAAGATGCATTGTAAAAGTTGCCGCCTATACTCGAATCAGAGGCTGCGATGCAGGTAACGGCAACAAACCATTTGTTGCCATTGTTTTCTTTGTGTGTGAACCGGGCATAGTTGACGGCCGAAAGTCCTGATGGTGGCGGTAATTGTAGGTCGCCATGTTCATTGAAGGTCACGAGCTCACCACCGATATTGTAAGCAAATGTATCGTCGCCAGTTTTCCCCATGTCCATCCGCGCACAGCCAATAGCCTCTATCGTGTCGTTATAGTCGTCAATGATCTCTTGTGGCAGACGCCCTCGGAGCATATTCCAGCCAATTCCAGCCATCCCTTGAGAAGCGTTATTAAGAGCACGGTGGTTCTTTGGAGAAATCTTCCTGCAATTCTTGGCAAGCTGCATGCCTGGCTGATGTCGAGACCCGCATGTATAGCCAAAGTGAACCAGTTGCCCGGGATCCTCCCGTCGATCGTCGCGGCGATACTTGATAATCTCCCGACAAATACTCACAAAGTCCATCCGCAAATCGTCGTCGGGGAAGAAATTGCGAAGAATGACCATAAATATCTCTTTAGTGTCGGCGTCAAGGAAGACAACACTCTCATCCTGCGGAATCTTATACTGAAGCCTGGACTCATCAAGGACAAGGATTTGTCGTCGTTCGCCCCCGTTATATCGCTTATCTTTCAAGCCTTTTCCTTCCCAAAATTTATCCCATTGTTCTTTTCTACCACACCATTAGCGTGGTCCGTTATACATTGAGTTGCAGTCTTACGGACCCTTTCTGTGTTGTTGCCATGAAGTAGTCATTTGTCGGGTAGGGCTCAGCGAACCGTTTCAGTTCCACCAATTTCAAGCTGTTCCAATACTTCCTCTTCTGCTTTTCCGTCCATTTCATCCCCATGCGTTTCACAACTGCGCTAGCCGGGTCTGGGTCTAATCTCGCAACCATCGTCATTCGTTTAAAGTTAACATGTGTTGATCTGCTCGGACTATGGCCCTAGTGGTAGTGAGGAAGTCGCCTCAATGCTGGCAAGAGACTTGTGATACAAACATAAAAATTCCCCCAGAACAGCTCTGTATGATGAGCACTTTTTGGATAGCACCAAGGGCGACAGCATGGCCCTTAAGTGCATTGTGTCTCTGAAGTTAGTTTCCGGTATTCGTTGTTGTTAAATCTCCCTTTCCAATTGCGAATACAAAGACTCGTGCCTAGATGACACCAACCAGCATTATAACCCGCCAATTTCGGCTATGACAAAGAAAAGACTGCGGAAGCCGCTTGCGTTGCCATTAGTCTGAATCTCACTCGACGAGTCCGGCCAGGGAACGGTCTAGAAGTGGCCACTATCACTTCAAGGAGTGCTGCTATTGTATCCAGAGACCGACGCTCAGCCTTAGCCAGCCAGTTTAGAGTACTGTTTTGCTTTATTCAAAGTGAACCCATTATTGGAACATGCTGTAGGCAAACACAAGTCCCGTTCAATATTTAATTATATACATCGTTCATTGCTCACGCTCAGCCTTTCCATGTTGATTAACTGATTGCACACAGTCAATGCAAGGAAGGGTGTTCCGCAAGATTGGTCCAAAAGTCTGACTCAAAATCCTGCAAAACATTACTTTCCCAAGCATTCCATCCGTCTTGCTCGATGTGTCCTAATAGTGGTGCATGGAATTCGGCATTGACCTCATAATCAATTTGCCGTGGGGCCTTCTCAAGGAACAGACGATCAAGAAGGCAAGAGATGGTTTGCGAGGCACTCTCCAGCAACTTGTAGTTTGGATCATTGCTTCGAACAAGCGTTCCCGTTTCTATCTCGGCGACGATGACACTCAGCTTTTGGGAGATTTTTGAGATGTTGAGCTCCGGGACTTGCGGTGAGAAGGGCTGCTGCAGCAGCCACATACATATGACTCCTGCTGCAGATAACCCATAGTATGCTACCTGTAGAAAATCAGTATGATACGGAATGTGACGAGTAAGAACAAAGCGTGCAGGAAGTCAGGTACCTTCCAAGTTAATGATGTTCCTGAATTGACTAGTTGATCTTTTTGCAACAATGCTTCGACAATCAAGTTCAGGATCTCTGCTGACACTCTGACTAAATCAACATCCGACTGGGGCTTATGATGCGACAGCGCAAGCCGTAAGAGAAATAGAACATGGAGATGATTCAGCCGAGCGCTAACCATGAAGTCACGGATTACAGGGGGCTGGTTGCAGAATCTCAAGGGTCCCTCTAGACGAAATTCCAGGGGGAGTGATAACCACTGCGCCTCAGCGGTACCCTGAATAGCGCTGTTGCCTCGTATTAGACTTGTCCTGAAAACCCGTGCATGAACGTACCTGGCATCACTATGCCTGACTCCAGATTCATCCGCTTCAAACAGGGCAAGGACGTCTTCTTTCAGACTTGCACACAATGCTGTCCACTGAATGTCAAGCATGAAGTCAAAGGTCTTGTCTTGGTTCCACCACGGGGCCTCCGATGCATTGGGGTCAGGTAGAAGCTTGAGACGACAGAACTTCTTGCTAATACGTGGGGGGCGGCCAAGAAAGATAGACACGTTCTTGTCTGCAGCATAGGCCAGAGCAAATGCCGACCGTCGAAGTTTGCTGAGGAACTCCGGTACTGATGGAGGCCTTTCCATTTGCTGGTGGTACCCTAGAGCAAATAGAGAACTGGCGACATCCCCCAGTCTTCTCCAGGACTGATAGCCTACAGAAAGGTGAGTGGATAAGGAACGGGAGTGCCAGAATTTGCTTGCTTACTTTGATCCCCATCAACCAAGGTATGAAGGATGAATGTTTCGTATTGAAGCATTAACTGTAGGTCATTCAAGCAGTCAAGCGACAATGCCATGTCCAAACACAAATCTGCAAGGTCCATGCTATTTCTTTGCAGTTCTCGCCGCTCCCTTTCAGATTTATAAAACTGGCCAATCGTGGAAACGTCCGTTGCAGCTCTTGAAACAGCTACACAGGCCAGTCCCAGAGTCTCCCATCGGGCGTTGTCCCAGCAGAATTTTAGCAGGTAATCATTTAGTGTGGCATTGAGTTCCACGCTCAACGACTGGCGGCTATGTTGGAAAAGCATCTTGGACAACTCCAGGACTGGCTTGCTGCCCTGAACAATACATATGCTTTGGAGTGTCTGGATGCACGATTCTGTGAACTGTCCTGCCAAACCCAGGTTCGCTCCTTTGGCAAGCCATGATCGTACCAACGTGTGCCAAGTAGATGTAAAGAGTTGGTGCAACTGGGTAATTGCCTGTGCTGCCCTTATATAATCTGGCTGGAGTGCGAAACCTTCGGTCCGCGTTTGTTGATTCCCGGAGGGTGTGCTATATTGCTCCTGGGCCGGGTTTTCAGTTCCTGGAAGGTGGTCGAATATTGTGGTATGGCTTAAGGGCCCTAAGTAACCTGGGTTAGGATATTGCTGAGGTGGAGAACCCAAGTTCTCAACATCTGCTGGGTCGCTATCCACACATGGACTTGGACGTAGACTGGGTTGTGTCAATCAACTGCCCTCCATAATGACACACTTCAATAAAACTTACCCGCCAGGCTCACTAGTTACATTAGCTACACTGGACCTTTTCCTCTTTTTAAAGGGCATCTGCCGATAGACGCATTGTTCCGTGCGTCCTGCATTATTACACCTTGTGCAGGTAGGCCTGGAATGATCGCAGGCCAACTTGGAAGATCTGCATGGATCACAAGCTGCGAGCCTCTTGGAGGCACTGTGCATCGTCAAACTTCAATCTTTGTAGAATTAGCACTCGGCTTTTGCCCGATCCAATATAGGAAGATATTGATTGGAGATCGTCTGTTTTAGGGGTGCTTTGTTTTTGGAAAGGCCGATATCTGACCGAAGTAATTCACCGGCGTACTAAGTTTTGGTTGGTGCTTCCACGCCGTGCGGTAACAGTGAGAAATGCTGCGGAAGAAAGCTATTCCGGTCGACTTGGTAGAGTTGTGAGCTTCTAGAAAGTCGCCCCAGTCAGATTGGACCAATGGGAATGGTGTCATCGACTCCCACTAAGCCGCTAGCATAACTTGGACCCATTGAAGATCTCGGTGAACTACACGACGAGATTCAAGACAGAAGAGAAGCTACAGAGCTTCTACCAGTCTAACAATCGGATTTGCACAATCTGTACTTCAGTCAGGCTAAGTCATCGTTCATTTCGGAATTGTTCAACACAGTTGGCATAAGTACTGGCATGGGGCACGGTGGTGTGGCGAGAAATGTAGTGATAGCTCTGAGTTCTCTGTGTCCCTCTTCAAAATTCGATAATTCTCTGTTGGATAAGGGATGTTATGTTAGATAACCAAGTCCCTTCATTATACCTGTATCCTTTAGTAAGTTGCTGCCGTCCCTATGTACTTTACCTTAAGACTTGGATCTCTAATAATCATTTCTAACCGAGTATTCTAAAGAAATAAAATGAAAAAATTAGGTTCTATTTAGTCTTCCTTACAAAAATCGACGAATGTCATGCCAGTTAGAGTAGTCATCTTGTTGGCGTTCTCTAGTTCGATTTGTCTCTATGGGTGTGTTTCCTACTTGGATGCTGTGTGCTCCCCGTGCGCCAAACCATGATCTCATAAAGTTACAATTGTGGTGATAAAAATTCATGGAAACTTCATCATTGTTCCTTGAGGGCGGGTATATCAGTCGTCAAACTCGATCCAATCTGTAGTGGAACATAAATTTTCAAGATGGTTTGCCGTTGTTTGATGCAAAGCCGTGCCGTAATACCGATGACATACATGCGGCTTATACAACAGCAGTGGAAGGTTGGAATTAGAGTCGTCTTTTCTGTAGATAGTCTCACAGGTATCTGGACGTTTGCTGTATACCGATTTGCTTTGCCCCGTATTTCTGTGTTTTTCTCCCATTCAACATTCCGTACTACAGCGTCTGCTAAAAGCAGGGTTTTGGAGTACGACTTGCTGACAGGGCAATAGTCTTCCGATCCGTCGCGAACGTTTGGAAAGTTCGGAAACCCATTGGTGGTGAAGCTGGTAATGGCTTTGAGCTTGGCAGAGACACTTGATATCATTGGCAAGTTCGAGTCTGTGGGCGCCTGACTAAATGAGAGTTTGGCGGACACCACAACATCTGGCCCAACACTGCTTATTGTGCCAAAGATCATGGCTGGAGGTTGTGTGGCCGTGATGCTAGCCATACCGGACTTATGCAAGGATAGAGAGCTTCTGATAGATCTGGTCGAAGACAGAGCGTGGAACTTGTCATTTTCATGTATGCTCAATGGTGGGTCCTCACAGAACCTCGGCATGACTTTGATCTCTCGTGACGCCTCCAGACACCTTGTTTGTCGAATCCCTTTGTTGTGGCAGCGTATCCGGGTTTTTATTCTATATGATATCCTCGTCGAGTCAGGTGTGCATTCGTCCGAATCCCAACAGCCAAGAGAGGGCGGCAATCGAGTGTGATGGGTTTGGACCGTTGCAGCCTCGTGGCAGCACACATGGGGTACCAGTTTACAGGGCAAAACGAAGCTGAACGGAAATAGATACGTATTTCCGACTTCCAGTTGGCGAATTCCCTGTGTCGCTGGGGTCGAAAGTTCTAAGAACGTATGTGATGTGGTGACGGGGCTTTGGGAGCAGATCGCCTCAACGTTCGTGGCACTCGTACCAAGTAAGCAGATATCCACGTCGCATAGCGGGACATCTCTAGATGGAGTGAAGGCAATCTCGCCTGAAACAATCGATGAAGAAGTGTAGATTCTGGCAGCATAGTGATCCGCAATATTGATCTTGATCTCGCCCAAGTTGGAACGCCCCGTAAAGCTGCCAACGGACCGCATTGCTAACAATGATAATTCAGGCAGGGAACCAGAGGGCTAAATGTCGAATGAATGGTGCTACTCGAACATTCATGGGAGGTCAGCTGGTCGCGTTTATATCGCATCGTGTCAAAATTTCTCTGCTCAAAAAATGTGTACAAATAGATCACGTCGGAGTAGACGACAATAAGAGGGTCATTTCGGAGTAGTTGTGGGACATGCTACTCCGGGATCCCAGCTTGTGATTGGTGGCAGCACCAACTAGTCGACTACGGGGCTTGCGATCACTCCGACGCCGTCGCTAATTGGACATTCGCCGAGTCTTTGTCATTCTCCGATGGTACAACTCCACGTCGATATTTAAATAATTCGTGCCTCTACCTTAATATGCTTGTCACTTATTTACAGCGTATATCCTTTCCGGTACTATTTTCCTCGCTTTCTCGACGGACAGACCAACAGCCATTTAGCTCTTGTGAGGACGACCACTACACACACCGCATTACCAACGCAACTCAGCACGCCATGAAAATCAAGGAATCAATTGCGCTTGTCCAAGAGAAACGTTCTCGCGATGGCCCACTTCCTATTGAGGTCGCTCCCTACACTTGCTCGGATTTCTTCAAAGTTCAGAAGCGTGGAACCAAGCCGAAAGCAGTCAGATGGGACCACCGCCTCAGTCTAGAAAGCCGCAACCTACGAACTTCACCATTGAAGGCTGCATCTCGTGCAAATCAGGGTGATATTATCAGCCTAGGAACCGCTCGGCCAACTCCTGAATATTATCCTTGGGATGTCTTGACGATGCAATGTCGGAGCACCGCCGCAAGCTCAGGGAACGAACAGCAACAATCATCATCCATGTCTTGCTTGGATGGAGAAAGTGGCTATGACCTCGGTATCGCTATGAACTACGGCTATTCCACGGGATCACCACAGGTACTGCGTTACGTCACTGAGCATATCGAAATGGTCCACGATCCCCCGTACGACGACTGGGAGAGTTGTCTAACATGTGGGTCGACTTCGGCCCTAGATATTACTCTGCGGATACTCTGCAATAGAGGCGACGCCGTCCTTGTTGAGAAGTATACTTATTCAGGCACTCTGGGAACTATCCACGCTCAGGGCCTCCACACCGTGGGCATCGAAATGGATCAATTTGGGTTGGTGCCCGAGGATTTGGACCAGCAACTGGACACTTGGGATTCTGACAAAGGGCCCAAACCTTTTGTTCTCTACATGATCCCAACCGGGCAAAACCCAACGGGAGCAACCCAGAACCTGACCCGACGCAAAGAAATCTACAGGATTGCAGTTAAGCATGACCTCTACATTCTTGAGGACGACCCTTATTATTTTTTGAACATGGAACGAGCCGGATATAATGGCACAACTCCGCAGTCATTGACTTTAGACCCGGACGATTACCTTCAGCATCTGCCTACATCATATCTGTCGCTTGACACCTCTGGCCGTGTGCTTCGAATAGACACGACGTCTAAGATTTTGGCTCCCGGCCTCAGATGCGGCTGGATTACCGGCTGTTCGCAGATCGTGAACAAATTTGTGTCTTATTCCGAGGTTGGGATTGCAGCACCGGCAGGGCCATCGCAAGTCATGCTGTACAAACTGTTAGACGAAACATGGGGGCACGAGGGATTTATCAAGTGGCTAAACTCGCTATCTGAAGAGTATCGTCAGCGGCGCGATATGATGATTGAGGCCTGCATGAATTCCCTCCCTCTGGAAGTCTGTCATTGGGAAACTCCAGCCGCAGGTATGTTCATCTGGGTGGTGGTTAAGGCCACCAAGCATCCAGAGTTTGGACAACACATCAACGGGGAATTGTCTCAGAAAACACTTCTCCATATCGAAGGCGAAATATTTAAGAAATGCCAAGAGAACGGGGTTCTAGTCAGTAAGGGCAGTTGGTTCAGACCGGAGGGTCAGGAGCTACAAGATCTGTGTTTCCGCTTGACGTTTGCTGCTTCATCAAAAGACGTGCTTTCTCAAGGCATCACACGTTTTGGTAAAGCGCTGCGCTCCGAGTTTGCTATGTAGCTTGTAGTTGCGTCTTGAGGTAGAGCGTCTCTCCATACATTATGCCATTCATAAATTAAGGAGACATCTTTTCATCTTTCCAATGAAGTCAGATATTTCACCGCAAGGACTGCATTCAATTCATTACTTGCGATGTATCAAGTCTTCTCTTTTTCCTGTTTTTCTTCTGCTGCACGGCAAAGAAGATCCAAAACTTATTGGGGTTTCGAATTCAAAAAAGGTAGAAGACGCTACACACAGAACGCAAATTACGATGATCCCAAAAGGGAGCTAGTTTTTGAATGTCTTGAGTCTTTGAGTAGAAGGCCCTATAGGCGGAAATTAGGTTGATTTACTGCCTTCACACCATGTTGGTCCACGAACAACATATCCAGTTGGTTCGTGAGATTTCAGTCGGTATGTGCCTCGTTTGAAAGGTCTCATATGAGTAATAGTGCTCAGCGTCCCCCAGCCAAAATTCAATGAGCACTTAATAGATCCTGCTTCAACCTCGCCTCAAACGAAGGTCGCAAGATGTCTGTTGGGACTTGTGAGCCATGTATGGCCCTTGCATTATGTCCATCACGGCCAGCTTCAAGTCCTAAACATGCGGTACCTGTGGCATTTTCATGTCTCGAGCGGAGGTTGTGACAGTCTGAAGGCAGAGACGTCGCGACGGTCGCGTTACATGATGAAAATTGGAATCAGAGCTTGCTGGCCACTCATCGAAAATGGAATCACATCCGTTTCAGCGAGCCCAAGTTCATTAGAATAGGATTATCGGGCAAGAGGGTGTAGATCTTGAGCAGAAAGTTGTGTCTCTATTCCGCTGTTGCTGGTATTCATACGCATGTATTAATGACATATTTCAGACCGATTTCTAGCTGTTCTAGGCTTCCGAATCTGTCAATTGGAGTCGCTTATTGTTCTTGGTCACAAAGTCATGTGCTGCTGTACCGCCACCAACCTAGTGGGAGGGTTGGTAATAAATTGTCAGGATGAGGGCTCTTATTAGCTAATAGTACTCTATTACAAGCTCTATTATGATCTATATCACTATCAAGATCCCTTCTACGGTACCTGTTTCAACGGTGATGCCGATGGTGTCAATTTCTCATGCCATGAAAGCAGAGTTACAGTTCAGCTTTTCCCGATACTCATGCCCCAGCCACTCAACGCTGCGCCCCATTCAATCGGCAAGGAGCTCACGTATGAAGTAAAGCGCTCAGACACGATGATACTAGTCTACGATTTGACGGACCGGGAAAGTCGAAAAGGCTTGCAGGTCCTCCACAGCATCCTGCACGGAGTGCAGGCCAACGTGGCGGGCCTTAAACCCCGCGTTCCCTGAAACCAATCATCATTATGGCTAGCCAATGTGATATGTCGGAAAAATACGGGGCTATAACGAGGCAGGAAGGAAAGCGGTATAGCAATCGGACGCGCGCAAACATGTTTGCCCAGGGTTCCGCTAAGACTGGAGCGGGCCTCGACATGCCCATTCTATCTAGCGACATTATAGACCTAACTTATCGCACAAGAAAAAAAAGAAGAGGTTGAAAGAGTGGAAGTGGTCCAATCAGACAGCATTTGACACCTAATAATGTCGAAGGTTGGTCGCCTTTTTGCTAAAGCCAGGGAGCGACGGACTGGATGACCGCTGAGGTAATGACTAAACTGTCGGACGAAGCCTTTATAGAAATCCAACATCCGCTCAACTTTATATTATTAATCCTGCGGCTTAAAAATCATGATCGTATGCTGCCTGGCAATAAGACTACCCGAATGCCTCCTTGCTTCCTGTCGCAAGGACTAGTTATCCCAACAATGTCGTGGCTGCGTGTGCTACGGCGAATGTATGGGGTCGGGGTCCTCCCAACACGGAAAATAAAGCTAGTTTAGTGCCTACTTCGGTTGGTCAGTGACTTTAAGGATGTCATCCCGTACCTTAATTTTGCTGTAATCCCAAGTCCCTTGCTTGACGTATTTTGGGGGCATGCGGCGAACCATCCTGGAAGAAAACACACGCAGAATCATCAGCCCAATGTGATACCGACCAGTTTACGATTAACTAATTGTCTAACTTCAGCATTGCTACTCGATTGCTCCCGATTATATAGGCTCGATGCAACACAAGCTAAGCTAATCATTGACTCAACGATACAGGCTACAATGAGGACAAAACTTTCTTCCACGAACAGAGCAAAATCGAACTAACCTTGCCTAGAAGCCACTGCCACGCATAGACGCGGTGCATTCCTATGACATGTGGTATGTAAATCTAGAAGTGTTGAACAAGATCATTGTCATGGTATTATATTATTAGGGAAACGATATCTTCGGAGAATATGCTCTGCTTAGTTTCCAATTTCAATAATAGCAGGTCCAGCGACGACAGTATCATCTGAGACACTCTCGTTGCATCCAGTAAGAACAACGTAACTCTGGCCAGCAAAACCCTCAGGAATCATGACCGAAAAGCCACCATCGACAGGAGTAGCCTCAACGAATGTAGGGCCGGTCACTGCGATGAAAGCAGCGTAAACCTTTCCGCCAGTGACAGTGTAACCCTTGTTTGATAGAAGAATTAGCCTTTGGTCAGGTAGGTGTGGTGTGAAGGAAAGCTTACCGAGGTCAACAAGGTTACAGTATCACCAGTCTTGACTGGTGCGGCGGTGGTGGGGTCTAGGGCCAAGGCAGGGAATGCCTTGACGGGAAGAGCGGGGTTGGTCGACGGGCAAGAGGTGATGAAAGGTGATGCCAATGAATAAACCTCGTTCAAGGACAAGGGAGCGTCAAATGGCTGAGGGAATGGGCTCTTGCCGAGCTTGGCGCGTAGGTATGCTGAGTGACGAGCCTCGACCGTAAGGATGGAGCCCGCGGCGGTGAGGTAGGTCTTCGACATAATGTCCGCTGCGGCACCCAGGTAGGCAGAGACACCAACACCCTCCAAAATTGACGCTGTAGCGAGGAAGCTGTTGACATCGGTGTAGCCAAAGTCGTACGTGCATTCTGCGACAGGAGTGGCACCGGCAGCTAAACATGCACATTAGTGGGAAATTCTCTGGCAGGGTAGAAGACGAAGCAGTATCTTTAGCAAGTGGTACATACCGGTAAGTCCGCCAGTCAAGAACTTGACATGTTCGGCCTCGTCGCTGGCAACCTCCTTCAGGTTTGCGTAGAATGTGGCGTCGAAACCAGCCTCGGCGAACTGCTCCTGAGTGAACTTTGCCAGACCCTCGCGGTAGAAGGTATCTTCGAGGTGCTCCAAAGTCAAAGCATAGTTGAGGATGTCGGCTACAAAAGCAAACTTGTTAGCTAACTCAGTGGTTTGCGCAGGACGGGTTTCTTACCGTCGGTGATCTCAGCGCGCTTCTCAACGGGGGCAGCAGCCACGAGGCCAGCGCCAAAGAGAAGAACGGCAGCTCTGGAGAAGAACATTATGTACAGTTATGCGATTAGACTAATTTGAGGTGGTAGGGAATGGTTGAACTGTGAAGAGAGATGTCGACGTAGATATAATGTGCAAGTCGATCTGACAGACGAGTACTATTTAACAAACTTATTTCGGATGATGGGAATCCCAAATGCCGCATGCCGTAGCTCTTACGGATCTCATCAGTAGGGAGCTGACACCAGCATATTCCAAATTGCTGATCTCCCGTTACCCCAAGAGCTTTCTACAAGCGCGATTTGCTAGATCCGGCGCTGGCTGTCATTTGCGCACGCTAGCAAGCTACGGAATGGGATTTCCCGAGTGTGTGGTCGATTGCCGCCACCAATTGCGATCGGATGTCCAGGAACCCGTGCTTAGTTGGGGACTATCTGGGGTTAGCTCCAGGCCCAATCTAGCAGTATAGTCTGTATATCAACGCTATTTTAACGGCCGCCTGAGTTCCCGGAATGAACCGACGTCATGCTTCGCTCACGACATTGCAATTATTCAATAATGCTGGCTGGGCAAAGCATGCCAGCTGACTAGAAGAGATTGTCAATTGCTAATTTGAGTCAACGAAGGCCAACTGTGAGCCAGATTGGGAGACACTAACCCGGGAATCCCAATCTCCACACAATGCCTAGGCATGACTTAGGGGCAAACCCACCGCTAGCGCTCTTCTTGATGCGAACTGCTGCGAACTGGCCTGCCAGGCCTGGATTGTCTTCCGGCAGTAAAGCTAGTAGGACCTCCATACCTCCATGTCTTAGACTTCTTATTCACCTGCTCTGCAACCTTTTCAAGATTGTTCCTGTCTCATTCATTCACATAACAAAGTCTATTTCACATCCCCTTCACCGCACAGCGTTATCGTCGTCACTATGCAGGGTCTCAGCCTTATTGTACTACTTGGTGGTAGGTGTCATATCCAATCACTTCTCACATCCAGGTGGCTCTAACTCCCATGAACAGCTTCGCTTGGTGTCCAGGCCAGCATCAGCACCATTTCGGTCTGCACGACTTGCCCTAATGCCACATCGACTGTTGACGTCGTCACACGCTCAGATATTCCCACAACCTCCTGCACGGGTGCTGCCCTCACTGTTATCAGCCACGCGACTTCTGCCTCTGCCGGTAACTCGACCGCCTACTCTGGCACGGGAACAAAGCCGACGAGCACAGGCTCTCCTTCATCGACCGTCGTACCCGTCTCTGGAGGTGATAGATTGGCTGGTAGCCTTGGTGGTGCACTGGTTCTCGGTATGGTGGCTGCATACGTTATGTAAAGAACTGTTATTACGATATAAGTACGATTGAATCTGTGGTGCAACGCAGTGTTATATGGGAGATGTCCTTAGTCATCATCAGACAACACTTGATACGTACCTATGTAGCTACATACATCCAAGGGCCTCCTACATTGTACCTCATTGACCACTCCTAGCCTCCTACATGAAACTCCGGGGTACCTCGTGACAAAAAGCTTATCCCTATAGTGCTCCTTTCCCCGGGGTGCTCCCACAAGTAGGCCAAGCTTAATAAAAAAAAGTAACAGGCTCCCTCTTATTGCGGTGATCAGAAAATCCCTAGGGGTTCCCTGTTTTGTATGCTGAGTGAGTCTACATCACATTCTGGGGATTCCCAATAGCTCGCTCACGCACTTACGCCTAACGGTTTGGTCGTCTCCGAACCCGGATGGTTCCACTCGATGTCTGGAGTTGGCGCCAGCGGCTCCAAAGTCTTGATCTCGAGAGCCACTCCCATATTGGTTATCACCTGGTGGCGGAGCAACCCGTCCGCCATCTTCGATGAGCCGGTTCCTCTCGCTGGCGTCCTAGTGTTATATCCGAAGCCTTCTGGACTCGTTGGTTCGGTACACGCTCGGGTGTCGAAGTCGAAACACGGCTGGGTACACCAGCTCATTGCAGATGTCAGCTCGGAAAAGGAGTATCCCGTTGGTGGTCTTGCCTGGGTAATCCCAACAACGACAGCAATAAGAAATCTCAGAGCCTCGTTGCGCTTCATCACCCCTATCCATGGCGCCGCACACGAGAAATACAGGTGGTATATTTGATTACAGGCGCTAATACTGCCTTCGCGCCGGGTATGGACATATCCCTGTCCGAGTTGATGTCACAGTAGATGAAGGCATCCTAGACGCGCTCAATAGATCTGCCGCGTTAAATACCTCCTGTTCCAGTACCCGGAGCTCGTCCAAAGGGAGCGCGGCCTCCGCATCGCGCATGCGCGGTTGCTGCAGGCCGTGGGCATGATGCATCTCCTGACCATTCCCACGTCGCCCGCGGCCCACATGGCTCCGCCTGACTTCAGCAGCGTGCCTACTTTACCACCGAGGCCGGCCAGCACGACAGGGCTTGCACCGCTTCCACTTGGGCAGTGAAAGCAGCAACCCCTGAGAAAGAAACCGTCCTCACGCGCACCGGCCTCGCCTCCGCCCATAGGCGACACAGCAGCCCACCAAAGAAAGCACATACCGTACAGTAGCTTGCCGTATGTACCGTAGCTTTGACCTTATCTGGTACGACTCCGTCGCTGAGGTCGTCGATGGTTATTGCAATATTACATGCATCACTCGTCAACGGGGCCAGAGCCTCGTGACCGCCAGGGGGTGGCGGCCCCTGCTGACGGTTTGAGATTGGAATCAAGTTTAAGCCTGTGTTTGGACAATTGTCGTGTCTCCAAATTGAAGGCTTCAGAGCTCACGAACCTGAACGGCGCAGCAACTTGTCTGCAAGGCCTTTCCGATTTGATCTCTCCGCACATCTCCTCGTGTTTGCTTAGACTCTTCTGTTCCTGAAGTATTACTGGCAATATCCAACAAACACATTTAGGTCTGTTCAGAAACTTTGACGCATCAATAATTTCTTGCTCTGATGTGTACAAGTCCCTTGCATATGAATCTAGCCATGTAGATTTAGCACGCGATCCTTCTTGCGGTCGGACTAATTCTTTTCGCATTCGCTATCGTTTAGAGACGCCGACGCAGCACAATCGCGTCACTCACAAACGTGAACGGTAATCCACTAGACTCAAACAGGACCACACCCTACTCTCAGGTTATGCAAAGAAGCGGCACGTTCTTTGACCTGCTGCCAAACCGTCATTATATAAGACTTAGACTTCGCTTTCTTCGTTGACCTACAATCTCGACAGATACATAATCAACAAGCTGCAAGCTCTTTTTATTTGAACCTACTACAATGAAGCTGATTGCTATCCTTATTGCCCTTAGCAGCTTTGTTGCTGCCGGCACAGTTCAAGAACGGCAATGCATCACCGGCTCTTGCTACCCCGATGGCAGCTTGGGGACATGCTGCTCTGGCTTTTGCCTCTACGATTCCGAGGTGAGTTGGAATTGTACTCGTGCATCATGAGCAAACACTGAATCAAACACAGAAAGACAAGGTCGGCCGTTGTACGTAGATGGCTCAAGAGGCACCGGTATTGAAAGTGAAGCACAGGCCTTTATCTAATAGCGTTACTTTTACTTTTATTTGCCGGAGCTTTCAAGTCTTGGGAACATGCGAGGTGTATGGACGATTGGAAGGGTCAATAGCCTAGCATTTGGTTCGCTCTAGTACGGTTACTCAACAGCGCGTACTCAGATAAAGACATAATGCCATCGTGGGTTCTGTGATAGCTTATCAAAATACCGCATTCTTGTGGTAATTACTCTGAGGTCTCTCGTGCTTTGCACTATGGCATTTGGCTTAGAGGCCAGTAAGGTTCCCGGCTGTGAAATTCGAAGGTCTTGTCGCAGGGTCTTGTCTTGTGAATTGTGCGCCAGAGATAAACATGGTTATTGAAGAACTCCGTAAGTCGGACTGCTGCCACGTACCTGTCTTGAAGCAAACCCAGTTGTCATTAACTCAAGACCTCATGCAATGCTATGGAATTGGACTTTATCTCGTCAATACGGCCAGTATATGAGGATCTTGAAGTGCTGTCTCAAGAGCTATTGGTATCTCTCATTAGGGAGCTGGTTTTCATTGCCGCGGCTAGTGTTGAAGTATCGTACGACGGCCTGATAGCTACATAGCATTACTAGAAGGTACCGAATCCTCCTTTCATGGTGTTTAGCGAAGGAAAATCAATAACATTTATCCTACGCTAATAGCTTTCAAGAGACACTGGCAAGCATCGTGGTACTCAAAGCCCCCAAGCAACATAAGTCCGCAAATGATTGTCTTCTCGAGATCTTGCGCGCGAAGGGATGAAACTTGACTACGATCGGAAAGTGAAGTCTACACAGTGTGCGGCATGGAATATTCAATTGTGAGTTCGGCATCAGTTAGAATCCCATAGTGACAATTAAATGAAGAAGCAGTATCCCAAACTCGTGAACTGCTTTGCGCACGAGACCCAAAGGTTGGTGCTTATTTGTCACATAATCAACTGTCCCTGCTTGCGAGTACGGCCGGGATCTTCTTACATCAGGCCCATCAGCTCTAAATTGTGGCAGGCACGTATTTCGATGTTCCAGCGACTAAATGTACGCGATGGGTGTTTCATGGGCGACAAAGCTCTTTCTCCCCGCGACTATCACGTATACAGTGTAGTATTGAAATACAACGCATCCCCAGATAGCTCTGGTGATTTGATCTCTTTGCACTGTTCATTCAAGTCTGCTAGTAATAACTCCAGGTCTTATTTCCAATTGCTACGAACATTACTTATACAAGATGAGCTTTGAGCCATAATCCCAATTATTTAATTTCTGATGAGTCGCTTCGAACTCCATAATACGTCACCGGCTAATGTTTGTGGCAAGCTCCCGGGTCTTGTTATCACCATGCCCCCTCCACTGAACCATGTATCGAGTCTTGCTGCCCTAGGTCCGCTTTGCTCCTAACTTCTTAACTGCCAGGTCATTTCTTTGTTAAAGTCTCCCAAAATCTCTGATCAAGTCGGAATTTATGTCATACGTCTTCTCCCACGTGTTACGTTTGTAGACAAAGCTACTTCACTCACGAGATACCACGTTGTGATCGAGCGCGTCCACTTGCCACATTAATTCTCTCCAGATAGGTACAGATTGATAGAAATGCATGGGTAATAGCTTAGGGACCTCTTCGCTCGAATGTAAACGGATCATGGCGCTTCCAGTCAAACGTCTCAAGTCAAGATGCAGTCTATGACAAAGCTAAAGAAGAAAAGGAGAAAGGCATGACGCAGCGGGCTTCCGTAAAGATTTTCAGTGCCTGCCGCGAGACCAGCCTGCTTACCGTGCATGGGCACGAACCAAGTCGCATAGCTCTTGGCGATTGACGACCTGTCCTGTGGCATTCAATAGTAAATAAGACAATAATTCAACCCGCAGTAATATCCAATAACTACATAGCCATCATGGATTTCTAAAATGCCGCTCGGGACTTTTACACTTTGAAAGATATTGTGATGAATTGTTGCTGATCCTTTGCTTGTCGGCTGGCCTTGCCCTTCAGCCTGCATAATCCATTCTACATGACCACCCGGGGAGAGACGTAATATCTCACCAGCATGGCTCATGTTACTAACGCCTAAATAATTAAAACCTGATCCTTCTTAAGAAGCTGTTGCGAAAAAGTCGTGGCCAATTCTGATTGAGGGACGCCTTGAAGACGGAAATGTGGAGCCATAATCCCATATCAGCCTTTCAACCCGCTAGTGGTTTTTATCTTTACTGTTCACTAAACACTGGTAACCTATCGCATTCACTCAGATGATTCACTAGTAGATCTGGAGATGTTCTTCACCTTCCCATATCCCGACCCAATATCAAGCTCAAGTACAAGTACCTACAGCTTTCAAGGTTGCGTCTATTTTTTATGGATTGACTCATTTTTCACAGGTATCGGTCTTTCTTCAGACCACATACATAGTCTTACTTTATTTCCGCAACTGGCATTAGTCTTCCTATCCTGGCATGGTCGAAGCCACGAGGGCCATAAGTAACGTTGTAAGCACTAGTCATGGACCACAATGGGAACCAGCATGCAGCCGAGGTCGCCATTACAGATACGCACTATCCAACGGAAGGTCGGGTTGGATACCCCAAATACGAGGATGGCACTGGTGTCGTAGTCTGTCCTCGTATCGTCAATATGGAAGGCTTCCACGAGCGAGCTCCACTTGATTCAGCCGCGGATGCCATCGTCACCATACTCTACAAGCATGATCCAGATGTTCTGCGCAAATTTCTCGATATTCGCAGCATACGCAGATTTACATACTTATTGCGCGACATTGACTTGACCAAGTCCCCAGAGCAGTACCTCCTGTGTCCCTTCATCATCACACGCGAGAAAACACTTGTTCAGGCAGGCCACTCACATAACCTTTGCAATCCCCTTTTATCGATGGCTGACTTGATAAGGCTGGGTACCGAGTAGGTTACATAAATGGAAGGGTCGCGATGGACTGGGATTCTATCGTAAGCTTTGAGATCCTTCCGACCTACGAGTGGAAAGTTGGAAAATCCACGAATGAACAACAGGGCGTGGCTCATTGCGAGTTGGGTGACCAAGAGGAAGAAGCTTGGGGGTGGCTGATTTCAGGCAAGAAAGTCGCCAGGAACATGCTCATTCACAAGAAGTGGAAACACGAGAGAGGTCACTGTATTGAGGTTGCTTTTACTAGAGAGGATTATCAGGAAGAGGCTTGATCGTGCAGCTGCAGGGACATTTACGATAGACACAAAGTCCGCGCGTTCGGCGACGAGGGGGCTATGGTAGCATGTAAGCACGAACAAGGATTGTCATGGCGATGCATCAGTTGTACACAGTAGCTTGGCGTTCAGTAGGCTTTCAAAATCGTTGGACCATGAGCTCACAAACCATTTTCATCGGCGGCCCAAGGATGACGACAATGGACGGCCATGTCACGATTCATGAGTTCGCCTCATTGCGTCTCTATTCAAGCCTTCGCACGACCATGCGAAGTTGCCAACTCGTGCATTCATCCCCCACCTCATTGACATCAAATCTTTCATCGCCTCCAACGAACTGCAGTCACTGAGAACGGGGCTGACGGCATCGTATCGATCCTACACAAGCACGAATCCGAAGTCCTGCGCAACTTTCGGGACGTATTCGCGGTCGAGTCGTTCAGCTACATTCGGCGCCCAATTGACAAGGACGGTGGATGCCTGCCTTTTGTAATCAGTGGCCACGAAAACAAGGTTGGGGTAATTTCATGGATGTGTAGTTCCGCTGTTTGCAGTACTGAACAATCGACAGGTCGGCTGTAGAATGAATTTCAAGGGCGGGAAAGTCGCGACTGAGTGGGACAACCTTCAGAGGTTTCAGATCCTTCCTGGCGGAGCATGGGTGTGGAGGAGTTCACATAAGTTCCATCACTTCGTTCTGTCTAACAAAGAGGACTAGGAACGCAAGAATATTTTGGGATAGGAAGCGATAGAGGGCAGCGTAGCATCCATGTTAAAGACTGCAATTCTTCAACAACTTTTGCATGTGGACGAGCTGGAAGACTTCTATTGCATTGAGGTTGCGTACAACGTCCAGGACGAGTAGGCGAAGTGGCAACTGCTGGTATCTTGTTACGAATTGGAACTGAACTCCGGCCGATGGAATGCGCTGTGATTAGGATGATTGAAGCTCAGTACCATGAATCAGACAGACTGGCTTACGGTACCAGTTCATTCTGATCAAGGAATGTTCGCTCATACAAATTGACGCAAATTGAGACTTGAAAGAGGCCAGACATTTTTGTGAATATTCACTTTAATTTTCAGTTACCAAAGCCCCGATCTGCTCCCACCAGCAGTAACTAGCAGCACTAATCAATTATGGTGCTCCTCCTCGCGGCGAACCAAAGTCAGCGAGGAGGGGAAGATGTGGTTTTGTCGATCCTGGGGTAGGTGATGGGTTCGAGACTAGAACACCTTCTTGACGCCCCAACTGACAGCGAGAACTCGCACGCCTAGGAAGCAGCTCATGGCGACGGCGTAGGATAGCGCTGAGAAGAGAATGATCGCTGTCCAGCCTTGGTGCAAGCTACCAACGTCGCGTAACGCTCCTCCGATTGGCACACTGGTCAAAGTACCGAAACTCCCAACCATGAGCGCGGTGGAGTAGACTCGGCCGTACTCCCTCGAGTCACACAACTGCCCGAGGCAAACTGGGTAAAGCCCGAGGTTACTGCCACTGGCAAACCCAAAGGTGACAACGAACACGATGAGCAGAGCCCTGGACGAACCAGCAGGCAGCCAGAAAGCCAAAAGCGTGATGACGCACAGCGATATAGTGAGCACTATCACGTTGAAGCGGCCAATCTTATCAGCAAGAAAGCCTGGAAGGAAGCGGCCGAAAAAGGACCCGACGTTGAGGTATACGAGGAGGATGTATGCCGAGGTCGCATCCTGACCGTAGTCGGCAGCATAGGATACCACGAAGGTGAGGGGCACGAATATGCCCCATTCCAGGAACCACACACCAGCACAGCTGAGACTGAACTTGAGGTCTTTGAACAGAGACCAATCTGGCATGACTGACACCAACTTGTCACTTGGAGGGAGGCGGGTACGGAGCAGGAGGTTTGCCGGGACTGAGAGTCCAAGAAGAATCAAGCCGATAATGCGTGTTGTCCAGGCAAAGCCGAGTTTGGGCAGAAGACCCTGCAGGAGGAGGGGAAATATAATGCCACCAACGGATCCGGCGGTGGCTGCGATGCCGGTAGCAAGGCCGCGGCGCTCCTTGAAGTAGTGAGCGATGACTCCATACGCTGGTACATTGAGCAAAGCCCCGCCAATTCCACCTAGCACGGAGTACGTGAGCAGGATCTGGTAGTATTCTAGCCAGAGAGTTAGCATATGCTATGTGACTGGTCAAAGATCCTCGGGACAAATCTTGAATGGACTACATACCGACACACAATCCCAGAATGAGCTGACTGGCGACAGTCAAAAGACTGCCAACGGCCACAAGGATTCTCGGTCCATGGCGGTCAAACACGGGGCCAACCTGAATACCAGCAAAGAAGACGATAAACAGGTAGACGCTGAAGATCCACCCTATGGACGAAGAGTCGTAGTCGGCCAGCTGGTTGGTTGAGAAATACGACTCAAAGACGGCAGAGCTGTTGATGAGGCCGTACACGGACAGCATCGCGCAGAAGGATCCCAGGACGACCAGCCATGCCTGGAGCCCACCTTCGGGGAAAGTGAGGTTCTGTTCGGCATCTCCATCCGCGGGAGGGTGTCCATCTGGGAGCGGCTCCGCGCGAGGTGTTTGGATCTCGCCGCCTATGTTGCGGGAGTCCTTTTTAGGGGAAGTCAACGATCCATTGGATCGGACAGTTTGATTTACCTGGCAGCTGTCATCTGCATGGTTGGCTTCAGGGGTCATAAAGGGGCCCCTGAGAACACTGAGGCGTGGTTCGAACTTATGCCTGCTCGGCAGTCACAACAAGTCCTGATCACCGACTTTGTCTACTCGTTTGACGATGTGCGTGCTGCGGGGGCGGAGAGAGACACATGGAAAATTTGGTGATGGTGGGCCGTAGCGTTCTTTTCAATCCTGAACGCACTTCGGCTTAGGCGTAAAACTCGGAGCCCCACAGCGGCTCTCAAGGCTGCGGGCGGTGTATCTTTTGGTGTCTTCAGCGCCATCTCCAGCGCCATCTCCAGCGGAGCCGCCCGAGCTGGCAGTTGCCATCACCTAATGCCAAGGCAAATTCGGCCTGGCTGTCTGGCTGGCAGAGCTCAGACGTGGTCTAACTACATCAAAGCAAGCCTGAGGCCCAGGCTATGTGTGGAATAGTTATCGGATTGAGTGGTTTCCACTAAACTCCGATCGCTGCCTTGTGTTGCCTGCATGCACTGGCACTGGGGGGATACCCTGAGATTCACGATATTTCCATCCGAGATTCGCGGTCCATGCGTAGCCCATTTGACGGTCTGGTGGACGCAGGGCTGGCGCAGATCGAGGGCCCGAGGGAAGCGGTCACGGCTTGCTTTGCCAAAAAAAATATGCCAACCGACTTTGGCCATGGACTTTCTTTGACGCAGTATCGCGAACAACAGTGAACTCCAATTATTCTATTGTCTGTCATAGTAGTGAGAGCGAAAGTCATGTGCAAAGTTACAGCGAATGGCAACTCGGTTCTATTTTAGGGCCCATGCATAAAACTAAGCTTACTTGGCGACCACTACCGGCTAGACCACCACCGAACGATCTTGGCCTCGTCTTAGCGACATCAAGTGTTGATTTGGACTTTGCGGCACAGTTCCCTCTTGGCAGGGGGCGATGGAAATCGTTTTTCTCGTGTTGATCTCCCGCTCCAAGCATGTCAATCGTTCCTCTATTCCATCACCCTCGTCGATCGTTTCGCAATCAATAGTCTTCCTCGATGAAGACGTCCGCTCTTTACGCCGGCACGGTGGCCCTGCTGTCGCTGCTGCCGTCCGGAGTCCTTGCGCAGGTCCGGCTGCCCTTTGGACGCCACTCAGCCGGGGTGCAGGACGGGCACGCAGCCACAACACGCCAGCGCCGCTCGTTTCCCGTTCCCCTTTTCAGCGCCGAGGGGACGTACGTCGTCAACGCAACGGTCGGCACGCCGCCCCAGAATGTGTCCTTCGCCCTCACTGTGTCGGCGGACGAGTCGTGGGTACCGGATGCGCAGTACTGCCATGCGTCGTATCGTGACTGCCTCTATGGATCATTCAATCACAATGAGTCCTCCACTTTTGTGCGGCCGGGAACAGGCAGTTTCTCTGCATACTATCAGGACGACACCTATGCCTACGGTGACAGGATACGAGAAACCATTGGATTTCCTGGCGGTCCAAGTGTGACGAACTTGACCATGGGCTTGGCGCAGCAGACCGATCTTTGGCTGGGTGTCATGGCACTCGGGTACAACGACAGCTACTCAGTCGCAAATATACCCGACCGCCTCTTGGCAGAAGGTCTAATCAACTCGACAGCATATAGCATGTGGCTCGACGAGGAAGATGCTGTGTCTGGCCAACTGCTCCTTGGCGCCGTCGATAAGTCTGCTTACGACGGAACTTTGAAGCGCATTTCTGCACCGCGGAATCAACACATTATTGAGGATGACACCACCTACACCCAAATTTCGAATACGTTCGACGTCTACATCCAAGCCGTCAATGCAAGCAAGTCATCCGACCCCGCAGTGGCGCCCCTCATCCAGAACACCACGGCAATGCCATTGGTAACTATCGATCCCACATTCACCATCTCGGTTCTACCGGAAGATCTCGCAACCGCTATGTGGACGTTAGCTGGAGCCACCTATTCCGAGACCTACGATGCCCCAATCCTGCCCTGCTCTTACCGCAATAATACCACCGCGCATATCTCTCTGCAACTGGATAGTGTCGGCGTTGATGGCGGTCCTGTGCTCAACGTCCCTCTTTCTGACCTTGTCCTTCCAGAAGATACTTGGACGCGCAGAATTTGGGACTACGACACGGACACGCGTGTTGACTGGTGTCTCTTCGGGGTGCAGAGCATCAACGCGACTTCGTATTCCAGTTACCGCAACAGCTGGACCCTCGGTGCCGGCATGCTGAAGCGCCAGTATGTCGTCTTCGACCTTGCTAACGAAGATATCGCCATGGCACCCGTGAAATGGTTGAGCGCCCAGACAGGACCCGGCGAAGATGTGGTTCCTTTCTCTACTTACGGCGCCATGATACCTGGTTCAACAGGAAATACCAGCAAATGCTATGCTGACGATGATGACTGTTCCAGCTCCCGTTCATCACATGGCAGTGGTTCCGGTAGCAGCAGTGGCAGCGATGAGTCCGTCGAGCTAGAGCGCCATTATATTGGGATGATCGCCGGGTTCAGTGTCCTTGGCGCTGTCATGCTTGGCATTGCTATATGGGGCATTGTTCAGTGTTGTCGTGATAGTAATAAGTATGGCCCTGATGGAGCTCTAACAGAGAAGGGGTCCCTGGAGCCGGAAGCTGCCTCTGCTCAAAACACCAGCGCGAGCCCGCAACAGGAAGTTGGACAGGGAGAAACATCACCTCCTACGGCAAGAGAACAGTCATAGTAGATAATCAACCGCCCTTGTACGAGCAAACTAATCGCTAATATATACCCTTTTGACATTATTCGCTCTCCGACTGCTTTCTTGGCCAGGTGACATGGAAAGTTAAGTTAACCCAGGGTGCTGGTACGGTGTCATGAACTCTTATCTAAACTAAGGTTATCCTAATCCGGCATTGACACGCGGTGTTCAGCGTCGCAACCACAGAGCTGCGGGGTAGACACACACCAGAGCAGTGACCATCTACAGACTTTCTACATCATGTCTGGCATAGATTACGTACGAGGTAGCACGGTGTTGAAATCCTCTTATTCGTGAGGGCAGCTTCTTCTCTCACTTTCCAGCATATCAAAGAATCTCAGAAGGCTCTTTCGCTCTCTCTCAACTTTGACGTCCAGGCGCGCTGAGACTAACAGCCAACATGGCCGAAGTCAAAACTTATCACCTTGGCGATCTCTCTCTCAAGTCTGGTGGGCTTATACCAAATGCCTTAATCGCGTACAAAACCTTCGGATCCTCTTCAAGTCCAACCATCATCTACCCAACCTGGTACAGCGGCAAGATTGCCGACAACGAATGGCTGGTTGGTTCCGGCAAGGCCCTAGATCCGGAGAAATACTACATAATCATTCCTGCACTCTTTGGCAACGGCGAGTCGAGTAGTCCTTCAAATACTCCGGATGTGAGGCCCTTCCCAAACGTCACTTTCTACGACAACGTCAAGGCGCAGCACCGATTAGTTACCGAGGGTCTTGGAGTCGAGCATGCGCGGGCCGTATTGGGCTGGAGCATGGGTGCCGGGCAGACGTACCAATGGGCGGCGCAGTTTCCGGACTTCATGGACCTAGCCGTGCCGTTCTGTGGGAGTGCGAAGACCAGCATCCACAACCAGGTATTTCTTGAGGGTGTCAAGGTGGCGATTCTCGCAGCCAAAGGAAGTGCATCCGGAGGAGTGTGCGGAGGCGAGGTTGGGCCATCGTCTCCGTCACCCGATTCAGGGTGGGACTCGGCACAGCGCGAGACGGCTTTGAAGGCGCTTGGGCGGGTTTACGCAGGGTGGGGGTTCAGCCAGGCGTTCTATCGGGAGAAAGTCTATGAAACGGATCTTGGGTACAAGAATCTAGAAGATTTCATGGTAAACTTCTGGGAAGCTTGGGCGATGGCAAAGGATCCGGAGAATATGCTTACAATGCTTCACACATGGCAAGCGGGTGATTGTTCGGATCAGGAGCCCTTTAACGGAGGTACGTTGATCTGCCTGTCTCTTGACTGGAAAAAGTCGTGGATGCATCGCATACTTACCTCTGAAAGACCTTGGTCTTGCTCTTCGGAGCATAAAGGCTAAGACTCTGGTTCTCCCCGGCAAAACGGATCTTTACTTCCCGCCCGAGGACTCAGAGAACGAGGTAGAGCATATGACGCCTGGTGTCGGAAAGTGCATCGTCATCCCATCGATATGGGGACATTGGTAGGTCTATTGCACGCACGATGAAATACACCTTGCTTAATCCAATTTCACTCTAGGGCTGGCGGACCCGGTACCAGCAAAGCGGACGAAACTTGGCTAGAGCAGAAGCTGAAGCCATTTCTGGAAGATGGCACTTGGTAAATAGCACGAGTGATTGTACGATTTGCGCAGTTGATTAAGCTTGGTACCTGATAGCACACAGGTCTTTTTCTGGTCCTTGGTGCTGAACAATGAACGCATTGTTTCTCAACATTCAAGCCAACACTTTATGTGATGACGTACCTTGGTTCCATTCTATACCTGCCCTCAAGGAAGACAAAGCCTGGCTTAATAAAGCAGTCAGGTCAATGAGGGCAAACTATATGAGGCAACCAGTACACACTGAAATCCACATGGGACATATGTATCGCTTTTCAATTCACCACTCGTTACTACTTATCCACATTCATTCGTTTTTGATCAATTCACAACTGCGGCCCTGCGTAAAACTTTCCATTCACCACAGACTACATTCGATTTTACCTCTTTAAGTACCTCGAGAGACCCATCTGAAGATGCCTGTATCTGTTCTGCCCCTTTTTGACCTCACGCCGGACGAGAAGCAATCCTCACTACGAGAACTGTTCGACATGATAGAAGAGATCCGTCGCATCATCGCAGGACCGGCGCCCCTCTCCGTTTTTGACTGGTCCGAGGCTCTGCGCCTGCTTAAGGATGCGTTCGTACTAGCCAATGATACCCATGAGTGGTATGACGATGTGCGGTTGGCGACTCTGTTCCTGTACAAGGGCGACTGCTTCCGGGGGCTCGGCCGGGTGCGCGAAGCCCGGGATGCATATCAGGCCGCTCTACAAGTAGAGACACGGTCGTACGAAGATGAAGGATCTAGACTTAACGCAATAGACCGACTCACAGACCTAGATACCTTCATGGAAGATGCTAAAGCCCGTCGGAAGGCTGGACTCTGGCATGCACTCAACCACAGTAACGGTAACCCAGACCTCTCGATCCTGGGCTACGAAACGGAACTTTGGGACCCTGAGCCCGCTCTCCGTGTTCAAAGTGTGGAGCGGTGGCCAGCGAAGGTAACAACTTGCATCGGTGGGCAAGTCTCGTGGCTTAAAACTGATGGATACGGGTTTGCCCAGGAGAAAGCACCACTACTGCGGAGCAGAAGAGGCCAGCAGATTGCGCCATGCTTGATCACGACTGCTGCATGATCCATTCTACTCGAGATAGTCTATTATAACACTTATTGGGCTGGCTCCCCTAGATAACGAAGAAAAAATTCTTACCTTTTTATTTACCCATATAATCACCTACGTACTTGTCATCAATATTTCCCAGCAATCCCACGCTATACAATTAAATCTGGCTTCGGTGGAACCTACAAGTATGACGGAGGCATTCATGGTCATGTTTAGCAGTCAACATATATACTAACCCTAGTTGGCGAAAGATTCGGCAAAAACTTGGAGGGAGCAACCCCGTCCCGAGAATTGATGACTCACATCTTTGGGGTACATCATGGCCCTACACCCGACGAGAGTCTACCGGATTTCATGGAAATGCAGAGGTCTTCGGGTAGGCATGAAGACACTCATTCACTACCGTTGGACGTGGCGCTCATGACATATGCAAGGGTGGACTACCCCATTTGTGATGAGCAGGCAAATCAGATCAAATTCTACTCAATACAATAGCTTTGCACAGTATCTGGCTTCACTTTCCTACTACAACATCAGTCTTATCATATATATTTGAGCATTATGAGATGACTATACCCCTGGAATACCCAACGGAATACCCAACGGAATACCTGCTCGTCCCTAGCCTTTAGTTGGATTCCAGACCTTGAACTCTAGCGTGTAGTCTCTCTGCTGCTTGATACGATCCGTACATGGCATAATGCCGCTCGCTCCGAAGCGATAGTTATCCCCCTTCTTGATCTGAAACTTGTTGATCAAGTCGTGCAGGATATCGGCAACGTCTTGGTAGCCCACGAAGTAATTATACCGTGCAGGGTCCCACTCGGTGGGCCGGATGGTGAAGGAGCAGGTCCCCACAGTTATCAATGGATAGAATCCCACGGCCTGGGTTTTCTCATCCCACTCATCTCGCTCAGCATGGAAGACGAGTTTCGGTTCATCTTTCACCTTGTTGAGGACCTCCATGCAGTCCGGGGCCAAAGGCGCCGCGTCCTCGTCCGCACGATTGACCACGTCGCGGGTGTCGCCACATACATTGCCGCCGGCCCCGAGACCACTGCCGTATGTCTGGTCTACCCAAGCCGGACCATTGAGTATCGAACCTGCAGGAATGACGACTCCTTCGGGGAGTGCCGTAGAAAGCCCTGCAATGGCGGCCAAAAGAGAAACAGTGACCTGCATTATGCTTATTTTGGGTGATAGGGGAGTGATGGTGATTTGGCTTTGTTTTAATCATGTACTGGTATGTTTGCGATGGAAGATACAGCGCTTGATCCAGGGCCCCTCCATGATATGTAGCACTAATTGAGAGGAGTTGGTCGTGATGCAGAGTACAAAGATGTCACATTCGGCTTTGTGTATGCTCTGAAAACGGACATTGTGGTAGAATGGTCTTTTTCCTGTGCACAAGTCAACTGAGATTAGATCACGGTCAGCTGCCAAGTTTCTTAGTTTTTGTCCTTTATGTTAACCTCTTGGGTATACAATCAACTCATTTCATAATTGGTTAGTCGCCTTTCCAACAATTTTGAGGAGCATGCACGCCGGCCGTTACCAAGGACGTTGTCAGATGTGAGATAACAGACGTTGGATATTATATCAAGTCACAGTACCTATTGAAGAAGCAGAAGCAAGACTTTGGACACTCATTTGGGAACGAGTCGCCCATGAGTATTATTCTATGGAGCTTGCAGAGAGAGTCTTAAATGATTACCCAAGTACCAAAATTGCTATCCAGTTACCTACGAGGACTACATGCTGGGTAAGCCTGTCATTTTTATTTTTATTTTTATTTTCGACTCCGTCTCTGTGATTCGGCCCATTGCTGGTCTAACTTGGGGGTTTACCCCATGCCGTATGCTATCGCTGGAAACGAAGTCGATGGGACCTCTACTAGTTTCGGTTATTTTTCATTGTTCAGGACCTGATGTGAGTGCAATAGACAGGAGGTAGCGACAGCAGAGGGAATGGCTAGGGTGCGCTAAGCTTGTGCTGTGCCTCTCTGGATTCTTCGGATGTTTGTGCACCTGAAGTTAGTACGCCGCTGGCAATCACGACGAAACTCGGGTGCTGGCTTTTGTTCGGTCTCTGACCCATCATCACAGGTATTTCATTCTGTGACCAGCCAAATCCGGTCATATTGGAAGGCTTGATGGCTGACCGCGCGATATTCTGACCACGACCGGCGCTGTCATCCGGTGTCTGATTGTGGGGCGCTAACACGGGAAGTCGCACATCCGGGGGCACGGTAGTACCGAAGGACCGCGCTCCAGTCTCGGCGACAGGTACAGAGTCAAAAGACGGCCGCCCCTTGCGACGAATGGATGCGTTTCATCGCATGGCGTTGGCCAGGGCTGGGATTAGCCGCATATGGGTCGGCCGGAAACATGACATCCCGTTTCAATTGGCATCCATGGGATCGGTAACCAGCAGTACCGGGGGAACAGCTGACCGTCTGGCCATTGGCAAGCTGGATCGTGAGAGGCTCGTCGCGTAAAGCTGCCCGCCATGATGTGTGCAAACCTGGGGATCCATGCACCCATTGGAGGCACCGTCGATAGTGAACATGATGCACCAGCAGCCAGGCCCGCTAGTTTACCTATTTCGTCAGGGGCAGAGCTGCTACTGGGGGTAAGGGCTGAGATCACCAGCATATCAATGACAAGGCCGACACGGATCGATAAAAACGATTGCTTGATGAACGATGAGAATGCTTCGGTACTATGTATTGACTACTACCCGCTGCGTGTACTATTTCCGTGTGCAGGTCTTTGAGCCGTGAATGTGTAGTTAGGCGCTGCCACCTGAGCCACGAAAACTGCCAAGCCGGGAGTTTGGTGGTGCTTGTTGAAGTTGCTTGAGTCTCAAGACCCGGTAACAGGACCCCTGTCCCCCCGTCCCGTACTCTTGTACTGCGGAAATAGCTTCTCATGGGTGACCACCCGAATCCGCGATCTACAAAACGTTCGACCACTCACCACTCCGAGCAACCGACTTCAGATTGCCCCGGAATGTGAAAACTGTAGGTTGTGGAGACAAAGAGCCTAGCCTAGGTGTTTTGTTTCACGGGTACTTAAGTCAACCGACTGAACTCGGGTCGTTCTTCTCGCTCCCATCTCTCTTGCACCAATCAACGACGTATCTCCCATGTGGCACTGTCTTCTTCATGGGGCGTGAGACTCAGGAAGGATCGTTGCAGATCGGGATTTAGTGACACAGCTTTCTCGGCCTCATCGAGTTTAGTCAGGACTGATTCCATCAGAGGTGCTCCACCCTGCAGGCAGCCGCCGGAGATCCAAGCTCGTAGCCAGGCGAACAGTTTGATTATGGCCCGTGCCTCTGTGCGCAAACATAAGCAACATAAAGATACGACCTCAGCTTGTCAGTTCCGGCTCTCGAGAGACGAGACCACTTCTCCAAACTCCCCTCTGACTTCGTACCTGAGATCCAGGATGACGGCGTACGCAATCGTACCGTGCTCTGCGGTAGCCATGCTGCTGTTGGCAATGGCCTTGGTCACAATGTCTTCGGCGCAGTCGGCCTCCGCCAGCTTAGATCAACCAAACCCCATCGCCGCGCAATATCCAGACCTTGTCAGCGGAACTCTTAATGGAACCACTATGATAGTTCCCATAGCCCTCGAGCTCGCGCGTCAACTGATTCCCGGAGGTTACGCCATCTTGGAGCAGTCCTTTCGGTCACTGCTTCCGTCCTTTCCCGCAGGCATGTATCCGATGATGGTTTCAGCCAAGCACGACCACGATATCCAATTGCCGGCTTACAATCTTTCAATACCGGACTTCACTGTGAGTGGCTGCCTCAGCAACCCTGCAGCTCTCTCGCGACTGACCAGTTCATCAGCGAGCTGCATTTGAGTTTCCCTTCCTAGACCTCAGCGGCGACGGACATACTCCCTATCGTCTGCAGGACACTGTGCTCATGACCGCCTCCAATCAAGGAGCCATAAGCGGTGCGGCAGGATACGGAATCAAGGTTTATCCTGCCGACTTGGACCCTCCAAACGACGGCTACCGGTCCGATGGAAACGGCGGCAACTATTTCAGCGCTACCAGCGTCGAACAGGTAGACGGCGTGAGCAAGTTCTTGACGGTTGCAAGCACACCCTGTGCGCGTGAACCGCCGTATCCTATTGAATTCATCAAGAATATCACAAATCAAGTGGTGTTTGCGAACTCATCCGTATGCGATAATTATCAGCTGCTGTTCAACACGTCGCTGACAGCGCCACCTTTCGAGCCCCAGCCGGTAACAGGAACAGTCACTGGTCTTCTTGAGCCCTTCACAACACCCCAAACATGGACGGGTGTATTTGGGTGGAATTATGCCACAGCGTTTTTGGAGCCAATAGCCCCTCAGGCCTGCCCAAAGGCTTCGTCATGATCAGCGACAGATCAGTCCATGCTCATGGCCTGTACGGTGTAGACATTGTTGAAGGGAAAGGCGCTGTTGATGTGATGCGGTTGCCGCGCGTTAGAACGCACGAGGCAGATTATGATTCAGAAGATAGATGAGATACCCCAGAGCTTACATTAAATATTAATGATACATTGCGCAATATGCTTGGTCGTCGCTGGCTGTCTCTTTCTTCTTGGCCTTCGATATCCACAACGTTACGAGTTGCTGCCAAGTACCAGACTGATTCCTTTCAGGATGCTAACCACCCCTAAGGCACCAGGGTCCGGGATACCGCCCCTCTCGTCGAACACGTCTTGGCCAACGTAGCTGGCTCGGCCCATGGCGGCAGCCATCTTCTGGGTAGCATCTGCGCCCTTCTCCGCCTCTTCGCGCGCAGCGTCAAAACCCGAGGTGCTGAGAACCTCGACGAACGGGATAAGTGCATCCATCAGTGTCCTATGTCCTTTGCGCGCAAGTGTGTATTTGCATAACTCTGTCAACGCATCTGTGAGAGATGAGCTTATCAACGAACCAACGCTTTCGGTGGCAGTTGCTGCCTTCTCGCGGCTGCTGAGCGAGTTCGCAGCGGCGTTGAGGAAGATGGCATAAATCGCCCCCGAGGTGCCGCCCATGCCTTTCTCTGCGGCGATGGCAGCCCTGCGGAACAGCTCACTAGGGGCGATTCTACCACCATTGAGATCTCTGGTTTCTTCTAGGAATGCTACAAGTTCACGTCAGCCCGGCTGCTTGGTATTTCGACCGTGAATGCGTACCATTGACTCCGTTTATCAGTGTCTCCCCACAATCACCGTCACCTGCAATGGTATCGTACTGGGTAATAAGTGGCTCGTCCTCCCTCGTCGTCGTCGCGATTGAAGCGATAGTTTGCTTTATAGTGGTCACATCGACTGGCCAAGTTAGTGATAAGAACGTATTGCTTCTGTACGAGACTCACGTAAAGTACCCGAATTATTGCACGTCGCTGGCTCTGTTCTCTTCTCAGCCGTTAATACAACCTGCGACGCCACAGCTGTGACGTCCACTAGGCCGATCTCCTTAGGCCACGCGGCCGCCGACGTTGGAGCATCAAGATGCTTTTTTAGCTCCTCGTCGAGGCCGAGAAGAGTAATGGAGAACCCAGGCCCATCCAGTGAAGTCAAAAAAGTCCCCGAAATACAACGGCTGATATGGATCCCCGTTCGCGACAACTGGTGAAGAACCTCGTCCGTGATCACACTCATCTCCAAGACACTGAGGCCTCCAAGGTTGTTCACCATGAGCGCGATTTCTTGGGTTGCCGACGGACTCCAGGCTCCCGGTCGGGTCTTCAGCACCATGGCCACCACGCCCTGGATTGTGTCTTCAAAAGCCTGGAGCTTCTCGCGAGTGACGCCCGGCTCGTTGTGGATGCCCATTCCATATTCCATCTCGTCGAAGGGGAGACATTCCTGTTTACCCCTGTTCGGCACGCTGCATCGGTCCAGACTCGCAGCGGCAGTGGCCATCTGATCTGCTGCTTTTTGCGCCACTTGAGTAACTGCGGATAGGTCTGCGCCCGTCGCAGCGAGAGCACCGGCGATTTTCAGCACGAATACGATCCCGGATAAACCGCGCTGGCCGACAAGGGAGTTGCCCTCCACGGAGACGTCTTCATTGATGAAGACCACGTTCACTAAACGTCCATCTGCCTTCGCCTTTTCGGCAGCAAGGCCAAAGTTGAGCTTGTCTCCGGTATAATTCTTTACCAACATGAGTGTTCCCTTGGGCGAATCAACCGCACGCAGGCCTGCGCCGACCTGCGACGCGGACGGCGATGCGAAGATGTTGCCGGCCACAGCAATGTCCAGCATGCCATCGCCTAGGTATCCAGCATACGCAGGTTCGTGCCCTGATCCGCCACCGGACAGGAGCAACACTTTGCTCTCGTCATCCTTCGGTTGGCGGTATAGCACTTTCGATGAAGGTATGAACCTAAGGTCTGGCCTTCCGTACAGATGGCTATGGAGTGCCCTTTCGACCGGATCGATTACACCGTTGATGAAATGCTTCCCTACAAGCATTTTGGTTAGCAGGAAAGAAGTCACGGGTCAGATGATTGCATACCGAGCGACATGATTGGGAAGACCTGTTTCGCAGCTGGCTATTGTATAGTCACAGCAGGTATCTTAACCTAGGGTTCCCAAGTTAGGCTGAATAGCTTTGAAAGCGTTACGGGCCAAATGGCCGCAAGACCTCCTGGAATCCGACATCGTGAACGGCGTCGGCCATATCTACTGTTTCGCGCCCAGCCAAGTCCCCTTGGCTCTGCTTCCTTGGACCGCGATCACAACGAACGAGCCCATGTTGACGACGAAGAGCGAGGTTGCGCCAAAACGCCCACTGAGCCAACAATTCCCCAGTTTCCCAAAAGGGTAATCGGAAGCGCCGCGGAGAGTGTCCCGCGGCTGCAGGCTTGTCCCACGGGTTCCGGAAATAATATGGCTCTGTCTGAAGTACTGATAGCCATCTGCGAACCGAACTTTCGGGTTTGGCTTTGACGGCCCTCGGTGATCTATTGAATGCAGGGGACGTCTCGTTAGGACGACATTGGCCAAGCCCCATCGAAACCCCTCTCGATGAATCTAGACCACCTGTCATGGGCTGCGACGATGATGAGGCTTGTCGGCTAGTGCTAAGTCTTGCCCCATGCGGCTAAACTGACACGCTTGAGCATCCCCACGGAGAATGTCCACGAGGGCACACAGACTTTTGCGGGGGAGGCAGGAAAGTCGAGTCCGCCTGAAGTCTTGACGATGTTTTGCCGTAGCCCGGCCAGTCGCTTCAAGTTTCCAAGGTCGTCAAACCCTCTGTACCCGCTCCGGAGAGTAAGGCCTTGCGCTGCAGTTTATCGTGACCGACCGCTATGACACCGAGTTGTAGATGGCTTCGCAGCCGGCCAAGAGGGTCCGCACCGGCTGTCTGAAGTGCCGGGTCCGACGGAGAAAATGTACGTCCCTTGCGGCCGCTTCGTACTGTTCATTGCCTGGTGTCTGAAGTTTCCTGACTCAGCGAAATAGGTGACGAGGGAAAGCCTCGCTGTCAGCGATGTATATCCGGTGGCTTCGATTGTCAATACGGCACGAGGCTGTCGTTCCTGGACAAAAATGCATTCACAGTTAACGAGCCAGCACCGCCCGTGAAGGAGAACGCTGCCGCTCCCAGCTACCGGAAGGTGCAAGTGAGTTAATAGACTATCCCTAGAGTCATGTAACTGTGCCGCTGAACTTGTTGTCAGTTTGTGGATGAACCTTCGAACAAGGATTCGCATCAGGAGCACGATGCTTCGGATCCAGCCGGCCAGCAGTCCTCACTACCAAGCCGTGGTGAATCATCTGTGCCCAAGGCGGCCATTGAGACATCAAATGGGCGTCGACATAGTAGCCCTGTAGGCGGCCATGACCAACTTCACGATGAACAGCAGGCACCCACCACTTTTGGCGGCTGGAATTCTAGCATACTCAGCTCCCCTGTAACTAGTGGCGGTGATCAAATCGCACTTGATGCTCTTCTTTCACTTGGAAATGAGCATGCGACTGCTTTTGTGGATAGCAACCTCCGTCGCAGTTCCGTCGCATCCATACCACTCATACAGGCCGAAATCCCGGCCCACATCGAGGATAATTCTGTGAACGCTGGGGGCTCTTCACATGACATACCTGTCAATATCAACCCACCAGATCATGGTATTCCTGATATCCTGACCTTCAGCCTTCTGAAAACGTACCGATATGAGTTGGCCCCATGGGTAAGTGCATATCATCATTGCTAGGCTGTGGCCCTAAACATTTCTAGCTCGATATATGCGACCTTGGCCAGACGTTTGGCATGGCTGTTCCTTGCCTAGCCACAGAGTCGGGCCCTGTTCTTCAGAACATCCTCGCCCTCTCCGCAGCATTTACGGGTGCATCTTCGAAAGATGGTAGAACACACATCCCCAGTGGCTTGGCGCGCTTCAATGAAAGCAATACAGACCCTGAAGAGAGACTTTTGTGCATGAGTCTCAGCCGAGCTGGGGGTATTTTCAACGGGGATTTTGGCCTGAACGACGGTCTGGATATACACAACATACTGAGGACGGCACACCAAGATATTGGATCGACCTTGGCATCCCCCGTCCCAGTTGCTTCTTATTATGTCCTTATTAGACTAGGTCAGTTTTCTTAGGGATCGAATGGTTACCATACAGTCTAGCTGACGATTCTGAAAGTTGTGAGCAGAGGATTGATGCATGAAACGCCGGTCCCGATCCCTGTGCGTATGCCTGGAGTACTGCCCTCCCACTGGCATCGGACCGAGCTCGCCAAGCAAGTCTTCCAGTGTGCACATGCGCCGCTCATCCTTTGCATCCGCGTCATGAATTTCTGCTGGGGCGAGACCTCAGATCGGCTAGGTCCTTCTGGCGATATGGTCAGGAATTGGAGGTCTCTTGTAGACGACTTGAACACCTGGTTCACCAATCGCCCTCAAGAGTTTATGTCCATGGTCGAAATCGACAACGCCGACGACGGCTTCCCTGTCATTCTCTTTACAAGCGGCGCGGCTGTGTTTGGGAACCAACTATACCACACCGCCATGTTTCTCTTATTACGGCACAAGCCAAGAACAGTCATCCTGCCCAGTAGACATCGGTCATCCACCATGTCAACACTCTGGCATGCTCGACGTATATGTGGGATAGCTCTGAATAATGATCGTCGAGAGTGTTGGGACACGAGCCTGGTCGCATCCCTGCTTGTGTCAGCTAGAACCATGACACATGAGGCGCAACACCGCGCTCTACTTGCTGGGATAGACAAGGTGGAAAACTTGACAGCCTGGAAATTGGATTCTGTTCGCAATATACTGAAAATGGAATGGGGGGTATGACTTCTTGGTCAGCGATTGTGTATCTCTACTGTAGCTATTCCCCGTGAAGTTTTACAAGATGGTCATTGCAAAGCCTCAAAGTATGCGTTATTCGTTGGTGAGTATTATTGTCTTAGCATACCGTATTTTTTTACTTTGTAACCCCAAGCAGACTCCAGATCCGGTATTCTCCAACACGAGCCCCAACCAGTCGTTGCCTCGATGTTCCAGATTAGTTTGACAACAATATCGTGCTCTGAGCGGTGGCTCAGCAGTCTACCAGCAAGCCAAAGAGGCTGGATGGCGTTGTTGATGCAACCTTGGTGTGGATTAGCAAGCGTGATCCCGCATATCCGCTTGGCATGCCACAGTGTCGAGCCCGTGGTGCCCAAATTCATCGTGAGCTTCAGGGGCTTGGGCATAGAGCTCAGCATCAAAATGCAAGCCGTATGGTGCAACTGATTCGATGAAATCGCCGCCCAGTGGACGTAAAGGATGTGCGGGAAGGGTTTCGTGTCCACCGTCTTGACCGGGTGAAACTCCTTCGGTCGGCTGCTAAGCCAGCTCTGGAGCTCATCCCATAGGACAACCCATCGGTTGCTGAAAGCTTCTCCTGTGCACCCATTCTGCTCACCGAGCTCCACATAGCGAGTTCGATCCGCGATGAGCTCGCACGCTTTCGCACACAGCCACACGGCATAGTTCGCGTGCATATCTGGGTTCTGGGAAGCCCTGAAGATTGCGCGGGCTTCGTGAGTTTCTGTGCCCGCAGGAAGCCACTTGGACGGATGAAGTAACGTGCTTTGAGTTCCATCCGAGATGAGAGCTCCACAGACATCTATGATCCCAGAGTTAGCATAAGATTATGTATAATAGAGTAAGTTGACGCATACCCATTCTCGTATAACACCAGAAAACAGCTTGCAGCATTCCGCCGCTGAAACCATGGACTCCAAACGTGCTGAAGAGAGCTGCACACCCTTCTAGATGACGGCGCCAATCTTGGGCACTGGCCGACATCATCTCCAAACAACACAGGATAACGCATATGGGGATGAGCTTAACGTCGCGATCCGTGAGGAGAGGTGCGAGTAACTTGATCGCTTCCTGATATAGCTCTAGGCTATCGAAGGAGTTCCTGCGTTTCTCCTTGCACTCCATTTGCCGCGCAGAAAGAGCTAAAATCGCATACAGCAATGGAGGCGAAGTTTGGGCAAGAGATGAGATCTGCATCCCAAAGACGCGATCCCCGTCAAACATATCCAGCTGCAAGTCAATCAGTACCACTGCTGATAGAAACCTCCAGGGGGCATTGCTTACCCAAGGTGCGACTTGATCAACGTAGTTCCGGAGGTAGAGGACTCTCTTTCCGACCGACAAGATTTTCGCCGACTCCCGACGACTCTGCAGATCGCCCAGATGAAGCTCATCGGTGAGGTTAACTTCATCAGCGGCCGGGCTGCCCTCGCGGGTGGGAGCGGCAGACTGGGCCGTGTTGAAGATCAGGGACCTGAGCTCCTCGCGATACGCCTGGTAGTCCTGGCTGAGCATAAACTCGTCCGGCCGCCAGGTCATCGAGGGCGACGACGCATCCGGGGACACCCCCGACGCCGTCCCGGCCGGGAGCCCTGCGGCGGCAAGGAACGGCGAGAAGCTGTGGTCCGTGGACCCCGTCAGTGCCCCCGAGGCCGCCACGGGCCAGAAGTTGTCGGCGTCAAGCTGCATGAAATCCAGTCCTGTGCTGAACTGGGGGAGCTCGTGGGGGGCATTGGTGGATTCCTCCATTGTGATGGTCTTCATTCGAACACATACTAAATGCCCCCTGTTGCTCACATTGTGTTTCCCGCCCTCGTGGAGTGCTGGTCCATCAACGACATTCACAAGAAGGCCTACCGAATGCGTGGGATGCGGTTGCGTACTGGAGACGGACCCAATTTCTAGTGCTGCCTGCGCGGGGTTCGGTGCAGTTCAAGCTACGCTGAGGTGGGGATCCTGGGTTTAGTGACGCTACAGTGCTGTGGTGTGCACGCTATGCATTCAAAGAGCTGGTTGCTCAAGTCGCTGATGAGTATCTTTACGCTGTACCGAAGTGAGCGGGTTCGTAATCGCATCGAACATACGAGTGACTTTATTTCGATTCCAGATTCAGATCACACAGGAAGGGATAATTGACCAGACAATCAGTGAAGGTGAAACTGAGGTTATATGATTTAAGACTATATGCTTCATTAATACTCTAAAACGTGAATTTTCATTGACCTAAACGCCCCCCCGGTCTTGTGCACCAGCCCGCGATTTTCGCAGCAGGTCTCCAGTTAAATCTCAACAAACTCATGTCGCAACAGCTCATCAGCCTCGAGTTGGTCCAAATATCCGGTGACCTTGGTTGTCAGCGTGTCGACGTCAAATCCGAAGTACTTGTAAGCCGATGTTCCGGGAAGACTGTGCCCAAACCTCGTCATACACGCTGCAGCGTCGGCGTATCTCTCCCATCCGTTCGGCGCGTACGGCTCGATGACAACCGAGGGCATGCGATGCCGTCTCAAGACGTCGCGCTTGTACTCACGCGACTGTTGCTCGAAGAGCCTCTGGCACGGCATACTGACCACTCTGGCCTCGATGCCTTTTTGCTTGAGCTTCTCAGCCACGCCGACAGCGTGAGACAGCTCGGCACCGACGCCGATCAAGGTGAGCGTAGCCTTGTCGTTCTCCTCAAGGACGTATGCACCCTTGAGGACTCCTTCTCTCTTTGTATTCTTCAGCTGGGGCAGCTTGTGTCGGCTAGTAGAGATGAGGGAAGGGGTGCCCTTGGCCTTGATGGCCGCAATCCATGCACCGGCGGTCTCTTCGCTGTCACCCGGTCGAATGTATAAGAGGTTCGGCAGCGCGCGGAAGTATGCGGCGTTCTCGATTGGCTGGTGCGTGGGTCCGTCCTCGCCCATGCCAATAGAGTCGTGTGTGGCGGCGTGGATTACCTGTAGATGCTGGAGAGCGCCTGATACCCTGTCAGAACTGCAGTTTGCTCAGTTCGGTGGTGTTATGCTTACCCATTCTCACAGCAGGTGCTGCGTACAAGTAGAACATGAAGAACGACGAGGTCACAGGAATAATTGTGCCGGGGTTGAAGGCGGCGAGGCCGTTTGAAACTGCACACATGACGTGCTCGCGGACACCGTAGTGGATGTATCTTCCAGCATATGTCCCGTTGATACCACATGTGGTTTTTATGTTGGGCTATTGATATCGTTAGGCAATGATCTCATGGAGCATCGGAGTTGGACTTACGTTCTGGAAGTCTTCCTTGCCCGGCCATATCATGTTGACTGAGGGAGACAGGTCTGCTGTGCCGACCATGAAGCTGTCGATCTTCTCAGCCACAGGGTTGAAAACCAAGCCGGACGACGCTCGCGAAGCAGTGGGCTTGTCGGTGAACGACTTGGGGATAAGCTCTTCCCATCCGGTCAGTTCACCCTTGACCCTCTTTTGGAACCGTGCTGCCAGATCAGGATACTCCTTGGCATAGTCGCCCACCAGGGTCTCCCAAGCCTTGACATACTGGTTTCCCCTCGCGGGAAGACCGTCAAAAAAGTCGCGGACAGGCTGGCCTAGAGCGAAGTGGTCGTCTGGGTTGAAGCCATAGGCACGCTTCATGTTCGCAACATCTTCTACACCGAATGCAGCACCGTGGGCATCTGCGAGTCCCTGCACCTTGCTACCCAAACCGATAATGGTGCGGACGTTGATGAAGGTGGGCTTATCGGACTTTTTGGACTGCTCCAGAGCATCTGTGATACCGGCAATGTCGAAACAGCCGTCCTTGATGTCGATGACGTTCCAGCCAGTGGCCTTCATCTTGTCGTTAATGTTTTCGGTGTTAACCAACTATGAGCAGGTTAGTATGGATGTCGGCGCATTGAGAAAACATTACTGACATCTACTGAGCCGTCGCATGTCACCTGGTTATTGTCGTAGATGACGGTAAGGTTGTTCAGCTGCAAATGACCCGCCAGGGAAATGGCTTCCAATCCTACACCTTCTTGAAGACAAGCATCACCGATCATACACCATGTGTGATTTGACACAACATCATAGCCAGGTCTGTTGAAAGTTGCCGCGAGGTGCTTAGTTGCCATGGCGAGGCCGACCGCGTTGGCGATACCCTGACCAAGTGGGCCCGTCGTCACTTCAATGCCTTCATGCTCGATCTCAGGATGTCCAGGGCAAATTGCGTCGTATCGCTCAGAGTGATAAGACTTCAGCTGGTCAAAAGTCATGGCTTTGTAGCCTGTGAGGTGTAGAAAAGCGTATTGGAAAAGGCAGCAGTGGCCTGCCTATCTTAGCATACCGGTCCATCGTTTCAATGGGCTATCTCTGTCCGCTCACCGTTCGAAAGCACAAATCTATCACGGTTGAAGTAATCGGGGGAGTGTGGTGCGTATCGCATAACGTATTTCCAAAGAGCTATGCCGATAGCAGCCATTCCTATGGCACCGCTACAACAACACCGTCAGTCTTCCGCTAGACACGACAACCGTCTCGGAATTGATTCGACTCACCCAGGGTGCCCTCCCCCGAATTGTTGACATAAGTCTGCAATCAGTAATCGAAATGACTTGAGGACAATGTCGTGCGAGCCTTTCTCAGACTCGACCAGCTCTCTCGTGCTGACTACATTTTTCTTCGAAACTGGAATTCCCGATGGGTTGTGTTCTTCGTTTAAGAGTCCTGGAGCCATGTCGTCTTCTATGGTCCAAGTCGTTTGAAAGCGATGGCGTAGGTAGGACACTTTAGGAGAAGACAAAGATCAAGACTGGATCGGGATATCTGCAGTAACTCAAGAACGATAATTCTGGTCGTCGCCGCTGATATGTGAATAGCGCTTCGACCTGCCGGCGGCAATGATTTCATACGAGGCAAACCCCAATGGCTCCAAATGTTTATTCCACGACGAAGCCATCTCGAAAAGGTCATCACAAGCGCTAGCGCAACCTAGAGCATGGTGGTGGGGGGAGGCTATATCGCGGGGTTACCCACTGCCAACGGCCTTTTCAGGGGTCGTTCCCAAATAGGAAGTACTTACCACCAGTAATTGGTGGTAAGGCTTTCTCCATCTGGATGAAAGTCGCAAATGAGGCCGTCAGTAGTCCGCAAGCCCCCGAATCTGCAGTTCTGAAGTACTATGGTGGTTCCCCAAGTGCCGTCAATGCGTTCGTCTTAACTGCCGATTGGGCCCAAGGAACAGCAGTGCTTTGTGCTCTTTTGCTTTCCGCTCCTCCGCAGTCTTCGACGGTCTTTGCAACTCCAAGCGCTAGCTCAGGCCGGTTCGCCAACCACTTAGCATACACAGCGACTGCTAGCGACCTGAGACGAACACGATCACGATGACGGTTCCGGTCACCACGAACGGCATCAACGGCGTGAGTGGAAAGCACAATGTCAAGACGTCACACCCGAATCCTTCCCTGCAGGTGACCGCCGACCATCAGATCAAGATGGTCGAGGCACCTGTCGAGGAGCCAGGCCCCGGCGACGTTCTGTTGCACATCAAGGCGACCGGTATCTGCGGGTCAGTGGTATATAACACACGCGACACCATGTCTATGAGCTAATGCTACACATCTTCCAGATCCGATATTCACTTTTGGAAAGCGGGAAGAATCGGGTCATTGGTTGTCGAAGGTGATTGTATTCTCGGACACGAGGGGGCCGGTGTAGTGTTGAAGTGTGGCGAGGGCGTGACAGACTTGAAGCCAGGTATGTCAGGGCAGTCAAACCGAACCCTAGGAGTTGATCACTGATTCGAGGACATGTATAGGCGACAGGGTTGCAGTAGAGCCCGGTGTGCCCTGCGAAAAGTGCTTCCTATGTCGCGAAGGTAGATACAACCTTTGCGAAGATGTCGCATTTGCAGGCGTTTACCCATACGCTGGTACGGTTCAGCGATATAAGGTGCATCCTGCGAAGTGGCTCTACAAGTACGTGGATTTTTCCAGTTGGTGATAAATGATGGGTGATGTTTGACTTCGAAACCTTTTGCTGACATCAAGTCTCAACCAGGCTCCCAGACAACATCACCTGGGCCGAGGCCGCTCTGCTTGAGCCCTTAAGTGTAGTGCTTCACGGCGTGAAAACTGGTGGACTGAGTCTTGGAAAGCCGGCCCTCATCTGCGGAGCTGGACCAATTGGATTAATTGCGCTTGCTGCGGCGAGAGCATCCGGTGCACACCCGATCGTCATCACAGATCTTGAGCCGAAGCGACTGGCATTTGCGAGAGACTTCGTCCCAGGGTGCATCACGTACCAAGTCGACCGCACTTTATCTTCAGAAGAGAACGCACAGGCTGTCAGACTTCTATACGGCAACACTGAGTACTCAGCGCCGTCAACAGTGTTGGAATGCACTGGAGTGGAGAGCAGTATAATACTCGGAACATTCGCTGTGAGAAGAGGTGGTGTTGTCTGTGTAATTGGAGTCGGTAGGCCAGTGATGAACAACCTACCATTCATGCACATCTCACTGGCTGAGGTAAGTCAAGACTCTTACCGATTATCATCACGGCAGGATTGACCAACACGCACCAGATTGACCTTAGATTCATCAATCGATACCGCGACACATGGCCCGCGGGTATTAACTGCTTGAGTGGCGGCATTTTGGACCTGAAGAAGTTGGTCACGCACGAGTACCCGCTGGAAGATGCTCTTGAAGCTATGAATCTGTGCTCAGATCTTTCGAAGGGAAGCATCAAGGTTCAAATAGTGGACAATGTAGATGCTGAGATCGTTTCATGATATAATCAGTGGCAATAAATAATCAACCTTGGATGTATCATTAGTATACCTAATTGTCAGTTGTGGAGCTATGGCTGACTTGTTGGTGGAAACCCGGAAATCCCCCGGAGGACCTTGGTCGACAGCCCAAGCTACTCTCTGAAGTTCGCAACTTGGTATTCCAAGTTGCCTTTTTCCATCATCTCCTTCATGACCTCGTCACAATAGTCAACTTGGTCTCTGAAATATATCTCACCCCGATAAATCTCTACTGCTAGACCATAATTTGCACTTGCTGGCACCTTCTTTCCCCAAGAATCTTCCATATCGCCGCCTTCGATCAACATCTCGACTGTAGAGGAGACCTTTGAGATGTCTGTGAAGTAGTGTTCTGGCCAGAGCTTCCACTCCTCAGCATTGAGTATCCCTGTGCGGACGCTGCCAGGACAAATGGCATATGTTCGAACACCGTCGTAGTGATGATATGGAAAAGCAATGGACCGCATGAAGTTGACTACTCCTGCTTTTGCTCCCGAATACAGAGGACAAAACTGGGAGGGGTACTGTAGTGAGTTAGTGTCTTGGTCCTTGCCAATTCTATACATGACTTACAAAAGCGCCACAACTAGCAGTCATTACCAAGACTGCCCCCTTTCCCTCATGCGGGCTCGATCGGAAGTACTGCTGAGCCAAGTAGGCCGTGCTAACCACGCTCTTGTAGTTGATGTCTACACTCAACAGGTTGGGTTCTGGTGGCGGTCGCTGGTCTACCTTGGCATAGAAGTTATGACGCTCTACAATGCCTGCGTTTGCGAAAACGAAGTCAATATGGCCTGAGACATTGAAAGCCTTGTCAAAGGCTAGCGACAGAGACTCCCACTTTGTGACGTCGACTGGGTAAAAGTGTGAGTTTGCGATAGACTTGGTCACTTTTTCGCCCGCCTCCTCGTTCAGATCGAAGAGATGCAATATCCAGCCCTTCTCGGCGAGAAACTTGGCGACTTCGAGACCGATTCCCGAGGCCCCGCCAGTGATGATCCCGACCTTTGCATTGGCAGCCATAGTCTTGAAGTCTGTCTTATATCCGTGCGATTAGTGGGGTATACACTCGATATTTCGCAACTCGCTAGTGTTCGATCTGGCTCTGAAAACAGCTCATCCATGTGCAAGCACCCCTGTTAGCCTGCAATAAGTCCTACGACGGTATTGGGGGCTTATATAGTGGCACGACGTCCGGAAAACGGTTCCATATGTCGAGGCAAATGGCTGCTTTATTCCCTCAATTGGGCAGTCGTTCTCAAATAGTTCGGAACGCGGGGTGTCCAAGAAGCCGGAGTGGGCCGGAATCGTATTCCCGGCAGTTTGGGCCAAGCAAGCCTCTTCAACAGAGGCAGGCTTGTATGGAGTGCGTAAATATGGACGATCCATTGTGTGCCATTGCATATGCTCCAACCCTCGTCGAATGCCAACTTTTGAGTAATGCTATACATGGGACTTGCACCACGCTCTGAACTCCTGTAAGCTGTCAAAGCTCCAGAGAGTCTTATCCCCACGAGGTACGCCACGCCATTAGTACAGAGGCAGAGGCTGGTCCCTAAATTAGTAACGCAATATCTGAGGGCATACATAGATACGGCCTCTGCTTTGTACACATTGATGAATGCTTTTCGCCAGGGACGCGGTGTTGGCCAGCCTGGCTCGACAGCCAGAAGCTAGCTACCTGAAGGTGGCACTCTTTTGGGGGAGGATCTTGCCAGTTGGGGCATGGTCGGCACTCAATTGCACGCTATGTAGCCGGAGAACCCCCAAGTTTCAGCGGGTTCAAATCACGCCTTTTTCCCGCGATGAGACTGTTTCGAGTGTCTTCAGAGTCAAACCACAAATCAAAGGGCCCGTAGATGGATACGAATATATCAAGTGGGAACCGAGGCTCGCACTTAGCGTCAAGCGTGGATACGGTGTCCCATCGCCGGCGGAAATCAGGGATACAGACGGACAATGGTCCACCGACGCGCGCGAAGAGAGCCAAATACGCGGCTGCTGCTTGGTATGTGTATCCGTCACAGTATTCCTAACGTGTCTGACATCAGCAGCGACCAATGCAAACGACGCAAATTGAAATGCATCAAGGATTCGGGTGCGCAGATATGTAACAGGTGTGCAGCCGGTGAGGTCCCGTGCAGCTTTGCTGGCGAGGAGGCGTTGGACCTTCCGACGGAACTACCGGTAGATGAGTCAGTCAGAGTCATTGAGCTGTGTATGAGATCTATATGTATGCTGATGAGGATTTAGGTCGCGTGTCGGAAGATTGGAGAGGGATGTGGCCGATCTGCGACAACAAGTAGCACGGCTTGCCGGTCTGGTATCACAGGATCAAAGGCCCTCATTGCTAAATGTAGCTGCAGAAAGCGGCATAACACCTGATCGAGCCTCCATGGGCTCACACGAACAGGTGTCGATCGTGTCGAATGGCCTGAAAGATCGAAAAGAGCCCCAATTTCTCGGAACTACGCGACCAGCATTCGGTCTGAGCGTAGCCAAAGCAACACTCTCGGCCATACACGATGTTTCGGACGCTGGTAGCTCAGATAGAGCGAGCTCGCCTGAGGCTTTCCCACAGGATCAAATCGACCCAAGCCCGTCTACTCAAGATCCCCTGCTGCGGATACCTCTACCCACCGTGCTTCGACTTCTAGATGTGTTCCAAGATGAGATCGAATCAATGTATCCCATCATCGATACTTCAGATCTGCGTGCCCGAGCACCCGCTATGATTCGGCGATTCAAGGAAGAGGTTACGATGAAGTTCGACGGGAGACCTTCGCAGAAGGACATTCACTTGGTGAAAGTTATTCTTGCGACGGCTTTAGTGCTAGAAAACCGTGGGAAGAGCGATATTGGAAGCCAACTTCTCAGTTCTTTCGAAGACGACGCGCTTCGCATTACCTCACCTTCAGATGTCGACCTACAAGAAGCTCAAATATTCGCAATCATGGTGAGTACCTCTGTTACAGTATCGTGAATCGTAGCTAAGTTGAACAGAGTATATATCATTTTCAATGCGATGAGGAGTTACTTGCATATCGAAGCATCGGTATAGCAGGCCGTATGGTTCTCGAAATGGGACTACATCGTCGACGCAGTCTTCAGGAGAACTATACGGGCCCTGAGCAAAGATCTCAAGCCATTCACTTGTTTTGGTGCATCTATGTTCTCGATAGGAGGTGGAGTTTCGGGACTGGTCTGTCCTTTGTCCTAGTCGATCGTGATATGGATCCCTATCTTCCAGAACCAGTAAGTCCAGCCATCTCAGTGTCGGCACGTCTTATTTAACTTCGAACCCGCGTAGCCACTTGATTACCCCTACTTCCGATGCCTCGTGGCTTATGGGAAGTTATGTTCGAAAGTATGGGAGGCGATACCACAATACGGTTCTCCAAGTGATACCATGTCGCCAGACACTGAGGCTTCGCTGGAGACCATGATCAACACCTGGTTTTCCAGTATACCCGAAGGCTTTCGTTGTGACGATTCGGGAGCATCATCGTATCTGTCGAGCTCTTATTCACAGAGTCAGCTCCTGACCATGCGGACACTGCTCTATCTACGGGGGAACTACATTCGATGTTTGATACACCGCCACCATGTTCTCTCTACTGCATCAATAACCAAAGATGTTACGGATGCCCTCTTGGTGGTAAAGGTATCGCAAGACTCGGTCAGGGCTATAGTCAACCTGCACAGCAGCAGCGACATATACGCACGGCAACAAGTCGCTTACAATTTCTTCTTGATCAATGCGATCTCAATCATGCTTCTCGCTGTGTGCCATGCACCTTCTCAATTTGCCAACACCTGTCGCCGAGACTTCTTCGCTGCCATTGATCTCGTCAGGGGATTCTCTCGTCTGAGTCTCCAGGGACGCAGGTTGTGGAGCAGTCTTCGCGGCTTAGTTTCACGGCTCAAGACGTTAGGCATCATGAATGACGGATCGCAGCCATCAACAGGACACCAATCACCGAGCAGGGCAACCGTCGCCACTCATCCTGCCGTTCCTCAACAAGTAAGGAGTGCTCAGGACATCTATCATATGGGAAGCTGGCCAGTCGCTGGGATCGGCAACACTTTTGACACAGCGGTACCTGATATGAACCGCATGGGAGATGATCTCATTGGCGTGTTTGATACATTTGGGCGCGGATACATGGACATCGCAAACTCCAACGAACACGAAGATCCATTAACGTCCAGCTTACACAACCAGAGTGCTTCTTATCTCCCAAATGGAAGCGCGGATGACTTTTCACAGTACTTTATGGACATGCTGTAAAGCACAAGCTTATGAATCAAGTCTCATTACTTCGTGTAATCTATCGTTGTTCATTGTAATATGTCAAGATTCGGACGCTGCTTGAAACAAAGTCCGTGTTTTGGGACTGGCTACACTGCCCGATGTGAATGATATTGCAGTCGAAGCTCTGGCATCACATTATATTCAAGCTAAACCTACAGTCGACTACTCGCATGCCGAATAGGAACGGATGACTTTTCGCAGCAACCATCCGATAACTTCGATATCAAGTCCTTATTCGACGGGACATCGATAGCCGGATTTTTCGTAAAGAAGTCTGACGGGGTGATATGAAGCTCAAGAAGCTCAACGGGCCTGTGTCGTGTGAGTAAACTGTCACTGTGACTGCTAGATCAAATCAGGAGACTCACATCACCGGCCAATCCTCAACGCGAGGATTGTGTGTCAACCCGAAAGAACTCCAGACCACAATGTCCTCGTTGTCCACCTTGTCGTGCCTGGCCGCAGCATCGCCTACACCGCCCACCTCCTTGGAACTCTGGAGCGTGTATCGCCCTCCGGCATAGAATTCGTCATCATTGTGCTTCGTCACCCATAGATGGTGCTGCGCAAAGAGAGCTCGCTTTGCCTGCATGCTATTCTTGTCTGCCAGCAGCAGCTGCGTAGCTGGGGGCACAATCTTGTAACCAACAGGCTTACCGCTGACTGGGTTGAGCTTGTTTCGGTTTTGGATCTTGAATATGCGATGTCGCTGAGGGTCTGCATCAATGCCACTTGATGTTGTGATCGGTGTCTGCACGACTTCGTAATAGTTACCGCTTGGGTTTGTTTCCGGGTTCATGGGCACCTGGAGACTCTCTTCTTGCACTACAGTGTTGCGGTGTCCGTCAATCGCAGGGTCTATTCGCACACAGAAGATGTGCTGGTGGTTCTGAGCTAGAGCACCGGGACTGACAATGTTGCCGTATGCACTTGTCTTTCCCTCGTCGATGTTGACAACAGAGACGATACCTGTGGCGCGTACCTGGACTGTGATGCCTCCAGCTTGGTTGAGGATGTAGTAGAAGGCATACTCGTAGTTGGCCAGAGTAATGATGAACTGGAAGACCAGTTCTCTCCTTCTGGTCACCACAGCGCGGCCTGTGCGCCAGTTGGTGTGTTTCCACGCAATACCGTTGTCTTGCTCGTGGAGGCATACAACATTCTTCGCCACTTGGCCCGTTCCATCAGGCCCGGTGATCACACCGTCGAAATACTATACCAGTTAGCATCTGACTCAAGGCGGCGAATTAAAATTGACACTCACCTTGATGACACCGAGGCAGTCACAGCCCAGAGTCAGGTTGTTCGCACAGTTGCCAGCTCCTCCGTCACCAAAGTCGAAGGCTTGCTTCCTGTGGTACGGCTCTCTTGGGTCCGCGTAAGGTACGGTCTACAAACGTCAGAGCTGCCTTTGGCGTTATCCTATGAAGCACACTTACCATTTCACTCATGCTTAGCCTGTGCAAAACATTGCGGCCTTGGTATGTTAGATCGTGTAGGACGGCCCCCTCCCTAGTGTTGAAGCTCAGACGCATCCTCCAGTTTTGCCACTCAACCAGGTTTTCGTCGGTGACTTTGAAACTTGGTCCTTCCGGCTGTACCACGTGGAGAGGCTTCAAGTCTGACCTGGTACCCTCTGATAGCAGTTCCGGTGCGTACTCGCTGCCTTTACAGTGATCAATGATATTAAGAGACTCATTTCTGGCGGTCAAGCTATCTCCCTTTCCACCTGTTGCAAGTTCGAGGATCTTGATAATTTCCCTCTTAGTCCAATCCATGATTGGGATCAGGGGAATAGGGAATGCATAGAAGTTAGAGTCTGGATTGCCACTCCGAGTGTCCTGTGCAAATAGGAGTCCTTGAAAGTAGCGCCGGTTCTCCTCTGTCGCATCCATGCCGCCATACGGCCATGGCTCAATTACGACTTCAAAACCGGCGGGTAGCTTAAGCTCTTGGATCTTCGATAGGTATAGTGGAGACTTCTGGCATACTTCGACAAAAGTCGCAAACTCATGCCTAATGGGTCTATTAGCGTGGAAAAGATATGAAGATGAAGGGCAGCTACATTGTCAAAGCGGCATGATAGTCAGAGCTGACAACCTCATGGGCAACTCTGTTTCTTTGCGTGATGTTGATGACAGACTCATGGAACTCTGGGACTTTGCTCCCACTAATGACGTCGTACTGGACCTTTGCAAGTCGCGCAGGTCGCGGTGTGCCATCTGAGACCTGTCCTGAATGCTCTTGGTCAAGAAATTTGACGAGGTCTTTCTTGGGAGGCTCCTGGAGGAATATTTCTCTGAACTCGATGACAACACCTTCATGAAGGCTGAGAGTGACATCTCGAGCGACATTTGTCTCATCGATGCTGAGCTGCTGCAGAGGATGAGGTGGTGCCATGGCGTCTTGTTCAGTGCTCGAGTGTGCGTGCATAGGCGTCCGAGAACTTCAAAGTCGCAGAACCTTCGGAGATGAAATAGGCCATTTCCAGCTGCAGTGTTTTGTAATCGACTGAGTCATTATCTAGCGATATCGCCAATGTATCAATTGGCATGGCTTGCTACTACCAAAGGTAACTGCTGAGTTATGTTCTAGTTCCGAGCGTAAAAGCTGTGGTGTCTCGGAAGCTCGGAACACCATACTAGAGGAGCTCGGAACCAGTTCCGAGGCAACAATCTTGGGGTGCAAAGAGCTATCTTTGACCCCTACTAACAAAATGATAAGACTTGATTAAAATCCGATTCCGATTCCGTTATCTTTGGCATTTTGCTTTCGTATTGGTCAAAGAGGTTACTGTTGGCAAGCCCAGCGCGTGTGTACTAGTAGCAGCCAAAGCCAGCGGAATCCCGAACGGGCAACACGTTATATCCTTATCTTTAGCTGAACAGGTATATAGATTTCAGCACAATGATAACGAAAGATTGAAGTGATGAGATTCGGGTTTAAATAGTCCTACTTGCGCTGTGGGTATGGTACGACGTCGAACCATCTGCCTCTTCACCCAAGCAAAAACAGTGGCTGGTAGCAGCAATAAGATGTCTCAAAATGCCGAGACCCGCAAGAACAGCGCTGAACTAAAGTTCCAAGACTCTAGTGTCGACAAGAATGATTCTCCCGTCGGGAACCGAGAAGCCGCTCGCCTCGAGCAGCTTGGGTACACTCAGGAGCTGCGCCGGGAGTTCTCCCTGTGGTCTATGGCCGCACTTTGTATGTGCTTGATGGCAACATGGGAGGCTCTGTCATCAGTACTCGGCTCGGCAATTGTAGCGGGAGGTGCCCCCTGCCTCTTCTACAACTAGTATGTCAGAGAATTTCTCAGTTCAAGTCCACTCAAGTGACGTCTAATCAAAATTTCCCGCCTAGTGTGCTGTCCTTCGTATGCACTATTGCAATCACCCTCTCACTGGGTGAGATAGCCTCGATATATCCAACAGCAGGAGGTAAAAACTCGGCGCCGTGGTATTTCCTTGTGTCAAGTCTGCTAACAGAAGTTGCCGGTCTCAGGTCAATACCATTGGGTAGCCGCTCTCTCACCAGCATCCACACGCTCAGCCGCCGCGTGGTTCACGGGATGGATTTCGATCGGTGGTCAAATCGTTCTAACGGCATCCGCAGCGTTTGCAGCAGCTCTGCAGATTCAGGGGATGGTGGTATTGAACAACGATACATATTCGCCCGAGCGATATCAAGGGATGTTGATTTTCTGGCTTATTCTTGTATATGCTGCTGTTATGAACATTTGGGGACACAAGCTGCTCCCGCATGTGAATCTTCTTTCTGGTAAGCTGCTTTGCCCAGTATATCCCAGAACCCAACGAACTAAGATGGACAGCTGTTCTGCATGTCGCCGGCTTTTTAGCTGTTTTTGTCACACTTGCAGTCATGGCTCCCAAGAACGATGCGAAATTTGTCTTCGTCGAAACCATTAACTCAAGCGGCTGGTCAAGCGACGGTGTCTCCTGGCTGGTTGGCCTGTTGAGTGCTGTTTATCCATTTCTTGGGTATGAAAACATACGCGGCTATGGTTGCTCTGTACGTCCTGTGCATCTCCACTGATAGATCTTTCAGATACGATGCCGCCTGCCATATGGCTGAAGAGATGCCCGACGCGAGCCGTAACGTGCCAATTGCCATGGTCGGCAGCTCGGTTGTGAACGGTTTGATTGGCTTCGCGTACTGCATCATGCTACTGTACTCTACCGGGCCGATCGACGAAGTCCTTACGACGCCCACCGGCTTCCCATACATGCAGATATTCCTCGACGCCACGAAGTCCAATGCCGGTACCACACTTCTTTCACTCACAATAACCCTTACCGCCATCGCTGCCACAGTAGCCGGTGTAGCCTCGACGTCGCGGACATTGTGGGCGTTCGCGCGCGACTCGGCAACTCCGTTCCATCAGCAGATTAGCAAGGTCGACCGTATGAGCGAGGTGCCGTTCAATTCGATCACCGTTGTGACAGTCCTTCAAATGCTGCTTGGGTTCATCTATCTCGGCAACTCGACTGCTTTCAATGCTATTCTGGCTATGGCCATCATAGGCATGTACATCTCGTACATCCTTCCCGTCATATACATGTTGCTATACGGTCGGCCAAGTATGTCCCAGTCGGCGTATGGCCCTTTCAGACTTGGAAAGGTTTTTGGGGTCGCAATGAATGTGATAAGCATCGTCTGGCTTATTGTGGCAATAGTGTTCAGCACGTTCCCTTCGACCTTACCAGCAGCCGCCGAAACGATGAACTATTCATCTGTGGTGATGGCTGGGTGGGTACTGTTTGGAGCAGTGTATTACCTTACCGGGGGTTGGAAAGAGTTCAAAGTCCCAGTGGTTGGGCAAAGCACTGTGCTTGATGGAATTCCAGTCTCCAAAAGGTAGATGCAGAAACTTGTCAGTAAAAACCATGTGTAACATGGTCGTTTGTCAAGTAAAATTTTATATAGGTATAAATACAACATTGGATCAGTGTGGTATTTGAGACGTTCATTAGGTACTACATTACTTCTAGCATTTTTCTCTAACGTTTCTCAACTAGTCGTTTTAGGGGTATCAAATATGTACAAAGAAATGGTCTTCAAACCTAAGACATGGTTCAAGACTTGTGTTCTATTTTGCGCATCCCTTGCCACCCTCATTAGCATCAGGGCGCGCAAGACCAAGGCAGTTCGCCATCTTGTAGAAGACATCGATGTTACTGTAGACACCACCGAAAGTCTCCTGGCACGGTCCCATAGCAAAGACAGCCACGTCGGTCAGCGAGTGGACGCCCTGGCTCTCGCTTGTCGGCAGGGTACCGTTGACGACGAATCCGTCGGGGTTGTCCTTGGGGTTGACGTAGTAGTCATTTGAGGACAGGCCCGCGAGGGTAGATGCTGGGTTGCGGGACGTCGCATTGTTGACGCGGTAGTTCTCGCGGTGGTCAGGGTTGGCGCCAAGGCCGGCCGCAATGGCGTAACGCGGGTCCCAGTTGACGGGGAAGTTGGGTCCCGTGCCGTAACTGATGCCAGGCTTCTCGACGGTGTATTGAGACAGACCAGAGTTCTGGTACACACCCACGGCACGGCGCTTCTCACGGTCCGTCTTCTGCTCAGCCAGGTACTTGGTGTCGACACCACCGAAGACATCGAAACCATGGCCGTGGTCAGAGGTGACGAGGATCAGGGTGCTCTCAAGTTCGCCAATGGCCTTCAGGTGGTTGACGGTAGCACGTACGGTATCGTCCAGCTCAAGCAAGTCACCCAGTGCACGGTCGTAGTCAAGGGCGTGCATCTGTTTGTCGATGGAGGCTGCCTCGGACATGAGGAAGAAACCCTTGTCACCACCACGTTCGTTGAGAATGTCAATGGCCTTGATAGTCATATCTTTGAGGCCAGGCAAGTCCTTGGCCGGCCCCTTGACACCGCTGGGGTCGTTGGTGAACGAATTCAGGTTGTTGGTGAAGACGTTGCGGTCGAGCCAGACAGGCATGTTGGATTTGCAGAAAACGCCAAGGGCCTTGGAGCTGTTGGAAAGAGCTGCAAGACTGGTCTTGTTCAGGCTGATGTCGTAGTCAGCGTCAGCGAAAGCCTTGTAGTAATCCTCGCCCTGGTAAGAGCCGGAGCCTGGGAGGAACTGATCAGCGCCGCCTCCGAAGTACACGTCCGGACCACCGTGGTTGGTCCAGGTGTAGTTCGTGAGCGAGTTAAGAGCCTGATCAATGAGAGGACCGTAGGCATATCGGGATCGGGTGTGCGCAGTCAAGGCAATCGGCGTAGCATCTGCCAGCAGGGCAGTTGAGACCGCACCCCAAGCGGACCCCCAAACTCGCTTGAGTAGCTCAACAATAGTCTCCACCTTGGGGTCGTCGAATAGGTCAGGGGAAGAGTCGGCATAGACACTGGTGCCACTGTTAGAAAACCATGCTCATTATCACCGTATAGGAAATGTCTACATACCCCATGGCATTGACAGTTGACTTGTGGCCAGAGTAAAGAGCGGAGGCAGAGTTGGCACTGTCAGTGATGAAGCTGTCGACCGAGTGGGTCTAATGAGAGGGTCAGCAAAGGCTATAGGTATAGCGACAATAGCAGCCGTACCATTTGGTGGCCGACAACTGGGAAGTCATCCAGCTGCAGCACAGACTGGTATTTGCCATTGATGCTCTTGTGTCCCAAAAGGCGAGCTGCAGTGATCATGTTGGTGGTCATGCCGTCACCTGGACCATGTCAGTCGACGTTTTCTTGGTAGCTAGACGTATTCCTTACCGATGAACAGAATGACGTTCTTGGCCTTCTTCGCTGTGGCCAATGGGCGTACAACCCAGTCGGCAGTGGTGGTTTCGCCGTTATAGTAGGTAAGTTTGACCTGGTAGTTACCAGGCTCGTAGAGAGCAATGCGCCGGTAGATCTTGGACGCCACATTGACGAAGGAGGGGGTTTTGGCATCCTCTGCGTACAAGTCCTCATACCAGTGGAAGGTCCACTTCTCGATCTCAGGCTCGTCAAGGCTGAAGAACTCAGCGACGCTTTTGGCCTCACCACCCTCCTTGGCAATGGTCACGGTGAACTTCTCATCGGGGACACCACTGTTGAATGCTTCTGAGCCATTGACGGGCGCATGGACCTCGAGTCGGAGATCGAAATACTGGCCCGGAAGGAAGTCCTGCTGGTCGGGAGGCAGAACGCAGCCAAGCTTCGGGCAGGTTCCCAAGCGCTGGTAGTACTGAGCGGAGACAACGGACAACGAAGCCGCCAATAGGGCGAGTGAGTTGAGTTTGCCCAACATCTTGACTATAGACAGGCTCAATTGAACTCAATTGGCTCTACAGGGAGTCGATTGGTCGCGCTGGAGGCAAAAAGACAACCTTGAGGGCTCCCATAGCTTCCTGCAGGTGCAAGTGCAGGTTATATAGGAACCGCCAGATCGACATGCAGTGGAACACTAAAGCCGTACTGGGGTCGGGCGCATGTTGCCCATCGTGGACTCCGACGGGAGGCATAACCAATCGCACATCATACCGGGGCAGTTCCGGGAGCGCAGCCCCGTCTCCGAGGGTAGTTGATGTGCATGTAGGCAATGTTACGTTGGTCGAAGTCGGTAGTAACCCCGATTATGACGATAGAGGCGGACTGAGAGGGAAACATGAAAAAATCCTTCGCAGGAATCATAGAACACTTCGAGGGCACGTGTTGATGGGAACTTGCGAGACGACGAGTGGAAGAGACGCCATCTTGAGTTGCCAAGCTGCCAAGTATGCGCCAAGAACGGCTTCATCAAGCCAAGCGAGATATCAGTTGAACGCGCAAAGTCCAAGATTACTAACTCGTATGCTTGATCGAAGACGATCTCTACCAGCGTTATCTGCAAAGGTCGCCTTGTTTGAACTTGGCTAGCTGTTCTAGATCGACACGATACCTATCACTTAATTTCTCAAGACTTGAAACAAGCAAGTATAAGAACTACTCATCCAGATGTCGATTATAAGTTGAGAGAAAGGCAAGCTTATCGCAATACCAAGCTTGGCTGGCATGGTCCAAGAGACTGGCAAACAACGTTGAGATTGCGGGGGTCGGGGCAACGTGGGTGGAATATACAGCTTTTATTGGTCAATGGCTTCAACCAGCACCCAAGCTGGGCGCACAATTGACCTTCCTGAGCGGGGCAGATCTTGGCAGACCGGTGCAAGAGTGGCTAGAGTTCGACCGGGTGGCTTACTAGCACTGCCAAATTACCTAGGTAGCATGTAGACAAGACCTCATGCAATTTGTATTGTAAACAGAAAGCTGCATATTCTCATCTCCGAAGATGAGTTCAGCTGCTAACGAACCTGCGACTCAAGGCCGCGGGTCTAACAGCTGAACGCTTGAGGCTACTGCATGCCAAGGTCAGACTGGAAGACACCTCAGACCATCGCGCGCTGCGTTCTGCTGTGTTCACTCCCACGTGCCCCCGAGTACTTCAGCAACGATAGCTGATCCAAAGACCCAGAATACCAATACTTGTTTCGAGTGGGGCGAGTTTCCGAGAGTTTGGTTCTGCAATCCTAGAACGTGCGCTGTCTGGTAAGCAATACTATTGGCCTATGTATACGCATGGGTGTATTCCGGGGAGCATCGGGACGCGGTGGTCCGTAACCAAATATCACTATGCGTACCCCATCAAAGACTCCTTCCGATGGCTGGTGCATATCCAACCTGCCCGGGCCGGAGAGGGATCGGACCTTCTCCCGGGTCGCACGAGGGTACCGTCTGGCTGAGATTTGACTAGTTACACAACCAGACTGTTGCTAGAAGTATTTCAAGCACGTTTTTCGACTTCAGCAAACCCGCTTTGGTCCAAATCAGCGGCATCGGCATCAGCGTCGGGAACCAGGGGCGTCTCGCCGCCCACCGCTGAATGTCCCGTCACGACCAACCCAGCAATCTCACCAGCGAGCACCTGGTCCTCGCCCTTATCGCCTTCCAGAGCTTGCCAAGGTGGCTCATTGATCTTAGGCTGATTCGCGATGGACTTGAAATGATAACCGCGAGACCGCGGCGGCTCGCCAGTGCCGAGAGGAAGTTCGGGATCGTAGGCTCTGGCAAAGTCCCTAGCTTTCTCCTCGAATGAGCCATCCGCGATAGCTACACGAATAGCTTCAAAGAATTGGGTCATGACGTGGAGATTGTGGATCTGCAGCAGATTCCAACCCAGCATCTCTTTAGCATTCAAGAGATGCTGCAGAAAGGCGCGATGGTGTTTCGTACAGGCGTAACAGCTGCACCCTTCTTCCAAGGGGGATAAGGAAACTTGATGTTCCTTCAACCACATGTTCAGTCCAAGAGGAAGAATGCGTCCGTCTTCAGTCTGGCTCAGAGGGAAAGAGAAGGTGAGCGCAATGCCTTGGTCGGAGATGGAATTCAGAAAAGGGATGGTCAAGACATCGACGCCCATGCGAACCTGACGGAGAATGTGGTGAGGCGATGCAGGCGGGTCCATCGACAGTCGCGGCAAATCTACCAAAGGTTTGTGCTGCTGCAGGTCAGCTAGTATGTTGGCATCGTAGACCGCCAGGCCAGACAAATGGTGGGCATGGTCCTCAGAGAGACGATTCAAGTACTCCCATTGCATGGGATACTCGACCGGCAGCAGTGGAGCAAACGCGTGGATCCCCGCCGGCTTCAAGACCTCCTGAGGGTCCAGCGTCTTGAAGAAGGCCTCAACCCATTCTTCGGTCCGCTCAACCATTCGGCGCTGTCGCTTGGCACTAGAGATGCCAGGGCCGAAGGTGAGGTCAGCCAGTGGAATGACGACATCGGGTTTGACAGTGGCCACGGAGTTGCAGTACCGCTCCATATCTAGACTCTGGAACCCCGTCGAGGTGCATATGGAGACATACGTAGCCCCATTGCCTCCAGGTGAGATGACAGCCGGATGGCGGCGAGGACCAAGGACGATGGTCACGTCAGACGGGGTTGCCGTATAAGAGTGAAGCCTCCTGCCGTCGGCGTCTGTGGGCGAGGTAAACAAGGCTGGAGTGGCTCGCTTGCCGGATTTTTCTACGACTAAACGGTCAGTCCTGATAATTTCTTGGAAGCGGGGCGGTATTTACAGTCTTCTAGAGCCATGTAGACCCCGTTGGTTTGTGTGTATTTCAGAATGGTGTCTGGGGTCAAGTGTGGTATGGCCCCTCTCGACGTGACGCCAAAGAAGTTCGGAGTGTCAAGACTTTTGCGGCCTGGAAGCTCAAGTCTCCCTAACCTCGCCAACGCTCCATCCGACGTAGCCGGCTTCAGAACCCTGAAGGGCAATTCTCCATCCATCTCGCCACTCATCTTCACCGTCATAAGCGCGCGTATGCAGGCCGGTGCAGCGCTGGACAGTGCAGGCCGTGGTCGTGCGCGGACAGTACCCGATGATCTACAGGCCGACCAGGAAGGGCTCGGCCGGATCATCAATGAGCAGAGTGCTCTTTTCGGCGGTTTTCCTCAAGAACTGGGACCCGGGCACAGGTGTGCTGCGATGCGCCGAATCTTGGGATATACGTGCGAATCAGCTGTGACTGTTTTTTTTTCTCGTGACAATTTGATAGAGTCGCACCTTGGAGTGCAATGGTCAATCCCTAAGTTAGGCCACTGTCGGAGCTCTCTCTGGCGGGGAACTCCGCCATGGCCGTCGTTGGCTTGGGGGTCCTGTGCTGTGGCTTGTGCCCCATTCATAGTGGGGTCGGACAGCTGACCCCTGAACATGAGACTTACACAGCTATCGATCGGTCTTTTCCTTACCACAAAGCTTGCACTCTTAAGCTTCTTACGCTCTCTGATTCTCTGCTAGTATTCAGGTATACCGTCCATGTTGTACTACGATGCGCTCCAGTGATGCTGCTCAATCACCATAAATGTTGCAAGGTATGCATTTCAATCTTATGGTGGAGTGGTTGTTCACCGTGAGGGCATTGCAAGGTCATAATTGTGTTAAGAGGGATGTCTCCTTGGTAAGAAATACGTTCTATAGATTCGTCACTAGTATAAACAGGAGGCCATGACTCACTCATCTCAAGAGCGCGCGTGACTCCCCATCCAAGCTCCTCGCCTTAACCTTTGACGGTCCATCCGCCATCTGTGTCCAAGTTCCATCTGCAGTCCATATGCCTGCCTTCGTGTAGTCCATTGTCGAGCTGCCTTCCATCCAGGCAAACCTAAAGTACTCATCCAAATCCAGACTGCTGTTGCGGGTCCAGACAAAGCTGCTCTCGGCGTCAGCGTCTGCGAAGTAGTTTCTAAACTTCTCAACGTCGTTGACGAGGATGCTGATGCCGTCGTATTGAGATGCCGGCGGTGAACTCCACCTGAAAGTAATGGTCGATAAGGCGGCGGCAGCTGTAGCATTCACGGCACTGGATGCATTTGCGGCCCAGTCAACGACTGGTGCAACTATGCTTGGCAGGGGAGAGTTGAGTTGCGCATCGCCCTGAAGGGCATAAGACGTTTGCAGGACGGAATCGAAGCCCCATCTAGCAATTCCATTGATGAACAGCCCGATGAGGATTCCCTGATACAGTAACGCAGGGCGTGTCTGCATACTCGTGCCCGGTACGAGTAGAAGGGCCACGATGTAATGATGAAGCCGCAAGCTAAGATCCGGCAACACAAGACAGACAATGATGCCGGCAATGAAGAGAGCATAGAGCTTCAGGTACTTGGTGAGGCGTGCCTCCTGCCTAAAGAACCAGACCTGAGAAGCTATGATGGCTGCCAAGACGATGATAATGATTGCCAAGGCTGCTTTGGCGCCCGGTTGCTGCTCCAGGTCATGGCCCGTGAGCCTCTGGATGGGGATGAAGTCGAAGGTGTAGTTGGTCAACGCTCCGACCCAGCATCCTCCAAGCCAGAGCACGGTCTTCTCAACCTGCGCAGTCAAGTCTTTCAGCGTTCGGCGGACGCCCATCTTGTCGTAGAACACCCATGCAATGAACATGGCTGGCAGGAACTTGCCAAGAATGTCCGAGAAGAGACCGGCAATTGTCGTGTGGGAGGGTGCATCAGATGCCATGCCGACCTGCCAGAATATGCCGACGAAGGTGGTGAAGAAGAACACAGGAGCTGAGGATGTCATCAGAGACAGGACGGCGGTGAAGGTTACCGACACCCCTAACAGCGACCACCGCACATCTCGTGACTCGCACTCAATCCCCGTCTCAAAGGTATACGATAGCGGGAAATACGAATTGAAGCCAATGCTGGTGATGCCATTCCGCGTCGAGCTGACAAAATTTGACTGTCTCCCAATGAGCTTGACCACTCCGCAGCCACCTTTGCCGTTGGTGATGACTCCAGCGTGGATTCCAGCACCGCAGATGTAGGAGTCGCCCCGGTAGATAGCAGAAGTAGTGTTGGCGGGATCGGAGGGGCCGCCGACGATCAGCTGTGTATAGACGACCTCCTGGTCTCCCACGGCCCTTGGGTTCAAGACCTGGTAGCCTGCACAGTTTGCTGGGCACTTGAAAGCAAACCCGCTGTCGGTGAATGGTCTGCAGTCGTTCCCGTCCGTCCCACACTGGTTTCCAGATAGCCAGTATGTCGTACCGCAGCTGATATCACTCGGCGTGCCGTAGCTTTCGATCTCGGATGCCTTGAGACCCTGGCGCATGACCAGACAGAAGGTCAGGATCCAGATGGCGATATATCCGACGAAAAGCCATACCCGGTGCGTTTTGTTTGGCAGGAAGCGGTCGACCAGCCTCAGCGGGGCCTCCTGGACCGCTGGCAGAAACGGCCTGATCTTGTAATCCTTTGGGTTCGCAGGTCCGTGAGCCCATTTGACAGTGGCCTTGGTGAACCTACGCACGGGATAGGGCACCCACTTCCACCGTTTCCAGGCGCCTTCGTCCTGCATGAAGCGCGGCGTTAGCGTGCCGTCGTTTTCCTGGATCTCGAGGTGACCAGCTTCGTCGATCGGGGCATCGGGGTGCGGAGAGTCGGAACCGCTGGCTTCTGACTGTTCGAGCTCGGTGACGACGGGATGCGCCGGCTGCTTCTTTGCCGGGGGGTCGCTCATGGTTATTTGAGATGGAGAGATCTCGGTCGCCCTCGTCAGCGCCGAGATTCTCGAGATGGACCAAGGCCGACAGTAGACTCTGGACGAGGCGGCAGGACGAAGCTTCTCGTATTGTCGGCGTCAGCTTCAGCGCAATGCCAATACACTGGGAACTTCGGATGGCGGGGATGAGGGACCGAGTGGAAGTATAATCAAACAGCCGTCGAGTCTATGATGATAATGATGTCTAATAAGCACTGGCAAACATTGCTGCGATGACCGAGAGAGCCTGCTCATCAGCCGCCCAATTGTTTCCTGCAGAAGTCCCGATGCGAGATGGCAAATGTTGGGCGGGATGGTCCCTTGGCTAACCCGGCAAGCTGGTGTCCCACTTCCCTCAATCGCCGTGCCTAGCAGCCAGCGATCGCGCATCCTACAGCCTGCGGCCAGCCAACAGCGTACGCGGCCTGACATCCAGAACGTTTCGAACGGACGTCTCGGGTGCTGGACACGCCCAGCGTGGTAGATCGCCCCGAGTGATTGGCTGCTGGGCTTCCCTTGCCACCCTCAGCTGGGCTTCCCCCACATGGGCTGATGGGGTCGGCCTACCGTACTCCGTACTTACTGTAGGTATGGTAGTAGATTAGATCCCTGGTTGCATGGCACCGGTAACTTGCCGGGAATATCTTGGCGCCGACGTTCCTGGTCACATCGGAACTAAACCCGTATTCTCACCCACTCACCTGCTACTCCAGCCTCGAGAAGGTGTAGCCAAATGCTGATGTTGCCGTGATAGACCAGATGAATTGAACCTGGCGCTGATAATCCATCCGCGCCCCGTAGGAGAAGCTCTATCACTTTGGCCAAAATCACAGTACGTTACATAAGTAGACACTCACCGTCAATGTTAGGCCGAGTTTCCCAAGTCAGAGAATCAATCATCATTCTACTGTTCGTTACGGGTCTCTCTATGCTAATAGCAATGAATAAGCCAGAAACTATGCTGCCACTTGCAAGTCGTGCCCGTGAAACTTGATCCTCATGTCCCATATGGCGTCCAACGAGTCTCGTCCCACTACCTAGTGAGGTATGACACTCCCAGTCCGTTCCTCGATAACATTACTAGCGAGAACCCCATAAGAAGAAAGCTTCTCCCCCATCCATATGCCATGCGTAGCACAAGCGAAACCCATTCTGTAGTCGTTTACTGTCCATCGTTCCACTCAGAATCACGACGCATCTCGCGCGATCCATCAGCCCTTCTACGAAAGCAGCTACCCTGCGCACCACCGCCATGATGTGGAGATGCCATTTCCGGCTGCCCATACCAACGTGAGTTTGTGGCCATTGCCTCGCGCCCAGAAAGTCCGAAGCAAAGGCTGGGATCCTGCTGGCCGTATCCATCATAAGGTGGCATCTGTACCATAGAGGGCGGCGGGGCATGTAAGGTGCCTGGGGGTGGGTATGGGTGGGTCGCGCCTGTATATGGCATACTGGCGACATGGCCCTGGTTGGGATACCACGGTTCGACCTGTACGGGAAATATGATGCGACGACTCAGGGACGAGGACGGCCACGGGTGTCTCCAGCCGCCAGGATGGGCGACGTTGAAGCCTTGATGTTGAAGCCCATGATTAACGATCTGGTGAAGCCCACCTTCGCGGTTTGCACCAACACTATCCATTTGATTTTGGATAGGAAAGGAAGGACGGATAGTCGCTGGCGACGGACGTGTTGAGACAGACTCGCGGCGCTCTAACCGTTCGGTCAGCTGCTCGGCCTTGGCGTTGGTTCCCTGTATCGTTAATTGTGGCTTTGCTGGTTTCTGGCGAGTCTTCTTGCTAGTCCGAGACGGCTTCTGATCGATAGACATAACATCATCATCCATATCGTCGTCGGATACGGTAATTGGCTCGGTATCCTGAGCTTGGATGGTAGTCGCATTGGACATGTCTTTAGCCTGGCCCGGATCTACTGCGGCATGTGCGAGCTTCTGACCTGTAGTCTCTTTGACACCAGTTGGCGCAGGAGGAACTACCTGATCAGGTAATTGTCTAGGGGGTTTGTTCTCGGGTTTGACCTCAATGTTTGCTTGCGTAATTTGGCCCTTTGCCGATGCCACTCGATCCTGATTTGCGTTTCCGTCGCCATTGGTACGCGTAGGAACACTGAATACAGCGGGTAGAAAACTCGGGGACTGGTTCTCTGACTTGATCTGGATGTCTGAAGATGACTTGCCGAGGGCCGACTGCTGTTCATTCACTGCGACAGTCTGTTTGACGCTGGTACTACTGGTAGATGCTCGGCTCGGAGTAGAAGGTGCCCGGAAATCTTTGATGTTGCTGGTTGTATTATGGGTAGTAATGTCCTCATTTCCCCTTCTAGTAGTGATGGCTGGCTTGCTACTAGCATCATGTTCTCCGAGGAACGAGGGCATCTGAAACGGTGCATTTGTCAGTGGCATGACGGGTCTGGCTTCGTTGCCACCCTCGAGTTCTGTGTGCCGAGCAGGACCGCCTTGCCCGAAATTTGGTCCTGATGAGGTGTCATGCTTCAAATCGTCTGTGAAGGCTCCATCCTCGTCATCGCTGGCCGCATTCTTGTCGGTGTCGCCTGCCCCGTTGGTAGATCCCCATTTCGTCTCCTCTGCAGGTGTCCATTCGCCTATCGGCCAGCTACCGCCGCTTGAGCGAAAACTGTCCTTTTCTAACTGGATCCGCGAACGAAGGGATGACCTCTTGGCACCATGTAGTTCTTTCTGCGTCCAGAGACTGTCTAATATCAGAATATCGACCGGATGGAGACCGAAAGGCTTGCTATCAGCCGTCTTGTTCTCAGAGGTTTTCTTGCTATCAGTCGCATGTCGGGACAGCTTTTTCGACCATCGGCTCCTCAACACAACTAGTATATTGTCTATCGAAGCATCCCGCAGGATCTTCTGAGCGGTCAGCTCGAAGAGTCGTTCAGGGTGGCCCTCTTCTTTGCATACGCGATGAAGTCGTGTCATCAACTGTGCAAGGTGCTTCCCGCATGAGTCGGGGTCAATAGCATCGGAGGGTTGTCCGGAGCCTTGCAAACCTGATTTGTTTACCGCGGACGACTTGCCTTTATGACCTGCGTTGTCTTTTCTCGGTCGAGCTTTCTTGGGTTCGGGCTTTTCGAGCAGGGAGGCACCGCGCTTGACACCGCCGGCATTTGCTGATGGCGACCGTAGAGGTGCAGATGTTTGGGCGGGCTGAGGCGGAGCGAATCGCTGGGGTGCAACTGAGCCTCCGAGAGCTTTATCGGTGCCATTTGCGACAATTCCAAGGCCGCGAGATGGGCTGAGTGCGAGGTTTTGGCCGAGACTTGTGTTGCTATGAGCATCCGCGCCGCCACCTGTCAAGCTGGTACCAGCCGATAAGGTTACGTTCTCCTTATCCATGGCGATGATGTAGCACCGATGGGACGAGTTGAACCTAGAAAGGACTTGAGAATATGGGACGAGGCAAGTGAAGGTTGTAGAATGGAAGGAATAGAGGAAAATTCTTGCGGGGAAGAACGTGTGATAGCGGAGTGTCGCTTGTAGTGTGCTGAGGTGGAACTCGTATTTTTTCCCCTCTACTTCTCGCAAATTGTATGCGCAGTGATATTGAAGAGTGTTGCCAGAAGTGGGAAGGCGTGTTCCCGGTGAAGAAAATTGGGGTCTGGGAAATGAAACTAGATGAGGTGACTTGGGGGAACTGAAGTACGTAGTTCCGGCCACGGGTAGCTTGTGAAGGGCTGATGAAGACGATCAACCGAAGTGAGAAGACTGGATAACGGTTGCTTTTGCGATAGCAGCCGTAGATGGAAGGAAGCAGTGAGTTGAGACCAAGTGTAATTAGTTCACTGCGCGGCCCGAAGGATGCGCAAAACTCGGCTCTCGGGAGATTTATGAGATGTAAGAGGAGAGAACTACCGAATTCGATCTGGTAGGAGCTCTTTATGGAGTGAGGTTGCTTGGAATACTTCCCCGAGAAAGGTTCACAACTTGAAATATGTGCGGTTGTCAGAGGCCCATTTGTCACTGTCTCTTCAGAAGGAAGGGATGCCCGTTCCGGTCCTTCTGTGGCATAAGTTGGGAGAAGTAGATATGAGAGCGTTCTGAAGTGCGAATCGCAAATACAGAAATGGCTAAGGAAGGCAAGATCGAAAGGAGATGATGAGGTCCCATTTGTGCCGACGCGTTGAGATCCCTCCTGGGTCACGGTTGGCAGCGCTTGGATGGCCAGTGTAGAGAAGGTAGATCATTTAAACAACACCTTGGAGAAATTACGCAGGTATTGGAGACGTTCAAAGTGAAGACTTGAATAAGCAGTCACGACTTTATCATCCTAACGGGCAGTTTTTGACGGTAGAAGGCGTGTACATGACCGAGATGTGTATTCGACAGTGTTTGTGCTTTTGGTCGTATTCATATTTCTTTCGCCCGTCCGAACCCAGATTTCTGCTAGTAGCTTCCACTTTTGCATTTACCGGAGCAGTGTTTCATTATTACTTTCCAAGAATATCGAATGTCCAATTTACGATGTGGTGAGACAGTTCCTACGTGGCAGAAAAATATTCCGTGTTCTCGCACTGACGCTGGACTCTTCAGCATATTCGATTTTCATCCACGGGGCTTAGACTCTTTGCAGTATAACCCCACGTAGTCCTACCCATGAGGGTGTTCTGTTCGTTTGATTTCATTCATGAGTCGTCAACTTCTTTCTTTTATCCTCGCCCCTTGTATCATTTTCGTCAACTTGTAGATGTCCATCCATGGTAGCATTATGGTGCTGGTTTTGACAGGCTATGGGGCAAAATGTATTCACAATTTTTCACGATATCCATGTGCATTCATCGCGCAGTAACAACCAGCATTTGTATAAAATCCAAAAAGACTTCGATACCATCAACCGCCCTTCATTAACGTCAGGGAAGCTTCTTAGCATCATACCCTGGATTTAGTCCCACAGGTCAACTAGCTCAAGTTCCCCTCTCCGTAGTCTGTAATGTGATCAAGTCATGTCTTTTACCGCTTGGGAACAGCTACCGCAGCTATGACTCTTCGGTCCATCCATGCAACATCCGGAGGGTTCTTGTAGTCACCTCCACGGCTGAACCAGCTGCCACCCTGCTGCTTATTGTTCAGGCCACACATCCCTTTTCCATACCACCAGTTCGTGCCCTGGCACTTCTTATCAGCCGCGCATGCGTCCTTGAATGGATGGTCAACTTTGAGTCTATTTTGTGGGGGATTGATTGGCCTTACGAGACAGTCTTGGAAGGTCGCTGACCCTCGCTTGTTCATGTTCATGACTGCGGAGAATTTGCCACTCCAGTCCAAGGGGTCGGTGTACTCGATGATATTACGCTGGCACCAGACCTGAAATCTCACCCCATTCCTTGGATTTGTTATTTATAAGTTCGCGGCACGTGATAATAAGGGTAGTGCTTACTTCGTAACCCACTGCCCATTGGAGCCTGGGCATGTGATTTGAGGAACAGGAGGAGGCGGAGGATTGATACAGGCTCGCTTCGAATAGATCTTGCCTGGCGGGCAGCAATCTGCATCTTTAGTCGCGGAGTCAATCGCCATGACGCTACCGCCCTCGCAGCATAGGCTTCCTCCTTTTGGAGCTTTGTACTCGGTCCCAAGGCAGACTATGATCGGTCAGAAACGTAGGCACCTTCTTCTGTATAGGCTCATACTTTTCCCATCCTGGATCTTGCAGTTTCCGTCGAACGAACCATCTGGCTCGTAGGCAGGGACATAGTTTGGTCCCGCCTGTTTGCAAAACTCCTATAATGGTTTCAGCTATGTGTTGTTCGCTTCGCCAGGTATCCTTATGAAACAGAGAACTACAAGGGGAACTTACCTCCGGGCTGACGTTTTGAGCAACTGCAACGTGCGTTGAGGCACTTGCTAGCAGCAGGCTCAGGATAGTATGGGACTTCATTTTCCAATTTGATAATTGTAAAGTGATCTGCCTGTATACTTGCCTCCAAACTGAGGTAGTCGGAATCGAGAAATACTCAACATTAAGAATCAACCAGGAGACACCAAAGTCGCTGCTGTCCCACCTAGGACAATGAATGACTTCAATGTGCAGTGGGTTGCGAAACAGAAATGCGGAGCCATAACCTTAAGTTACTTTCTTGTGCCGTGTTTCTACCAAGGGACAATATGCAGCAGAGACAGCATTAGTCAGCCAAGCTCAGACAGGGCTCTCAGTTCCCGAGAAGCTGTTTCTGCAAGATCTGAGATCTGCATTAGTCCTGCAGTGAAACATTGGCCTGCCTGCCGGATATCACCGCGCCTGCCGAAGTCTTGTGATCAATGGGTGCCGTTTTTGACTTTGGAAACCGGATGCTCCTCGGGACCGAGGCAATGCAATGTAGCTCCCATACTGCGAACGTCTCGCTCTGTGGAGGCCGGTTTGGAACTATGGAATAGACTCACGGAATGACTGATGACCGGCGTTACAAGTGGACAACTATTTTTGCCTAACCCTTTTCTATTTGACCAGGTCATGATGGAAGTATTCGTGGTGTCATGAAGGAAGAAACAGGCCGCCTGCATAGTGATGCCCTCAATATTTCAGAAGTACGACTGCGTTAGTTACATGTTCTATACGAACAATAGAAAATTTCAAGGTCATGGTGTACCGAAGGATGCGTCGTATTCTGAAAGCTACCTCTTCCCCTAATCGCCAAAGATCTATCTCCTAACTAACTCCCTCACCCCCAATTGCCTCCAACGATGTGCTACATCTACTCTGGATGGTATACAACTGTAGATGGTACACTCACAAATTTCCAACTCAACGTTTCTTGATCGGAACAGCAGATATCAGGTTATCCCCGGGCCTCGGGGTGCCAGTGGCTGGATACTCGTGCTCAGACATCATCAAGCAGCCATCGCTTCCACCATCATCGTAGAAGTTCACTCCCTGGCACTTGGGATCGGCGGTACAGAGCGCAGCGCACTCACCGATATCCGCTGCTGAGGCAACTCTGTAGTCTGGGAAGTTCTCAGATACTCCTTTAGTGCACTGAATCTCGTACATGACCCCGCCCACATCAACATGTCGGTTTCCAACATCGGGGCAGTGCTTAGGGTCACCAATATCACCGGGAGAGCCGCTGCTTTGTGGTGGAGCAGTTGACGGGGCGTCAGTGCTTGGGACATTGGTTGTTGGAGGACTGGAAGGTGGCGGGTTGGAGGCCGGGGGACTGGTGGCAGGAGGAGCAGTGGCTGGCGGACTACTCTGAGGGGGGGCAGCAGTATTTGCATTATTGCTGTCCTCAATCAGATGCGCACTGGCGTAGCCGCCGGGAGTCTTTGCGTCCTCCTTGTTTCCATGAGTGCGGAGATAACAAGTCTTGATGTTTGCGTTGTAGATAGCTCTCACGCACTTAGAGTCCTTAGCACAGTTGTTGATACATTGACCGTGGTTGGGGACGTTGGGCGTTATGCTAATGTCGTTCGCACCGTGATTGACTAGAACGGAGTCAGAAAAGGGTGCATCAACCGGCTTTAATGTAGACTTACTCAATTCGCAGAATATCTTCCATTTTTTGCCACCATTCTCAATGATCTGCAGGTGGTTCTTGGGGCATTCAGGATTGTAATCAACCGGAGGCCTGGGTGCTAAGTCAGAAAGGGTTACACCTCAGGAAGAATGGACTTACTTCGGAGTGCATTTGCAGTCACATTTGAACTCCGCATTTGCAGCGCAGCATGACCCCTTTCCAGTCGAGGCGTCTATGCTGTATACGTGGCCATTATCACAACACTCGCCCTTGCCAGTGCCGGCATCAATGGAGAAAATTTTGCCAGGTTCGCAACAATCTCCCTTCAGGGTGGCGGGGTCAGAGACATAGGAAAGACCTTGAGGACAGCAGTAGCTCTGCTTGGTCGCCTTGTCGACGCTGGTATCGAAGCCAGGATCACAGCACTTCCCATCCCTGAGCAGAGGCTGTACGGAAGTATCCCATGACAGATGCTGGCCCTGGGGGCAACATCCTCCTTGATTGGCACCAACATCGAAAGAATACTTCTGAGGCTTTACACAACAGCCTCCTTCCAGGGTAGCAATAGGATCAGTGGAGAATTCTCCCTGCTCAAGTCAGTTTGAAAACAATGTGGCAGTGTTGCAGGATCACTCACGTTTCCTTTCTCGCAGCAGCCTGGTTGGTTGGTCTTCGGGTTCGTGTAAGGGCCCCAGTAGCATCCTTTAAAGGGCGGCGCTCTGCAAGTGGTAGTTGGTTCTGACTATTGTCAGTGAATCTCTTTGAGTGACTGTAACAATGATACATACTCCCATTGCTGTCGAATACCATCGCTAACGGACATAAAAATTAGTCATGCTCTGATGATTCCCCTGGAGATCTACTCACAGTATAGTTGCCCATGTTCTGGAAACTAGTTAGCAATTATGATTTCGAATCCTCATCATGATACTCACTGGCTTTGCACTTGTCGTCCCAGAACTTCTTATCAGCAGGACTTGGGTCAACTGCGACTACCATAGATGCACCTAGCATCAGACACAGGGTGCTCTTACCCAAGCTGAAGCCAACCATGATGACAAGTAATGAGATGTGTTGATGAGGTTTACAATGAGTCCTCAAGTGAAATCGAATATTGAGATTGAGCGCTTGTGAATGAGGTAGTGCAAAAGGATTCCAACCTCTGCGAATGCCTGACTTATTGCTGTAAAAGCGGCCGGGGCAAGACTATGTCGAAACGCATGAAGTTGGAGAAAGGCCGGATGCTGACACGGCGGTCAGTCTCCATCTTCATTTGAGTCCAGGTCTCTCAGCTGCAGATGCCGCCTTGCATATCTGACACACGGAATGCTCGGTTTCTTTTCCATCAGTCACACCAGATCTCTGGGACACAGCTTCACCTGAGATCCTGCGAAACTTGATTTTGGGTAAATAGGGACTATGTTTGACGCCCAGCCATAGCACAGGTCGTCGTGCGTCACCTGTGCATGAGCCGCCCGACTCTATTAGCGGTTTATATGCAGGTTTCTTCAAGCCGTGCAGATGGCGGGAGCGGCTCGCTAGAAGAGTCAAAAAGCACTTCCAAGACTTGCGTTCAAGACATGCCAATCACTTGGGTGGGACCAATCACTGAACACCTCATGAAGCTGGCAACGCAGTCAATCTAGTTGAGCTATCCATTACTCCACCTTACAGCTCTCAATCCTGACATTAGTGTTGTTGTATGCAACTTCATGTTCCACTAACCACCCGTGCCGCCTTTCGTATTGACTATATCGCATCGTGCATGGTTCTAGACATCCACATTTACGACATCCGTCTCAATTTTGGCTTCGATCAAGACTTGGATCACTCCAAAGGTTGCTTCACTATCCGCTTGAACAAGAAAGTTGTTCCCTTGGATAAAGCTCTATCTCAAGCCTGTATCATCTTAAGAAGCATCAAGTACACCCAGTGCCACCCCCTCTCTCTTGGGCCTGCCAACTTGTATCCAATTCACTTGGGTTTACTTCATTCACAGTAGATTAAGCAAAATGCTCCAGAGTACCATCGCCACTGCTATCCTCGGCTATCTTCAGCTCGCAGCTGTCGATGCTCAAGCTGCCAAAGGCAGACCGCCTCGCTATATTTGTCCTCAGGATAAGGACCTTCAATACACAACGCAAGCTCCAATACCTACCACTCTCTTGAACATAAAGATCTAAGACTGACATGAGAAACTACCTGTAGCCCCGAGCCCAATCCAGTAACTTTTCAGCTAAAGTGCGGCTTCGGAACCCATGCCAAGCAACTTGATAGCGCACAGAAAAATTCCCAAAGAGAATGTGCCGACTTTTGCTCGGAGCATCCAGATTGCCAATCTGCTGATTACAATTGGGGAACTAAGAATTGCGTTCGATTCCGCGAGGTGAGCTCGATTTCTGACATGTCGATTCAACAAAGACTAACGTCACGCGTAGTACATACCGGTAAGTGCACGATCAAGATGCAGCTACATATGTCTGTCTAATCTGTTGTTGACAATGTTCAGCTGGTTCCCAACGTAAGTCGCTCCAGAGACCTTCCTGACAAGCCAAGTCTACGGTGTTAACCGGTATCGTTTACTAGCCCAATGTCAACACATGGTTTCCGCTTGAGGAGCGCAAGAAGGATCCGCAGCCAGACCCGCAAGAGAGAACTCCGGCGAGCTGTCCTGCATCGCCAAAACTCATCGTGGAGAGTGTAGCTGAAGCCGGATCGTACACTACGGACAGCAAGTGTCCGCAAGGTATGCTCCATTTGGAACTCCTGTTCCCGAACAGCTCAGTGAGTTGGATAGCTAATTGAGATTCAACACTATAAGATGACAACAAGATCTTCATTAGCTCTGGAGGAACTTACATGCGCACCCGATGCAACGCCCATGTAGAAGCCAAGGCACCGTTTGCAACCTTGGCCCTTAGCACCTTGAGCGAATGCTTCAACCACTGCAGCGAAACCGAAGGCTGTAATAGGTAAGCAAGCCTTGAGCGTTTTGGAGAGTCTCTCACTCTAGGCGGTGGCTAACGAGGCTGCAAGTGTCTCTTGGGAAGGCGGACGTCCCACTTGGGCATGCAGATTATACAGCGAAGGCGAAGAAGCTGCCAAGCCGTGCCTCAACAGTATGTGACAAATATGTATGATTTTGAAAGGATTCTGACCAGATTCTAGAACTTCACGACATGGCCTTCATCATGGAGCCCCCTACCATTGAAGCAGCGGATGACCCCATGATCCTCTGTAGTACCGAGTGTCCCTATGCTAATGGGCAGACTTGGGACTCACCGTCTGGGGTGGTAAGTATCCAGCAGGACACGATTTGAAGGCCCTCTCCGACTAACCAATCACTAGAAATTTCACATGGACTGCTGCAAGCGCCACGGCGTCAAGGCCTTCGCCAAGGAGAAGCTTCCATCCCTGAAGGCGTGCATGGCAGCTTGTGCAACAGCACCAGCCTGTCAGTCCGTCGACTGGCAGCAGGACAGCGGCATGTGCTACTTTGGCAAGCACTCAGGCGAGCCGACCATCAGTGTGTCGGGATGGAGCTCCGCGCACGCCGTGGGATGCGCTGGAGCCTGCAAGAAGGACGGCTGCGGATGCTCAGGAGATAAGAATGACACCAAAGACGAGCTTTAGGTCAAACATGCATCATAGCATGACTAAGCCATTGCAGCATGAAACGAGGAGACATGGTCAAGTCCAAACATGTGTTGAATGCCTTCTAAGCAAGATCCTCATAGACAGAGGCAGTCCCCTGATCTGTACAACTGAGCTCTAGTGATTATATTGTTTACCTGTATCACCGGGTGTGTGATCCCGCATCAACGCAATTGACCCTCAACAAGTTGCTAGCCCTTTACCAACGCGCCTGAAATTGGGTACATAAGTAGGCGGCACGCGGGAGACTCGGCCAAAGTTATTGCTCTCTGTAAAAACAGCGATATATCACTGACAGCAAGAATAGCGCCGGCCGTAGGGGATCCCACTGGTAGCGGGAAATGGCTGTTTCCCGTTTCATGTCTGATTTGCTAAATTCGACAATTGTTTTTGCGACGAAGAGAACCGGCCAAGCTCAAGACTCGATAGCGATGTAGGTGGTGGGTCTCTACCAGTGTGGCAGTCATTCAAGTGGCGTATACCACACACATAGGCTATGATTGGTACCCCAAACCTGACCAATCACAACCTTTACCTTGTGACTCCAATTACAGGAGAATTGGCTGGGTGGCGCAATTGGTAGCGCGTGAGATTCCAGTTAACCTAGTGTTGATTCCTCAAGGTCGCGTGTTCAAATCACGTCCCGGTCATCTTTTTGCTGCCGCAGCTCGAGTTGCATTTAATTGACGAGTGGCCGTGTGTCTAATGTGATGGCCGTGAAATTGTCTGCACGCAGGAAAAGACGGGCTGAGAAAAGCAATCGTTGGTGGTCTAGTGGCTTGGCAAAACCAAGCCTGTTATTTATGCTAGAACAGGTCATGGGGCCAAGGAAGACAACTGAAAACAAATGTGTTTGGCGGTGCTGCATTACTGCAAGGGATCTCGTGTCTTCTCTAGCTTTCTGCCTCTCTAAAAGAATTCATAATTTTGGCTGCGGAAAGAACAAATCAGATGCGAATCTATTCCTTGACTTAATTGTCCAAACATTTTGGAGTCTGTGGCGCCATATGTCACCCACTTGCTCATGCGGACGGAGACTCTCGTTCATGGTCCTTGCAACATTCCGAGCGCCTTTGGGGCATCCATAATATGTATGGTTTTCTGCTGCAACTGTTCCTTTTTGATGAAGAAAACACGAATAGAAATGATCAATTTTGCCATGTCGTCACTGCCAAATGCCGATTCAGCTCAATAGCAAAGGACATGCAAGCTATACAGCAGCGTCTGTAGGCACTCTTCGCCTCATCGTCTGGTAATACTACATAGCCCAGTTCGCCGGAAAGGTTATGGCTTCACTCCACAGACTGTACATGGCTTTTAGGCCTAGAAACCAAGGATGCCAAAGACGTAGGGAGTGTTCATCGGAGCTCCCAAGCGGGCCGGATGGAAAGGTGCTATCAGTTGACTGCGGTATTGTATGTGTGCTGGCGGTCCTCCATAGCACCGTCTCTAACTATTCAGCCGCAGCCTAGGATATCACAGGTAGATCATTCGCTTGCAGGCTTCGGAGAGCCTGGGAAGTAGCCAGTGTTAAGATAAGCAAGACTTTCGATCTCACGGTATGGATATCATATTCACTGCCTCACGAAGGTGCGCCTGCTCTATCTTAGTATGTACAGAATGACTCCCCTCGCGGCCTGCCTTTCCTCTACTGTCTTTGCGCAGCAACGGGCTCCCAGGCGGTGTGCTTCGGCTTGACACTGTTTCCCCGTCGTGTGGTTAGCAACTGTCCCGTTGCTCACTGGCTCGACCACCCAGGTGGGACAACGGGGACAACTCACGTGTTGTAGGGCTTGTAGGCTCCCCTCGTCATGGTGTGGTTGGGAATGGTATTGGCGTCCTTGTCCTCCCAGGCGCGGCGCTGGTAGGCGAGGCCGGCGTCCTGGGACGGGGCCTTGTCGACGGCGTAGGACATCCAGGCGTGCCAGCCGGGCTCGATCTGTGCGGCGTCGAAGTCGTGGACCTTGTAGTCTACCCAGCGCGTTCGCACTGTGGTTGTGATGCAGCGTGTGAGCTTCCTCGTCTCCAAACAGACACCGGTATCATGGGTGCAGAGAAGGCAAGACAAAGACACGGTCATGTGTCGGCGGGGGACGTACGCGGCAGTTCCTCGTTGTTCTCAAAGTACTTGTTGCCGAACCTGTCGGTGCCGATCAACACACCGGCCTTGGTGTCGCCGATGTACTGCGGGGATGGTTAGACGTGCGGCCACTCGCTCGGCTCGGGGGACATGGGGTGGTCGGAGAGGGTCTGCGTACGTTCATCTGGTGGAAGTAGTCCTGGTTGCGCGGGCGCATCGTCAGTCATGAGCTCGGGGCGGCAGGGAGCGGGGGCAGTACCTTGACGCCGACCTTCCACAGGTTGCGGGCGGTTCTCACAATGTTGGACATGGTGGGCGAGGCTCAATTGGACTCACCGGCGTCGGCTTGGTTGCTTGGATGCTCGGGATGGTGGTGATGCCAAAGTGGTTGACCTTCCAGAGCTCCGGGCCGGGCCAACGTCGGGAAAACCGGGAGACGCCAGCGCCAGACCAGGCGGAGCGGTACAGGGGGGTACAGAGGGACGGCGGTACACCCAAGACACCTACACAGTAGACACACGCCCCCCCCCCCCCCCCCCCCCCAGAACGCGCTAAATGCCCCGGACCTTCATCATTTCTTCCCCCGGCGCGTGGCCCAAGCTCGAAAAGTTGCAGGGCGCGGTTCCTGGTCCGCAAGTGAAGCCATCACCATGTAGTCAGCTCAGATCGTTCGGCCAGATCAAATCCTTCCCCTCCCCGAGTCCTCGACCCATCCTTCGGCAATGCTAGCTCGGGGTGCTTCGCGATGCTGCCAGACGCTGCGTCCGGCATTGTCTCGGACCCCGGTGCGCTACGGCAAGGTCCAGCGCCGCCGCTATTCCATGCCCTCGAGTGCTGCTGCGCCGGTTAGTCCCAGCTCGGTGGGCGTGTTGGCGCCCTTCACCAACGAGCTTGACAAGATCGCCCCCTCGTTCAGGATCCAAGGCTCCCAGATCAGCATTATCAAGTCGCCGGCCGATTTCTACGACACCCTGAAGACCAAGATCAGGGGTGCCAGGAGGCGCATCTTCCTCTCCACCCTGTACATTGGCAAGTCAGAGCAAGACCTGGTACAGTGTGCTTCGTCTCGGGCCCAAATATTCTTCTGCTGACTGGTATCAAGATCGCGACTCTTCAGGACTCCCTACGAGCCAACCCGGACCTGAAGTTGAGCATCCTTACCGACGCACTGCGAGGAACCAGGGAAGCCCCGAACCCGTCGTGCGCATCCCTCCTTGCGCCCCTGATCACCGAATTTGGCCCCGAACGTGTCGAGATACGCATGTACCACACCCCGAACCTGACCGGGCTGCGGAAAAGGCATATTCCCAAGCGCATCAACGAGGGATGGGGGCTGCAGCACATGAAGCTCTACGGCATCGATGACGAGATCATCTTGTCCGGCGCCAACTTGTCGACCGACTATTTTACCAACAGACAGGACCGATACCATCTTTTCTCGTCCAAGGAGGTAACTGGATACTTTGAAGGCCTATACAGAGGTGTCACCTCTCTCAGCTTTCAAGTAGAGCCTAGCAAAACACCATCCGGTTTCGAGCTCGTATGGCCGGCCGAGAACGCGGCCCCATCCCCTTTGGAGGACCCGAAGCAGTTCATCTCGAGCTCAACCGCTGTTGTCAACTCGCTCATCTCACCGAAGGAGGCCCTTCAAGCTCCTGCAGCCGGAAAAGAGGGTGCGGCTCCAGACACTACCGTTTACATGCTTGGCCAGCTGTCACAACTGCTGAAGCCGGACACATCGACCGAACTACCAGCAGTGTCTCATGTCCTGCAGACGCTTTCCGCGCCTCAGTATGCTGGATCGTCGTGGACTTTCACCGCCGGCTACTTCAACCCGGCCCCATCGTTGACAAACCTGCTCATGTCTACTGCATCATCAAATTGTACCGTCATCACGGCATCGCCACAGGCAAACGGCTTTTACGGATCGAAGGGAGTTTCTGGCATGCTGCCAGATGCCTACACTCTGTTGGCCCGCCGTTTCTTGGAAGCTATTCACCGACAGAAGCGCGAAGCCGCTATTGTTCTGAAGGAATGGCGAAAAGGCACAGTCGGTGAGCCTGAAGGCTGGACCTATCATGCCAAGGGACTCTGGATCACTCTTCCCAAGGAGAACAGCCCGTCCATGACCATTATTGGAAGCTCCAACTATACCAAGCGCAGTTACTCTCATGACCTGGAAGCCGGGGCTCTCATTGTCACCGAAAATGCTGAGCTGAAGAAACGGCTCGGAGAAGAGCAAGTCTGGCTACAGGACTATGCGAAGCCTGTCAGCCTTGAAGATTTCACAAGGACTGACCGGCGGGTGGGACTCCATGTGCGGATCGCCATGTGGATTGTCAAGGCTGTGGGTGGCGCGCTATAGTCGTCACTGCAGTCTCGGACAATGATGGTGCCAAATGCAAACCACGGCTAAGATGCGGCTTGTTGGGTGCCATCGCGCTCGCAATCCCATCATGGAGCCTCGGGCACTCGATCTACGATCTCCGACTCCGACTCGGAGATTCTGGAGATTCTGCGCCGGTCGGTCCACAACCACCGTATCCGGCACGGAGCACCAGCTTCCGTACAGGATCTCCCCCCAACGATACCCATAATAGTATATAATTCGTTCTCATCTCGACCAGCTTGTCCTGCTCAGGTACGCGAGAGAAATGCACATGTCACAGATGAATTGCCATCCAGCATCCGGGACCCTGCCCGCGTTGCCGGGACCCGGAGTCTGGGGCCGTGATCTAGGTACGGCACACTAATTGCCAATCCTTGTTTGCCTCACACCTATTGGAGGACAAGGACGGAACCAGGCGGCCCTTTCCTGTCGCGGGTCTGACACTTGACAACATACCCCGACTTCAACACGACGCGGTGGGCCGAGGACTTGGAGGCGGAAGGCAATGCTACAAAAGCGAGTAAGGTAGACTTAGCATGTAGGCCAAGAATACTAGCTTCTCTACCCTTCTCTTTGTGACTCTCTGCAAGGTTGACTGTAAAGATGAAGCTGTCCATCTCCTTGGCCGCGTCCTTAGTCTCCGGCGCGTATGCCACCATCTACTACGCTGGCGTTGCTGAGTCTGGCGGCGAGTTCGGAGTCTGGTCGCCAACATCGACACCAGGCACTGGTCTCCCAGGCCGCTTTGGCGTTGACTATTCCTTCATCAGCGAAGCAGCTGTCGATGTCTACGTGGACCAGAACCATGTCAACCTCTTCCGCATTGCCTTCCTGTTGGAGCGCATGTGTCCCCTTGCCACCGGTCTTGGCGCGACCTTTAACGAGACACACTTTGGGTACTATAAGCAGGCCGTCGACTATGTGACCAAGACGAAAGGCGCCTACGCCATCCTCGACCCGCACAACTACATGCGCTACAACAACCCGAGCTCGCAGCCCTTCAGCGGGAGCGTCATCGGCAACGCGTCGGACCCGACGGCGGCCACGACGGCGCAGTTCGGCGCCTTCTGGGGCGAGCTGGGCCGGCGCTTCGCCGACAACGAGCGCGTCATCTTCGCGCTCATGAACGAGCCGCACGACATGGCCACGAGCCTCGTCCTGGCCAACAACCAGGCCGCCATCGACGCCATCCGCGCCGCCGGCGCCAAGAACCTCATCATCATGCCCGGCAACAGTTGGACCGGCGGCCACGCCTGGACCGAGGGCAGCGACCCGAGCTCAGCCACCATGAACAAGTTTGTGGACCCGGCCAATAACACCGCCATCGATATCCACGAGTACCTCGACTACGACTACAGCGGTGGGCACCTGGAGTGCGTCAGTGACCCGAAGACGAACCTGGACGCACTGACGGGCTGGTTGAAGGTTGGTTTTCTCTTTCCCTGTGACCCCTGTCATCCCGAGGCGAGGCTAAGATGCGTGCGTCGCCAACAGACAAACAAGCTCAAGGCCTTCATCACCGAGTTCGGCGGCTCCAACTCGACCTCGTGCCAGAAGATGGTCCCGGAGATGCTCAACTACATGGCCAAGAACCCGGAGTATATCGGCTGGACGGCGTGGGCCGCGGGCCCCTTCTGGGGCACCAACAGCCCGTGCTGCACCAACTCGACCCTGCTCGGCAGCCTGGAGCCCGGCAGCAAGGCCGGCGACGGCAGCCCCGGCCTGTACGAGACCGTCTGGCTCAAGCTCATGCAGCCCCTCGTCCCCAAGCTGCTGCAGTGGAGCGGCCCGGCGAGCGTGTCGGGCGGTAAGCTCACTGCCAAGGCATAGAGGGGGGAAGTATGCTACACTGGGGAAGCAGAAAATCTTAAGATCATGTATTATAGTCGAATTGAATCGGATTATCTGTTGCGAGGTATCATCCTAATATAAACGTGTGAAAAGAAACTCCCAAGTCCAGTCTGTTGATAGAGATCCGTAAATCCCGTCCGTCTTTCATTCAAATCAGCCATAGCTCCCGAGAACTCCGTAGGCCGTCCCGTTCGATTCCATCCATCATTCTCTCATTGATCCATCCATTAAAAGCCCCAACCGGGGCTGTCTATCGTGGCATCGAGAAGTAAACCATTCAATCAGTCATCAGATCAAATGGCTTCCTTACTTTCCGCCCAAGCCGCCGAGGCCGGGAATCGAGGGCAAGTTCGTCGGCAGGTAGCCGCCCTTGTCGTCCTTGCCCTGTCGCTCGGACCGGTTGATGCCCTCCTTGGACACCATGTCGCCGAGGGGTTGCAGCAGGCCGCCCTGGCCCACCTGGCCCGCAGCCAGGTTGTGCACGCCGTCCTGCAGGGTGTCGACCTGTTGGATGCCCGTCACCTTGGTCTTGTCAAGAGTATCTGTGGTGCACGTCGTTAGCCGTCCATTCCGAGAGAGACGATCCGGTGATAGGGGTCAGGAGAAGGGCCGCAAAAACTTACCCTTGGTCGCGTAGCTGGCCTTGTTGTCCTTGGTGAACCACTTGAGGAAGGTGTCCTCGATCCATGGCACCCAGTTCTCGTACTGCTCAGCGTACTTCTCCTTGGCCCACTCCATGTACGTCTGCTTCTTCTCCTGGTCCGACATCTCGTTGAAGCCGGCCGGGGGCTTGAACTCGGGCTTGTTATCGGATACTATGGACGTCATATTTGTGGAGGTTTGGCGATGTGTGTATATAAGGTTGTGCGTAGTTATAGAGTATTTGCGACGATGCACAGATGATATACTCGATGATAGAACGTTGATGCCGACCTTGAATACTACGGAGGGAAAAGAGAGCTGGACGGCAAGCCACCGGCAGCCTTTTTATTTCATCTTCCTATTTAGACTCCCAGACACTATGTCATCCATTACAGCTCCCAACGTTATGGGGGGTACGAAAATTGGTGTGGCTGCCAACGACGACCCCGCTACGTCATCCCAAGCCCGACCGGGGCCCTGATTCGCCCGCCGCCTGGTTTTGTGCTGAAACAGGGAATCCTGGGCCAATGTCATCAGCCACACCAAGTTTTCCACCCGCTCCCGCATGATAGCAACAAAGGCTTCGTCGTCAGTCGGGCGCAGGTTTAGGCGAGAATCGCTAGTTAGTCACTCGGCCGCTCTTGGTGCCATGGCTGCCATGGCTGGTTGTCTCTTTAGTTCGCTGGTCATCCGGCTGTGGATACCGCCTAGCATCGAGTTGGCGGGCGATCACTGGGGACTGACTGGGCTGGTCTCAACCCGCCCGCCCGTGATGTTGGCAGCCATATCCTTGGCTATCTCGAAAAACTCTCGCTGCAATTCCACGCATGCCTTGTCAACACCAGGTGCGCTTAAGGTCCTGCTTATGCATCAAGTGCTGCAGCGCTTGTCTTTGACGATTCCGGTTTGCTGCACATGGAGCATGCGTCGTCCTTCTTGGCTCTCTTTCCTCACTCTCTCTCTCTCTCTCTATCAAAGAGAGACCAGGAGCCATGTTAAATGCTGGCTATGAGCTCATCCATTACTTTTAACTAGAGATAATGTGAACGCGTCAGAGAGAGCAGTCGGCGTTATTCGAGGCGACTTGAAATCACTAGTTAAATGGCAAGAGCTAGATTTCTTCACCGGCTCGTCTATACGCCAACCAGATGCCGTATGCACCATTGGCCCAATCAAGTTGTTAAATCTCCATCCCATTTTCCCCCTCTGCTTTTAAGCTAGAGCTTGTTAAAGCTCGGAAATGCCTAGCTTTTGAAGTCTTCGTGTCTGGCAAAATCCCACTAAAGGACACCTGCTGTAAAAGAACAACATCATGCGCCCCATATAGAACTTTTACCTCCCACTGGCCTCTCAACATTCTTATACCTCTCTGCCGCATCCTTGGTTTCTGACTTCCATCTTTTCGTGGAGCCCCAGTTCTCAAAGCTGCCAGGCTTCGCCTCCAGCTTCTTCAGGTTAGCAACCTCCTCGCTGTCCGGCCCTTCGCATAGCTCCCTGGCTATCCTCGCACTCTCAGCAAACACGCTGGCCCTCGCGGCGTCCGAGTGCATGGCACAGATCTGGAACGCGTCGTAGTACAGCCTGGGCACCCTGAGGTCCGTGATGCCCTCCTCCTCGTAGACCCGCAGCAACTCGCGGCAGTCGTTCAGCGCGTCCTCGGGCTGCATCTTGACCCGCTTGGAGTCGCCGATCCGCTCGTCCAGCGCCTGCGCATCGCGGAGATGTTTGTCGCTGCGGGCGAGCTTGTTCGCCGGCAGCGCGCACAGCTCGCACGCGCACTCGAAGCCAAAGAACTGCCGCAGCGCGGCGCGGCGCTCGGCGCTGGGCCCGCCGTTGTGGTAACTCAGCGTCAGCTCCTCGCCGGGCGCCACGTCGCGCACGGCGTAGACGGTCTCGCGCTGCAGGGCCTCGTTCCACGCGTGCTGCGCGTTGGGGCGGCACGAGTGGTTGAGGCGGGCGATCAGCGGGAAGATGGCGCCCACGTCGCTGGACGGGCCCAGCGGGTAGCCGTTGGACCGGATGATGTTAGAGAAGGGGTTGGGCTGGCCCGGGAAGTTGTTGTGTAGCGCCAGAAACGCGCGTTGGCCCTCCTTGGGCAGCCCACGGATGATGCGGCCTAGGTCCTTCTCGATGTTGTCTGCATCCGTCAGGCTGGCCGTGGTGAAGAGCGGCGGCTCGCTGATCAGCAGCGTCCCTGCGCTGATGGGCTTGGCGGCAACGAGGCCTTTGCCCTTGGAGGGTATGGACTCTAGAGTGAAGAGATCTGTGTCTGGGAGTCCTGTCGGGACTGGATTGTCTTTCGCTGGGGGCATGATGATAGCAATATAAAGGGCCTTGTTGGCTTTATATCAGTGCAATACGTATACAAGCTGGACTACCTAGCAGGATGCGCTTCGGCCACTGCCGCTGTGAACTCGTAACCTCACAGAATAGCTAAAAGAGTTTGGCAGAATCTAACACAATGAAGTTTGTTTGTCTTATACACATATGCCGAAGGAGGACTAGCGTGCTAGACTCCCAGCGAGGGTATACTCAACATACACAGCAGATGTGAAAACGGATGCAAAATGAGCGCACTGTCGTTTCGGTTTTTTATTGTTGCGGCCTAACAGCCTCTGCCGCCGCTGTGGGCCACTGGCTGCAAGTCTGACATAATGCGAGGCATAATTTCGGGATTCTAAGCAGCAAATGCTGGTCCAAGCCAAATACCGGCTCTGACTTTACTCTTTTTAGATATAGTGCGAAACTCGATGTGGCACTTCTCACCTGGTTGAAGGTACAGTTACCTCATCTATCAAACGCACGAACCTCCTCATCATAATCGGAAATTCCGTCGCATGGAAAACTCTTGATCCTATAGAGTGATCCGATGTTTTCAGTGTTGCAGACGAATGTGGCCTCGCTATAGCTTTGTCGACCTTTGCAACTGGCAGTTGGCGGCAGCTGCTCTGTTGTAATCCGGGCTTGGATGTTCTATTCCTTTGGACGGAATTGTCTGGCAAGTCGCCATTACCTCAAATCTTGAATCGCGGCTATCATTGCCCTCGAACACTCCATATTGAACTTGAATTAGCGAAGAGTGCAATTGAATATGTTCTGTTTGGGTATCAGCCTTCTAAGAAGAAATTTGTAGCCGCCAGCCAAATGCCAGTCTTGGTAAGTATCAAACCGCGGTTGAGTGGAAGGTACGTGCTCAAAATTAGACTTTTGACGGGCACAGATGGGCGATGACTTGCATTAACCAAAACCCAAAGCTAGTACCCATAAGCACAGATCGGCACCGGCATTGCATTGTGGAATTGCCTACTGGATGTCTTGAAGTTGACTTCGAGGGAATATTAAGTCTACAAGAGCTGTGGTAATCATGGTTGATTCGAAAAGGTCAAGCATGCTTTCCTATGAGGGTTGCACCCGTAGTGCTCCCACTCAACGCTCCTCGATCGCGTCACTACCCCAGCCCCATTTGCAGCAGACGGATTCGCAGACGTACGCCAGATGGTGTCGTACACTAGGTGTAACTTCAAGTGTGCGGTCGACTTGCTTGCATCATCGCCATTCGTGTTTGACACACCGCACGAAGATTCCAGCCGGCGTGACCGCCTATGGATATCATTTGACTCAATGCCGCTCATTTGACATGGCCTGAAGACAAAGTCACGATTGAACGAGCGCCTTGAGATTGCCCTCATTCTTGACATCATCCTCAACCACCTGCTTCTGGCCAATCCCGTCCGCAGTGCGCGTGTACTTCACGAACGTTGGCACCGCTCTGAGGTCCCATTTTGTGCGGAACGGGTTGTCTGCCTTCCGCCACCTGTGATACATGTCAGCTCTCATGCGCCACAACCATCGAAATTTGTTGTTTCACTCACTCGGGGAGCTGTCCCACGCTGACAACAAGGATCTCCTCCGGACGCTTCTCAAAGTACTTTTGCACCACGGGGATGGCGGCGCGCACGTCGGGGCACCATGGCTTGCCGGTGCTGGAGTCGTTGTCGCAGATGAAGAATATGTAGGTCGAGTCACCGACGCCGGCGAGTCGGTCGGTTAGGCCCTGCCAGGTGGAGGGCAGCGACGACAAGCTGGTATTTGTGAGCACCATGTTGCGATGTCCGAGCCTTGACGTGGTTCGATCTCAGAGACTATGTTTCAATGAAGTCGAGTGTTCTGCCACGTGTTCTTGCCGACTTCTTGTGTGTGCGGACGTCGTCGTTCGGAGTCGCTCAAAGCAGCACGCAATTGCCGCAGAAATGACAGGACGGCGGTCGGGGTGGGGCCACTGCGGAAAAGACAATGTGGAGCAGAGTAATCCGACGACCCGCCGCACCACGAACGCAGGCGTATCTTTTGTCTCTATCTTGGCTAAGTTATATGCCAGCCATTGGTGGTACCCTCTGGAGGCTCCCATGGCGCTTACAGGTCTAGAGGTGAAAGTCGAAGTCATAGAGGCAGCCAGCGTCAGCTGCAGCAGCGGGGCTTGACTGCGGCAGGCACTGCCACTGCTCTCAGCCTCGCCAAAGGCACTTCTCCCCTCCGCTCCAAACTTCCGCCATCTTCGTCCTTCCAACAGCTCCATCCTCGCCGACTGTTCCATGGGCCGCTGACTTGGGCTTGTTCACAGCCCACTAGTCATGAGACTCATCAACGTGAGGACTCTCGAGTTTGAGGAGTTCGTTGGGAGAGACAAGCCGCCGTACGCGATCTTGTCCCACACCTGGGAGGACAGGGAAGTCTCATTCTCACAGTACAGAGACTGGCGACGGAATCACTGCAGGCTTGTGGAAGAAATTCAACATGAAGACCTCGGACGAGAAGCGCAGCATGAGTGGCAGATCGTAGTTCTCTCGGACCTTGCCATCGACTGGGACGAACTGATAAGGGACAACGCCGAACATGGACCAGGCCTCACAAAGATACTTAATTGCGCCAAGGAGGCTACCAAGGATGGCTGCGGCTACATCTGGGTTGACACTTGCTGCATCGACAAGTCAAGCAGTGCAGAGCTGCAGGAGGCCATCAATTCAATGTTCCGCTGGTACGAAGAAGCCTACACGTGCTATGCCTACTTATCGGATGTTACCTCATCCGACATCCAAGCTGATGGGTCGTCATTCACCAAGTCTCGTTGGTTCAAGAGGGGTTGGACTTTACAGGAGCTATTGGCTCCCTCTGAGGTCTATTTTTATAACAAGAACTGGACGTCGATCGAATCGAGAAGTAAACTCTCGCTCAAGATCGAAGACATCACTGGCATCAAATCTGTGTATCTCAGATTAGGCAACACTGGGCTGACAAGATCCAAGGTGATCAAGCGGGCAAGTGTGGCACAAAGGATGTCTTGGGCGGCTGGACGAGAGACAACTCGAGAAGAGGACATTGCCTATTGTCTTCTGGGCTTGTTTGGTATACACATGCCCATGCTCTATGGCGAAGGAGACCGGGCGTTTCGGCGCCTCCAGGAGGAGATTATGCGAAACTCACGAGATTCTTCTTTGTTTGCCTGGGGCTACTCAGGACAATTGATTCCTACAGATGTCAATTGTGACGGGATACTGGCCCGATCTCCGAAGCAATTCAAAGGCTGTGCAACGGTGCGTACCGATCTCTACGCCAAGGACGCAAGGAACGAATCGTCTATGTCCCAGGGCCTGCTACGTCTGAGAGCACCTATAGTGGAGGACCCTATCCACAAAAATCTAGTATATGCAGTGCTTTCCTGTCGTGTCACTGTTACACGCGAGACTGCCCCAAAGGGAAACGCGGGTGATAGCTCGAGCGATGAGTCTGTTGATCGTTATACTACAAAATCGATCGACTATGAACATTTGGTTCTCCCCCTCATATCAACACGAGACTACCCTAGTGACGAAGAGGAAGATGGGGATGAGCTGGAACATAACATGTACCTCCGTGCTGAATGGTTGTTCCCAATAGTCTATCCCGGTATTTTGGACGCCAAATATACCACGAGGAGCATCCTGATTACAGGGGATCGTGACGTATTGCCAGAGTTGCAGCACACTTTCATATGTAATGACCAGGAGTACCTTTCAGAATGGAAGCTGAGAGGAATGTATCCCCCACAACTTGATACACAGACCATTCACCAGTTCGATGACATCGAAATGGGAAGCAGCGACACTGAAGACCAGATATGTCGAGATCATCTGCGTCTACGTTGGTACGAACGGGGAAAGGGCGAATATTTACTCCTTCTGATTGACCTGAAAACCGCCCTGAGTCGCCAGTTCGTTATCGACGAAAGGATACCACAGGAGGACTCGTGGTGCACCATCTTCAGGCTGGAGAAGCCTATGAACCTCCGACGCGCCCAGAGGCTAGTCTTGAAGTATGGCTTCCTAAACCTAAAACCGGGCATACTCAAGGACGAAGCAGGTCTGATCATCAGGCATGAACGGCTTTTAGAGGTAACAGGGACAAGTGACGACAAAATGTATGAAAACTTGAAATTCGCCAAGGAGTATTTAGCGACGTCTCGGGATGTTGGTTGGTAGGAATAAGTCGTACTTAGAAGAAAAGGCCCATATACTGTCGCCGAAAATACATCAAAATCACAAGTCTTCTTCAAAATCACATGTATTTTGGCTGCGTAGATCGTCAGAGACGGTGCCCCCCTCGTCCATTTTCTTCACTTCCAAACCAGCGAAAACGTATGTTAATATGAACGTAAGTGTTAGGAGTTAGGTAACCAGGTGTTGAAACTACTAGTATATGTGATTGATATTGGTGGCTGCCTTTTTTGCCTCGTCAATTTGCACTTCTGGGGGTAATTAACTCGGTATTGAATGGTCTTCAAACTTATCCAAATTACAGTTATCTCTCGTCTGCTATAAGGGCACCATTTACACAAGACTCAATGAACCTCTAGTCGTGTTGGAGTCATTTGTCGTGAGTAAGACATAGGTAGGATTTCAATATGTCACTATCTCGATACGTGGAGAGATAAACCCCAGAAACAGCGAGCAATTTAGTGTAAGACCAACCCACTACTCTTCCTCCTTCGTATCCATCCAGCCGGCATCTTTGTACTTGTCGGGCCTAGACTTCCCTGCAATCTTGGCATTCTCCAGAAATGCGCGGATCTCCTTCTCATGGTCGTCGGTCAGGTTGATGTCGAGTGCAGCCCGGTTCTCCTCGAGTCGCTCGATACTCTTGGTGCCGGGGTTCGGGATGATGTTATCGCCTTGCTTCAACAGCCACGCGAGGGAAAGCTGACTAGTGGTGCAGTTATGTTTGTCAGCGATCTGCTTGAACTCCTCGACAATCTTGGCGTTGGCCTCGCGGTTCCCGTCAGAGAACCACGGAAGCGAGGCCGCACGACCGTCTTTAGGGTCGCTCAGCGACTCCTTCGTACTGAAGGCACCTGTGAGAATGCCTCTTCCCAGAGGCGAATAACAGATAACAGCAATCTAAGACATAGATCGGTATTAGTATCTCTTCCACGTAACTGAATGAGCTAGCTCATAGGTCCGTTTACGTACACCAAGTTCTCGACATGTAGCGAGCACATTCGTGCTGGCTTCGTTCTCAGCCTCGAGCACAAAAGGAGAATACTCGATCTGGACAGCAGCAACAGGCGCAATCTTCACAGCACGACGAATTGTACTGGAGCTGCAATTGGACAGCCCAATGTGCTTGATTTTACCTTCTCTGAAATTACATGTTAGCATGAAAGCAATCGCGTCATATAATTTAGACTCACGCTTTAAGCTCAGCAAGTGCCCTCATCGTCTCTTCGATAGGTGTCTCGGGGTTTGGATGGTGAAGGTAGACTGCAAAGCGCTCTTAGCAACTTGGAGGAACGCCTATCGCAATGGATACTTACATAGATCAATATAGTCTGTCTGCAGACGCTCCAAACTTTTGGCACAAGACTCTTTAGCATAGCTGCCGGTGCTCCTGTAGGAGAACACCATTGGGGGATCCATGACAATGCCGAATTTGGACGAAAGGAAGACCTCATTGCGCTTTCCGGAGCGCTTGAACCACCGGCCAATTAGGACTTCGCTGTCGCCGTAGAGACTACGGCCAATTGCTTGTCTCAGCATCGAAACGCCATACATATGGCTGACTGAGAAAGTGGTGTGAGAACTCACGCTGCGGTATCCCAAAAAGTTGCTCCGATCTCAACAGCTCGATCGAGAAACTTGAATCGCTCCTCGTCGCTGGGCACAGCGCCATAGAACACGGACAATCCCATCAGACCTGTGCCCAAAGCGGACACAAGGGGACCGTCCTTGCCCAGCTGGCGCAGGTGGGTTTGAGCAGACATAGGGTGTTGTGCGTAATTTGAAGTGATTGGGGCAGAAAATGATCGGTAGCCGAAGAAGCCGCCTTGCGTTTGTTTCCGATACTGAAATGATTCCAACTTGAGAGTCGGGCACTCGGCCTTTATATGTACAGTGTCATCGGTATAATGTGGCAACCCTGATGAGGGTTCGTGTCGGTTCATCAGTGTGGATAAGACCATTCCGTAAACGGGTCGCCGAATGGGGCATCACTGTTGCTCTGATTGGTGGAGTCGCTTTTACTTACACTTGATTGGCTGTGCTGCCATCCCCTGTCTCGAGCAAATCCGCCTGCGCCTCCCGTGTGTCGCGATCGACTTCTGTTTGACCATGAAATCAGGTCAGCGACTGCGGAAATCTCGGCCCAACTATGTTATTCACACATCTTCCATGGTACCGCTGGAGTCATGACCGCACTCCGCTTACCTCAACAGGCGGGAGTACTGCTGGCGGTGAGACAGACAAATTAGACTTGCGACGCACCACCCCTTGAAGCTCTATGCAGGTTCATGGCACTACATCAACGGATTTCTCCCTAAATGAAAAGGACGAGATATTAACAAACACCACAGCTAGTGAAATAAGCCTATGCAGAGATGGTCTCATTCAACTGCAGGCCATTTTGATGACATTCCATAACTCATAACTTCCTGTTTGCTAAGTGGTATCACTGTTTCATTGATCTTAGAATTTGACGCAAATGAGGATCGCCACCATGATGGTAGACCATGGGACTGATTGGTTTCTATAATCCCTAGTCTCTGAGGTTGTATAAACCGTACTCCGAGCCAGCTATTTGCTTTCGATTGATGTCTCTCACTAAAACTGTAGCTTCCTTAGTACCGGAAGCTTTCCCTTTTTTTTTTTTTTTTAAATAGAATTTAACTTTCCTACGAACAATAAAGTGGTTTCACTTCGTACATGCGCAACATTGGGGCTCCATGCAATTGTGACATACGCGGATTGACAACCCCAACTTGACGTTGACTTGCTTGACAAACTTCTTGCAGTCAGGACATACTTGTCTGCTGACCAGTATTGTGGCAGCTCTCAAAGAGTAACCAGGACGTGCTGCGTATAGCTCACTGAGCTTGCTTCTGTACTCATAGCTTTCCTCTCCTAGTGGTGTTCCGTCCCGAATCGCTTCTCCTTTGGTGTCATGTAATGACAGTGACTCCGTGTACCTTTCAAGTTCGCCAGGCTCCTCGTCATAAATCTCCATTTCTTGCGGCAAGAAGACATGTTTATAAACAAAGTATGCGACCAATTGCTTCTCTGCATGACATGCGAAATACCGCCCAAGAACACCACGATCATAAGAGTGGGGTGCTCGTGGAAAGTCAACCACTTTGTAAAGGTGCAAGACCTTACTTGTCCAATCTTGGCCAGCAATTAGAATACTTTCACTGGCTATTGGTGACCAGCCACTCATTGCAACAACATCCGGGAGAGTATCTCCGCGCTTCATCCAAGCCACTGTTTTCGAATCTTGTGACAGGGTATACTGAGTAGTCAGAGATAGCACTGTGGGGTTGCGTCCCAGTTTCTGGAAGAAGAACGCAGCCAGTTTGAGAACGTGTCGCTCATGTGCTGAATCATCGAGGAGCCGCACAATATCGCGACGATCACGATCACGCGCAACCGTGTCCTCCTTATATATAGGTTCAGATCGGGAAGTACCACCTGCGCGTCCCCATCGAGCCTCAGAATTTTCTTTTGACGGTTCCGCAAAATCCACAGCACATCGGAGGCGATTCCCTTCTACGCACTTCTGAGTTTTCTTGGCCCCATGCTGCAACAAAGCCTCCACGTTTTCCAGCCTACCCCACAGCGCTGCCTCCATCATTGGTGTCCGACCGTCAACCTCTACAGCATTTGGATCAGCGCCGTGTGACAAGAGAAGTTGAACCATCTCGAGACTTGCTTCACATGCAGCCAAATGTAGCGCCGTGCTCCCTAATGTACCAACGCTCTTATCAGCCGTTCTTGGCCCTCCATAGATCAAATTACAATCGCTACAGTTGCAAGATTGGGCTTCTTCCCAAGAGTGAACCCCATGGAGAAATATTTTCGCTTCTGTGGAGGTCTCCAGGTAGTGCTTGACGTAGGGAACATTGCCCGTGACCAATTCTGACTTCACAAGAATGATCCTTGAGAGAAAGACATCATCAACATAAATGGCTTCCCCTGCATCTGTCCACTTTGGTTTTGACTCAATTTCCTGCTTGAAGGCAGCTCTCAATCGGTCTGCTTCATTGTCTGAAACATCGTTCTCCGCGGGCAGACGCGCTCCGCCTGCAACGAATCGAAGGTTTGTCTTGTCGATTTCGTAGTCCACATTCTCGGGACAAGTACCTAACAGCTTGATATCGTAATGCTGAGACCGAAATCTGCCGTTAATGATGGGGTCACAATGTGCGACGCGCATGTGGCGTCCGGCATAATTTCCATCGAATCCATGGCGGTGTATCTTGTCGCACCACGGGCACAGAACGTAAACGCTGCGACTATCCCACCATTGAGCGTCAGCCAGTAAGACTTGAGCTGCTGCCATAGTGTTGCGAATAACTAATTTTGCGAGCTTTGGATTGAAGCCGTTGAATGCATTGGACTATCGAAGTGTGAACGAAACCCCGGGGGCACAGGTGTCTTGTGTAAGCAAATTGACGAGGTGGCTTGCAGGGCTGAGTGGAGTAGCTTTTTGCACCAGTCTGGTGGTTACACTGCAGGGCGAAGTCTGTATAGTCAAATCTTTGTCTGACTTTGATGTTGTCTATCGATGCAGACGGTGAATCACAGCTGCTGAGTTCGTTTCGGGGAAGTGCTGCCGTTGAATAGAGGTCAGGCAGAAATTGCGAGGTGCACAATAAGGGTAGTATTACAAGATACTGAATCTTGTCGCCTTCCGGACGAAGTAACAGAGCAGAAATGTCGGGACCCCGCAGATGTAGCCTCGGGTCTACCAAGCCTTGAGCCCACACGTGGCACGATGAGACAGGTTGTCCTTACCAAAAGAAGGAATGCAAAGACTCATTGAATTGAAACAGAAAAATTCGGTGGAAAGTTAGGCATCAGTGGTCAGGCGCTGATCAGAAGTGATAACCAGATCAGCACAGCTGTTGGCTTGAAATAAATGATCCTTAATTGAGACGCATTGCTGCAGTCATTTCCTCTGCAGCCTGAGCGTATTGAGCTTGCACAAACACGTTCTAATTGCGTGTGATGATTGTTTAGTCACTGCTGCCTTTGGTTTGGTCTGCCGTGACAATCTAACTTGAGGCACTGTAATGCGCATAGATCATCTTGGTCAACACCATATAGTTAAACCTCCAGCCGCGACCGGGACCGATGGTGTATACGGGTCATTTGCATTACACATCCACCATCCCACTACAACCAACTGAAGTATGACATGTTTCTCGTAGCTCAAATTCCATTATTGGCAAGCGAAAACTCATCGGTTACGAGGTACAACTTAAACGATAACTAGCCGTTCCAACGATGGATACAGAGAAGCTCCTTGGACGAAAAGGGAGAAGATAACAGGGGAAGTGATGCTTCCAAGACGTGTTAAAACTCGACCTCAAACTTATTCTAACGCTTCGGCCTTGACCAACCTTTTACCCTGTTTTCCTCCAATTTCTCTGAACCTTTTTGCCGTCCATGGGCCTCGCACGATCTTGCTCCAGGACCTTTATATCATTGAGTTGCCCCTGCGTCGCGCCACCATTTTGGACCTTCTCGCTGTATATGAGGCCGCGCCGCCTCCCCGGTAAACGGCCCTTGCGCACCTTGTTCTTGCGGTGGAAGTACACGAAGCTGATGTACATGCCGTGGATGTGTGACGGAATGATGGCCAGGACAAACAGGAAGCAGTTCATGGCAAAGTCGGCGCCAAAACCGCAGAGAAGCAGCACCGCCAGCGGCGGGAAGAGCAGGTTGAAGAAGAGGATGACAAGTCGCTTGAACATTTTGGAGCGGCGTTTGCTGGGCTAGGCCAAAAGCCTTGCAGTGCTAATGGTTGAGTTTTGTGGACGCACTTAAGTCCACGACGGAAAAGGGATACAGGCTCCGCAACGGCGATGCTCCCCGCCCGTCTCGAGGGCAGCGAAGTCAAGGCGCAAGAGAAGTTGAAAGAGTGTGTGCACCAAGCGTTTATAGTGTTGAGCCTCAATTTCCTCTTGGCGGCGGACTGTGTGTCTGGGGGTGCCAGGGCGTTGCTTCCCTGCTTTGCGCCCGGAAATGATGTCATCATGGAACGGCTTAGCGTCTAATATGCGAACTTGGGTTAGCGGCTGCCTTTGGATAAGCCCCACTCCTCTAGATAACACGTCCAAACACAACATTGTGTCCAACTCAATTGCCAGTATCGTGACCAACGAAGGCTAAGAATTTCTGATTCACCGATTTACCGCCATTTCCCGTTGAAAGAAACAATGATTCGGCACAGAGTGGCTGGTGGGCGACGATAATGCCAGCTATAATGTCCTGTTACACAGGACGGGCTTACACACCCTACAACCAAGCCCTCAAACGGGAAGGAGGGTTCACTATCTACATGTTAATTCGCCTCAGGTTGTAATATTTTTGGTCGCCTCGAATTGTGGAACCGTCTCTGATGTGGAACTGTGGTCAGATCAACCATGTAAACTTGTCTTTCCCAGCGACACTGGGGAGCCGCGTCCACCAGGTTGAGCACCTGAGAACATGAACACTGCCCACAGATTTATATCAATTGATTCGACCTTGTTCGGAATTATTATTATCGGATTTGTTGATTCAGATAGCCCGCAATCCAAGATTCGACCCCCATCATCTCAGCTTTATGTTCAAATGCTAGCCCATCACTTCGCCCGCCAGACACCAAGTGGTGATATGCTTGCTTCATCCGCAAATGAGTCCATACTTGAGCCTGTCTGTCCAGGGGCCATTAGAGTTAGGAACCCGTTCTCGAAATCAGAACGAACAAGGATTAACTGTCCATTACGTTCAAAGTTCAGTGCCATGATAACCGTCTCGTCGGTCTCAGTAAACTCATCCATGATGATAAATCGGTGGCGGTCAAGTTTAGGGCTTAAGGTGTTATCCATGAAGCAGCTGCGTACAATTGCATCGCAATCACTTGGCTTGGCACCGCACAAATCTTCAGCAAAGCCTGGTGCCGAAGCCAGCGGTGGATCTGCTAACCCGTCTGTGAATGGGGGCGTGAGTTTGGTAATAAATGCAACCCGGGGATCAATGGCCGAGCTCCACTCGTGGTCGTAGGCTCGTTCGAGAAACTTGTTGAGAGTCTTTGTTGCAGTTTTATTAGATTATCGAGAACCCACACAGGATGGCTTGACATACCTGGTTGCTGATTTTAGCAGTACGAAACACAGTATACTGGAGGTCAGGGCCGTCGACGAAAACCGGTTTCCAATCATCGTGGCGTGGGAACTTTGATGTGTCCAGGGGTGAGGTTCGCTCAAGTTGGACTCTAACTCTATCCTCTCTCCAAACTCCACCAGCCATAGCTGATTGGTTCCGTAACTCTACTACTGAGACGCCCCTCTCGAGTGCTTCCAAAGCTGGCACAATCGAGGCAAAGTCGCAGCGGAATCCAATCCAGCCCGATGCCGCATTCTTATCCTGTCTTCCATCTATTGTAATGCAGCAAGTAGTGCCGTCGTTGGCGGTACCCCGATCCAAGAACACGAAACCAGTTGTTTTGATACCGGTCGTCTGGGTAGCCAGCTTCAGAAATCTTTCAACATCTTCATAGTTGCCGAGGCTGGTATCAGTGAATTCCTCAACAGAGTCCAACTTTGAGAGATCCTCCGCCTTATCAGTTAGCAGGACGGAGAAGTCTTGACTGGCAACCAGGGTTACAGAGCTCTTCGTGTATCTGAAAAGATCTCTTAGGGTCTACGGTTGAGCAGTCAGCATATTCTAGAGCAGCGCAAGGAAAGCGCTCCGTAGTACCTGGACGGGTAGTTTCTCTGTACAGATCGCTGCAAAATCATCGTGGCTTCGTGTGACAGGCGCCATGATGTAATTCTTCACTACAGGGAGATGATGATGACAAATGATGGTAATTCAGTGGTGAGATATTGTACAAGCTCTTCAGTCACATACACAGTTTATATAATAGCAACCCTGACAAGAGCTGCAAGTGAGATTTGCGTTTTGTTGGTTCAAATAACCCTGCGCGAGCAAGCCACATGCTACGCAACGCCAACAGCATTGTGGCCAACGCTATTCTGACGTCATCCGCAAGCCCCTCCGAATTTGCAAAATCCTTCCACTGTAGATCAACATGCAAAGTTTCTCGTTGGCCTTTGTCTAGTGATAATGATTTCTATTCCAGGGCCAATATCTGAACACTACTCTGGGCCACGGGGGTGCGCTAATTCATCTCGATCTGTGAAAGCAGGATTTAACCAGGCAATTCTTCTCACACGATACGATGACGGATCAAACCGTTGGCATCGCTATGATATAACGCACGCTCTCTAGGCATAGGAGCACAGTAGGCGTTGCGAAGTTTCCAGTCTCCAGTGCACAGCCCTAAAATTCGCTGGGATGACTGGATCCAACTTCTCAGTTAAAAAGTTTTCACCATGACCATTTGCATAGAACTTTACACGATGTAGCGAGCGGTTAAGTGCTAATAAGGCTATGTAACTGCCATAGACGGGGGTCGAAAAACAGGTTGTGGAAAACAAGAATGGGGATAAAGCAACGACCAGAATGAGTCCTCCCATGTTGTGTGATCATAATACCACGTTGTGCAACTTCCTTAAGCCTCGAATGTGATAGGAACCAGTCGGCCATTGTCGATCCTGTTCACAAATGTTGCGCTATTCCCGTCTTCTGAAAACTTCAACTGAGACGTGGAGTTTTCTCCTCTTGCAACAACAAGATTTGGGTCATCAAGTTTCAACTGTCCACCCACAGGAATCAATTGGTGCCCATCGTTCTGCATGATTGGTGCAGTAGTGCACCAAGTCCTTGCAGGCGAATGGCTTCACAAACTGATCAGTCGTCTACCGCATCAAGGTGCAAAATGATTACATACAAGTTTGTCCCAGTAACGTAATGGAGGTTGTTGAGGTTGATTGTCCATGTATCGGTCTGGGGTGAAGTAGCTATGCCACTCAGTTTACCACCTTGAACTATAGGTATTGGTCAGCAGATTTTGTGTACACCATTTCTTTCGTCTTACTGCTCTGGTCTGTATTTGGAATGCACCGCAGTGCAACAACAGTTTGCTGCCAAGCAAAACCACCTTCCTTGGAGCCAGCGAAAGGATACTCATCAATTGATTTGCAATCACCCGTTCCGCCTCTACCATCGGGGCAACGCCACTTTACGTTCTGCTTTGAGCACATGGACGTTTCGTATCCCCAGTCTTCTCGGTTGTCCGAACCTGCACCTGAACCTCCACCGCCGTGGAGAGAATTTGGGTGTTTGACAACATTCAAAGCCCAGCAAGTATTGAAACACAGCTGCGGAGTTTGAGAACAGTCATAATTAACGTCATGATTCTTAGCGACGACGAGAGTACTGAGTGACGAAACAATTGTAATGCGAGAAAAGCGCATAATGACAGTAACAACGAACTAACGCGTTTACAAGATTGCAGTCAGACACACCTCAGGGCAAACATTGTCTCTAGGTATTTGCGAAGTTATCCCAATATATAGTAAGTCTTCAGAACCATAGTTTTGTCATACGCCCAACTTATGCTGAATACTATTTTTAGAGCTTTTGCAGAGGAATAAATCGATGAAAGCGCTCACCGTATCCAAATACATGCTAGGCGATCACAAGAAATCTATAGATAGGTTTCAATAACGAGTGATGTGGGTCCTAAAGAGGATCGTTGTTGGCGAACTTTGACCATGAATCCAGAGGAGGATCATTGTTGGTTGGATTTTCTCAAATGAACCAGCCCCCAAATTGCCTCCTGCGTGGAGACGACAGGCATGATTGGTATACCTGCACCAACACGGGTCTGACCCCCTTTCCGAGGCTTTCCAACCAACACAAGGACAGAATCAGATTACAAACTGCTGATAGGATTCTATGTAGCTTCAAAGCCTGTGAGTACGCATTACTGAGTTAGTATAAACATGTCAATCTGACAGTCACACTTAGAACTAACATAAACGGCCAGGTTCTAAGTCTCCTTAACTTCTAAAGCCAAATATTGTAGAATTCATTAGTTATTCGTGGTTCATCGTTCACTTCAGGCGTGATAAAAACTACGTCACCTGGGCCGCAGATCGTTTCCCAGGCACCGTGTGTGATGCTACTGGATCCAGCATAGAGAAAGGGAATCTTCAATGAGGGTGAGGTCAACCCCGAAGTGGCGTAGTACCTTAAAAGGCCGATTTCAAGGATACACATCCTGGTGTTGGAAAACCGCTGAGCAGCCTCAGCGGCGCAGCCAGTGACCTGATTATGCTGTCATTCCTCACATTCTAGGTTTTGCAACATGAAAAACTTGCGGGCATCTAATACGATGCTATAAATGTGTTAATAGAATTAAGATTGACATTTTTATGACCCCAGAATGTCGAGTGCTGATCCTAAACCCACACATCCTATCCTTCAAAACCCCGTTTAGATGATGCAAGCAGACTCAAAAGATGGACGATTCGCGACCCTTCCCTCACTTGCTGGTCATCAACGTCGCGTCGATGACAAGTGGCTGGACACCATTCCCGGCATAGGGAACGATCCCGCTGGTTGGCTGCGGTATGAGTGGTGGAACAACGGCAACGACGTGAGAGTTGATGACCGGGCCGGGAGGGTCCTCTGTCCCGCGGGAGGCAGCCGCATGATGTCAAGCATCATTGATCACGGTGCGCAAGCGGCTTGCCAGATGTTTGTCTCCAAGAGTAGGGCGGGGCAGCTCGGTCTCCAAGTCTGGCACGCGTGGGAGCAATGGGGTGACGGTCAGTTGACCACCGCGGACGGCCACGATGGCTACATCCGGTGGCTGATGTGAGCATGACCCTTCTTGCCATCTGAGAAATGACCCGATGTACTGACACTGTTTGAATGCAGTGGAAGTGTGAGCGATTCGCCCACTGAGTTGACCCAGGAGTTTTGCGAGAATATATGGGACGCGGTCAAGAATCTCTGCTCCAACGACGCTGGCGCAACTCAAGGCCAAGCCGTTTCTGTGGGCGACTGGACCATCTATGCAGACCCGAATGAAAAGGCAAGCGGCAAATGATATGTGAACTGTAATATTGGTGGCCAGCGTAGGCGCCTCATGCACTGCAAACCAGCGCATTTTTCCATATGCCTCCGAGTTCTCAAGCATACGTTAAGGTGTGACCGGCTTAGTTTTGGTTTGATTTGGAGTAATATTCGTACAGCTCGACTACAATAAAGACATTCGCTTTGGCATGATTACTTCATTATGTATACTTCCGGCTCAGCTATGAAATGAGCATGCCCACTAACTGGATAATAGTTTCTGCTCATGTGATGAAGTGAATAACGATTCACTATGCCGAAAGAATTTACCAACGTTCTCTACAAGGTTTCCCTTTTCAAGAATTCTGAAGACCAAAATGACTACCACGACCTTGAGATGCAGTTATGTTCAAGGCTGCCCTTTGCTTCACTAGCTAATCAATGTATACATAGGCACCCCAGCAATAGGCACTCCCGAGATCTAGCTAACCACGGAAATGCACCAACTCGAATGATAAAGTCGCGGATATACCAACTAACCCTAAACACTTAAGTGGGTAGCGCGCCCGTCAAACACTGACAGAAATCAACCATGTAAAGCCACATTCATGAGAAAGCTCGCAATTCCCGGTCCGCGTGCGTGATATGGAGGAGCCACAGAAGTGTGATCAACGCCGTTGTCCACCTTGTCCAAGACATGCCAGTCGCATTGAGAACTTCACATGCATATGCACTTTTCGCTGGCGTTGCACGAAGCCATGCGGCAGATAAGCACTGCAGCAAGGCATGACCAGCACTCGGGGGCTGGAATCGAGTTCGGGGAAGTCCTTCTCGTCCACTGAGACACTGACGTGGCGGCCGTATCACAACATTGCAGCCCCACGCAGCCACAAGCTGACGTGAACCTTCAGCAGCAGATGCATGAACCATAGTTGTCACTCGCGTAACGTTGGGCGTGCGCAGCTTAGAGTAGTGTGGCAGATCTTGATTCTTGATTACTATTATACTTGAATACAAAGCAACGTTGTGAGGACCCTTGTCCTGGTGATGGTGGTGGTCTATGTCCAATCGGCAGGGAGCGAATCTCCGTGTCTCCCCCAATATATTTCCAATGCAACCGTGCCCTCCTTGTGAATGCGCCGGGGGTCCCGAAGAATGCAAAGAGTGAGCCAACCCAGTGGTTTCATCATGAGTAAAGAAAAATCTCGATCAGGTCCATGATTAGGTTGTCCTCTCCCTTAGTAGGTGTACTCGTAGCACATGGCGCCGTCGCGGGTGTTGAGCACGTCGCGGACGGTGACGTCGGGGCGCAGGCCGGCGACGCTGATGACGGTGTCCATGGTCAGCGGGGTGCAGGGGTCGGCACTGTCGATGCAGCCGTCGATGGTGGTCTTGCGCGAGGCGTCGCTGTTCTGCCATAGCCAGAAGTTGCGGTCGACGAACAGGTGGTGCATGAAGAAGACGGGGTCGCTGGGCGAGGCGGACACGTCGGCCATGACGGAGCCGACACCGTTGTGGCCGTAGGCGTGGGGTCCGAGCTCGGCACAGTTCTCCATCTCGGAGTAGATTGCACGGGAGTTGCAGGTGTTGACAAAGTCGGCGTTGGACTGAGCGGTCAGGGACTCGTCAACAGCACGGGCGAGACAGTGGTCGACGCTGCCGGTACCGGGTCCAATGTGGCAGGTCAGACCCGCGAAAGCCTAGTAGAAAATAGTCAGCATGGTGAACAGGGAGCTCGGGAACACGATGTACTCACGCCGTCGGTAATACAGGTGCCCTCTCCGTTGGTGGCCGCGGGCAGGCTGCCGAAGTACGCAGGGGTGAAGACGGGGGACTCGGCAAAGTGGCCGGCATCCAAGGTCTCGTCCCACCACGGGAAGGCCCGGTCGAAACCGCACTCCTCACGCATGATCTGCTCCAGAGTCCAGGTGTAGTATCTGTGCCAGACAAGGAAGATGGAGTTGCCGTGAATGGTGCTGGTCATCATCTGGTGGACACGGACGATATCCTCGTATCTGTTCTGGGCAGGGGGGTAGGCGCCGGAGGCCGGGAGTCTCATCAGGCAAGTGAAGGCGTCGACAAAGGCCTTGCGGTCAGAGTCCGAGTAGCTACGCCACTCAAAGCGCATGTTGGGGTTGGCGCACTCTGCCTGGGCGGTGACGGCAGGAGTCGGGCTGGCGGAGGTGGTCGCACTAGTGGTGGTGGCATCGTCGGCAGCCGAGACACGACCAGTGCTCTCAGCGGCGCTGGTCGACGACGTCTCGACGTCAGCAGCCTTGGTGGGCACAGTCTGGGCGTCAGAAGACTTGACAGTGGTCGGGGCGGCGTCGGTGGCATCGGCGGCCTTGGAGCTGGCCGGCGAAGGCTTGCCAGCAGTGTTAGCACCACCCTGAGTGGTGGGCTTGGGCGTGGCGACGCCGTCAGGAGACGAGGCACCGCTGCCGCCGGGGACGGTCACGGAGTCATCTCCCTCATCTGCGTCGTCCGACTCGTCGTCCGCTGCGGAAGCGTCATCCGCCTCATCAGAAGCACCGGTGGTGACGGTCTTGCCCTTGCCGCCGGTCTTGGTGGTGGTCGACGTCTGGCTGTCGAGCTCCTGTACCGGCTTCCCATCCTCGGCACACGGAATGGTGACCTTGTAGACCTGCTGGACGAGCTCGACCACATTTCCCTCCTCATCGACGGTCTGGGTGGTGACGGCGTGCGAGTGGTGCTTCAAGACACCGGCCTTGGCCTCCTTGATCGAGATGGTCTCGAACCATCCGTAGTGGTTCAGCGGGAGAGGCGCGGCATCGTAGGCTCCAAGTCCAACTCCAACTCCCACTCCAACACTGTGGTTCGACCCGGCTCCGATTCCGATGCTGTGGTTGGACGAAACCGTGGGTCCGAGTTTGTAATCCCTCTTGGAAAGCGAAATCGCAGACACGGCCGAGGCGCCGCACAGGACCTGGGAGGCAACGGACAACTTCATGATGGATTCGTTGTCAGGATATAGGCCGGGTATGGATGCAATGGATTCAGCTTATACACCTCACACACACACGCTCTCTCTTCCACACACTAAGTTATAAACGAGTGACTTGAGAAATGGGAAAAAGAGCGACGCAAGTGATGCAATTGCAGATCACCTGGAAACGGAAATCTCGAGAAACGGCCACAACGGGCGGCGGGCTCGTCGCTTTTGCATTATATGTAGCTGACTACTTAGTTAGCATGACCCGATCAAGCGCCCGGGGCGGATCAGCATCAGCCCCAGGCGCTGGCACCCCCCCCCTGGTCCACACGTCGACACGCCATGCACAGAAAGGGGATCTCTGCTGACTGCAGCGGCGGCAGCGCGCGCGCGCGCGCATATGGCAAGTCGTGCCAGGTCGCCAGCCGGAGCCGATGGCAGGTGATCGTGTGTGGGAGAGTGGTGGAGAGTGGGTGGTGCCGCCGGTGGGAGGCTTTGGGACATGGTGCCTGACTAGCCCGCAAATAGAGATCGCAGAGCAGATCTGTGATCCTCTTCATTTGCGCGACCCCTGCAAGCGAGCCCGGGCTGCATGACGGGCACCCAATCAGCGGCTCCGGAGTCAGCCTAGCGGCCAAATAGGGCGGGTAGCTGAGAATAGAGCGCTCCACACGGCTCCCCCCCAGCCTGCGCTAGAGCACATCTAGCACCCCTACAGCCTAGGCCAACAGTCCAGGGGCACGCCTCTGATACGAACTGCCCGGTGCCCACATGCAAATACGAGCGAGGAGACGACAGAGGGGTCACTCCGCCTCTCCTCAGCTCGCTGTCGCTGTGCCCGTTGAGTTGAAAGCGCTGCATTGCTGAGCCCCACGCTGCGAGATGGCTGATCGTCCCGACTGTGACGCAAGACTGCCCCGAACGGTCCGAATCAGTGTGTATCAATGATACGCTACCAGCACCTGCATAGTAGCAGCCATGCCATTAGGCGGCCACGGTATAGAGAAGACAATGCCACAGTACGGAAACTACAAGCCATAATAAACACGATGCCCAGTAGGGAAATGAAGCCTACTGTGTATTTCAATGGTTTAGGCGGTAAGGCGCTGGCCAAGCTCGTTCACAGGCTTGACAGGGTGTAACGTTGAAGCTAGCCCGCCCAGGTTCATTCGCAGTGGAGGACATCAAAAGCAGTCGTTGCCTCATAGAAGCAAGACATGTCCTAACTATATTCTACGAGAAACACCCTTACGCGCAATAGTGCACAGCTGGGGCCTTTTTGCATAGAGGGCAATTGAGACTTGTCAAGCTTGTCAAGAACCCCATGCTTGATCACCCCCCGGCATCTCGGCACCCCTTTTCGGTCGGTGCGGGCCCATCATCAACTCTAACGATGTAACGCCGTTCCCATCTTTTTCGTCAGATTCGGAACCGTGAGCGCGGCTGTGTGATGGGTTGATGGGCGATCGCCCTAACGGTCAGACTCGGGTTCTGTTTCCTGATTTCTTCTTTCTGCCACTCCTCACCCTCCCCCCTCCCCAAATCCGGCCGCCCTGCTCGTCCCACCCAACTGGTTCGTCCGGCTAGCCGAAAGCTCGTTGGACAATAGAAGTAAGAAGCTTTTGTGGCGCCCTTAGCTCCGACGCCGTGGCACCCACGTCTTGACTCAGGAGACGCCAAAGACCCGGTCATTGGTCACGCACGGCGCCGTTTCTGGCATGGACCTGGCCAGCTGAATCAGTCTGGGCCCGACTTTCTCGATCCCCCACGAGATGTGCTGTGCTGTTTGTTGTCTTTCGCGTAATGCCAGAGCGAGCTACACATAAGCAGCACGAGGAGACAACAAAGAGTCGTTGTCGGACAACATCTCCTTTGTGCAATTGTATGCACTGCCAGCTCGACGTCGCGCCCGCAGCTTATCCCGTCAGCCGTCCTGTCCGCCCGGGTCAGTCGGGGCGGCTGATGCTCGCTCCTTTTTGGCATCACCAAAACAAGTGGCAGGCCTGCAATTCTATAGTGCATGCTGCAGTCGAGACGGCGCCAGCCAGCCACAATTAGTCTCGAAGAGTGTGTAATCTCCTAGCCCAACCGTCACACGTGGGCGCTTCCATCGTGAACCACGTCAGCCCATTCTTCAGTGCCCGCCGTTCGTATGTCAATGGATCGTCAGCACTGTTCATGCAGCGGCACTTGGTCCCACGTACTACCCAGAAAAGAGGGTGCTGCCATCGGTATATGAGCGCTCCATTCAATGACCGCTACTAATCACCGCTGGGGAGGAGAGGCACTAGTAGCCAACTTCTCGTCATTTCAATGTCTGTCTAACGTCTGAATTATGTAAACAGCCTCGGGCGACTGCTGTCTGGTTCCGGAAATTGAACTCAATAGAGTTTAGGTGGAGATTTGGGCGGAGTACGGAGTATTCTGCACTACCCTACTATTGATTCCCCAACCCTTGCAGCCGGGCCAGCAGGTAGCGGAACCACCACAAATGTCCTGATACGAGAAAAGCAAGATATCCAGATCGAGGAGTTCGGTGGCGGAGTGCCATGTCTCATTTGCGATGAGCTGTCCCCAGTAGGATTAAAGCTTGACTTTGACGCGCGTTACTATTATTAATTTCTTAGTTGACCCATCGTGGCGTGTTCTGCGGTTGTCTTCGCAGATTGGATTGGACTAGTAAGACAGATATTGTGTTCATAACACTAGGAATGGGCCCTGGTCGACGTAAACAAGAAAGTGCCATTGCTATATCCATAAGCACATCATGCTTAAACGGACAGTCCCGCGAACTAGACGACCGTCCCACCAACTTGATATAAAGCGGAAACTGGAAGTGCAGCAGCACGATAATGGTTTCACCCCATGCCTATCGATCAGCTGATCTACTCATATCCATCAAGAAAGACATAAAACTATGTGCAATGAGTGTTATAAATCAAAAGGAAACCGCCACTCTTGGTTCACACACGTGAAACCTACTGAAGAGTTCAAGGTATGAGGGCTATCTCAATGCTAGATGCGATGCAGATTCTACACAAGCAGATAGGACGAGGAGATCTAGAATGCGGGCTATATACCGAAGATCATGATGGAGATGCAGCTCTATTCTAGATTCGTGACTCAATTGCTGATTTGATGGCTGGTGGGCGAGTTAGTAAGACTCAACAAGTCAGACTTCAGGGCTAGCTCACCATCGCATGTTGTTTTAGCATCGCCGAATAACATCTTCGTTCCAGGCATGTAAAACATGGGATTGGGAACATCGGCTGCAAATGATCAGATCGAATATCAGAAGGATCGGCGCGTCTGTTTGGACTTACCGTAACCAGAGGCCATTCCTCTCTTCATCACAATCACTTGCTTTGACTTCCACGCATGCAGTACTGGCATGCCTGCGATGGGGCTGCCAGGCTCAAGCGCAATAGGATTGACGGTGTCGTTGGCCCCAATCACGAGCACCAAGTCGGTATCAGGAAAGTCGTCATTGATCTCGTCCATCTCGAGCACAATGTCGTATGGAACACTTGCCTCGGCCAACAAGACATTGCATTGACCCGGCATTCGACCAGCTACCGGGTGGATGGCGAAGCGGACGTTGATGTTCTTGGATCGTAACATGTTGGTTATCTCGCTGATAGCGTATTGTGCTTTCGCCACTGCCATGCCGTAGCCGACAATGATGATCACGCTTTCCGCATTGGTGAGAGCCTCCGCCGTATCATCAATATTTGTCTGTGTTATCGACCCTTCGACCTTGTATTCAGTGGCCGTGGGTGCTGATATGCCGCCAAAGAGCACATTCGTCAGAGACCTGTTCATAGCAACGCACATGATATATGACAGAATGGAACCAGAAACACCAATCAACGCCCCTATAGTAGTTAGAAGCGGGTTGTCTAACATAAACCCTTCTGCCACGAGAGCAAAACCACTGTAAGCGTTGAGCACGGTGATAACCACTGGCATGTCGGCACCACCGATCCCAGCTGTCGTGGTGAAGCCCTTTGCAAATGAGAGGATAGTGTTCGCACTGAGCGCGGCCGCCGCTATCATAGGCGAGCCCGGTGCCATTGTCACGAACGCGCCCATGGTAGCAAAGTTGGTTGCTAGCATTCCAGAGTTGATCAAATGGCGGCCAGGGAGTTGAAGGGGACGAGAAGACATCTTTCCTGCTAACTTCATGAACGCAACGATGGAACCAGTGAAGGTAATACCTCCGATGAGCACACCGAGATAGGCTGTCACCAGATGTAGAGTGGTGATATGGGAAAGGTCGCCCATCACGCTGCCAATACTGGTAAGCACGGCAGCAAGGCCAACGACTGAGTGAAGTGCTGCTACTGTCTGCGGAAGATCAGTGGGCATGATACGCTTCCCGATGAGAAACCCGATCAGACCGCCAATGGCTGCGAGTCCGCCGAACTGGGTCAGAACCTCAGGAGAGAAGCCGACTGCCAGTAAAGAGGCAAGAATACCGGAACTGACACCAAGTATTCCCAGTAAATTGCCCATGCGGGCTGTCGCTTGCGATGCCAACCCAGAAAGCGAGCTGATGCAAAGCACTGAGCTGACAAGGTACCCAGCCTGGATGAGACCAGCTGCACCGGTTGATGCGGCCGCGAGAAACCCGCCGCCAAAAACAGCCGCCGGAACAGCATATAGCCATGGATACTCGGGCGGGTCGGTTGGCCGCTTGAACATGTCTAGCATACGCTTGGTGATGACGAAACCTCCCGACACGTTGACAAATGCTAGTAAAACCGATGCGGCCCCGAGGAACTGGGGAAAAGTCTCCGGCAGGTATCCACCGCCCATCACAAACAAACCACCGATGCCAACCATTCCAGATATAGCATTGGTGACGCTCATGAGGGGAGAGTGTAGAGCAGGTGTTACGCCCCAGACTACACGATAACCGATGAGAGATGCCAAGGCAAAAGTGAAAGCGTTACCCATGAACAACGGGCCGGTGATCTTTCCCAGAGCCAGGACGCCTCCCATTCCAGCAGTAACACCAGCGACTTCTCGCGTAGTCTTCTGGAACGGGGTCAGGGCTTTGACCTCTTCTACCTGGGGCTTCGGCTTCGCGGCTGGAGCGGGTGGAGGCGCTGGACGTGGGGCTGCAGGCAATACATCGCCGTTCAAGACCACAATTGCCCCGCGGACCACTTCGTCTGAAAGGTCGATGCCGTAGGATTTCTCCTTCGGTGCCATAGACAAGAGAAACTTGACGATATTGTTGGAATACAGCGTGGATGATTGAGTCGGAAGTCTAGATGGCAGATCCGTGTAACCTATAGCACCGTAAGCGATTGTTTATCATACTCGCCCAGAGAGGTTAAGAGGTCCTCACCAATAATTTTGACATCATTATATGTGACGAGTTTCCCAGGCTCAGTTTTCTCACAATTGCCGCCGGCTTCGGCCGCCAGATCGACGATCACAGAGCCCGGCTTCATTATCTCGACCATAGACTTGGTGATCAGCTTAGGGGCTGGCCTTCCTGGGATCAAGGCAGTTGTAATAATAATATCAACGTCGCGAGCCTGCTCCGTGAAGAGCTTCATCTCGGCAGCAATGAATTCCGGTGACATTTCCTTGGCATAACCTCCCGTACCAGAGCCGTCTTCTTGGATCTCGACCTCGATGAACTCGGCTCCCAAGGACTGGACCTGCTCGCGAGCAGCGGCTCGTGTATCGAAGCCTCGAACGATTGCACCCATCCTGCGCGCAGTGGCAATAGCACTCAGGCCAGCTACACCGGCACCAATGACGAGAACCTTGCATGGCGGGATCTTGCCCGCGGCAGTGACCTGTCCAGTCAGGAAGCGCCCGAAGTTGTTGGATGCCTCCAGTACAGCTTTGTAACCAGCAATGTTCGCCATTGAGCTGAGAGCATCAAACACCTGGGCCCGAGAGATGCGAGGGATCATGTCCATAGCGAAAGCCGTCACCTTGCGTGCAGCCAAACGCTCAACCAGGTCTCTGTTCTGAGCCGGTTGCAGGAACGAGATGACAGTTGCGCCTGGCTTGAGGCGATCGATTTCAGCAACATTTGGGCCACGCACTTTCAACACAATGTCCGCAGCGGACCAGACACCACCGGCATCGACCAAGGTCGCGCCCGCCTTCTCATAGGCATCGTCAGGGAAGTCAGCTTGGGCGCCGGCCCCACGTTCAACAATGATCTTTGCAACGCCCTTCTTTCTCAAGAGGGCAACATTCTGAGGGGTCAGGGCGACCCGGCGCTCATTTGCGAACGTTTCACGGGGCACCCCCACGGTGAGCGCAGAGTAGGGAGTTGAAGGCGGCTCAACAACCGTCGAATAAGCAGTCGTCGGGATGATGCGCGATGCTGCAGGCTGACCGCCCTCGCGCTTGAAGCCGGCGGCGGGTAAGACGACAGGCTTCCTGACGTGGGTGCTGTGCCAGTGTCGCTGACATGCAACGGCGAGGCCGGCGATTGGCGGCAGGACTGGAGCGTACCTTAGCACGGAGCGGTGCTCGAATGGCAGCAGATGAAGCCACTGCTGCGGGTTGACAAACCTAAAATGCGCGAGGATGCAACTCGGGGGCTCGCCCTCGACGAGACGCCGCTAGCAGCGACCAGCACCGGCCGCAAGACGGACGGGCCTATCATGATGGTGGTTGAGCACAACTGCCGCCTGTTAGACAGACCAGTCACAGCAGGTCATCCGTCATCCGACAGCTCGAGGGAGTTCGGATGCGGGCAACGTCATGAGAGTATAGTGGGAGAATGGAACGGACAGGAAAAAAAAGCAAAGCACAGGGCGAGCGGGCGGGCGGGTGAGAGACGATGGTGGATGGTGGATGGATGGATGGACGGATACGGGCCCTGGGCCTAGGACCTCTCTCTACCTGGTCTCGTCTCGTCTTTTCCCCTCCTTCCTCCTCCAACGGCTGTAACAAAAGGCGCGAAGTGGTGTGTCACAGACCTGGGCTGGTGCGTGTGCGGACGACGCGCCCGGCAAATAGAATCGCGCCCAGGACGAGGCGCACCGTTCGATGATTGGATCGGGCACTACACACCCGACGCTGGGCAACACGCTCGCTTCAACACCAAGGCGAGAGGGGACCTGACATTTGCCTGTGTCGACAGCGCCTGGCTCGGTGGCCGTGGTGGTAAAGACCCGGTTGGAGTAGACAGGGTGTCGGTGGGTGTGGGGTAAAACTTAGCGTCATGTCCGCGGGCCGTTCGATCGTGGGACCACCAGCCTGTGGAGAAGTGGGTTTTGCGGGCACCAATCAGCTCGGTGCTGGGGAAACGCTGTACTATGCATGCCTCCTGGAATGGAGGCACCTGGGCATTCTTAAAAATACATAGGTAGAGGCGCCGGCCTACAGGCTACATCAGAACCAGCCCTGAGAGCGATCTTCAATTTCAGAGGAAGATTCTATAAAATCCATAGTGAGTCCATGTCGACGTTGGATCTGAATCGTTGACCCGTAGGTTTGAAACAGATCGCCGCCATAGCACAAACGACGACTGCCCGCCAAATAGCCGCCCACGCCGAAAGCCTGCAGGTGTGTCTGAACAAGCTCTACAGGTGATATATGGTATTATACTGCGTAATATCCATGAGGAAGAATGAGCGCAAGGTAACAAAGGCATGGTTGTCAGTTGCTGGAGGGAATGCAGCATCACAGAAGAGATTCTTAATGTCACGAACCAGTCTTGTCTACCAGTCTTCTCTACTACTTGTTTGTCGCAGCTATTTCAATATTTATGCTCTTTCCCATACTGAACCCCCTCACTTGCGAAGAGCGGTACTTTCTGATCCCCCTCTGCTTCCCGATTGATCCCTACCAGCATTGAGCGTGCAAAGTCCTGCGATAATCAATATAATCGAAACAATAAGCTCATCGACAAGTCCGAAACCAACACGGTACCCTATATCCCCAGAAACCGGATTCAAGGCGGCACTCTGGGTACTGAAGTATACAAGGCTGCTGATGATGCGGATAGCAATAAATGGAAGGGAATACAGAACGGCATATGTGAGCCACTTTCCCTGTCTCTGGTACGGCAGCTCATGACGCGATCTGAAGGACGACGAGGATAATGAGAAAACAGCCGACCCTAAAAGGGCCACCAAGCTGAGAAGAAGCAATCCCATTCCGGCCTCTACCAATTTGAGGTCCTTTGCCCTCTCCTCTTCGGTGACCCCATGCTTTTGGGCACCTGATGCGCCGGCTCCCGTCAGGGCCACGGCGGTGCTGATGATAAAATGGAGCACGATGAGTGACCCAAGATCTATCCTACTTCGACGGTTCACGACGCAGTATGCTCGGCTGGAATGACCTAATGCTTTAGCATAGTGCACATGCGGCCGGCCGCAGGAGGTTAAGACCACTTACGCTTCGTGCAAGATGCTGACGGCCGAAAGAAGCAAAGGTGACAACCCAATGCTGGCAACAAGAGCTGCGGATGGGTTCCTAGGATCGTTCATTTGCATTGCGCTCGACACAATGCGCAGTGTGAGGAATATGAACAGGTAACCCCAGCCCAAAATAGCACCATGCCGGACGCCATGTTTGAACATTATGAAAATTGTCGGGAATGCCAGAGAGGCATGGATTGCCAGGATAGCAATAGGCAACGATTTGTCCGACATAGTCAAGTTATCCGACGTAGAGTATGTGGGAGGGTTCGAACACTGAGTTGGCTGAATGGTTGAATGGGGATGACGTACAAGTATGTGCGATGTGGGCTGGTCTGACGGCAAGCTGTTCAAACTTTGGCAGGGCAAGATGTCTTTATACACCAAAGAGCCAGTATCCAAGTTGACCAAAGCGTCCTGTACGAGTTTCGAAGATCCGTATTGAGACCATGGCTGGCCTGTGATCTCGTGTGAAAGTAATCCTTGATATATGTCAGCGACGAATTGGCACCCCACCCACAGACCAACTAAGCCTTGACAATGATGAGCAATTCGTCAGCTTCGAACAACATCAGTAGCGTTAACGTGGAACTGCAAGACATGGTCATGTGGGTCACCCAAATCCCATGGTTCTGGCATCAACAACCAAGGTAGAGTCAGCCTGCGCCACAAACCGCAGCCTACTTCACCATATCATAGGATATACGCGTATTCACAGTTTCGCACGCTAATCTATTACCGGATTAGCGTGACAGCCCACAACTGTACAACCAGTGTTTCCTGGCTGAAGCTAATCGTTCATCACAGACAGTAACTAATACGCGTATTTGGATCTTCTCATTAGAGAGAGCTTGACGTTTTCCAAGTTCCAACTAGCTCGAGAATAGCACGCAAGAGTGAGCAGTAGCTGAGCCAATTCCCCACGAGTCGATAGTCGATTGCTACAAGCTCTTGTCACAATTGATATTCAGCGGGTGCGTTGAGCGCTAACTACTTACGCACTGCCTTTCATTTGGGCAGCCAGCATGTCAGACAGAAAAGAAAGACAGAAAATGGGGAAACGGGATTATTTGCCACATGTAATAAGTATTATTTACATTCTTATGCAGTCAAATAAGATCCAAAATCTCACCTCGAAACACCGAGGTGCAAACCACAGTGGTCCTTGAATCGTCCACCACCTTATATCCTACATCTCTTCAACCGTTGTCAAACCTCACATCCAAGGGCACCTCATCCACAACCAAGGCCGTCTCCGCCAGGTCATAGCAACTCTGAAAAACTACATCAGTTTACCGACATTGCAATTATCAATAAAACTCAAGCTTCTGACTCGGTATCCACTTCCTCATCGTCTAGTTCCACTGTCCACAACACAACAACTTCAGGTAACCTCGTCCGCGAATTCAGCGCGGCACCATATAGCCTGTTTCCGCTTGTATTGAAGCAAGCCTGACCATTTACTCTAATTGACCATTATCTTCTACAATCTTGCCCCAAACCCGGTTCGAAGATGGCAGAGCTCTATCCATCTCCAGAATTGGGGGTACTGACCGAGTACGAGAACAATGATCCTTGAGCAAGTCTTTGCGCTTTATAACTGAAGTGAGCCAGTCTGGAATGGAAAAGTACTACCGCAAATTATGCAGTGAGTTTTCAACCCCACCTTGAACTTTTGACTAAGTGTTTATTATTTCGTGTATCTCAATTAAGCTGAGGTTCATTACCACGGTAGTACGAGGCCGCATACAGCATTTAAAGGAACCAACAAACTATTAACTTGCCAAGTTTATTGTTTATCAAAATGCTGGTATGCTCAGAGTTAGTGCCTAATAATGTGAGTGGGCTCTGCACCGTGATTTTATTACTGGCCGGGTAGATACTTAGGCAGAATCTTGGCGTGCAGCATCTCTGACAGCCAGAACGCTATATAAAAGACTAGGCCATGCAGCCTTGTACTGTCCAGTGTCAAGTGATGAGATAGGTAGAATGAAATGGAAGTGCTTTTAATGCACTTGTGCGCCAGGGATAAATGACTCATGCCACTGCGGTAGTGGTACCCGAGCTGATTGATAATTGATTCCTTCGTATCAAACGGTGCGCCCTTCTCACGACATCCGCAATGTTGCACTACTTAAAGTGCATGAAGTTGCCGGAATATTCTCTTGTAAAACTAACTCAGTAATCGTCATTAACATTGCGATTAACGAAAGCCAACATGGACAAAGCGGTTGCACCTGGTGAACAAATCCTGCGAGCATTCGGACTGAACGGAGTTCCTGAACCACTTGCCGGTGGAATGGGACTCTGCTTCAGAATTGGCAACGTCGTTCTGAAGCCGACGGACGATAAACATGAGGCCCAGGGGGTTTCCGAGTTGACAGCCCACCTTTTGAGTAATGTATCATCGGAGTATCGCCTGTCGCGCCCAATACCGATCATTCGTGACGCAGCAAAGTATGTTCACAGTGGATGGACAGCTTCCACCTTTCTCGAAGGCTCGTCTGGCTCAAAACCTCGCATAGCTGAGACTTTATCTGTCAGTCGCGCTTTTCACCGTGACTTAGCAATGGCCTATTTCAAGAAGCCTCGATTTGTTGATGAAAGGATCAACCGTTGGTCGGAGTCTGATCGAGTCACCTGGGGCGAAAAGGCACTTGAGGATGTTGATAATGTTGACTTTGTTATTCTCGAGATTCTCAACCCGACGCTGGAACAGCTCAAGGAGATGATGGAGCCCCTACCCAGAGATTTGGAGAGCCAGCTCATGCACGCCGACCTGGCTGGTAATGTGCTGTTCGATGACCAGTCTGGCTTGGCCCCTGCCATCATCGACTTGACGATGTATTGGAGGCCTGCGGCATATGCGGAAGCAATCATGGTGGTGGATGGCATTATGTGGCATGGTGAAGGGAAAGAGCTTATTGAGCTCTGCGGTACAGGCCAGGTATGGATTCAACTACTCATCAGGGCACTGTACTGGCGAGAAATCACATTTGCAATCGACCCAGATGAACAGTTCATCTCCGCAAATTTTGGCAGGGTGGACTTTCAAGAAGCCGTGAATGCCTTGCGAAGGTGCATTCCCAGTATGTAAGCGAAGAAAGAGCTCGGGGCTTTCATTGTCGGCTACTTTCATATTTGATATAGCATTCATCCCCTGTTCCCCCATTGTTCCCCCATTCAACCGGGCGAAGATAATGTTCATTTCCAGGCACTTATCAGACGTGCGGGCGCGTTTTGCTTAGAAGCCCTGCTTGTCGACGATTTTCTGGGCGTTGGCAATGGACTCCTGGGCGTTAGGGTCAACGAAGCCACAACCCGTCTTGCCGTTCTGGAACTCAGCCCCAATGCCAGAGCAGATACCGACTTCGTTTCCTTGGGCATCAGTGGCACCACCGGCGCAGCAGCCCTCCTGGCAGTCAGCGTCGGCGACGCAGCCACCAGTCGTGAATTGTGCTCCCTCGCCGTTTCCGACATCGCGGGCACCGGCATCGTTAGGAGTCAAGGCGACAGCGCCAAGAGCGACTGTCCAGCGCGTAAGCGGCCCGCCGTGCGGATTGAAGACCTGGGGAATGCGTTGACTTACAAGCGAAAGCTGCGATGATGCTGATGCGAACCATTTTGTCTTTTTGAGCGAATGTCCTGATTCGTGGAATGAGTGAAATCAAGTAGTTACAAGAAACGAAAGGCGCCGGGCCGTGAAAGACAGTGTGTATATTTTGATGGAGTGAGAGCTTGTGTCTGTAGAAGAGCTAAATTGCGGCCTTCTGGCGGTGCGCCTGACGTCTTTATAGAGCATCCTGGCTGCGTGTGAAGCAAGTTAGTCTTCGCGATGATCGCCGTGCAGCGGATGACAGTTGACCGAACCGTGGCAGCTGAAACCCTGGATCAGACGAAACTGCCATCAGGCAAAGCACAAGTCGTCGCAGATCCCGCACACGGCTCCGCTTCTGGCAATCTTGGCGCCCGATCAATTCCCGCAGTGCCGCGATGTCGAACGGATGAACGACTGAAGTTGCGAAACTAGACCTGGGGTAGATCAGTACCAAGATCTCTCCTTACCAGAGCCTTTCCCCACGGCAAAATCTCCCAGTGCGCGTTAGCGCTGTGCCTGGCGCCGATGGAGTGGAGTGCCACCGATTGGCCAAGTCCATGCAACCACCGATCTTGCACTGTTTTGGGGGTTTGGCAGCATGGGAACTCATGCCGTCTGTCAATGGGTTCGTTTGGGGATGGCTTGGATGGATGTCTGAATCAACAATTGGCAGGAGTTCAGACGGGACCGACAACCGGGGCTGTTTCAGAAGTCCAACAACACAGTGGATCGCATTGCATTCGGTTTTCACGGAACATGTGTTCGTCGTATCATTCAGGGAGTTGGCTTCAACAGTTCCTTGGTTCGAGAAGAAGTCGCACCTTGTCAAACGCTATCTCTCCTTTCTGAGCTACTACGGAAAGTCACGGCTATATAATCAGTAACAATAATAATGTTTATAAGAATAGGAATAGATTAAGGCTTTACCATGAATTATATCTTATTATATATGTTCAAAACTAAGGAGGAAGAGGGAAGCTCTCCCTTACCGCGGTCGCGTTTGCTGGTTATTTTTACACGTGGGTAGTAACCACCCTGTTAAGATATGAAGGACCAATTTGGTTATGTAGGAACCCAGAATGTGCCGTCAACTTCCACAATATCATCATCGTTACGCCTGTTGACTTCAATCATACTGCGTGACGGATAGGTATTTGTATTATTACGCCGAAGTTCAACCTGCACTTGATTACACAGCGGGCGGTATCTATACATGTCTGTCGTGTACACGAGTAGCCGCACACCAGAATACCGGGTGGTGCCCGCCATTTCCGCAAGAGTAACCATTCTCAAAAGCTAGTTGAATACGAGCAACGCCAGTCGGGGCCAGAGTACTGTTGGAGCGGTAGATACCGCGAATATCTGACGGCCCGGTCAATGACATGTTGTAGCTAAATTGATGATGATCATGGTGACGAACCGGCACTGCATAATGTGCTTCCTGCCTTGGGCATCAGACTTCACGACCGCGTAGTATTGAAGACCGTCGAAGGATTGTATATCTTCACACCGGCGGGAGATGTGTCGTTCGGTTGAAGGGCAGCCAGGCTTGAACCCAGTTGGGCAGTGAGTGTGGAACAAAACGTATTTTGGTATCCAATTCATATAAAAATATGCTTGAATACATGAAGATCAAAGATACGACGAATTGCTCCATTACCTATACGAGTTCGGCAACCGGCTCCGATGTACCGTTGCATGGCGTCAGATCACATTGGGCGGCCGGTCGAAGCCGTACTCCACAATCTAATCGCTGACCCGACCTCCGATCACTGCATTACCTGAGACTGCGAGGAACTGAATTCTACAATGAGTTCTGCTCCATCCCAGACCAAGGTCATTGAGACTATTTTAGGGATAGCGAGAAGTTCTTTCCCTTTGGTTGGACATTTTATGGTACTTGGTCCGTGTCAACGTGTATTAGACTACTAAGTTTTAATGGTATGACCACAGTGGCTTTCTGTGCCGCACTATGGCCAGTCGCATAGGCTGGACAAATCGACCAGAGGATGGCCCCGGACCTCATTCAAAGACGCATGACATGGAAAATGGCTCAACGTTGAGGTCACTGCGATGGGTACCGCCATCAAACACAGACTCGCAGCCCATGTCGACTGTTTCTTTAGCGAGATGTCACACAACCTCGATGCCGTACAGACATTGTAATAGCGGTTGTGTCGATGTGCATTAGGTGTTGGTAGAGCTGCAGGTTGCCCTTGCATGCGCAACGGAGTATCTGCCTTATGCTTGGAGCCACCCCAATGTAGCGGGGCACCCACCTCCTGATGCTGCCCTTTGTCACGTCTCAAACCGATCCCTACTTAGAGTAGAACATTGGCACCTGACAAGAATCCCCTTCCCCTCATGTAATGATAGACTGAAAGCAGGGAAACAGCCTCGGGTTGAAGCTAGCTACAATAATCCTAAATAAGATATCAGCAAAATATCATTCTCAATCTAAGAAGGATGCTCTGGATAGGAAGTTGCATTATAATTGGCCCAAGTAAGAATGACCATCTATATCAACCAACGCCTTGGGCCATGATTACTGAAATTGGTGCCTTTGCGCGGATATGTTGTACATGGGCGAAAACCGCCTGGATATGGGGTCAGCCTAGCTTTAGATAAGCCGCATAACTTCTGAGTTGGACTTCAGTGAGCCTATGAGTGCTTTTATCAAGAGAATATACTACTCACATTTATCAGGCTACATGCACCCGGTCTCCGTTCCGTCAAACATCTACGCCAAGAACCCACTACGGAGGTCATTGGAAAAAAGTTTTCTCAAATGACACGGGATCCGAATTTTCCTTGCCTGACAAAGGTATGTCAACCATCACCCAATGAACATTGCAATATTGTCTCTGCGTAGCAATATCTCTCCTAGACGGCCTTGTTGAATGCTTCGACCCAAATAGCAATGGTTAGTTGAACCCTACTTAAGGTTGGAGGTGAAGTGAGACACGAAGGTAATTTGATAAATGTCCTTAATAGGTAATCAATCTTATCTGCATGAACGTGCCATTACCGACTTATGAGATTTGCAGAAGAAGCGCGTTCACCTTGCTTGAACTCGGCCAATTGGGTGAGCTTGGTGAGATGGATGAGCATCACTTGCCCTTGGCCAGCGCTACGGCATAATCTAGATGATCTAGTTGACCACCGGATTATTTATGGGATTGAAGAGAAATTTGGACTCGTTACTAGTAACTACTGTAGAAATTGGTTGAGTATTGTTTGGCTGAGCTTCTGCTTGCCATCTTATCACTCCCTACGCAAGAGAAAGTTCGCCAATACGCCAGGACAACTATGACATTCTAATCTGCTTGAGACCGCAATCCGTGCGGAGCCACCTACGGAGTACGACTTCCTCTTCATCCCAATATATTCTCGCTGTTAATTGGGCATCACTCTAGTTTACATAGAACATGTAATCAGCCGCTCCATTCGTAAAGCTGTGGCTGATGGGTATCTTAGGCTCGGGCCATTGTATGAGACATGATATATAGGAAGTACCGCTTCGCACGGATTCTCACGGATTCTCACGACAAGTAACATTGAATTTGTTTGGAAGTGACCTTGGAAGTGGCCAAAATCTGAATTTCGAGATTATAGACAACGGCATGCTTCGCGTGTTGATGTAGTTGTGACCTTACTACGTGCACTTCCGCCTCAAAGCCGTTTAGGAGCTCAACTTACGCCTCACTAATGTTCAATGCCTACCGAAATGGCGACAAGCACGGGGACAGTAGTCCTCCAGAAAATTGGACACAAACTCAGCCCCCTTTGATCATGGCACCATGATGATGTGATATACGAGTTGGATTGCATTGCATGGTATTGCCTGAAGGAATGCTTACCATGCGTCAAAAGACGCATGCGGGCGCCACGGTACGACGTAATCTAGTGACGTGGTGGGGCCTGGGTCTACCTCATGTTGTGTTGGTATTGTCCCACCATCGTCTTGCAGCACCGAAAGTGGTAGGAATTGCGCCGCAACCTCGCCGTTCTGATGGTCAATGAGCATCCTCTGCGTCCCAACATGCTATGATCCTTGTGGCATGTATAGCTTCACGTATCTGCATGGATTTATGTAATGTTCCAAACAGTGAGGGGAACGAGAAACTTCAGGATCCAGTCACAGGGGAATGTACGTGTATCTATCATCCAATCCTCTTCTGTGTACACACTGTTCCCTCTCAGTTTCGCTTAGCTTGATGCGGCCGATCGATGCAAATGAATGGTCTGTCATTCCAGGAGCGGAAACTGATCCACCACAAGGGACCAGGATACCTGCGTCACAACCAGAGCAATGTTCAAACACCGGCCTAGTTCGATAGTATAACTCCCGTTTATCGATTACCATTCTTTTAAGAACGAAGAGATCAATTATTCATGTATCCATATCAATGATATTCCGTCTCCTTCCCAGCTCTCTTCACTTGTACCCGTCAGTTCCGTCGCTGACCTACTCAATGCTTTTATTCATACTTTTGCCTTGGGAATCCTAATCCTCGGTATCTCATACTACATTGGCACTGGTAAACGCCTTTGTAATGTCACCAACGGAACATTCAAAATATCAATATGAACTGGTCGGCGGTTATCCTTCAAGAGCCCACCGCTTTATCACGCAAACAGCAATTGTAGCGGTCATTTGTCTAACAGTAGGACTCTTGGGATTCGGATTTGGGCGTTACTCGACCGAAACACGTAGCATGGCTGCCAGCAACATTCTGTCCTGTAAGGATTCGTACATATTCGCAATCACGATGGGTACAAGGTTAACGTGGAGAGTGAAATCTTTCCCGAATGTGTTCATGTATAACCGGACGTTCGGCGAGAACACAAAGCAGGCTGATGCTGCCTGGGAAGCGCTTTTCCCGAGACAAGCCGGCTTCTTTTCGCACCCAACTATTGCTCCAAAACGCTCTACATTCTCAGTATACCACACTTTACATTGCCTTGTGAGTGATCATCTCGAACGCCAAAACTTATGGCATAGTGACAGGCTGATATAGTACTAGAATGGCATTCGCCAAGGTTATTGGGTGGTGCATGACTTGGCAGCTGCTGGCAAGAAATTGAATGATGGAGACTTACCCATGATGATCTCACCGCCTCACATACGACATTGTATTGATTTATTGCGGCAGAGCCTTATGTGCACGACGGACATGACGGTAGAAGTGAAAGATGATGAGGCCGGAGGTGTGCATGGGTTTGGCGAGGAGCATCAGTGTATTGACTGGTCAGAGTTCAGGGACTGGACAAGCAAGTGGGAGTCGTGGAAGGACAACTAATCGTAAAATGCCACGCGCTACGTGTCCACTTTCAAATTACAGGAGTTCAAAATATTCATATTCAAGCTATGCTAAAATAGACCATGGGCACATGCCGGACACTTTGCTCATGGCATCCAAATCACCTGCAGTAGCCCCAAGGGAGATGAGGGTAATTGCACTACGGACTGTAGGTGAAACCGAGGGTCAGCTCTTTCGATCAATCTAGCCCACTGGGCAGAAGATCGCTCCTGGCTGTTGAACATGGCCATCATGGCGATATCCTGGCACCTGGAATGAGTCTAGTCAGCGGTGCACGATCTGTTCTCTTCTTGATAGTGGTATTCGTATGCTTACCTGATCTGCCGCTCTTGATAGCGTGGCAGAGTTCCCACTGGTGGCATACAAATGTCATTAACGAGAACTCGCGCTCCGGGCTTCAAAGATGGAATCAGCTGGCGTAGTATTTGCGTGCATGATTCCTCGGGCCAGTCATGAAGAATCATCCGGAAGAAATAAACGTCAGCACCTTGAACTGGCTGTGGCGTGAAGAAATCATGAGCCTTGAGTGTAATGTTGCTGCTGCTATCCCGTGTGAAGTTTGAACGCGCCTTTTCGATGACATTAGGCAAATCCTGTACAACGATATGCAACTTTGGATTCTTTTTTGTCAGTTCCCTAGCAAAATCACCGGTTGAGCCTCCAATATCCACCACGGTACTCTCTCCGAGGGCGTCCCAATCAAATGCATCCAGAGCCGCCGAGGGTTCAAAACCCGGCATCTTTTGCATCAACCACATAGTGTTTGCGAACCGTCTGGCCCGATCTGGGTCTCCCTCCAGGGTTTGGAAGAATGGCACGGCAGTATTCTCTACTAGGTTGTGGCCTGTCTGATGGGGCAGTGCTGGCGCCCCAGGCCACTTTGTCAAAGCGTCAATGACCTTGGTCCCAGCAGGCCACATGTCCTCGCATGCAGTGCCAACCCAGTCCTTGAAAGCGGGTTCTTGGGCCAGCAAGGTTGAAGTAGACGAGTGCGCCACATACCCCGGGCGAGGTTGTATCAAGAGATAATTGCTGACAGCATGTTGTAGGAGGCGTTCCACAAGATTGTTATCTCCATTGCATTCCCTGGCCAGTTCGCCGATGGGGATGTCGGCTCCCAAAGGAATCTTGCTTGGCACATCGAATCGGTACATGGCATGCAAGCTGACTAGGTCATACTTGTCTTGTGCGTTAGCAAGGACCTACGTTTGTCGGGAAACTCAACTCACTGCATGGTCAATCTGAGTCTTTAGCCACCCCAGCGGACCCAACAGGAGGGCATTGAGCTCATCCAGGGCTGACAGGGCCTGTCCCAAAGTATCTTCCAGTGCAGGGGGCAGGGGGAGTTTGGGTAGAGTACCCGGTTCGAACGAGGGGCTCGGTATCCCATGAGCATCAAGATATGTTTGTATTCCTGTCGTGTGCTCGAGTATGTCAGTAGCAAGCTGCACTATTCGTCCTGGAGGCGTCATGTGGGCCGTGTTGGGAGGAACACTCGTTTGTGTAAGGCAGCGGATTGGTGCTCGAAAAAGAAGCTCGCTCAGCTGGTTTCGATGGTAATCCGTTGACTGTTTGGTGCGCGCTTCGGGGACCAGACAAAGAGGTAAAGGTATTGCCTCGGACTCCCTCAGTCGGATTCTTAAAGACCTCCGGGTTGTAAGCTGAAAGTATCATGGTAACCAGGGGTTTGGGTGGACTCCATCCAATGTAAGCTTCAATCAGGACAGGCATGTTGGCAGAATGTTTTTGCCCAACCAATAATTGTTTACCTGGATGTACGTATCAAGAGTGGCGCCCTGGCGCCATTCTTTCTTACCGTGATTGGTCGGCATTCAGTTGCTCAAAGTCCCTTGCCTAGCTATGTCCGTGCGCCATGTACGTGATGGGTACTGCAATGTTGCACCGCAGCCTGACTTGGGGATCCCAATTGATGACTTGCAGACATGTGCTTAAGTAGTATTATGTGCATATCAATATGCGGCGTGGATCCTTTGGGTGGTTGCCTTTTTTTTCATGTCAGGCGTATCCGATTGGCCAGCACTGTCGGGAAAATCATGGTCCTCAAATCGTAGGAATAGCTGCACGGTTTATGAGTTGCCATAATTATAAGCTGTTGCGCTCGCAAGTAGCTGACCATAGTAACCCTTGACAAGCCCCACACTCTATGTGTTCAATATCGCGTTACAATAAGATCATGATGTTACGGCGCAGTAATAGGATCACGCTGCTTTTTTGTGATGACCCCCACACCTGCGCGCGTAGTCAGGATCATCATCCTAGTGAGTGCATGTGTTGGACTCAGGTTAATATTCAAGATGTAGCATCTACAACCATTTCAAGTACGGAACATTGGAGCATTGGTGTTAAAGTGAGCACGGAGCCAAGTCGCTGTGGGATGCAGAACTCCATACGATGTTATGTTCTGGTGATGCAGGAGGGATTCTCTTGCTTGAAGTAGAGGCGTCAGAAACATTATAGCATTGCGAGACTATTGTGTGTGCCTGTCTTATGGAGTCTCCTATCCCCGCAATATTCCATCGTTGAATCTTCACTGCCCTCAGTAACAATAACAAGCCATCTTCACGACTAGAATTTAGTCATCGGTGTAAAGGTCGGGGTAGATAATGCCGGAGTCTGGGTCGGGCTCAGGGTAGACGACAGTGTCGTCAACGTCGGGCTCAGGGTAGACAATAATGTCATCCACATCTGATATTGTAAGAATCTAGATAGTGTATGATCTGGAATTCTTACCTGTAGGAACAGGAGCAGTCATCACGCCCAAGGCGGCGGTGAAGATTAGTAGTAGAGCAGCCTTCATTATGCCTATCTTCGTGCAGAAAGCTTGGAGGATCAGATGAACGAAGTGGTGAGCCTGCGCATCCCTACCACAAGTGTGAGAGGTGCCGGAGTGGTTCGATTTATAGTCCATCACGGCAAAACTTACATGTCTAGTGGGGAATGATAAGCGCCACTCTGTAGGTCCAACACATTCCATGTCTAGCTCTAACAGCGCTGCATCATCCCGCATGATACGCCCGGGCTACGCATGAAGGGAGCAACCGAGGGCCGATGTATCCCGTCAGAAGACTTGTCCCACTTGGTTCAAGGTCATAGGACCCGGGGGTTCCTCCTGAAGCTTCTCTGTCACACTTCACTGGACCTTCTCCTTCAAATTCATCTCATTTTCCAGTTTTGACAGTATGGAGCGAGACATTAATAAGCCTATCTTTGAGAAGGAGCCGCTCCTCGACAGCGACTATGAGGATGATTCAACCAGTACAGTGATGACCCCAAAGCGGTATTTTCGTCGCTGGTGGCCCATTGCCGGGCTACTGCAGCTCATTCTATTGTTGATATATACTGGTCTCTCGATAGCGATCATCAGAATTAATACAGACTTGGAAGGGGCGCCTGATATTCATGGTACGCATTCTCTCGTGAATATAGACTCGGAATTGTTAACAACGTCCACAAAGCCTTCGCTGGTCTAGCTGTGCGCTACAAGTTTCGACTCTATGACAATTTCATCAACAGCCCATATGGTGGGGAGCCCACTCCAGCTAGCGATGAGGCCTGGCACCAGCTTCTCAACAATATGAGCATTCGCGTGACGGCCGAAGAGCTTGCCGCTCATGGTCAGTCGTCGGTAGAACTACCAAATGGCGGGTACCTGGCTTGGTTAGGTGTTTTCCACGAATTGCACTGCGTCAAGATGCTGCGGCAGTGGAGCTGGCGTGAGCACTATTTCCCAAATTTGACGGCCCATGAGCATCAGCACCACATGGTGCACATTGATCACTGCCTCGACTGGCTGCGAAACGCGGCCGTTTGCCGCGCGGACACCAGTGCGCTGGCTGTGTTCAAGTGGGCTGACAAGATGCCGCACCCCATGCTCAATACACATCGCGTGGAACACCGCTGTGTTGACTGGGACGCCCTGATGAGCTCGCATGAGGACCGGCTCGTGTCTCATGACGAGGTTGCAAGTCTTAGGAACCCGAACATGGCAGATACTGTAGATGCGTAAGGCGGCGCAGCAGACAAAATTTTCGTCGGCCCGGTTGAACATACAGTTTCACATAGCAGTTAAACTTGGCGTGATGTTTTGGATGGGGGGCACGCCCTGAACCAAGATATAATCTTGGGAATACCGTAAGAATGCCGCTCTATATTGCTGAAAATTGGAATGCGTGGAATATCTACATGGCAGTGTCTTTACTGACTCGTACCGGGTAAAGTTAGGTGTAAGACAAAATACTACAATTTTCATCATTTTTGCAGCCGCTATTTGGACTGAGTACACGGTTGTCTGTATTTCTGTATTCTGATACTGAGACAAGGCCATTGATATTGCTGGGATCAATCCGGGTTTCGTTTTGCATTTCACCGCAGTGCGAGTGTATTATAGGGGAATTATGTCCCGTACTGTCTACTTAACGCAGTCAATTCTAAAAAGACGGATTGAAGCCATCAGATGATGTGAGCAATATCTCCAATATCAACTTTCTCTAGGTTCTAGAATATCTGGAGCGATTATCCGACATAGTTTCTTATTTCTGAACTACCTGGATGATGGAGTCTTGGCGACGGGGTGTGTACGTGTCAATGCGCAAGGCCTTTAAGCCCGCCGCATCCAACAGAGCATACCACTCCTTTAGCGTTCGTTCACGTGAGCCAAGGGACGACATCATGGTCAAATCAATGGTGGCAGCCTCCCACGGGACGCCCGTGTTAGGGAGGACCATCTCATCGATCAAGATCTGTGAACTGGGCCCCAAGACGGCGCTCAGCTGCTTCAGGATCTCAACACATTTGTCGTCAGGCCAGTCGTGAAGTACATTGCGCAAGTAGTAGAACTTAGCATCCTTGATGGGCTGAGGCTCGAAGAAATTATGGGGCATTTTCCCCACTCCATCAAGCTGTGCCGCAAAGGGGGGTGGCAAGTGTTCCAAAGCTTGTGGCAGATCTTGGAGGACGATTTTGCCGTTGAGATGAGGGTAGGCCGATTTTAAGGCAACGCATTGATGTCCAAAGCCGCCTCCGATATCGACAAAGGCATGCGGTCCCGAGAAGTCGCCCAGCTCCTTCTCGAAGGGGAACACCGTGAACCACGGCGCACCTTGCGCACCCTGAACAACCATGACCTGCTGTAGCGGGCCGAAGCGTTCTGGCTGCGTTGGCAGCCACTGAAAGGCGGGCAGGTCAGTCTTGAAGGCCTTCTGGAATGCGGTCGCCGTTGGATCCTTGATGTCCTGGTACTTATTCTCAGCGAGGAAACCCGGAAGCGCCTGAAAGACTGGTCCACAGTTGTCAAAGAAGTGGTAGATACCCCCACGATAGCCCGGCTGGGCCAGAGTCCGAGTCTGGCTGTTGGCCGTGAAGCTATCCTCGCTGGACTCCTTGATCAGGCCAATGGAGGCCAGATAGCGTAAGAGCCGGCCTATACCAGGAGTCAGCAGCGGGAACCGGATGCCCGATGAGCGGACTTGCTGAGAAACACCGGCGCAGCATTTGTCTTGGCGGCTAGTTCTTTGATGCTCAGCGGCTGCTCACTCTCTGCCAGAATCTGGAAGATGTTGAGATCCTCGCCGATACGGGTGGCTGTGATTTGCAGATGCTGCATTCTCTGTTAGCAACGAGACGTGTCCCAGATACTGTTGTGAACTATTTACCAAACCCGCGAAGCGGGACAAAGTATCGTGCGGAGTCTCTAGTGTGAGCTGGATGTCACGGAGAGCATCGAGCAGTTTGTGACGACCGGCGTCATCGGCCTGTGAGGCCAAGGTGCGAAGTTGCTGGAGAATTGCGTCCATTGTGTCTGGATTGGTCTTTGTATGCAGCATGCCAAACCTTGCGATAAAAATCAAGCCCTGACAGAGTTGAACTCTTGTACTTTCAATGTCATATATGTTTCCCAGGATGTAGAACCAATTTCGCGCAGATACCGTTACAACCTAAAGTAGGCTGCACCTTGGTGGTGATACCTAAGAAGCCCAGGCGATAGTATTGGGGCACCAACGTCAATGCGGCACAGCTATGTATGCACCATGCTCACCCAATGCAATCAATCAAATACGCTGTAAGCAGCAGCTGAGACACTGCCACCCCCTCGTTTGTCCAACCCTCGGGCTGACGCCCTTGCACCGCACCGAGTTTACAGGAGTGCCTCATGTCAAGCACTGCTTTAGGAAGAAAGGATGGGGGACGGGTGTGGGCCTCGCGAGCAACCCGCAGGTTGCATGTACCCACATACGTCAAATGCAGCAGTCAAATGCCGAATTGCGCAATTTCACCGGGGTGAAGGATGCGTTCTGGCATATATTTTACAAGGCTCTGACTGCGGCCCAGGATTGAGAGCTGGTGTTACACGTACCTGAAGCCACCGGTTGGCCGTGCCGTGTTTACGATGCGAAGGATTCTTACTGCTTCGCCGTGAGCACATGACATCCGTCCGAGTCCTAAACAAATCCTTCGCCAGCCGCCTTACTTACACTATTGGCGCTTTTGTTGCGCTGCATCTTGCAGTGAGCCTCTTCTAATTTTAGTTGGCGGTAACATCAGCGTCTGGAAAGAATATGTCTACAATCCTCCACTAAGTGCCAAAACTGTGATTATTTTCCGCCTGCCTCAGACGTGGGCGCAAAACATAGGGCAAGGGATTAGCCTCATGAGGTAATGGTGGATGATCCTGCAATAACGAATGGTCGGCCCACTGTGGGCTATATATCAGGTATCACGTAGATCTTGGGTGTTTCCAGAATGTATTCCTGAAGGTCTGGTCAGCACTTTACTTCAAGGCGGGGACTGAGACGAACTCCAGTGAAAATTATCACATTGCCACCATGTCTTCACCAGGCAACCAGCCCCAGCTGCCGCCGGATCAGGACCGTGGTCCGGCACTCGAGGCGCTGTATTGGACATTGTCGGCGTTTTCAATACTGTTACTGAGTTTGCGGTTTTATGCACGCACGAGAATTGGTGCCTTGGGGTGGGATGATTGGATGATGCTCATCACAGTGGTAAGTCTGGAGCGCCGTTGCTTGTGAAAGAATCCTTATAGCGATCTCCAGACCAGGCCCGTGAGCTGATTACACCGCCGCAGGTCCTTTTCGTGGTCGCAACCTGTTTTGTGACCTACATGGCGAGTATAGGGGGTGCCAGGCATATTTTCTACCTCGACGACGAGCAGAGACAAGAGGCTATCAAGTGGAGCTGGATTGCGCAGCCATGGGCGATTTTCCTGTTCGCCACCGGCAAAGCGTCAGTTGCCATTCTGACACTTCGCTTCATCGGACGCAATACCTTCTGGCGGAAATACACATTGTATTTCATCATTGTCACCATTTTCATCATCAACTCGCTGGGCTGCATCTTCACCTTCGTCCAATGCGATCCACCCCGTGCCTTATGGACTGCGGGAATTCCGGCCAAGTGCTGGGACCCCAAGGTCCAAACAAATTTCAACTATTTCTTGGCTGGTAAGCTGTTAATGTTATTTTCCACCCTGATCATGTAGCTGATTCATCTTGTACCTCAGCCTGGAATATTAGCTGTGATATTGTTTTGGCTCTACTGCCCGCATCGTTTATCAGCAAGCTCAATCTGGATTTTCGTCGAAAACTTGCACTCTGTGTACTGCTAGGTCTTGGATTGTTGTAAGTGGGGTACGAAGACACGATCTAGCTAAGTGATTGCTAATAATTGTGCAGTGATGCTGTCTTTAGTGGAATAAAGGTGAAGTTCCTTTTCGATCTTACGGCTCGCGCTGACTTTACCTGTATGTAAAATTCTATCCGATTAGGTACGACGGAATTTTTGGCCAAGGCTAAACGTGGAAATTTGCAGGGTCTTTGTTCGATGTTCAAGTATGGACCGCTATTGAGGCTTTCGTGATGATCGCGTGTGGCAGCCTTCCTCCACTTCAACCCCTCTGGGACCGATTCGTTACGCATAAGCGCGATGCATCTTACGGCCGTACGCCACTCAAGTACAGTGGGGGTTCGAGCAAAAATAGCGACAGAGTTTGGCCTGGCGTGCCCAGCCTTAACTCTTCACACAATAGAAACCAATACGCCTTCGACACACCGGACGTTAGCCAGTTGGAACACGAAATGCCCTCTTCCAGATATACCATACATCGTACGACCGATGTCAAAGTCGAGAGAAGTCACCCTGACATGGTCTAGGCCATGAACCGGCTATATCTCATTAGGGTTAGCACGCATGTATTAACACACCAAGCCGGGCTATTTAGCATACTCTAATTCTGAAACAGAGGGGCGGGGAGAATCCTAATGATCTCAGAACTCAGACACTGTACAGTCAAAATAAAATAGTTTTACAACTTTTGTTATCATATTAACTTCTGATGGGGCACCTTATATAATGGTGGCAAACGAGGTTCGACTTCATGATATTATTTCTAATTTCCGTACGGCAGTTCACTTGAAAGGAGATTTCATATAAAGAAATCACAGCAAGATTGGGGACATGGCCATGACTGGCCACGTGAAAATCTGTTTTATTTACGAAGCCCACAAATGATGTATGTATCGGAAACGTTTGAGTAACAATAATTACTGTCTTGTAAAGAAGGTCAGTCGGCTTCTAATAGGAATTGAAATGGCTGCATGTCTCTCAGCTGTCATGAACCAATAAAACCATGGCACAGTCAAACCCGCGCATGCCTGATATGATAAATGTACCGTTGAAACTCAGAAAATTCGCCCATTAGCTCACGGACCATGTACCACATGATATCCAATGAAATGGAGAGAACTTCTTACTATTCCTAAAATGGTCTCTATTCCCCTCGCCATTACCGGCCTTCCCATACAAATAAGTACTGGTCCGTGCCTTTTGTTTCTATGTATGGGAACTGGTCCGTGAGCTACTGGGCGAATCTTCTGAGTTTCAACGGTAGTTGGGTCCTAATGATGACCTGAGGCGCCCCACATTTGGACGCGGGTCTGCCATGAAAGATCGAATGTAAGCACCCAAGCAGTATTTATACCTGCTTTGCTGCCCGGAGGGAATCGTCGTCGGAACTTCTTCCACTATCAACTTACCAACATTCCACGTCCTCGCCGCACTTGTGTTGAAGACAAGAGTGATGTGCCCCAAAAGCGATAGTGCGGGTGTGCGGGCGTGCGGACGTGCCAATCATTGACAAGTTCGATGCGCGTATTGGAACAGGGACCCTGGGACTGTTACGAGCTATTACGGTGGGAACTGTGCAAGTCTTGTACTCAGTCTGTGGGCCACGAAGGAAAGGCTGCTTACACCGATCCAACACGCAAGCTCCGGAATGCCCCCAGGCCAAAGCTGCCGGGGATCTTTGGGCTTTGCGGCGGGCCCTCTCGTTACAGGGGGCTCAGCAACCTGACGGACATCATCAACATTCCGGATGGCCCACGTTGCCCCAATGGGTCGATGAAAACCTCAGTGGATAACGACAGGTCGGTCATTGCACTCTCGGCGATTTGTCGGCTTGATGCGCTTGGTTCCCAGGCTGCCGTGTCCACAGCCTCCGTCTTCTCCGGCCTTTCAGAAAGCGGGCAAGCGGGAGCCCCAACTGAATGACAGAATGGGGCCCCGTATGAGGGATAAAGGTATCCAACGTTGTTGTCACCGGGGATTACCATTGATGTTGCAAACTGGCTTGTAGCAAGGAATGGCTTTTTGACCTGGCCAGGGGTGAGGCGTGACAAGGAGGCTGAAGGGACTTTGCTTCATATGACTTGTAACCCTATATGACTTCGATCACTAGAGCATCTAAGGAATCGGTCTTCGTAGGGCGCTAGAAATCTCATCTTCAAGGCCCAACGACGTAATCTCCGTCCCAATCACTGGTCTAACTCCGCATTGAGCGAATCTACCCTATCCTGCCCTATTCAAACAACGTGGAGTTAGGGCCCCGCAGGTTCTCTTTTCTAAGCTACCCAGGGCTAGCGTCGTTCTCATTAACTTACGAGCCAATGAAATTTTGCTTTAAGCACCGTCAGCAGAGAGCTCTCCAGGGGGTGGATTTTTGCCGAGCCCGTTATTGGCCTGTTGTTTTTAGTTTCAGGGGTTAGCTTCAACTGTCGACTTGCTCGCATTCTTTGGTTCGGCACATCACTGGCGAATGTAACACTTCTTCGTACCAGAATTGCCCTTAGAGATCTCTGCCGTCTTCACGCTCGCGCCTGGGCTCTTTGCAGTTTCCGTGATTACGTTTCTGCGCGTTTGTCGGGAGGCTCCGACACAGGGCCAGGTTACCAACGCGAGCACATTCCAGGCTAGCCCCTACTCCCACTCATTTGGGACCAGATGGATCCCCAATGCACACGGGCGGACAGGGGATCCTCACTCGCCGTTATGGACACCCAAAGGCCTGGAACCCCCTTTGGTTTCCAAGGAAGCGGGGTCTGCGGTTGAGGGGGAGGAACGCAGATTGGATTCTGCAGGCTTCTTCGACCTTCAGGAGCGCATACGATGTCCCCTGGGACGGGCCCATTTCTGACACAATTGGATATGAGGAGGAGAACGCCTCCCGATGGTGACGCGCGGTATAGCATCATTTACTGCGTGGCCATGCAAGCCACCTCGGTCTAGAGTAAAATAAAGTTTAGAGTTTGGGGTATACACGTTTCTACAACAATGTCTAGTAGACTCTAGGGCTTGCTGGGCGTTGGCGCCATGCTTGCTTCTGGCGTTAAATGATACACTCCACATGTCATATCACTTCCCTGGTCGGACTAAAGTGACTCGCTGCGGAACCCACGGCCCGCTTGTTCAAACGCGCCGTCGACGCCCTGGACGCAGTCAGCCTTTGCAGCGGGCGATTTACGTAACGAGCGGCGCCTAGCCCGCCCAATGGGACTGCTTTTCTCGTGGCGGTTCACTGGCAAGACCGCCCGCACCACAGATTAAGGATCGGTGCACGACGGCCGGGCCGTCGTCGTTGCTTTTGGATGGGTCCGATCCGATATACTATGTAACTATGTAAGCCCCTCGGCCGGCTTTGCAGTCTTCTCTCCTTCGTCCGGACTACCCTACGTTCACTATACTGTTCATTTCCACGCGACTTGCTTGCGTAGCCATTCCTTTCAACCATCTGATTTCACGATGCATTGGTCGACTCTTTTCATCGCCGCACTGGCTGCGCCGGTCTTGTCTCACAGCCACGGCCACAACCACAAACACAGGAGAAGGGCATGTTCGGGGGCGAAGCCGACCGTGGCCACATACGCGGCGGCAGCAGTTGAGACGGTGCAGACGGCACCCGTAGTTGAGGCCGTTCAATCAGCGTCGCCAGCGACCGAGGCCGTGCAGTCGTCGGCACCGGTAGTCGAGACCGTGCAGTCGGCATCGCCTGTAGTTGAGGATGTCAAAGCAGCGCCGGTAGTTGAGGCTGTGCAATCGGCGTCGCCGCTGGTCGCCGCTGTGCAAAAGGCTGAGGAGGTCACCCAAGTTACTGGAACGATCATCCCGGCGGTTAGCGAAACCACGCAGTCTGCCGCGCCCGCAGTACAGACTCCCGGCCGCGCCACTTGGCTATGGCAGTCGAACTTGATCCAGGACAGCGCCCAGGTCGACGACTTCTTGTCCTTCGCCGATTCCAACGACATCATGACCGTGTACGCCCTCATCGACCGTGGTATGGGCAACGAGGTCTTCTACGACTTTGTTGCGCGCTGCAACGCCAGCGGAATTGTCGTCGAGGCCTTGATGGGAAATTCCCAGTGGATTCTTGGACAGGGCGAGCCGACTTTCCAGTCCCAGCTCGACTGGCTGGAGCAATACCAAGGAAGTGCTGACGCCAGCTCCAAGTTCGCCGGAATCCACATCGACGTCGAGGTAAGAGACATGGACTTCTCAAGCTTTGCTGAAGTCGAGGGCGTGAGCTGACTGCTATATTAGCCATGGGGTCTTGATGGGTGGACATCCAACAAGGAGACTTACGTCGCATCCTTCCAGTCCATCATCACACAACTCAAGTCTTTGGGTTCGTCCCTCGGACTGCCAGTCGCTGCCGACCTGCCTTACTGGGCAGACAAGATCATTTGCCCGGACACCGGCAAGGGTCTTGACGTCTGGGCGCTCGAGAATCTGGACACGGCAACATTCATGACGTACCGCAACACGGCCGAGGAGCTTCTCGAGGTTGCCACCGCCGTCCTCGAGGCCGGCAACGCAGCAGGAAAGCCTGTCTGGCTGGCCGTCGAGACCGTCGCAGCTGCTGAAGCGTACCTGATCAGCTACGTCGGCAAGAGCTCCGCCAACCTCTTCACTGATCTCACCACGATCAAGACGACGGCTGCCAAGTACACCAGCTTCGCTGGTATTGCCATCCACGACTACGACGGAGTTAAGGCCCTCAGCTCCTAGAACGCCGGTTTCGATCAGTCCAACTCTTCTTTCGATTCTACCGAGGCAGGCCCATGCCTTGGACAGGTGTTTTTGACGACCATGTTTGGTGCTCACAGGCGGAGCATCTGCTATGCAGAGTACTTAGATTAGAGCTCTTGGGAGACTATATCGACACGACTACAATGCCCGCAACGAAATGCAAACGCTCTTTCCATCTTTTATCTTGTACTCGCAGCTGCCAGTGGCTGATCCGTAAACGTGAGATCCAAGCATCGTTGATGTGTATCTCGCTTCGAACACCTCCATGCGAAGGCTTCGTTGTTGTGAGGGAGATCCTGTATTGTACCTATGTGAGACTTAGCATGAGGAAATCTCCGATGGTTACAAGGCAAAGATTTACCGCACACGAGCACTAAAGGCCGAGATGGGTAATCCATGCCGACTAGCGTAGCCAGATGGCGCATGCGCAGTGTCTGGCGTCTTGAACCAAGGTCGTCAATGCTCTTAGATTGTGGTATATCGAGTTATCATGTCTATATGCATTGAAATGGGTAATGAGTCTATATCAGCGCATTAGTGATGGTGTAGTCTACGGGCCGATTCCATCGTGGTGCAACCCGATATATTAAACCTCCCACGTCTCCACTGGCATGAGATAGAACCAAACGGGGAGGCCGCCGGCGAACCACGACGAGGTGGAAGGAGTCGTCCGCTGACTAACAACTATCTTCAGTTGAGCCAAGAGAGCGAAACCATTAGCGCTGTCAGGAACCGAACACAATCACTTTAATGGCACCCCCAGCACCCTCTTCGTCACCAGCGTTTCTGCGTTTATGGATACGTCTGGCCAGAGGAGATAAGCCCCCCTTGAAAGGGCCCAGCACCGTCCCATCAACGACTTGACCGCGAGGATTAGCATGGCCTGATCAGATGGAACTGGTGACGAGCCCGTGGGTTATTATCATTCTGCAGGACCTGCCAAGTGTCTTACGCGGCATCCAAACCCACTGCATCGGGAGGCACCATCAAGGTTTGTCATAGAAAACAAGCTTGATATGAGCCAGTGAAAGGTCCGGAACTCGCCGCGCGATTTCATGCAGAAGCAGAGAAATAGAGTTGATAGATAGATTAAAAGGGCTAACGCTCCGTAAGCCAGATCCACTTGGCCGTCCCCGTCCGCCTCATTCAGCCTCCCTGCGGAAGGAAGCCACGGCACGCAGGTAAACCCTGGCTTGCCTACGGAGAGTTTTGTGATTGCCGAGACGCCATCCGATGCAACTGTCATTTGCGCTGTCCTGGTTGCTGGGTTCGCAGGACCAAGACCAGGACGGTCTCGACCATCCGACCAGGACCAGGAACAGGCCCACCTTTTATGGAGCCGCGTGGGGGTTCACTCGACACTCCAGGAGCATTTAGTATGCTTTAGGCCCGGTTATACTCTTGGCGGTCCGTTCCCGCGAACGGCATGTGGGAGGAGGATACCGCGTAGCCTCATCCACGATACCCACGCTTTCCACTCCATGACGACGCAAGGCAACTCTATTATAATGCAAACCAGGCGATTGGCTCGCTACCACATTTTCACTTGCGCAGAGCGCAAACATCACGACCGGCGTCTCTCCTTCCTATCAAGGACGAGGTGGTTCTGATGAATGCGTCCATGGGCTGTGCCTTGGTTTGCCATGCAGGAACATCTAGACATGGCGAATAGGGGGAACCAAACTTTCCATGAATCTACAACCCCTGAGTAAGCTGCAAGATAGATAAATAGCCATGAGAAACGGAACTCTAGATTTTTGGACCACTTGATCTTCTACAGCATTACCTTTGGACAATTGTACCCCTTATTCTTCTCTACAGCCTCCTCTGAATCCAGTGTAATCAAGAATCATGCATGGTCTCGCTCTTCTTGCCGCCGGTGCGGCCCTCCTCTCTGGAGTTGCAGCCCACCCGGAGCACGAAATCTCCTCGTCGGAGCTGAACCGCCGCTCCGTGCTGTCCAGGCGCTGCGAGTCCTCGGTTGCGGCCATGAACAAGCGCCGCTGGGCCAAGCGTAACGAGAAGCGTGCCGTCTCGGGTAACGCCACCTGGAACATCGTTACCGAGTCTCCCTACTACGAGACCATCCAGAACGATACCTGCGTCCTGTCCGAAGACATCACCGCTGGGCCGTACATCTGGCCTCAGAGTCAAACCCTCCGCCAGGACATCCGTGAGGGTGAGCCCGGCGTGCCATTCATCCTCGACATTGGTGTCTTGGACGTTGAGACCTGTGAGCCTCTGCCTGACGTGCTTGTCGACATCTGGCACTGCAACGCCACCGGCTCCTACAGCTCCTTTACTGCCCTCAGCCCCAATACTCCCTTCGAGCAGCTCCTGAAGGAGCTCAACAAGACCGCTACCGATGACCTACACACCGACACCACTACCTTCCTGCGCGGGATCGTAAGTTCACCCATGCAATACATTCAAGCTCTTGTTAAGATCAGAGACTGACAAGTGATCGTAGTGGCCCACCAACAGCGAAGGCATCACCGAGTTCACCACCATCGTGCCGGGGTTCTACGTGGAGCGCACGCTGCACATCCACGTTCAGGTGCACGAGAACTACGTGATCCGGGGCAACGGCACAGTGGCCTCGTCGAACACCATCTCGACTGGTCAGCTGTTCCTTGCCGAGGACGTGAGCCAGCAGCTGATGGCGCTCGAGCCGTACGTCACCCACACACAGATCAACCGCACCACCAACGTCGTCGACTCCATCTACGCCGACCAGGCCGTCAACGGATACGACCCCATCGTCTCGATTGAGCCCCTGGACGGCGAGAATATCGAGAACGGCATCGTTGGCTACATCACCATTGGCGTCGACAGCGCTTCCAAGAAGAAGCTCAAGCGAAGCCTCAAGCACTAAGAGAGTGCAGCTACCTGACTTTGTTTGTATTTTCTTATTATGGAATTAGTTTCGTTGCACATGGATTATACTTTTGATAGGTTACATGATACATGATAGGAGCATAGATTAGACTTTATAGACTAGATGATAGACAACCGCTAGGGAACAGTACATATACTTCATCGGATCTGCTTGTACCTATGAAATCAATGTATTGCACTTCAGACGAAGTGTTCACTCCCCGCACGCACTACTAAGCAATTGTGCTGCTGTTCGTAATCTCCATTCATCTGAACCTACCAAAATATTCTTGTCAAATGTGGCCACCGCACAGCGTGTAGTCACTCATCAGGTTCTCATTCGATAGAGCGCAGTAGCATCGATAATTCAATAATAGTTTAAACAATTTCGGCAGGAAATCTGATCGGAAGATGAGCCTCTGGTGATGGAATTCAAGGATACAGTTTGATTATACTCCAGTAGCCCCGACGTATATCCTCAGGCAGCCGCTCTTGAAGTGAGTCGTAAGTCTCAACAACACCAAATAGACTCCCGATGCCTCGAGCTCCTTATTGCCCAGTCTGTTACTTTTTCATATTTTCGAGATTCATACGCACTCATAAAAGTCACGAGGTTTGCGACTGCAAAAAGGCATGCCGTCAAAAGCATCCACCAAATTAGATCGTGATCAGCAATTTCGTGCCGCCCATTCTTGACCATAATGGCAATGAAGAAGACCGTCGCCACAGTGAGCAGGATCAAGTTCAAATTGGTCCGGAAACCAAAGGAAGTCTCAATCCTCAGATGATCCTCGGCGGGTGGCTGCATCTCAAGAGGCTGCTATGCCTCAGCGAGGGGCGCAGTGTCTGGAATCCTGAGCTTGCCGATGACATCCTCGAACAGCTCGGGTAGGAACTCGTCGGCGCCGCCTTGGAAGAAGAAGTCTTTGCCGTCCAATCCACTTTTGGCTTGTGGGTCTGGATTTATCACGGCAACGACAGCCCCGCGCCGTTTGGCCTTATTAGTATACCCGGCGGCGGGATAGACGGCGGCCGAGGTGCCGATAACCAACATAACGTCGACTGGGTCCTTATAAAGCCAGTTGTCGACCTCGAGAAGCATGCCGTCCGGCAACGACTCGCCAAACCAGACTACGCCCGGGCGGAGGAGGGCCGTTTTGCCGCGGCGCTTACAGTCTGGACACTGCGGCAGGTCTTCCGGCTTGATGGTGGCGAGGTCCACAGATGGGTCCAGCAACGGCGAGAGTTGGCCGGGTGGATAGTCTTCGGCTGCGGCTGCGAGTGAAGGACACACGGGATCGCGCGTGGCATTTCGCTCAACATAACCGCATTTATTGTAGCAGGTGATGTCCAACAAGTTCCCGTGGAGCATGCGAATAGCAGATTCGGGATGGCCTGCGCGCGGCGAGAGGCCTGCTCGGCATGTCAGATTGGCGTCTCCTGTTCCATTACGAATTCAAACCTACCGTCGACGTTTTGTGTCAAGCAGAGGAAGTTCTCCTTCTTCTTGGCCAGCTCCGCTAGAGCGTAGTGGCCGGCATTGGGCTTGGCCTTTAATGCCAAGTGTCGCCTCCAGGCGTAAAACAACCAGACCAGGCCCGGGTCGTCCTCGAACGCCTCTGGGGTTGCAAGCGATGTGGACTCAAACTCCCGCCAGAGCCCACCAGCTCCTCTGAAGGTGGGCAGGCCAGACGCCACGGAGAGGCCAGCACCACAGAGTGCCAGGATGCGATTGGAGCCATTCAAGATCTTCCTGAACTCGTCGACATCTGTCTTTGGCGAACTCATCCTCGATGGGAGACGGGGGTTGCGAGACCCTCTGCCTGATTCGTTCCGGGTATTGGATGCTGCACCCCTTCTGGGCATTCTCTGGGCGATAACTGGGGGGTGGCGATGATGTTGCCAGCGACAGCAACTCTGCACCAAAGCGGACAGTCGGAGGGATGTTGTGTTGATAGCAGAGTTCAACTGCAACAGGCGAGGCATTGAGCGGATACTGCGCGGGAGCTGGACCACAACAAGGCAGATAAGGCATGAGCTCGTTTCGCGAGTGATGAGTCCTTGCCGTCGTCCCTGTCGTGGCTTGCGGCTTGCGGCTTGCAGATGCCTGGGCGCACAACAGTAGGGGCCCCTGGAGGAGGGCAGAGAAGGTTACAGGGAGCTGCCGCACTGTTCTCATCGCCAAGTTGCCAAATTTAGGTGCCAATTGTTAGCGGGTGGGGTGATGTCAGTGGGGTAGGTTACTGAGCGGCTACATACCTAGGTACAGGGGGTGGACAAGGCACCTGTATGTGGTGAGTGACTTGCACCACATAATTTGTGGTCCGACGAACTCTGCCCATTCCAGTGTCTGAAATGGCCCGTTATGAGCGATGTTCACACATGCTGCGCTGCTTACAGAGTGTGGACATGTACTCTAATTAATTAGGAACCTCGGTCAAGACCAAGCGCCACGACCACGAGGTATTAGAGGCGATGGTAAAGTTGGGGACAACCTCGTAGGCGATTATTGATGGAACAAAGTGTTGCCCGTGTTACAGCCCCGAAAGTCGATGAGTCGAGGATGTTGAAACACCTCGAGCTGCACTTGCGGCGGGAGATTCCATGTCGGCTTCATCAGGCTCGTAGTGCTCTTCTAGGTAGGTAAGTAGAATGGTACTGGCAGATACTTTAGGCTACGCCCACATAGTCAAAGTTAATCAATCTACAAGGGCGAGGATTGCCCAAGTTCTAAGACGTACTTGTTTCTGCGACAAGTGATTTATTGCCTGGAGTCAAAGTGGAAGTGCCTCGGAGTAAAACATCTTTTATAAAGCTCTTACCAAATATGCCGGGGGCAGACGACGATCCCGATGGCCAGGAAAAGCGGACATGAGCTGCCAAAACCATGACCGTTCTTCGAAGCAATCCGCTAAGCGACAGCCATCCGCGGAGTCAATGGCTGTGGTATTCTGAAGGAACCAGCTGGAACCCACAACCTCAACTGCCCTCTGATGGGCAGTAAGCGGCCGTATATCTTAACATGAGCTCTCTCATGGCGCATCTAGTAGGCTTCTTGGAGCATCTGATGTGGCTGTGAAGAGATCTGCGTTCTGTCACAAAGTCACATTACTTGAGTTGAACACTTTCTAATCACCACTCTAGGACTTGTTGTTTCGCTTAATGTCTAAATGGCGCGCCTTAAATTCTCCTGAACGGGCCGGCTTGTAGACATACAGTTGCCGCTGCGTCGCGCATACCGGCCAAGGAACCAAGGAACAATATGCCATGTGACATTAACCTGAGTTGATCATGGGACCAAGCTTAGACGCAACAGCAGGTATAGAGAAGCACCAGAGTCGCAGTGTCCCCTCAGTTGGAAGAGCACTTAACCCCGCTCCAACTACCGTGGGGATGGCTGATGACCCCAGGTGTGATGATCGCAGCTCTATAACGTTACCATTAACAATTGCAACATCGAACAAGCACGTCTACTACTACAAGATAATGTACGCTTGATTCTTTGCCGTCGTATTTTGTATACAAACTTAAGGGCACTTATAGAGCTACGTACGGATTATGTTCCGCCGCAATGCGGCTTGTCAAGCTCGAATTATTAGACTTTCATGTAACGAAAGCTAAATCTGCCCAATGGACTATACTTGAGGCAATGCAAGGTTACCTAATGTGTCCCAACTAGGACCGGATTCTAGCACCGTGCCATTCACGCGGCCAACTGACTTGCTCCCAGCCAATCATATGTCCGGACCGGCCGACCCCTCAGGCGCTGGAGATTCATGTCACAGGCCGGCTAATCTTGTGCCGCAAATTCTGAACTTCATGCGATTGCGGCCAGTTATTATAGTGGGCCCGGCGTTCGGCCTGTCACTAAAGATTGAAACGTTCCCTTCACAACTGAATCCAAACCTGGCGTACCAATGAAGGATCTAGCCTAGGAACTCAATTGGCCGACAGGACTGGGGCAGGGGTATGCCAGCCTGCTTCTGCCTTGTCTGCTCTCCCTTCATTCTGTGGATCGCCTGTGTCCTTGAACCAATAACAGTTGATAGGCCCCGGTTCCGATCCGAGATAGTCCACCGGGCTGTCAATTGGCTGGACTAGTCGACCCGTGCCGCTGGCATCTACATGGATGCCCACCCTGCCATATCCACGTGGTGCCAGTATGGCACCGTTGTTGGGAGCAGGCCTCGCAAAAGTCAGCTGCGAACAAGTGCTGCGCCTCGACTTTGTAAGACCTATTCCTTGATTAGCCACAAACAGAAATAATCGACAATCCTTGGCTGTCAGCGCCAGTCCATTCCCACTTTAGGTTGGCAACAAGCTCTTGTGAGACTTGCCTGCCATCGAGCATCATGTCACCGTCGTGGAGCTCTGTCTGATAGCTCAACACTCCATTGGTCTTTGATGTAATAGCTAACCCGCTATTAGCGCAAGGGTTGCTTGGGTCTAGGTCATTTGTTTTGGCATGAGACTGCAAATAAGCATGCAGGGCTCGGCAGAAACTGTAGCATTAGCAATACAAATATCATGTCACTCCCTTCCCACCTCCTAACAGTTTGGCTGTCTGAGTCCTTTGAAACGTGACTTCCGGGAGGTGACGATGATGAAGTACTTCGCGCTAACACTGGCAGCCAGCGTGTGCACGGCTTTACCTTCTGCGGTCGACGATAGGCTTGGCCGCAAAGATGCCAGACCAGCATTAAGTCTAAGCGACATCACCAAGATCGAGCAGTCTGGCCTCACAGCACGGGCTGCGTTCAGTCCCACGTTAGGTGTCAACTTTCCTGATCCAGCACTGATCTGGGGAGACGGGTCATGGAAAGCTTACGGAACCTCATCCAATGGAAAGAAAGTGCCTGTTGCCACATCCAACGACGCACTTTCTTGGACACTCACCGGAAATGACGCTCTGCCAAATGTGGGCAGCTGGGTAGATTCAGGTGATACGGCTATATGGGCTCCAGACGTGCAGAAAAATGTAAGCCACTAATGGAATGAGTAGATTGGAATATCTTTCACTCTGAAACCTTGATTGACACAGAACATATAGGATGCGGGGACGTATGTGATGTATTACACCGCCCATCAGTCCGGTGGCACACATTGCATTGGCGTTGCAACTTCTAGCACCGCCATTGGACCATTCACCCCTCAGGCCAGCCCTCTCATATGTGACACTGCTGGCGGCGGCGCTATTGATGCCTCTGGATATGATGACGGAGTGAATCGGTGGATCACATGGAAAGTGGACGGTAATAACCTCGGAGGCGCCACTACATGTCAAGGAGGAACGCCGTCGGGAGCCTACAAGCCGACTCCAATCAAGATCCAACGGATGGCGCGAGACGCGCTAACACTGCTCGACAGTCCGAAGGTGATATTGGATAACGAAGGAGCGGCCAATGACGGTGTTGTGGAAGCGCCGGCACTGTACAAGGTCCAGGATGGGCTCTTTGTGCTCTTCTATAGCGCACATTGCTATGCCAGTGATGATTACGATATCGAGTACGCCTTCTCGAGCACCATCGACGGACAGTACACAGACAGAGGGATTCTTCTAAGGACGGTGGACAATAAGGGAGTATACGGACCTGGAGGGTTAGATATTGATCCAAATGGCAAGAATGTGTTGTTTCATGGGCGTGATGGCCCAGGCCAGGGAGGTGGGGGGACGCGGTATCTATACAGTGCCGTGCTGTCCCTTAACGGCAAGGGCATTTCATTCCAGTGATATCTCTCTCGAGTTATATTAGTACTCTGGAACACGGGTAAGTCCTGCCTCATGACCATCTGAAATGGAGTTCTAAAAGATTTTCAAAGTTCAGATTGTTGGTCTTGCGTATCGATCTCTATGCTTTTCTATATTCTGAACCGCCCACCTCCACCACCTTCTAATTGAGCAAGAACACGACGCTGGATGAGTGAGGTATTAATTCCAATCCTAATGTTTAAGATTCTCCAACTCAGAGCTGCTAGTAGACTCCTTTGGCTTGCTCTTAAACACAAAGCCTGGGTGTCCTATCGTGAGACAAAACACAGCGCAAATGACCATCCTAAAAGCCTCATAATATTAGCAACGACCCACCGAGTCTGCAACTTGTGGGTTTGGTAACTTACACTCCTTCTAGTCCAATGAACAACCCCTCGTCCCTGATCAGTCCTCCGCGGTACCCATTATGCAGCTCCGCCAGCCGGTACGCGCACCGGGCGAGAATGAGCACGATGGCGAGGGCCAGGAAGGCGAAGAAGAGTTTGGGGCGGGCGCCGAGCTTGGCGGCGCCGAAGCGATAAATGTCAGAGCGGAAGTACCGGTACAGGTAATCGCCGAAGAGGACACAGAACACGACCATGCACAAGACCTGCAGACTGAGCCCAACGAGCGCCATGTCCACGCCGGTCTGGCTTGCGCCGGCGGTTGAGGTTGACAGGGCACCGCCAGCGGCTTGCAGCACAAGACATACCAAGTCGCTGGAGATGAAGACCCAATAGATCAGGTTGGGCCGGAATCGGGATAGCGAGGGGGCGAAGTACTTGATGCTACGAGACAATGAGGACGGATTCAGGCATGATTTAGTGTTGAATCAAGGTGAGAATCTCAACTTACGAGGCAGCAAGAGTAACATAGATTGCGGCCGTGTAGTAGACTGGAACGCTAGTCACGCAGACTATAATGACATTGGTAAGCAGCTGTCTCTCTGGGCATTATTCATCAACATACTGATCTGAATCATGAAGGCTACGAATTTGAACGGATTGTAATACATGAAGATCCTCCCAGCATAGCCCAGGACGGCACTGGTAGCCCCGAGGAGCATGGCGCCCATGAAAAACCATGTCTTCCACCGAATACCCAGGTAGAGGTGAACCGCTGCCGATAGCACGTACAGGGCCAGGAACGTGCTGTTCGCCGCTAGGCTGGGCCGGTATCCGTACACGCTCATCTCGACGGGGCAGATTTCGAGGGTGCAGTTGGCGCCGGGACCGAAGACCTTGACGTACGGAGGCACGCCTGGAGGAAGGTGTGTTGGTGACGTGGCCATTGTGTCTCTGTTTCTGGTGATTTCGGGGATGGCTTGCAACAGTACGTGGACTAATGGATTGGAGTGTTGCAGTTCTAAAAGACTTGTACAGAGGCGGGCTATCCCATATTATACCAGTCAAGAACAAAAGGAGGAGGCGTGAGAGTTAGGAGCAAGCACAGTGAAATAGCCTGTCGCTGGGCATGTCTTCACGAAACGCCAATCAGCATAACGACTATAATCAGCACCTAGACATGGGCCATGGCGCCGATATCTTCTTGGCCGCGTCGCGAAATGGCTCCAGCAGCAACCCATTTCAGCATTTCGAGTCTTTTGCAAAGGCATAAACATGGCTACTATACCGGCGCTCGTATTTGCCAACTGATCTGAGCTTAGCGCTCACTATCAAGGCCCAAAGAGGAAACCTAAGCGAATGCGAGCAGACGCGCGCGGCGGCACAGACACACGTTTGGTGTCTCAATTTGGCAGCTCTTGGCAGGACTAGCCATTGCGTCTAGTGGATGACAGCTGAGCCGCCAGGCAGACGTATTAGATACCAGACACAGCGAAACCTACTATAGCTTCTGGTGGGTAATGGCTTTCGCCGTGTCCGGTTTCCAAAATACGTCTGCCTGCCTCCTTGCAGGGTTCTCACTAATTACGCCGATGTCTCACGGTTGTCAGCATCGTTGATGGTCGCTTACACTAGGTAGACTCGAGATAGTCGGGCTACCACATCAAAAGGACCTTAAGCGAGCGCCGCTGGGACTAAATCTAGTTGATCTAGTTGATCTGGCTGACACCAAACTACCATTTCCATGATATCGTCTCGTAGCGTCTCGCCGTCGGGGGCAGTTTCCTTAGCCAGCTGCACGGTGATCTTGCTTCCCAGAGCCTGCCTGCCCGTCCACCTTCCGTGTCTTTGGTACAGATCTCACAAGGCCTTGAGCGCATTGTACTGCGCCTGCGTCACCGGCAATACGGACCCGTGCCGCATGTACGTGATGGCCGACGAGGCGCTGGTGAACTTGCCAGACAGGGGGTCCGTCGAGCTCCAGGCGCGCAGGCCGGCGGCGCCGCCGACGAGGTCGCAGAGCAGGTACGCCTTGCCATCGACGCGGTTGTCCCAGAACGGGTACGGGCCCTCGTACTGGGCGCTGATGGAGCCTGAGGGCCGGGTCCAGGGCCCTGCGATGCCGTTGCGGCTGACCTCGGCCACTGGGCCCTTGACGCCCGCACCGACGAGGAACCGGACGAGCGTCGAGTTGTCGACGCGCAGGAAGCTCATGTCCAGCGTGTCGCTGGGGCTCTTGTTGATGTACGTGGACGGGCTCTCGTACGTCTTGAAGTCCGAGGTCAGCGCAGAGCGGATATATAGAGGCGTGCCTGTGCCGGTATGTCCAGTGTCGCCCTTATCGTACTGTGCGTATGTTAGTTACTGCAATGTTTCCCCCTTTCGAAGTAAGATCCAACACTTACGAAGGCCGAGGCCCAATGTACGAAGTACTTGCCTGTCCACGGCAGTCCGTCAGAAATCGCTACATCGTCGTAATGGCTTCCGCCCGTGCAACCTACTTGAACTCGGGTCCCAGATGGCATCGGGCGCCCATACCATGCCCGCCGTCTTGTCCTCGACCTCCACCAGTCTCTCGCTGCCCCAGTTCACGAGGTCGCTCGACTCCCAGGTCATGATGCTCCGCGAGCCAGTGCGCTTGGCGCGGTCCCAAGTTGTCTATGGACTCGTGATTAGTATCTTACACGCAGTGAGTCAACAATGAAAGGACTCGCATACCGAGCCGATGTCCAGGTCCGTCCCGATGATGCGCCATATGACATTCGCATCCTTGCCGCCGCCAGGCACGATAGACACATCCCGGACGACCTTGGTGCCGACCTTGGGTATGATCACGGGCTTACCGCCCTTGAGCTCGGTGAAGCCGAGCGGGTTGTCATTTGTGCTCAGCGCAAAGAAGACGCCGGTGGCGCTGGTCTTCCAGTAGACGGCCAGGTACCCGACCTTGGTCGAGTCGGCCTTCTTCTCCAGCAAGATGTCATCAAGGCTCTGCGATGGCAGTGCAGAGATGGAAGAGCCCAGCAGCAGAAGGCAGAGCACATTTAGAAAGAGGTACATCATGAGAGTATCACCAAGGGGCAGCGCCCGTGCAATTTGGATCGTGGTGCTATTTTCTGCCTGGATCAATGCCGCAGGTCGACTTCATATATATTCTGCGGCCCACGGGATAATTACAATTTACCAGTCCGCTTGCCGATATGCTCTTTCGGGACGCCATTTAGTAGACATAAGAGTGCAACTATACCAGGGACTAAGGTGGTATAGAGCCGTGGTATGGTGCAGTTGAGCGTTGCATTCAGACTCGGTACGCCCAAGCTGTATGGTGCAAAACGAGCCGGGACCAATCCACAAATGAATCTCTTGGGTCGACCATGGCATAGTCCGGAACCATGATCGATGTGGAGAAGAGCTGGCTTGCAAGGACCGTGCAAGCGACCCAATAGGAGAGGACATGCATGAGACCAGCCACTATATAGATCCGAGGGGCCACGTCTTTGAAACCAGGTCCCTTTTACCGTATGCCCAATTTGTACCATGGAGATCTGTGTTTGCGTGCGGGGAATTAGTCAGGGGTAAAGCCCCGTGACCAATCCACAACTCCCACTTCAAGTCTAGCGATGTACCCTTAACAACACATTTGCTTGTGACGGTGGCGTAGACTTGACATTGTAACGTATATTTCTTAGCGTTTCTAGATATTTCTAATTGTTATCCTTGGCCTTCCTCTGATTTCGCAACTTGATCATCAGTGAGCGACGCCGCCTCGAGCTGCTTCACGAGGTTCCGTAGCTGGCTCTTGTTCATATCTGCATTCGACCCAATGATGGCCATTGGCCACTGGCTTCTCACAGTTCGCGGAAGTCTGGAGTAGACAGCCTCTACCTCTCGTGGGGACACATACGCATTCAGGGCAGCAAGGTCCTCAGGCGATAGGCGAGACCGCACTAGGTGGAAGATCACCCCAGTGACGTAGGCATTGCGGCTTTGGTCATGGAGACCTTTAGCTGCTAGAATGAGCGTTGAGCGTATGTTTCTTCGCCGATCGTCGTCCACTACTGGGGTCTTCTCGTCACCATCTTCTGTCGATGCGTCGCGCTTGGTGGACTCCAGAGTTTGGAACATAATGTTTGCTAGGAATGAGAGAATGGAGGTCAAGAAGGTGTCCGTGTGCTCGAAGCTGTGGCGGAGGTAATAGAGGCGGACGAGAGTCTCAAATCGGATCGCTGCATCGGCACTTCTCTCACGTGCTATATTTCTGGGTATTGAAGGCGTTGCGTAGGCCGTAGGCTGGTTTTCAAGCATCTGGTAGAGCGAGACCAGGACGCCATGATATTCGATGCTGTGTCGAAGTCAGTCTTTAAGCTACGCTATATTAAGCCAGCAGGTGGTCGGTGTCCGACCCAACGACGCTCGTACTTTAACGCCTCAGAGTTGGAGAGGAAAATTAAAACTTACTGAAGCTTAAGCTGAGGCGGAAGCACAATGTTCTCGGGTGTCAGGGGACCCGGAAGAGCATTGAACCAGGCCTCGAGCCGCTGCAGGAGCTCTATCACTTTTGCTGGGTTGGATTTGACATTTTCTGTGCCGCCAGGAGCAGGTGTAATGGGGGGAAACAACTCCATCGTGATGTCCGCCATGATGTGACGGAACTGCCACATGGCTCTAATATGAGTACCAAAGTTCGTCGAGAAAATGGCATTCTCTAAAGGGTATTTGAGGAGTATTGTCGGGTACCACGATGGATCCTGACTGGGATCCGGCAAGGGGGTGGCGGGCGCCTGAGGCAACAGGGTCTGCCGGGCAAAGTAGTAGCCTTGTACCCTAAAACAGTTCTTAGTTTGGGAGACACATGATTCAAGAAGGCAAAAATACTCACCCTAGCCAGCTGAATGAACACCAAGCTGTAAACTCTCTCGCAAGCTTCATTTTGCCTGCATATCCAGTGCTAGGCTCTAACAATTTCAGTTCATCAGCCATGGAGACAGCTCTCTCCAGGTAGATGTAGGAGATCTCATCCATTGCAAAGTGATTATAGATCATGTGCAAGACAACTGTAGCCTGGAGAGTCGTAAGAGTGGGAACCTCGCTCTCCAGTTCCCATAGCAACTTGGCTTCAGCAAGGAAACGGAATCCTAGGGTATGGGGGAGCCAGAACTTTTCCCTGTCTGGGAGCCTGGTATAACTATGCTGCATGCGTTGTTAGCGCACGCACGGCCAAGAGGTGAGTGCAGATGAGGCCAGGTTGACTTACACAAGCCAGTGCCAGGACGGCGTTGACGAGTAAGGGCGAACACATATCTTCCTCGGACTCCTCCGTCATACCATCTAGGAAGAGGTCCAAGTGAAAGGGAGGATAGTTCTCATAATCATGCATGATGTAACAACGCATCAACTCTGCTAAAAGCCGGTTATCCGAGATCACCGAGGTCCACCGGGAGGCTTGCACCAAGTCGAGCCGTGGCTCGATGATCTCGGCCGCATGGTAGGGGCTGAGATACGGTGCACGCATCTGACAGACTTGCTTGGACGGCAAAGGGCCCGATGTCTCGAATGCAGCCTCGTAGACCAAAGAGTTGAGGTATGGGTTCTTTGACTTTAGAATGGCTGCGGGCATGCTGGCGCTGTATGGAAAGTTATACCGCAAGCGCGCCTCGGGCACCAGGGCGAGCTGCAACAGCAAGTTGCCGTCCTTGACCTGGCGAACCAGCGTGTTGACGTCGGCCCCTAGACGGATCCTGAGGAGGATGTCCTGCGACTCGGAGGGGGAGGCATTCTGCAGGAGGTGGTAGAGCTCGCGATACGCGTTGCTCTCTTGCTCGAGCGCCGTGTGTTTCCGCTTGAGAGCCTGGGGGATGGTCTCTCCCGAGCTGGCAGTCTCGTACACGCACTCTCGCCCGCGCTTGGTACAGGCCGAACACTGTGGTCTCTCGCCAGAGCACTGGTTAACAGGTCGAGTCAGCCAGAGTGCATTGTATGTCGTGGGCAAGAATGGATTACCCTAGACTTGCGCTTTCGGCAATACTCACAGGCAGCTCTAACTGCCACTGATCGAATTCTTGCGCGGGTGTTCAAGTGCTGGCCGGGGTCCAGCTGCTCCGCGTTCCCAATCCGAGGGGACGGTAGGATAGAGCGGAGCTGGGCGGGACTCTGATTGACCTGGGAATACGCCATACCGGCGGGCGGAGGCCAGGTCATATTGATAGACCTCTGGTCGACGAGGCGACGAGGGGAGGAGTTCAGTACAAGGCCGGCTATTCATGCATTCATTGATTCATTCGCTCGATGGCCCGGTGTTAGCAGGACCGTATCCTGTAGAACTGCTCCGAAATTTCCTCTGCGTGAATTGGCGCCTGACCCATGGGCGCTGGTGAGCCCGAGGAAGCCCGGACGTGAGATGCGACGTGCAGGGTGGTAAACGGCCAGTCCAGAGACTGGCTGGGAATGTCGAGCCTCTTTGCACGACTTGCGAATAGCCACCCAACGATCAACGCAGGATCTCAGTTGGGGCCGTTCCTTGGGCGACAGAATGAATTCGAAGGGTTAGAGGAGGAGCCAGTTCCGACCGGAAAAGCGGCTTGTGATTGGCGCAGCTCCCAGCTGATGCCAGCTGCGTCTCAGCTGCGCGTCCGCCTGTGATACCCCCTCCAACGAATCAGATCCAGGATCTGTCCCGGCTTCTTGCCACCTCCATCCCGGCTTTTCCGGTTGTTGGGTGGCTTGTATCAACGTTGGTCTGTATCTATGACACCTGGATCGTTGGCACTGGCCCTTCCACCAAAGGCAAGTGTATTCAGCAGCGACCTGAATGACCAACCGAAACATCAAACTTGGATAGAGCATCTTGATTTGAATCCAATGAATATACGTTAAAGAAAAACCTGCCGATCGGCCCATAGTCTACCTAGATATCTATATGTACAACTGGAGGCGCCCATCGTGGGCTGCGTCCGTCGTCTCCCTCTACTCGAAGACGTCCATGCTATACTCAGATCTGCGTGCCCTCCTGCTTTTCTTCTCAGGCTGCGATGCGAATCGTGTTGCTCGAACCCGCTCCTGCTTTCGTCTGGTGTGACCCATCGTCTCCGTCTTATTAGCCCTATCCAGAAGGCAGTTCCGAGCTACTAGAGATCCCTGATGCTCCTACTCATCATCCACGAGTCTCTTGGCCTCGAACGCTTTCTTCGCGGCCTTCATGAGACTGTCCACATCACCGCTCGTCTCGCACATGGATCTGAAGTTGCCGTCTGATTTCTTGAGGAGCTCCCATGGGTGCCCGTACTCCACTACCGAACCGTGGTCAAGTACCAGTACCTTGTCGTAATCGACGATGGTAGCAAGTCTGTGAGCAATGGTGATTGTTGTGCCCTTCAGTTCACGAATCGTCTCTTGAATTTTCGAGTCGGTCGCGTAGTCGATCGATGCCGTAGCCTCATCCATGATGAGGACCGTAGGGTTCTTCAGCATGGCCCGGGCAAGACAGAGCAGCTGTCTTTGGCCTTGCGACAGGTTTGACCCGGACTCGGCAACGGGCGACGACAAGTCGAGAAATACATTCTTGTTGGTCTTGGTGGGCGTCGTTGCACCACTTGCCGCCTCGTCGATTGGTTCACCCTCGAGCGTGATCGGTAACGAGCGTCGAGTCGCTGTCGGCGTTACTGGAGTGGTTGGGGTTTCATCAGGACCAATCAACTGCACCCGACGAAGAGCCGTGAAGATCTCTTCGTCGCTGTACAAGTCGAAGGGGTCCAGATTCGTGCGGATGGTGCCGGTGAAGAGTGTTGGATCTTGTGGCACAATGGTGATCGCTTCTCGAAGGTCCTTAAGGCCAATCTGCCCGATATCGATGTTGTCAATGAGGATCTTGCCAGACTCAGCTTCCAAGGCTCGGAAGAGTGCCAGGGCCAGCGAACTCTTGCCAGCACCGGTCCGGCCCACGATGCCGACCTTCTCCAGAGGCTGTATCTTGAATGTTACGTCGCGCAAGACGGGGTCGAGATCGTCCCTGTATCTGGTTGAGTATCCAATGAACTCCACGGATCCGTGCGCTGGCCAATTCTGCGGCGGTCGATTCTTCTCGTTGATGGGCTCGGCCTCCTGTTCGATATCGAGGTATTCCTTGACACGCTCGACGGAGTTCATGTTTTGCTCGTTCATGGCGTACAGTCGAACAAGCCAGAGGATGTTGTCAGAGAACCCAATGGCATAGCTAAGCGAGATACCAGCAGAGCCAGCCTTGATTCCACCATGGGTAACGCTGAGGATGACAAAAACACCAGCAAAGAAAGCGACCAAGTCACCTAGACAGTCTGTACGGAACGCAAGCCATCTATTAGCGGCCCAGAGATAGATGAATGGTCGAGCTTGGGTGTTGATCTTGCTAAGGTTTTCTCTGATAAATCGCCGTTCATCGCCGTAGGCACGGATTGTGGTTACACCTGAAAGTGTCTCGCCGAATTGCTGGAATAGAGGGCTTCGGTGAACTGATTCAAGCCGCTTGAGGTCTCGAGAGGCACGGAGGTAAAACATGCCAACAAAGACATATAAGGCGGTGATAAAGATTCCAGCGATCAAGAAACCCGGGGTCATAGCGCCGATGATGGCAACAGTCACTACGATGCCCAATGCACAGCTCATAACGCCAATTGCGACGGGGGCAACCTCTTGGTCAATGGCCTCAAGATCTTTGCTGAACCGGTTCATCAACTGTCCTAGCGGTGTCACGTCGAAGAACTTGAACTTGGCACGAGTGACAGCGCCCATCAGGCGGTTGTGAATCTTCCAAGAGGCAGTCAAAGACCCAAAGAACAGCCAGAGATCGCGAATCAAAGCAAAAAGAGCACCGATCATGCCAATAGCAGCGAGGACGATCAAGTAGTAATCAACGTCAACCTCCGGGGGAGCATCGGCTGCCGAGTACTCGGCTGGGCTGAAGAAGCGCTGACCCTTGACGTAAGTCGCGACGGAAGCAAAGTAAGTAGGGGAAATCGAAGAGGCGACGGGCGTGTGGGACATGGTGCCGAAATGCACACGCGACGCAACCTCTTCCACGCCAACCGTGTACTGGTCGGCCCACTGCCTGATCCACATGTTGGAGGCAACGCTCAATAGTTGTTGACCACTGAACACGAAGACCGTAACGACCCAAAACCACCATTTGCCCATAGCGCTAAGGTATAGCTTGAGAACAGGCCATTTGACAGCGCCGGTGGCTTTGCCCTCGTCCATTGCGTCCATCTTCTTCTTCTCTTTCTTGACTTTCGGCTTGCCGTTGAGTGTCTCGTTGCCGCCATCATCAATGAGTGTGTCGCCGCTCGTCTCTCCGACACTGGAAGGGACACGGGATGGAACACGTGACAGCTGGTGGGAAGAGCTCGGTCGTGATTTGTTCTGCAGCTCCTCACCAAGGGTACCGGAAGCGATGACCTCCGTAGGTGAGCCCTGTGCGGATACCTTGCCATTCTCCAAAACAACAACGTACTCAGATGCAGGAACGCACAAGATAACGTTGTGCGTGACAAGTATACAAGTTCGATCCCTCATCAGCGGGCCCTGGATGCAGTTGTTGAAGATCCACTGAGCAGTATGGGAGTCGACGGCGCTCAGGCAGTCGTCGAGCAGAAGATGTCTCGAGTTAGAGTAGACGGCCCGAGCGAGAGAGATGCGTTGCTTCTGACCGCCAGATAGTGTGATACCCTTCTCACCAACAAGGGTCTCATCGCCATTATCCAAGATCTCCAGGTCGCGTTCCAGTGCGCAAGCCACAATGACGTCCCTGTAACGCTTCTCGTCATAGGGGGCAGAGAACAGAATGTTCTCCTTGATATTTGCGTTCACAAGCCAGGCGCTTTGGGCGACGTAAGCACAGGTCTCTGCAAGTCCGGTGGCCGGGTCTACGCGAACGTCCTCGCGGCTTTGGCCTCCCGGAAGGTACACCTTGCCGTTCATCAAGGTCATCTCGCCGAGTAGCGCCATCAACATCGAGGTCTTTCCGGAACCGGTGGGGCCCGCGATAATGTTCAGCTTGCCGATCTTGAAATCGGAGTTCAAATCCATCAGTCGGAATGCCATGGAGCCATCCTCGGCCACGGCATCCTTGCTGCCCCAAATGAAAGTTGCATCGCGGAACCCAATAACCTTGTTTCCGTTCTCATCAACGTTGTCAGGTCCGAGCTGGAGATACTTCTCGGTCTCCTCCTCCTTCAAGAATTCTTCGACACGGTCAACCGAGACCTTGGCCTCCTGTACGTGAGCAATCATATCTCCGAGCTGGTCGAGGGGAACCCGAAGAAGCATGAACAGGGAGATGGCAGTGAAAGCAATCGAGGGATAAAGCGGCTTCTGCTCGATCTTGGTATATACCAAGAATGAGAAAAACGTAATCAGGACAGGGACAGTGTTCCAAATAGCAACAGCTACGGCCCAAATCATGTAACGTGATCGAAGAGCCTTGAGTTCAGCCCTTCGCTTCTCATCCACGATCTCGGAGAACCGCTGCTCCCAAGCAAAGTATTTGATGATACGGATGTTCTGCAAGACTTCATTGGTTGTGTGGATACGCTTGTCGGTAGCTGCCATAATGTTCTTTTGGGTGTAATTGAACCCTTTAGCTAGGAGGATGTTGATGGGAAGCAAGAAAACCATGACCACGAGGCCTGGGATGGCACTCAAGCCCATGACGCGCCACAGCAGTACGATGGCCACGATGAGCTGTGAAGGCGCGTGTGCCACCAGGAAGTGAAGATAAGACGTGACTTCGCCGATTTTGAAGCTGTCGACGGACATGAGGTTAATAATGGTTCCCAGGTTGGCTTGCTCGTCCCCTGCCTTGGTTGGGTCGGTCTTTGCCGCGTCTCCGGCCGAGCCGTTCACGGAGGTCGAGTCGCTCGTAGACTTGGCATCCTTCTTCTTGAGACCTACCCATCTCTTTAGCTTGTCCAGTTTGGTTTCCGCTGCAGAGGACTTGTTGTTGGCGAGCACTGTATCTTTCCCACTGGCGGCCTTGCGCCTCAGCGCCTTTGCGTAGATCTCCCCAATCACAATGGCTCGGATCCTGACACACATCTTGCGTCCAATCCAGAGGGCTTGACCATCGGCGACTGATCGGATCAAGTCGGACACGGGCAGGAGAATGACCAAGAGCCAAAGAACGTTCAACGGCGCCGAGGTGGGCTGCTCGACATATTCCAGGATCGCCT